TACTTAAAATAAAATCTTTTTTTTCGATTTAAAAAACTTTTTTTACAAATTTGTGTTAACGTTATTTTTTTGGTCGTAACTCACCCCCCCCCCCCCCCCCCCCCCCAAAAAAAAAAGACCACGGAAGACAACTCTGAACGTCTCAGAACATACTAGGTAGAGCATGTCTTGGGCATCCTGTGCCTTGTCTGACTTTCAAACGCCAAACCCTTATAATTGGTCGATTCATTTGCTCTGCAGTTTCTTCCACATGTCGACTGAGTTCATGATGATGACGACTAGGCTAGTACATCTCACAGCATTTGCATCATTAGCTCCTTTCCCTTCTTCGCCTCATTCTCAGTCTTCGCCCCGTTTTCAATGCTCACGACATACCAGTATAGGCTGTCAAGGCAACGCCTTCTAGTTTTGTTCCGTCCGAGTGGAAGTTTGTGGCTCCGACGAGAATCTTCCTTAACCCTCAATAGTTATCTCATACTTATTACATAGTAATCGTCTAGAGAGCAATCCGTCTGGAACGAATCCATTAAAATACCAAAGCTGTCGTCTTTGGGGCACCAGGACGAAGGTACGGACCGGATGTTGCATTATGTAGGTGTCGAGCTAGCTCTTCGGGTCTGTATCCAGGGCTCTGCATTTAATGCCCGTCGTGGACCCTAACCGAAACATGGCGTGTGATGTTGAACTTTAAAAGAACTTTGGATGTTCCGGACACATGCTTGACGGGACTTCAGGCAGGTACTGGTATTTAAGTTCGTAGCGATCCTCTTCAATTGGTTTCAGATGTTATGCGTGTCTCGGTCGCGATGTACAGCTGTCCGCCGCGAATAATCGCTTCAACTTTCCTTCAAAAGCGCCACCTCACATCTCGATGCCAAAACGTTTGATTGCGTTCATGATGGGTAAGTTGTGAAGCATCTCTGAGTCTATCCGTCTGATTCCCGTTGCTATTAGGAAAGCACAGGTCTCTCTGCAAGGTAAGACCGTGGCTGATAGGGGTGGCCTCTAATAGAGTGCCCGGTGGTATCGTTTTATGTAGTTGGTGCCAGTCTCCTCAAGACACGGTACGGCATAATTGCCCAACCGTTGAAGGGGCTAATCTCGTCAAAGGGTTGGCGCTGGAGGGGTCGATAGGAGCATGCATGCCTTTGCGCATATGGATACATCTGAACCGTTCTCCCCCTTCTATCAAGATTCCAGCATCGCTACTAGCCTGTGAGCACAGCCACTTGTTGAGAAATCCCAGCTACCTGCATATCTTGCGACATCGAGCACCAGGGTGTTGCTGAACACAAATGTGCAGGTGGACGGGCCCTGCTCATTGCTGCTCAAGTGAATGGGGTCGTGGCCGTTGCTTGAGGATCGGAACAAGGTTTCGGCAAAAGAAGCTTAGGAGTTCAGGAGAGATTTCGGTCCCTTGTGCATCCAGAATTGAAATGGACAGGTGTCCAAGAAGAGGGATTCAGCTAAATGGACGTACTCGGGATTTCCCCAAAGTTGCCGACTATGAAGTCCGCATTCCAAGGTTTGTTTTTGCTTGTGGGGAAGTTGTATCAAGTCCGCCATTCCGTTACATGAACTCCGAGGCTTGGGACAATACTGAGTAACGGACTTATAAGACTTGAGTTACGACTTGGGGAATGTAACACCAATTTGCAGGCTTAAATTCAAAAGAGGGACAACCTAGTGATGCAGGGAGGTCTAATTTTATGAAGCTGTTTTGACGTGTCTTATCGCTTCGGTACAGCCTGGATCATGCGAGATGGAAAATCGTGCTATTTTGCTCATGGGGTATTAATTCATCGATGCTAACTATTGAGGTCAAGGTCATTACATACGTACAGCCATTGTTGGAGCCAACTCTTCGCGAATATGCGAATACTAATTCTACTAGAGTTTGCTGCCCACGGGACCATCGGCAATATACGTGCTACCAAGCTTTAGCATAGCAGTCGCTTCGGCGACCATATCATCCACGATCTCCTTCGCCGGCTGGATTTTCTGAATTAGGCCCGCGACCTGGCCCATAAGATGTGGTGGGTCGACCTCATTTCCTTGCTCGAAGTCGTACTCGATGGGCACGACACCGTTATCACACAGCTCCTTGATCTTGTCGGGTTGCGCATGCCAGGCTGCGATATACTCGTTCGTGCGCATGCGGAGTGGGCGGCCCGAGAGGACGAGGGTGCGTTCTGTGTCGGTAAAGCCGCAAGTTACTACGCTGCGCTTCTGCTCCTCGGAGCAGCTGGCTTCCTCGGATGCCACGAAGCGTGTTCCTACCCACACGGCGACAGCGCCCTGCATCAAGCTCGAAGCCAAAGCACGCCCATTACCGATGCCACCGGCTGCAACCACGAGCGCATGAGACCCCTTTAGCATCGGCGGCTTGTACTTGCGTGCCACATCTACGACGGCGGGGATGAGGATTGAGTTGGCGATCTCGCCTGTATGCCCGCCTCCCTCACCACCTTGGGCACAGACCATATCAACGCCGAGATCAAGAGCTTTAACAGCATGCTTAGGGTGCCCGACCATGTTCATAATAAGGATGCCAGCATTATGTAGCCGGTCGATTACAGCTTTGGGCGGCACGCCGACGGCACTGACAAAGAGCTTGGCACCGCTCTCGATCGTGATATCAATCAGCTCATCCAGCTTCCCACCCGTGTAGTCATGGTTTGTCTTCCGTGCATTGCCGCCGATTTGGGGCAGCGCAAGGTCTACACCAAAAGGTAGGTCCGGCGATTTGAAATTCTCCTTCATCTCTGCAATAATCGACCTCAACTGGTCAGGCTGCGTGCATGAATACATATTAGTCGAGATATCTGAACTGTATGTATACCATGGAACTTGCTAGATCATACGACACAAGAAATTGAGCTATTAGACAAAAGGGGGGTTTATACACACCGTATACATGAAGCCTCCGATCACACCTAGGCCGCCTGCGTTGGAAACAGCTGCAGCGAGCAGCCCACCCGATGTCCGAGCCATCCCAGCAAGGACTATAGGGTGCGAAATACCCAAGATTTGGGTGAGTGGTGTCGTGATGGGGCCTTTGGGTTGGGGCGCCATTGTTGAACCTGTATGGACGGCGGTCTAGAGGAGATGATTTGATATGGGTTCAGGAATCACACAACGATTGAGAAGAATTCAAGTTGAAAAAATTGAAGATTGAGAGACTAGTAGAGCAACGTGTGAGATGAGCTGAGGTCTAGACTAAAGACATTGCCTGAATGCTGGCTATGATTGAGGGTAGGAAAGGGCTGAAATATACAAACCCTGTAACATCAAGCTGTAATGAGGCTTCAACCCGATTCTGAAATGGAAGGAACATAAAATCAATACAAGAGTGCTGGCGATGGACCTGCTCAACACATATGCGGATATACCTACGTACCTAGTGTAAGAAAGGAGGTTGGAGGGCGGGGTTTCTGGGGCGAGGCTGGGGTAATGTGGAGGGAGAAGCCTCGGTATCTTCCAGGTTCTGTCCAGGGTTTCTCGCCGAGGTTCTCTGTCAGGATTTATATATGTACTTCGCCATTCAAGGATGGTTTAGGATACCATTCTACCCCTGGGAAGAAATCACGAACGCGATTGAACAGCTTGCTGTCAAAGCCGACAAGAAAATCTCAGTGTCAAGAACAGGTGTTGCCTTACTATAGGACACACATTAATTGAGTTCGTGTTGATACAACCTACTAGTACCTTTACGCGCCCTGATGATCGTCCACATATACAGGAGAAAGTTGCAAGATAACTGTTGGCAAGGTCATCCAATGCATCCATTCTCAACATTGGCTCCAATAACTGTATTCACAAACGAAGAGCAAACGATACCCCAAAACGCCGCGCTATATTCTACATAGTACCCAGTCTCCCCAAATTTAACCAGATGAAGATATATAAAGTTAGCGGAAGTGAGGTAATCGTGCGGGTATAAATTCATCGTGCGATGACGATGTGTCCAGTGGCTCGGTTTCTCTCAGAAACTCCCTTGGACTGGGCTGCCCTCCAGCCTCCGCCCCGCTGTCATTTGAGACATCGTCGAGTATCGCCGAGTCCGGCATCGGGACGTGTTCAACTTCTACTACTTCTGATTTCACCTCAGTCACCGACTCAATTTGTAGATTTTCTCGACTTAACCCCCGGCGAAGAGCAAGATCAGCGGCAGCTTGACGTTTCCTTTCTATGGCCTCATCCTCTTCTAGTTCTAAGCGTAACTCTTCTCGTTGTACGTCCTCAAGAGATGGCGCTGGTAGTAGGCTTGGGCTTGGAGGGCCAGAACTTGAGCATCGACCTTGCCGTAATGATGGCATTGTTGAAGCTATTGTTGTCCTCGACCCGCTTCGCGATATCTTGTAATTTGCTATGCGTTTCCCTTTGCTACTTTTTGTGCGGCTACTTGATCGGTCGTCGACATGATCTAGAGGGAGGGTGAACTCGTCATCCAGGGGCACAGCGTCTTCTTCCCCTTCTTCATCACTGGGGAAAAGATCACCTCGTGACCGAAATGAGTCGCTGGTATCTCCACTGCCGGCCGTACCGCTTCGCTTCCTATTCTGCGTCGGCAAGTTGTTGGGATGGGTTTCACTATCGTCCTCTGCGTTTAATAATGGCTCACGTTCGCCCTCTTCCGCGTGCTTCATAGATCCCGGGTGCTCCTGTAAATTAGCCGCGCTGGGTTTGTACCTCAATGTACCTCCAATCTTGAACGGCAACCGACCAAGAAATCCGAGAGGTGCAGTACTTGGAATGATGGTGGGATCATCGTGAGCACTAGCTCTTCTCCTAGAGCCCCTCGTACCATAACTCATACCACGAGCTCTAGCTTTCGGCTGTTCTTGTATTTCGGTAGTCTGACTCTTCCGCTTGCCCGAGCCTGCCACCAAACGATCCCAATCTTCGGCGCGCCAGCCGCCCAAAAGGCCCCCGTCTTGATCGCCGAACTCCTCATCCCAATCATCATAGAAGTCAAAGCTAAATTCGGCAGCTCCTCGTGCTCTCTGGCGCTCTCTCGCTCGTCGAGCACGCTCCTCGCGGTCGCCCAGACATACGGCGGTGCAGCTATCGAAGGCAGAAGCGACGGAGCCGAGACAAGGTGTGATATAAGTATGCCCGAAACTCCAGATGCCTGCTGCGGCGTTCTCGGTGACGGTTTCGGTTGTCTGCGAAATCTGGTTCCAGCGCTGCCGAAGGCGCGGGTCTTCAAGAAAAGTCGCCATGTTTTGATTGAGTATGGAGTATATTTTCCGAACGTTAAGGATCGCTGGGTGGAGTCGACAACTGCCGCGGCCAAAGGTCGTAGGAAATGACTTCGGAACAATTGGAGACTGCGTCTGACGACACTGACTATCGTCCTGCGTTGCGCAGAAGAGGATTAGTGATGCAGCACAGGGCGTGCAGCAATGGCAGGCGGCTCATTTACAGTAGTTGAGACGATGGAAGAGAAGAGTCAAATAGGGATACGGCATGAAGCGCAACCATCGAGTGCCTCAGCGCTGGTTGTTGTTTCGCCTTATTGGCAGCACCTTGCTTCGTCATGAACCCACGGGCTCGTAGACAGCAAAGGGCTCTACAGGCTGTTAAAGGTTGGGGGCTGTCCTCTATTGGACAAATTCCAAATGGCCGTCATGCAGGCTGCGGAAGTGGACGGCTAGCCAGACAGCCAGAGGCTCGGGGATGGAGACAGTGGAGCTGGGACCAGACGTCGAAATGCAGGGACTTAGGGTGGTGTACACGTAAGTAGACGTGGGCGACGTGAACTAGGGAGACGTAGGTGGTAGTAAGGAGGAGTATTATCATGTATAGAGGAGATGTGTTATTAAGTCCATACCTGAAGGCCTTGGATGAACAGGCACGAAGTAGTTAAGTGCTCGAGTTGGCGATACAATTGTTAGGTCAGTTCGGGGATATCTACACTAAGTAAGTACTTACTGTACAGTAGTAGGGAACGCTGCGATGACCTCATTCTTTTATCGACATACCGTAGGTAGGTACATTGTTGGCAGGGCCTACCTACTTATGTAGGTGGATAAGAGGCACCTTTTAGCGCAGCAGCAGTGCTCTAATAAGCGAGTTTTAGGACTGATTCATAGGGGCCCAATGAGCTAGAACCCCCACCTTCAACGTGTTTAGCCTCTATAAGTACCTATCGACTTACTTACTTGGGCCAGATTTAGGCGTCTTCCAGCCACCCAATAGGCCAATGAGACGCGGGCGCGGCTTTGGAGTGTCAGAGGCCATTAACCTCTTTCGGCACATCTGGAGCGGTGAATAATGGCGAGAAGGACAAGCTGCCGGTTGCGAACCTTTGGACAATGTGATTCTTCCTGTTGCAGCAGCACCCTTTGGTCGACAATGGCCACTGCTCACCCGCCATAATTAACTGCGACCACCTGCATCGTCGGCTCCGACATCGAAGAACCACTTTCGCTCTACGGCCGAGTCATCATATTGGTCGGTGATCCTTTTGGAAAGCTCCCACGCGCCGAAACTGCGTACGAAGTAGACGAAGCCTTGCTCGGCTTGACCTCGCATTCGCAACATCCTTACTAGCTACCGACGCGCCCAACACACCACCATCTTCTATCGCCTCTTGTTCGAATAGATACACGACGACACAATCTCTACTGCTGCTACGTGCACACTCATGTTTGATCTCCAACGCGTCTGCGATGCCTGACGCGGGGCACCAAGGTGGTTGGGGTGTTGGCGCAACCACTGCTCCTCCCAACCGTAAGTCCATAGATTTCTATTTCATCGACAATGGAGCCTCAACTGCCTGATCTTTTAATTGAGAACCTATCAATACCGGCCAAAAGCTACCAGCAAGGCCATGGGCAAACGAGGCTCATTTCGGGTCGGAGTAGAGTCTCAAGTTGCCATTACCCGCTTCGGCCCTCATGGTGTACGATATGCTGGGAAAAAAATATCCAACTATGCAGTTGGTTAGGGTCATTTACATGGGCCAAATGCGCCTTATCTTATACGTTGGCGTAGGAAAGTTTTCGACACCATGTTCACTCGGAGCCTCCTCAAACTGAGAATCGGTACTGATGTATGTCTTGATTCACAGCCTTTAACGTGGCGAAGCCCCCGCCCATTGTAAATCCGTTTGCGAAGCCATCACCAAACCCATTCCTCCAAACCCGCGAAAGTAGTGCTCTAGCGGCTCCAAGTAACCCTTTTAGCGGGCTCGGCACGGCGACTAATCCTTTCTCTTCAACATCGTCCGCGTCTTTGGAAAGATGGGCATCGTCTTCACTTAGCCAAACAACAAAGAGTGCTCCTAATGCTCACAATCCCTTCGAACCCGCCAAACCAGAGATACCGGCCTCGAGTCTACAGCCACCTAAACCATCAATAAACATACATCAGTCATCGCTAGGATCGAACTTTAATGGGCCGAGGAGAGTTGCTGAGTTTGTACAGCCAGCATGGCCTGATGAATCGAAAAAAGTCACAACGGGAATTCCGGCCCCCGCAAGCTTGAACAAACAAAAAGGCGGGTTAGGTGCACAGAGCAATGGGCACAATGGTTGGCACTCACATATGCCTACAGGTATAGCTGGAAAACAGGGGTCAGCAACAAAGGGCTTAACAGCTTCCTCGGGAGCTCTTAATCAACCTGTCAATACACATGATGGCCGTTCTCGTGAACTGGCAAGCAAAATTCAGCAACAACTTGCTCAGGACCGGATTAAACCTCCCAAATGGCCTGCTAACCCTGGTAGTCACGCACAGCGCCAGGCGATGGAAAACTTCCGGGAATCTTACAAAGCATATAGAGAAAAGGCGAGGAAATCGTTGATAAGGGCAGGTCTGATAGATGATCCTGATCAAAGACGCACATTACAGCAAGCACTGGACTTCCGTGGAATATCGGATGAGATGTGCCCTGAGTGGGAAAAAATAACGAGGATTATCGAGTACGACATCCGAAATCCAGAGAAAGCAGCTGACGAGTCTGGTGATCTCGTTGCAATACCCTCATTGATGGTGAAAAGATTGGCCAGGTCAGCAGCGGGTCAGGATGCGCCGCTTCCAATGGACGTTCGGTCTTTTGCCACGCTTCGGAAGACCCTGGACTACCTCATCGATGATTTAATACCTAACGACAGCCTCCTACCGTCCAAGCATAACTTCCTTTGGGATAGGACACGAGCAATCCGTATCGATTTATCTGTGCAAAAGTATAATCTGACCCCAGACGAGCGGACAGACCTCATATACTGTCTAGAGACGATTGCTCGCTTTCACGTTACGGCATTGCATCTTCTTTCACAGGATGGGTTCGCCGCCGAGGACTTTTCTGAGCAACAGGAGGTCGAGCAGTTAGGAAAGACTCTCATCTCGTTAAAGGAGCTCTACGATGACTGCATAGAGCAAAACATTGAATGCCCCAACGAGGCAGAATTTCGTGGTTATTATATCGTTTTTAATGCCCGCAATCCGTCTATCAAAGAAACCGTGGAAGGGTGGCCCGCCCGCCTTTGGAATACTGATGGAATTCGCACAGCAATGTGTTTGGTAGAATCTTTACAGAATACCTGGAGTTTACAAGGGCCTCTGAACCCTTATGCCCCAACCGAGCTTGCCTTGAGCGCAGCAGGGATTTTCTTTTCGATCGTTGCCTCGCCACAAATATCATACACCATGGCATGCTTTGCAGAAATTCATTTTAACGATGTTCGCAAGTCAATGCTTCAAATTTTGAGGAAATCGTATACCAGGCCGAGAGAAGGCCCGAAGGATATTACACCAGCGTTATTGCAAGCACGGATGCGGTTTGATACGGAAGATGAGGCCGTTGATTTTGCCCAAAAGCATGGTATTGTCTTTGGCCAAGATGGCCTCCAGCGTTACGCAATCCTTAATTCCAGACAGAGCATTGAGGATCCTCGCATCCGTCATGCATTTTCTAGAAATATTGTCGAACGCAAACGCTCGGATCGCTCTCTTCCTGATGTCATACATCAAACCGTCTTTGACATGTCCTCGGACGACGCAATCTCAATGTCTAGTCAAGGCGACAGTTTATTCGTCGCGGACCAGTCACACAATGCTTCTTCCGGCATTTCAAATGGCTTTGTACTTAGTAGCCAAGCAGAAAGCCTTCCCTCAACAATACCCTCCAGTTCCTCGGTCGTATCCAACAGTCGATTACCAAATGGCACAAACTCCCCATGGTCGCAACCACTAGCCCCACCTAATTCAGACGCAAATCAACCCGCCCCAACACCACAGATCTCAGTCGCCTCGCCCATATCTGTATCTACGTCTGCGCTAGCACAGGGGTCTAAATATCAAACGACCAGCAGCTTGTCCACCCAGCCCTATATTCCGCCACCAGGATTAAACCCGGGCTCTACGAGTAGTAGTGGGCAAAGAAGTCAAGCAACTACCAATACAACCACACTAAATCAAGGCAGCCTGGGAAATGCTACTACAGCCCCCGATACCAGCACTGATAGGTTGGCTAATTCGAGTAATTCGTCTTCTCAAAGCGTTTTCTCCTCCTTGAACCAACCCAAGGCCCCTGATAAGGAAGAATCAACAACACAGGCAGACAGTGATCCGTCACTATCAGTTTCGGCCGTAGATACCTCTACAAAGCCATCTTTGTTCTCTGACATTAATGGTTCGGCCAGACTGCCTGCAGCAGCAACGGCTGAGCCGTCAACCGCGATATCATCAAGTGTTTTGAAACCTTCCAGTTCACCTGCCCACACTCAAAGCAAACTCGTCCCCAATCATGGGCCTTCATTCGAACAAGTGTCATCTACAGCTGCACTGGGCAAGTTCGAGCCTCCACTGGGTATGTGTAGACTATTCAAGAACTATCAAGACAATTATAGCGTTTGATGTTCCAGGGCGTGTTTTAGACCTCAGCTGATACCGAAATTAGACACAAATGCATCGAAATTTCCACCAAAATCTAGCCTAAACATATTGCCTGCTAAGCAAGGCAGCAATGCAAAGGAGCCATTATCACCTGGCGAATTGCCTCCAATAAAGTCCAAATTGGAGCGAGGGGAATCAACCGCTGCCCAAATGATGCCAAGTGTCATCACCCCAAAGAGAAACCCAATGGAAGACTTTACCAGGTGGTTTGTCCTAGCCGATCAAGGTCTGCTCGAAGACGAATTACAGTCACTTGCAGTTGGGCAGATACTGAAGTCTGTATGGAAAGATTTTCAAGCTATCGAGGAGGCTCGGATTCGACAAGAGGAAGACGAGAAATCTTGGGCGGAGGCGCTCAAGTTTCGCCATTATAGCCTTAAAGTTACCTACTTCTACCGTTGGCTCGATATTACCCGTAAACGAAGGATCATCAAGCGTATCCAGCTTGAGAAGGAAAAGGCTCGAAAATGGAAATCACCTAAACTTGTGGCAGAGCGCGAAGCTGCCGAAGCATCAAAGAGGGAACGGGATATTGAAGAGGCGAAGGAACTTGTAGGGAAGCGAACGAAGGAGCACGAACGAGAAACAAGGATGCGAGAGTCGACGCAGTCCCAACAAAGTCTTGAGGAAGCTTTGCTAGCGACAGGTGTCTTCAGTGGAGTACGAGACGAAAGAGCAGCCGCTCGCGACGCCGCTCGTAACGATAACTTCGACGCCACATCTGACATATTTCCGGCAGAAAAGCTAAGATTACGCTCTGAAAACCAACGGCGACGGAAACGGGGTTTGCCGCCATTGAAGCGGTACCCTGAAGCACATGCCTCTAGAGAAGGTTCCAAAACTGCTATGCTTCGTGCAATTTCCAGTGGCACCGGCCGAGATACCTTGTCCTTGTCAACCGGTAGCTTACGGCATTCGACATTTAGCTCCAGTTATCGGTCAAGCTTGGGCTTTAATCAGAGCCGGATTTCTAAACCTCGACCAAACGTTTCAGACCCTTATTGGCGGATGAAAGCGAACGGGCTAGTACAGATGCCTAATGGGGAATATCTTCATGAGACACTTGCACTGCCTATGCTCAGAGAAGGGAAGAGATATCCAGGACTGGGAGACTACGGTCTGCCGCCCGAAACATCGTTCACGCCAAGCGCGTCGCCGCCTACCCGTCTTATTTCAGGAACAGACGCCGGCTCACCGACAGCAGCTGAGTCTCTGGAAAGTGATCGAACAGGTAGATCACCATCTGTCATAGACGGAGCTACGCAAAAGCGTAAACGTGGCCAGGCCGAAGACGACGATCTAATTGCGTACCGAAATGAGGCGCCGACGGGCCGAAAGCGGGCCAAGAGTAATGATCATTACTGCGCAACAGATCCAAGTTCAGATCAGGATTTCCTTGACAGCATCGACATCCTTCTCGGCAAGGTTGATGCTGCGGCCAAGTCTTCAGCAATGTAAGAAATTCATTAGAAAGGCTAGCGGACTGGCCATATCCACGAATAAATAAAATTTATGAAGAAGTTGGAATGCATTTGTTCTATGTTGAGTACATATTTACATTGATTGGATCAACGGCGTTCGATTTTAAGCATGGCGTTTCCTAATAAACTTGGCACTCGGAATTTCACAGCAACAGTGAAGCGAAAGAAAGGGGATACCATGACCTGGAAATAAACGCAACGAACTCTGCGCGGGGATGAGGGGCGCTTGCCTTTCCTCGCCTCATAATATTTATTGTTACCTATGGTAGTTTTTTCCTCTTTCGTGTTCCAAGTATAATCATTATGTGTACAGTACAACCAACCAGCCAACTCGATAATGAACGATGATACCCCAGATATACATATCATGTAACGGACAGGGAGCGTTGAAGATGAGGTCGAAGAGCCCCTCAGTGTGACAGTAAACCCGGAGGGAAAAGGGAGGGGCGGGGGTTAGGTAGTATGAAGACATGTAGATGAGGTGGAATGTATAGTAATTTGAGTTGAAAGGCGGTCGCTGATGAATGCACGAGGATATGGTTAGAGCTCGTTTCGCTCTATACCGCCTACGCCACCTTTTGCAATATTCCCTCCCTGACGTAAAGCCTGTCGCTCATCATTAGATACGGTGTCCCAGCCGACGCGTGACTTGATTTGAATGCTGTGTTACCCTAGTTGTCAATAATGTACGTAGACTCCATCACTTTCGTTATTGACTGACTGTGATTATACCTCTAATGCACTGGTTTGTTCGCTCTGTCTATATCCAAGCCAGCACAATCTTGTCTATCATCTATATACATATCTGCCTGCTTTTCCGAAAATTGTCATTCATCGCTGTGTCATTTATCATTACACCTACTACCACTACTACATTCCAGGCGAGCCGGCGCCAACTTGGCCTTGTTTATGTTCCATGGTATACCCATTAAACCCCCTCTATGTCCGCTATGGGAGTTGATTTAGTCTCCGATCACACCATGTCTCTATCTAAGGGGTCAGAGGGATAATCTGTTGACTGGCGGTGATTAGTGGTCCGTCGGAGGGTTCCCATTGAGCGATTGAATAATCCTCGGTTGCTAGCCCTGGAGCTTCCATTGGTGGGCGGTCGCTCGAGGCCGCTTAAGCTAGTCCGTGTACCGGTGTTGGAACCGGATGGCGGCTCCTCATGAATCAATGGCGGTAGATGCGTGGACGGGATAGTGCCGTTCTGTTGCCTGCGGGCTGCAAATACATCTTGAAACATATCATTGGCGTCAACCGCCCGAGAGTTGGCTCGTCGTCGCGATGCGTGAAGGACGGCGGGGTCGACCGACGGTTGTTGATTTTCTTCTTGATATGTCGGAGGGGCAATGTTGGTCTGGTAGATGGGGAAATCTCTGCCTGAAACCTGGAATTGCTTACGCGGCTGTTCAATGCCCAGAGCCACCATCTGGTCCATCATCTCGATAGCAAATTTGTTATGGCGAGTGAGACGCAATAGCTCATTTTGAAAACTTGATTTGTGGAAGCAGATGAAGTTGACCGTCATGCTACATGCTTCTTCAAAGCTAACAAGCTCTGTAATGATCTTATTGGTGAAGTCTCGTTTGTTGTTTTCAACGTAATCAGTCATACGAGCCGTAAGCTCGGTGATCACAGATGCAGGTGTGCCATATCTGATCTGAAGCGTAAATACGTCGGCCAGCGACCCACTTCGTCTGTGATTCAAAATGAACAAAGTGTTCAGCACAGAGTTGGGTGCCTGCACAATATGACCCTGCATTTTTTTGAATTCCGTGTACAGCAGCGAAATTTCAGTAACGTAGTAATCATCTCCCTGCAAGGTTTGTCCGGTGTTGCCATATATTGTAACACGATCACCCACGTCAAATGGATGCTTGACGAAGACAAAGATAATCGACTGAAGAAATTCCTGAGCTGTAGCTTGTAGAACCCAGGCGAGACCAAGAACAGCGGAACCTGCAGAAGCCAGCGCGGCGGATGTATAAGGTGAAATTGTCGAGATAAAAACGATAATAGCAATAATGAGGATAATGACGAAGAAAACTCGATCGAGCTTCGTAATCACCGAGTCGAGATCTTTTACTGATGCGGCAATTGCCTTTTTCTCTCTATGAACCTCGTCAACGAATGATTCTAGCTCTTCCTGAGAAACATCACCGTTAAGGTCACGATCAAAGAGCATAAATGCAGCCTCTGCGTAGTCGCTATCCGGGAATGCCTGGGTCAAGTCGGCAAGTGTCAGAACATCGCTATTCTCCTTAGCATACGTGCGGAATAGCCGGCGAGCTAGGACTTGGGCGGTATTAGAGTTGCGTAGCAATTCAGAAACCACCTTACGCGGATGGTTACTCAGTTTGACCTGACGGCCAGTGAAATCGCCCGCGACTCGGTTAGTAATGTCACCAATCTTGGTAGCAACCTCTCGTGCGTTGTTGGTGAAAAGATGTAAGGGAGTTCTGGTCCCCGAGGTACGCTACAATGAATCAATGGTTAGCAAACATGTTTTATCACTAGCAATAGGTTCTACGGATTACGAGCGCGGTAGATGAACGTAAGCCATCGTCGCGCAAGTCCAAGAGAGATATAGGAGATCTTGGGTACAAACCTGGGCTCCCATGACTGCTTCTTCTGAAACCAATCGGTCTTTTGAATGTTCATAGAGATAAACAAGATATCTAGATAGCTGTTATTAAATGAAAGCACCACATGAGCTGTCATATTGACTTACGCAATACTTTGTTTGTTCACCTCGATACGATTGGAATATGTCCGTTGATGGAAAGAAGCAGCAATCCATTGAATCAAGATCTTCTCGACAAAGTTCAAAGTTGCCAGTACGAAGAGCGCTATGATGATTTTGTTAACTATGTCGATCCATCGTATGTAAGGGAATTGTGTATCGGCCTCCTCTGGAACTCGCGCAGCAACTTTGTGGTTGTTAACAATGGGAAGAAACGAAATGAGGAGGGCGAGTAGCCAAAAGAATAGGCCAAGATGAAGCTCGAGTTGTCGGCCAATATCTTTCCACTTCGTAAAATTTCCGGAACCGCTGATCTTAGCACCGAGTCCCAGGACGTATGGCATAATTGAGCAAACGATTCTGGCCAACCAGAGTGACAGCCACACAACCTCGAGCCAGATCCCGAACCAGAGGAGATGAACACCGCCAGGTCCACCAATGACAGCTTGAGAACCTGGGTCCAGAAATATGCCCAGGAAAATAGGAATCAGCAGGATGGCTGTTATAGGTAGGCTGTAGAGAAAATATCTGATGATACGTGGCAGGTTTCTGATAATATCATAAACCTTCTTCAGCGTAGTGGGAGGTTCGAGTGACTGGCCGATTGTGGGAGCCGGAGCAGGTTGGTTGAAGACATCCCCCTTTTCCCCCTCGGTAGTTGTGCGTAACCGCGATCGTGAGCGACGTATTTCATAATCCTCGTTGCTAACAGCACGCTCAGCCTGAAGCATGGTCAGGTCATCAGCCAACCTATTGGCCTGGTTCTGGGATTCGGCTGGCGACAGGAAGTGGCCTTCCGAGCCACGACGATCAGCGGCATGAGGAACCTCTAAATGCCTGTGTACATCGACAGGACGCGTTTCCGAATCGACATAGTCTGAGACAGTAGGATCGTGTGTTAGCGTGGGAGAGGACTTGTCATCGGTTGCCATTTTAACTAAGCCGCAGCATAAACGACCACCAGGTATCTCCGTTTAGCTAGCAGGCTGGAAAGTGCCAAAATGCAGGATTCAGAGCAGGATGGCCCGAGCTAAAAATCCTCGAAACACAAGAGACGATACAAAGAGCAAAAACGAAAGTCGTACTACGGTACGCAGCCCCTTGAGTTGGTAGTGTCACGCGTCTCCGTGTCCTGTGTATGCGCTTGGCTAATGGAAGCTGTCGAAATAACGAACGTAAGAGCGAAAAGACAGAAAATATAATCTAGAGCGGTGGTATTCTCTCCGTCTGTCCACTTCAACGTCCCAGACAAGCAGTTAGTGAAATAGAAAAGATTGGCGACAGGAAGTTGAAAACGAAGGTTGAGTAGATCCCCCGAGATCCCCTACTTTAGACTTTAGGTAGACTTTAGACTTTTTGTCGGGGGCAACAAGTAATTGATAGTACGCAGCAGCACGGCAGGGAAGCGGCAGGGAAGCGGAAACGGCGGCGGCGGCGGCTTCCCCTAAACTGCTGCCCGCGCAAGCTACTATTCACGCTCATCACACTAGCTGGGCAGCCAAGCAAGCGGCCAAGTGGCCGAGCAGAGAGCCATGACGTGCGTTCACAATCCCGTCGGCCCACACGAGATCCACGGGGGAGAGAGAGATATTCATGGCCAAGGGGGGGATGGGACCGTAACGGTGGTATGTTCCTTCCTAGGTACCTACCTACTACCTTAGGTACCTAGGTAGGTATCTCAGGTCGTATACTTAAGTACTGTACTACCTACATAGGTAAGTACGTGTACAGCAAGAGTTGGAGATTTGTGGCATGTTCTTTCTTTCTTTGTTTTTTTTTATTTAAAAAATCAAGGGTCCCACACCTCCGCCGCGCCGTCGTGTAGAGTCGTGCCGAGTCGTGCCTACCGCCGTGCAACATTGAATCAGGAACAGAATTCTCGCTTGAAGTGGGGGTGCGTGTGGGGCATTCCCCACCAGCGCAGCTTTACTGCACTCCTCAGACTATCCCTGAATACCTAATCGTCCGTCTCCTATGTACTATCTACAGTAGGCATGTAGCTCCAATGCGATCTGTATTAGGTAGATATTACTACCTTGTTGACTGGCTGGTTGTTCTGTTGTCTTTGTTTCAACTGATCAACTGAGACCCCCCACGCTAATGCACATGTAGGAGGCGTCGAAAGATGCCTAGGCGAGCAGGCTGTCCCGAATGCAAGGGGCGTCGACGCCACAGATGTCACTCCCGCCGCTTGTGGTGAACTGACATCGCCAATGCCGGTTCGCGGCGGCTGCAATATACCTACTCGCCTATCAACTAAACGACAGGATCCAATCCATACCTAGACAGTACCTAGAGTTGTAGATGGTTGAGAGTCGAGAGTTGAATACAGGTATGGACAATCTCTTTTGTGGGTGATGTGCTACCTAGGTAAGCAAGAGTGATCAGCGCAAAGTGCATACACTAAGTGCCCTCTAGATAAACATTAATACCTGCCTACCTACCTACCTAGTATGCCCAGAGTACTACACTATCGAGACACTATGTATGCCCTTCTTATCGTGTACGCACTCCACAGTACGATACAGTAATATTCAGGCTCGTCAGGCAAGGCTATTGATATGAGCTGTGCAGAGCTGTGGTATTAAATAGCGGAAATAACAAAGCAGAATCCCAGGCAGACCCAAGATCTCTTTGCACATAGCGGCTTCTCTCTGTGGAGATACCTTTCCTAGTCCCTTCTCCCCAGATCAGACCCAGATCAAACTATCTATCTACAGTATCTGTCGAGTTCCGTCAAAGATCACGGCCGCAAGTACCAGCATTCCCATCAGAGCCCCCCAAGTTTCCTGCCCCAGTATATATATCACGTCTCGCATGGCCCGGTTACAAAAGCCCTGAAAATCAACACTGCGTCCACGCGATTTACATTTTTGGCGTGACTCAATCCAAGGCGAATATCTCCTCTGTAGTTGCTAAGACAACCTGCTACCTACTGGCGCATATAGGTACAGTATGAAGCACTAGATACTGTCGATGCACTGTCTGTATCACTTTAACTACCATTTCACCTCCGTGACCTGCCAGGGCTTTAAGTGACCAATCAGAAGCATAGATGTCTCTTGAACTTGTACTCCACTTAAACAGATAACTGCAAGTACAGAAAGCTACGCTGATCTTGATGTCCTTTGGGTGACGGCTTAGGTATTGGCAAAGTTGATTCACTAGCATGGCTAAGAAGAAACATAGCCCTTGATTAATACTGGGTCAACAAGGTCACGGAGGTGAAATGGTAGTTAAAGTGATAGGCGAGTTTAGGCGAGAAATCGATGCGAATGCAACACGAAATAATAGCTTCGGTCGAATGGTTATGAGAATATGTATGTAGGTAGCTCCTCGGCTGTTTGCGTGGTACGCGTTTCGCGGGTGACTGACGTCATGCTGCATAACAGATCTGCCTCCATAGTACTTAGAGACCCTGATGCATGATACACTAGCATGTGCATCACAGTATGAGACTACTATCCACAGAAATGTGTACTGTGTATGTAGTTGCTATCGAGGCTACCTATCTACTATAAGTAAGTACCTACTTAGGTTTTGGACGGTGCCTCGGGTGCGAACCCCTTTGTCGGGTTTGAAGCATGGGTTAGATACTTACCTACCAACATGTATCCGTATAAGGCAGTAGGCTTGGCGAGGCTTGGTAACTGGAAGCAATCTTGAATGTCTCGGAACCTACAGCACTGCTTTCAATTCATTGTGATGTCTCCAGCACATCGCTGGTTGTGGCGGGTCGATTCTTATGGCCAGGGTACCTCGGTAATGACGATCTATGATCTGTATTACGATCTGAATTAACAAATCAATCTCCACTGCATTTGATCCAACCCCGGCCTTAATGAGCGTACCTGTAGACTCTAGATACCCACTGTGAGGTACCTACCTAGATTCTGCTAGATATTAAACGATTCCGAGGAAACTACCGTTTAGATGCATTGGGCCATGCATATATAGATACATATTACTATACAATTGTCCCACCGGTTGTCACCCATTCGAACCTCCAGATGTCATTTCAATCATCGACACGGAGAAGAACGATGTACATTTAGACGACCGATGGTCTCGCAGAACCGAGCCATATACGAAACCGCCGACGATGCTATGTGCTATGCTAAGTGGCTGTAAAGCAACTCGACCCAACAATGCTTCATAATATTGCTCGTTGTTCTCATATCTAGCACAGGTGGCAGAATGTAAGATATTCTCGGTTTTCTAACAGGTACCCAAGTAATAGGGGATTATGCTTGAATTTCGGTCCTAGACCGCCCACTTAATTAGGAATATAAGGAACCTCTTATCCGAATGTTAGCCTTGATGGATGTAACAAGGTACCTTATAGTGACGGTCTCAGGACTTGGGCAGCAAACTGGGACCAACATAATGTGACACGCGCGTCTATGGAAACCCTGACGCATATTACGATCATAGTTACCATATATCCTTGGGTTTAAGAAGGGCGTAGCCCTGATGCCTCCAATAACGACTATCAAGGTATGGAACCTGGGAATTCACATGCAGAAATGTCAATAGTAACTTAGCCAACTGTTATAGCTATATTATTTGATCTTACTCTGGCGTCGATGACTTCCGCACACTCATTATATCCCTTGTATGCATTTCTGAACAACAGCCGAAGACTATTCCCTGAATGCCTGAATATAGTAGATATCAACGCTACCATGATCACGAACTCCAGGGACATCATCCCATGCAATTAGAACATTATTATATTTTTTTTAGTTTGCTTTGAGCACTTTGGTCTGTCAGCACTCGAGCATGATTTGAGGATCATTTATAATGGTCTCTTATAACCTTAACAACCAAGCCGCAACTACCCGCTCAACAACTAACAACTAACAGGTTGGCCGATCGTCAACTACCTGGTCTCATTTCTTCATTGCTAAAACGGCATTTACTATAACAGCCTATCGCACCCACCCAGCGACGTCCAGAGGAATCTTGATGCCTTATTATGACCGCCGTTACCGTGTCACGGAACCAAGGAAGCCTAATTTCCGATATACAGCACGGACCAAGGAACACTGTATATAATGCTAAGAAAGGGAATAAGGGGCGAAAACTAGAACTTCCCTCCTTGTGCAATAACAGAACAAATACATGAAACCACAGCTGGGCAGTACTGTGATATACCGTTAGTTCGTAGATCTGACAAACTCCGTAGTTTCTTCAGCAGATTCTCTCACCATGAAGTACAATTTGGTCATCTACAAGAATTCATATATGACGAAGGTTCAGACAGAGGTTTTTCATGTTCCTGCTAAATTTCACGCCTATACTCCTCTTGCATACAAGATTTATACATAACAGATGGAAAGGGTTCAGGGTATTTTGTATGCTGGTTCTCGAAATCTCATATAGTCACAAGATTTCATTCTAGGTAATAAACACACTCATTTTGTCCTATATCTGTACACATCAGGCATTGAGGAAAATATAGGAGCGTTGATATGCTTAGCAGGGAATTTTGAAATAGAAAACTCATAAAACTAGAGATAACGATTTGAGGCTTTCTGATATAGATGCACATAAACCGGAATACTTGGTATTCGGCTCAGCAACTCCTCCCAATATCGAGTTGGGAGTGTGCTCTAACTATGTAGATACATTTCACCCCACTCCTCATGGATGAATGCCCCCGACTTCTGTTTCCTGTGCGCTCATCTGCACTGCTATACGACCGCATAGTGAGACTGCAGTATATTAGATCTTATGGCCTATCTTTGAGGCGCACACTCGCAGTGTATCGCAAAATAGAATTGGGCACTGCCAGTCCTCAATAGTAGATAGGCCGTAATGTATTTAATATGCGAAGTGCGATATGTATGACTTCATCATCGAGATCTAGCTCGATGATTGGGTTGTCAGCTTGGTGTAACTCTCTTAATGTGACCATTAGAATAACTATTCCCCGAAAAGATGTGATGGGTGCGATGTCATGACGTATCGAATCCGAGATATATAGTTAGGAGGCAGGGGTGAAGAAAGAATAGATATAGGAAGACGCGGAAGCAGACTTGAATACCTAGTGAATTAACCTTTAAAGAAGCTATCTGAATAATGATCCTGAAAATCAGACACCGCCATAGAATCTCGCCCAACGAAAAGTCAATCGACCAATTCCCAAGACCTACATGATGGATTCTGCTGGTGCTAAATCGAATTTGTCCCAGGACATGCAAGAGATAACTCAGGGCAAGGAAGACATTTCCAAACAAGTACAAGGACACAAAGCCAACCTGTCGAATCCGAGTGAGTAGTTCCCCTCTCCCTCGTTTCCCTAATAGGAGCGAAGACCGCATGGTTTAGATGCTGATATCGAATGCTTTCCATGTAAAGATACTAGTCAGAGCTCGAAGGAGCACAGCCGTCAGATAATCGATGAACTCGGTGGCGATAGCGCACATATGGGTGGCGAGGACCAGCCGCGTTCAAGGGCTGCGGCTGAATCTCTAGAAAAGTAGAGTTTACGGGATGTGTGAATAACCATATTGGGTGGTGGTTTGGGGACGGTATCTGCAAAAAGAATATAACGTCATAGCTGGGTTGGGACTGGATAGGTCGTTATTTGATTAAATTGGAAGCAGAGCCCGATAAATTGTCCGTATCTGTCTACCTACCTAGTAAAATAACATAGCGGAATTCTCTGGTCCTGTAGAATCACAAGTTGCGATAAAATACCTAGATGCGTTCACTGAAAGCGCAGCCTATATTTAGCATCCCGACGGATAGGAATAGGGCAGGGGTTTCCAGGGCTATTGCAGTAGAAATTACTAGGTATCTACCTAGATACCTAGTGCGAGTCACTGTGACACTACACTGGGTAGCCCACCTGCCTGTTCCATGTTGGTGAGGTACCATTGTGGTGTACCCTGACCCAACAGCTCCTTCAGCTGAAAACCTGGGTCGTGGGCACATCTGTACGTTCGAAACAGATAACTGCCTCGCCTGCCTACCTATCCAATACTCAAAGATCGCGTTCAGACATACTCGCTCGCCAGACTCTGTTGCGACTCCATGCTTCTGGCCCTCTAATCTACCTACTATTGAGTGGGCATTTGCAAGAGTACCGTTGCATTGGCCACTCTAGACACATGTCCTAAGCCAGATAAAGCAGAGCACATACTTAAACCCAGGTCTGGCACATACTCTACCGGAGCATGATCACGAAATGGGTCTTCAAAGTTCAGCTCGCGCCTCCAATGTCCGCCTCCATCCAATGAAGGTCAAGATGGCGTCTCACCAGTGCAACATGATTGGTGCTCTTCACCCGGCGCGCTCCCTGCCCTGGTGAAAGAGGTTTAGATGGGAATCTGGCCCTCGCTAGTCTCTTGCCTCGGTTCTGCTGCTGTTCATAGTCGAATGTTGGAATTCTAACACTCATCTGGCTCTTCCGCACTAGACCTTACGACCGCCCACACGTGCGAACATAGTCGGTACTTAAGTAGGCCCATAGAGTACATGTACATGAGCATCTTGGCGTTCAACGATCGCAATTCTTGGTGATTAGTGTGCCGTTCACCATCATCGTCCTGTCTCCAGCAGTTTCATATCCATCTACCATCAGAGCACTAGGACAGTTGCATAGCGGCCCTTGGACTGTTGGTATGCCTATTCTCAACCGTAATTCTCTACCCGGGGCTGGCCTCCCACTGGTAAGCCATGCCGTGTGCTGACAAAGTCACGATAGTGTCGGCCACCGTCTCCCGCTAAGGGAATTGGATTTCCCGACTTGGTGCTGTTCTGGTGCCAGCTTCGACTGACTTCGTCAACATCTTGCTTCACGGTAGCGCCCGCATACGAGCACTCCCAACATAGTTTGCGATGATGAGTCTCCCAGAAGGATGGGAGTCTGATTATGATGGCACGCGTTGGCTCTTCCGTTACAAGGCGACAGGGACAGTCCAATACCACTTCCCCCAACCTGGAGATGAGTACGCAGAGTTTCTCCTCGATGCCGGCACAGGGCCCATCCAGCTTAGTCCAGAAGAGCGCCTAGTAATCGAGCAACAGGCCAAGCGACAAAGCATTTCTGGCTGGGACAATGGTGCGAGAAATGGCGTTGCAACAAGTGGGAGCAAAAGAGAGAGAAAAAGGGTTGAGGATGTCGAAGATGAGTTTGGTATGAGTGCGACTGGATATTTTGACCCAACGTATTTCCCGGGGGCCTTTAATAGTATCAGCCCTCTTGGGGAGGATGATCCTGAAGAAACTGCCGAACTTCCTGGAAGCAGCCAACAGATCCGATCCCCAGTTGGATTTGTCGCAGAACTCGCTACACAAGACACAGTTAAATGTGCCGAAGAACTTGCGCCAGTCGAGCTAGATGGAACAACTATAATACCAGCGCCAATTCAGACAAATGCAGGGCAAGAGCTAGCCGAACTTCCCACACATCAGAGCCCTGTAGAGGAGAAGACTCCTGATCCGCACCCCACGCAATCTACGACACAGCTAGTAGATCCGTCTTCGCTAACGTCTGCATCATTCTCTTATTCGGAGTTGAAACCTAACGCGAGACCTAACAATAGTGTTCCACCTCGCGCTTCCTCGATAAGAAGGAAACCAGTCTTGTCAAGCACGGGCTCTACCAGCCCCCAACAGAACAAGTATCAACCATGGAAGCCAACACAAGGTATAGCCGAGCACCCGTCTCAGGGGCGCAGCGAAGCTATTGAAGCCTTGCCTCAAACATCCGTCCTTCAAAATCAGAATAGCGAACTTGGGATTATTGGACGAAAGGATTCTGAATCCGAGTCGTTAGCGCCTGGATGTATCCCCAACTCTTTGATAACGCCCTCGGCCCCTAATAAACCTGCCCCCATTGTGTCATCGATTTCAAACGGCGAGGTGTCGCCTGTACCTACAGTTTTGCAACCAGCTCATGGCTCCACACAGGAATTAGTCTTGCCTGTGAATACCAGCACACAATTTGTCCCTGGGATGCAGCCAAATAGCAACGTGGTAGGTTCGGCTGCGGATCATGTTTTGCCGCACACCCCGTCTGTATTGAAGCCCGGTGGCCTTCAGGCGAGTAACCAAAATGACAACCTTGGGAGAGTTAGTGGAAAACCAGGGCCTATACCAGCACTCTCTTCTAATGCAAGCATTAAAGAGAGTACGTTGCCTCACCCTCAGTCCGAGCACACGGTCCAGATTCCATCCAGTCACTGTGACCAACCAAATGCGAATACCTTTTCAACTATTTCTAATCATGGGGGTCATATCCATGCAGAGGTCTCTTCAAATCCCTCAAAGCCCACCAACCCTATCTCCTCAGGTCCTAGCCGGATAGACTCACAGCCACACATCAATGTTGATGGACAACCTCCTGTGGTTGCGCCATTGAACTTCGTTAAGCGGCATTCTTCCAAGAGTTCGCAAGTATCGTCTATTGCTGAACTACAAGACTCTAACCTGGCATCGGTACCATCTGACGACATTTCTGAAGTGATCTCTATGATTAGCAGCTTGACTCCTCAGCCTACTCCTGCACCAGGAAACAACAACAAGCCAGTGCCTAGTGTGGCAAATGAAGGAGCAGATATCCCCAGCACAGTACCACAAACAGTCAACGAGCAGTCCCCATTAGCGGCAATTCATATACATCAATCTAATGAGCTGACCTGTCCCGCTACCGCCAACCCATCTCAGCCCGCTTCCGTCAACGCAACTGCAGTGACTCAGAACATAGTGGTATCTTCCTCTAGCAATGTCGGAAGCGAAATCACACAAAGTGAACAGAAGATACAGACGGCTCAATACCCGCACCCACCTCTCTCAGGATCGCTCATCCAAAACCAGAGCTTCGGTCTCCCATCACCCCCTCATGTCGGAACTCCAGGTACAAGCTCAATCCCGCTGGGACCGTTGGGGCCTCAAGGAAGCGTTCCAAAGCCTTTTCTCCCACAGACTCTCACCACTCCTATACCCTCGCCTCCGCCTTCTCAAGCAAATGATGTCTCTCACATGAACCAATCATACCAAACAGGAGCACCGAGCAACTATGCGAATAACATAGCCCCACGACCACCGCAAGTTCAACATGCTGGCATATCTGGTTCAAGTACCAATGGGGCTGTCCAAATACCCGCTGGGCACAATAATTCTTTCCCGAGCTCGATGGCTGGACCATCCATCACCGGGCATTCTCAAAATGCTCCTCAGAAACCAACCCTTCACCAGCAGGTGTTGTCTGGGTCATTAAGCCATGAATTTGCCGATCGGCCACCTCTCGGATACCAGGCTCCAAGCACAACGGCAGCACAGATGTCGTCACAGTCACCATACCAGCAACCCTCTCCTGTGACGCATGCCGTTTCACCCGTTCAGAGCCAAGTATCGTCTCCAGCCCAGTCTATCGCATCTCTTCACATCTCCCAGTCTTCTACACCATCAACCACACTCGCTACCATGAATAATACCCAAAATAGCCATACCGGACCGAATATTACCATCAACCAAACAACTTCGAACCCAATCCGACCCTCATCAGTGCCGGCTCATCTTCCCACTCAACAAGTAGGGAATCCAGTGCCAACCTCTGTGGCTGGAATACCGAGTGCACAAACATCCACAGCCGCAAGTCCACCAGCGAAGCCTTATCCAATGCTTCCCGGGCAGGTGACACCTCTCCCTTCGCAAATTGGATCAGCCCCCATTCAACCCTTCGTGCAGCAGCCAGTGAATAACAGTTACGCAAAGCCCGCGTTCAATACACAGCAAGCTATAGTTGGGCAGCAGCCAGCACAGCCAGCGCAACCAGGTGCTCCAGCAGGACATTCTACGCTGCCAGCTCAAATGAATGTAATGACGAACTCGTCCCAGGGACACGTCACACATGGGCCAGCTTCATCTCAGGTTCATGTGCAGCCTCCGCAGCAGCAGTCTCATCCAGGTACCGGAGGACACCAATCGTCCCCTCCCAACCAACAGCAACAGCCACCACAGATGGCCTCGCATCCAACATCAGTAGCGTCTCACCAAGTTTATACCCCGCAGGCGCCAATGCCAACATTGACGGGGAGTCCACAAGTAGTTGGTGGGCAAAACACGTTTCCACCGCCGCCGATAGCGTCAGGTTAGTCTCTAGAGTCTTCTATTTACCCCTTAGGCGGGTTCCGGGCCTCATTGCTCCTGCGTGCTCCCGAGACATGAGCTGGCCCTTGTCTACTTGGCAATTACTGACGCTACCGTGTGTAATAGTAACCTTACCTCAAGGGAAACCACCGAGCTCCTCACAAACGGGCGCTGCTCTCTCGGAGGCAGGTAAGGGAATGAAGAAATGGGCGAAAAAGATGTTTCAGAGTCCTGCCCTTAAACAGACTGGGGTTGCTATTGGCGGTGCTATCTGTAAGTACTACCCAGCGTGTTATTGTCTCTTTTTCTTTTGCTACAGACACGGAGACCCAAAGTCCTAGTAGTTAGTCGAGAGAACTAGCTATGTCAGAGTTTTTAGCCTTGAAAAGGATTCTTAAGAGAAAGAGATTGCTGACAGTTGATATCAAGTGGCCGAGTCTGTTGGAGTCAATGCTGGTGCTGGTGCTCAGCTTGCAAACAATATCTACACAAATGCAACTCGTCCACCTCTAACGCATGCTCAAACGGCACCCCCACAGACCCATGGAGTGCCAGGTGCCATTACTCAGGCTCAACTCGCGCAGATCGGTCAACAACCACCGGGAAAATTACAACCGCAACCTCTACAGCAACATCAATACCTGCATCAACCTCAGGCAGGACAGCCAAAACCACCTCAACCAGGACATCCAAATCAGCCTCAGCTAGGCCACCCTCAACACCTAGGACATCCACACCCGCCCCAGCCAGGACAGATAAAACCAACACTACCAAGTCACCCGCAATCAGGCCATCCTCATCTAGGACAATCTCAGCCTGGACACGCCCAACCTCTACAACAGCCAGCTGGGATCCAAACCCTAGGTCGACCCCCTATTGTTCAAATTCAGAATCCCGCCTTACAAGCTGGCATAGCTGTGAACTTGAATGCTCAAGCTCAGGCGCAAGCTAGTTTCTACCAGCAACCGCAATACCCACCAGTGAATCCAGTCATGGTGAACGGCGTACGACCGGTAGCAAGTTCTTCTAATGACCACATGAGCATTGATCCTATGACGGCTACTGCCGTCGCTACATTGGTTGGTACCGCTGTGGGTACCGCTCTTCGTCCCGATCATCCTCAACCACAAACTGCACATGGTAACACACAGAGCTATGCTCATCAGGATCACGCATCGCAACCCGGCCCAAGTAGTGCTGCGCACAGTGCAGAGACCCACGAACAGGCATATCACTCTACTGCTCCAGCTCCGGCACCCGCATCATATGCGGACAACAGTTATTTGGCTGAAACGGCCTACACAGATAACTCAGCCTATTCCGCGAACAACACGTATGTAGACAATACGGAAGTGAACAACACTATTGTAATCGACAATTCTACAACGATTGTTGCAGACACAACCTACAACAATGCAAACTACTCCGACATGACCTCATTCAGCAATACCGATATCACTACCAGTACAGCTCTCGGTTATGATGTCAACTCTGCCGTCTATACCGATAATAGCACAACGGCGTTTAGTGTGGACGAGAGTTTCACTATCGCCGCGACCAGTGACGTTGCGGTGACCTCTGTTGATTATTCCGGAGATAGCTGGGGAGACTTCTTCTCATAATGAGGCATCAAGTTCAGTCATTACTAAAAGTGGAAAAATATATCAGGCATGGGTTCTAGTCTAAGACTGAGTAATTTTGAAGTAAGGAGGACCATTATTCGGAGTTTTCATAGTAGCACATCATTCCCCGTTTAGGACACGAGTTGTGATGAGCCTTGTGCATTATTTATCGTTGTTTAAGCGCTGGGAGGGAGGATACGCGGGACTTTGGACGATGTGGTATAAATCGTTCTACTGAAACCAAATACTACAATGATTTTTGTATGCTGAGCCACCTAACATCGAGTCTTAGATGGTTCCTGTTAGGCCGTGTTTTCTTACACCGTTATATGAACAACACGAGACTTGATTTAGAGCATGGAATTCCTAGCGCGTTTAGCCGCGGATGAATGTCACCACCCCATCTGGCAATGGCCATGAATATTCTGTGAGAGCTGATACAACGTTACATGCCTCTCCCGTGATTGAGGAAGAGCCTGGGAGGGACATTACAAGTACAGGATACCAAGCATGAGTGCATACCTGTTAGACATGGAAGTGAGCAAAGTAACTATGTACGGGGTAAAGTATACGCCATTGTCAACGGCTGTCAGAAACCCCGTAACTTCGCCACCAGGGCCAGATGATGTAAGACTCGTGTGATTTATGAGCCAAGGACAATACGACTGCCTAGACATATACGTGAAATGAAGTATTGATAAGTATATATTGAATTTGTGGGTTTATGGGTTGAGGGGTAGTGAATATAACCCCAAGCTTGGACTTGACGAGCATAGCGGAGATATAGAGTCTACGAACTCGGAGTAGATACAGAGTAAAATAGAAATAAAATCAAAATACGCCCTAAACAATGTCTTAATGGTGGATTGGGCTATCGATCGCCTATTTTTTGGGATTTGATAGATAATGAATTTAAGCCTATAGGCGATTGTGTAGTTGTTTTTGCGCCGCCGATGCGAAAACCTATGATGCTACGTCTGTGGAGTTCGCGTATCTAAAACAGTAATATTCAGAGCTGGCTGCACCAGGTTCGCCTCATTGCTCGAGTACTGTTTTTCTAAGGTCGTGTTTGCATGTGGAGGTACGTGCATTGATGTGAATTGCTGAATACTGTTTGTCTATCTAAGGGCGATTAAATAAGTAGATACGGCAAGTTGCCATTAATAATTACCTGGGTAGCCACCTAGGGCCAAGTTCGTAATGCTATAATTAGGCCTAGGACGCGCGGAGGTAAGTAAGGGCGGCGGTACGATGGTTAGGCCGTCAGACCAGTCCAGGTAAGGCACGTTGTGATGTGCTGTTTTGTGGCTGGCGATCGAAGTCGGATTAATGCCTTATTGTCCCGTAGGTAAACTGAGCCGCATCGGCGACCAACAACAACAGCTGGCCGCCCTGAAAACTCAGCTGAAATGCCCCAGTAAGCTCTACCTAGACTGACTCACCACTTTACTTCGTATGATACATAGCTTTCCCCGTATCTGCTGACTGCGTTGGGCTCTGCTCTCTTTCTCATGGGCTGTCCAATCATCGTGTTGGTCGTCCGACGTCCTACCGTGTAACAAACGTCTGGATTCGAATGTGGCGGTGAGGATGTCCTAGACTAGGTATGCCTGTTGAGCCAACAGAATCTAGTGTAGGAGAAAGCATGACGATTTGTTGTTCAATTAACCGAGTCGATGGTATTTTTGTCTATGGTGAAAGAGTGAACGCTGTGATACTTGGTTGAGGAGTTAACGACGGGGGGCGCTGGGCAAGCTGCAGTGGTCTTTGCCTATGATTTGGTAATGAATGTAAGTTATTGGATGGATGCAAAGTCAAGTAAAAGCAGAGCAATGCAAAAAGCCATTGGAACCGTTGAATGCAGCCCACCCCTGTCCCCCGCCATGCGCTGTGGTGTCATCCGTGCTCTCGGGAGGACGCGGCACTTGCGGCTGTCGATCACTTCGTATTCTCAATATTTGTTACCTACTCGCCTACTGAATACTCGCGCTTATTCGAGTGACTACTGTAGGTACCTACTGTAAGTATGTAAGCGTGACTGACTGGGAGCTACCTACGTCAACGCTCGCAGCAGCAGTAAGGAGGACGCCGTAGATCCTCTCCCTGCAGTATATGTCTCTTTGTACGTGGTGTGACAGACTCTGACCAGGGCAGTGCCCGAGCTGAGGCTTCTTTGTCGTGTCGTCGTCATAGGTAATAGGTGATAGGCTTGCAGTATAAATAAATCTATTCTCCTAGGTTACTGTCTCGTTCTCAATTGTATCAGTAGCATCATCATCGTATCATATCAACATACACACACTTGCTCATAATCCACCACTAAATACCGCCAATATCGAACCGTCGAGTGCAATATCTATCTACTCTCTCTATAGTCAAAAAGATAATATTCGCTGCCCTCAAAATGGTCTCCGTCAAGTCCCTCACAGCTGCGGCTTTCGCCAGTCTACTACCGCTCGCCTCGGCTGGGCCAATGATTAGCAAAATGACCGCGCCGGCCACAGTGGTGGCCGGTGAGAACATCACAATTACACTGGGCACGTCCATCTATATCCAGAATTGGGAGGACTTCAACATCGCCTGGGGTTTGGCACCCCCCAGGTATGGCGGACAAGGTGAAAATGGCGAGATCTATATCGGTACGCAAATCGGATACACGAACCTATACGGAACCGGTATCGCGAAGCTCAATAGCTTCACTGTCGATGTCGCCATCCCCGAGAACCAGCCGGAAGGGGACTGGCTGCTTGTAGCCGCTGTGCCATATCTCGTCGGCGTAAGCTTTTTTTTTTTTTTTTTTTGCCATGGCCTTTTCCATTTGGTTTCCCCCACTCTAACGCATGATGACACAGGCTTCTGGCTCGACTAATTTGCGTTCTTTCAACTCTACAATTAAGATCACAACCTAAGAGGCTGGATTTCGACAAGAGGTTCCTAAGGCCACGGGACTGCACTTTCCTATTCCAACCCTTAGTAGGTTAATATAGTCTGAGTTGATTGCAAAATGAGTGGCGTTTGTGGGTTTACAACGAAAACGTTCATGTAGCGATGACTGGTATGCAAATGGATGCGCTTGATTTCTAGGTACATAAATAGACAACGCTATCTTAATAGAATTATTTCGCAAGAACCACTCAGCCAGCTAGCATTAATGCATCTTGAATATGCTATAACGCCATGTTTAATCATAATTTGGTCCTGGCATAAGTAGAGCGTATGCACTTCTTGCTCAGAAGGGATCGCGCAATCAGAGGGTTACGTCGAGCTATAACGAAAACTTCGTCATGGTAAAAAAAAAAAGAATTATTTGCCCTTCTTCTCTGTAGTCAAACATCCAATAACTCGGATCTTGGTGATTTCGACTCCACCGAGGATAACACCGTCGAAGGTCATGTTAGCAACTTGCGTGGATAGATTGCATGCAAGTTGCTATCAAGTCCTCCTTGATCGTTTCTAATGTCCTAAAATTTCAACGCCAAGTATCTTGACGCCATGGCATTTAATATCCCCGAAATTGGTCGTTTCGACGTCGACGCCTTTAATCTCAACTCCTTTAGACTCTGGGGCGTACATAGGATTTTTCTCATTAATTCACTACGCCTGCCCCTTTAGATGTTCCCACAACGAGCCTGCCTCTGCTGTTGTCGACTTTGCAACCATTTTCTGTTGGGCGTTAGGATCTCCTAAGAATCCCCTTCAACAGGCTTTTAAGGGCGTCAACCAAGGTGGCGGGCGAGCTTACACCCTCTTGAAAATCGGGTGGATCTTCCCTCCGCTCAGTCCGTTTCTGTTTGCCTACGGAGCTTGTAGATGCTTCAGTTTTAGGATAATCGCCAGTTGATGGAGAGGGGTTAGATTCATCCATGACATCTCGCGAGTTTTGTTCTTCCCTGAAACACAAAGATCGAATAATGGTCTGCCTTATTCCCCGACAGGGACATGAGTGCTGCAAATTGCACAGCTTCGGAGGTCGCGGTCCGTTCCACTAGAGCCCTAACATACGACGGACACCGTCGCGCACTCGCTGCTCATACTCAGCACGGTTTTCTCGCCACATCTTGGCTGCTTCTATGTTGGCTGGGCTCTCGTCATTGGGCTCAGCCAACATGCTCATGACGGAAATTAAGATTTTTTCGACAGATTGGATAGGACTCCATCGTTCGGAGGCGTGCTCATACTGGTTCGGGTCATCACCTGGAGGATGGAGGATCGAAATGCATACGACGCCATTGGTGTATACTATAGCACGATAGTCGTCAGTTGCTGTCCGACATTTTAAGCTGAATCTGGGGGAAATCCGTTACAGAGATGCAAAATAAAAAGACGGAGGAGAAAAAAAGGAGAGGAGAAGACATACCATTGGGGTGAAATATCTCTCCTATAAAAGTCATCTTGGGGGGTGCGAGGGGGTAATCCCGCGGGAACTTCAGCTCGGCAGGGAAGATGCCGCCTTCGAAAGGAGTGCCCTCTGGTCCCTGAATCAGGGCCTCCCACACAAACATATCATCCTCGTTGACAGGACCAGCGGTAATGCCCTCCGGCGGGTTGGTTGAGAGTGCTTTATACTCCCCGAGGAGCCGACGCTGGGCTGTAGCTTGCGACATGATTTGTACGTTGCGGGAAGGGCGGGAAGGGCGGGATATGCCCTCAGAACGAATAGAATGCACAGGTGGACAGTGTGAAAGGCTGACTATAAATAGCGAATTGTATTTCTAAAACTTGCTAGGTTAACTGCTTCTTCAATGGGTGGGAGCCGATACTGGCATAGATGATGGCCCAAAGGGTATGGATGACATTGTTCGGTTTATGTAAATATAGGTACCGGTAGCTAGATGACTTGGAAGGGGCCTACTGAGGTGGGTGAGGTGGGGTAGGAGCCTTGGGAGCACTCTGGTAGTGGAGCTCTACACTACATACCTACCTAGGTAAGTAAGTACAGTACGTAGTAGGTACCTAACGGAGAAGATACCTACCTAGGTAGGTACCATACTTCAGCTGAATGTGACGCCATTTTCTCTCTGTAGCCTCGACTCGAAGCTTTTAGAGCTCCGACTTTTGCTTGCCCAACTGCCAATGATCACCAAGCCCCCCTACAGGTAACATGCCTCCCAGGTTGCCTGCCCAATTGAGGCTGTATGGACACCAGGGAGTTATACACAAGAGATATGCACACCCCCAAAGACAATCGACTTGTTGCTTTTGTTTGTTCTCCGATCCCAGCCGACAGCGGGCTGCGCGATACCCGAAAAGACCGTCACTCGCCCGTTCACGGCGCTGTGGGACAACCATTGCCACAACCCCTATTGACGCACAGCCAGACCCTCGCAAGGAACTCGAGTCGATACTCCTAGACCTGCAGAAGTACGCCGCGAGTCATGTTAACCTCCCCCGTCTCCAGCTCGCCCTCAATGGACTGCGACAGCAGCCGGGGAACGAATCGATACGTGTCGCAATACTTGGTCTGACCGACGGGTCCTCCCCGCCCAACATAGCAAGAGATGTACTGAAACTCTTGCTGGCGGATCCTCTGAAAGACCTCGAGCCTTGGGAGCAGGAGATCGACCAACACGATCTCGTAGAGCCTGTCATAATTCGCATTGGTGCGGAGAATCACGGAACCAAATCGGGCATTTCACTCACTAAGGAAACTCTATTGAGAGAGATTCACGTATCATCCGCCACTTTAAATGGACATAATCTTGAAATTTTGCTTGCGCCTACGAAGCCTTTCTCTCGCGCGGTAGATAACGGCGCATCAGGGGGGCTTGAAGATACGGTGCTGGTTCCAACTGTGGATATCCCGACGTCGAATGATGGACGATATAGCTCTATAGCTACACCTGTTCATAAGGCGTTAGTTGTCGCCGACGGAATTCGTGGTGCAGCATCTATATTGACAATGCCGGCTCCAGAAAACTCCATGTTGCTTGAATACGCCGTCAATATGCCTGAATACAGGCCCACCGAAACAGGGGGGTTGCCAATTATTGCCATTGACGCCAGTATCGCAAATGTTGGATTAAGCTTAGTGCGCAAAAACATTGGCAATGCTATCGAGTATGAACACTTATGGTTTCAGAGCAATATTCCTAAACTGGCGGATTGGTTGAAAAATGATATTCTCGCGGCACCCAACAACGTAACAAAACCACCAGTTCGAGAACATATTGCTTCATTCCTCAGAAAGACGTCAGATTCTATACGAGCAGAGAATAGAGGAACCCTCGAGCTTTCTGCAAATTCTACCAACGCAAGTGAATCTTTACGTAGCATCGAGAAGGGCTTGTCTGAGTGGGCTGAGAGCGCCCACTCTGAGCTACAGGAGCAACTAGATGTTGCCTTTTCCAGCAGACGATGGCGGAAGCTAGGCTGGTGGAAGTTATTCTGGCGCGTGGATGATGTGAATATGCTCACAAGTGAAATTCTGGCCCAGAAATTCCTACCCCAGGCCGAAAGGAGTTCAATCTTCCTAGCTGGTCAGATGAGACAAGCAGGGATCGATTTGTTCAAACGCCCTCAAGTGTCAACTCACTCCTACGTGACAGCCATTACTGACGATAAGCCTGAGAACACAGTCTCAACTTCGCAGGCCGTTGAGGCCTCAAAACAACAAAATATGTGGCCGACGAATATTCCAAAAACCCGTGTGTACTTGCAAACAGAAACAGTGCCGGGTCTACAGGCACTTGCTCAGAAGCTAGTCCTGCAAACTCTCACCACCTCGGGATTAACAACTGCACTGGGCGCCCTAGTATACATTGGCACTCTCACGACGACACTGTATGAGGCGGGTGCTGTTGCCGCACTTGGGATTGTATGGAGTATGAGAAGAATGCAGCAGCAGTGGGAGACAGCTCGGCAGTTTTGGGAGGGTGAAGTTAGAGAAGAAGGTCGAAAAGCAGTGAAGGGTGTTGAAGAAACCATGGCTTCTGCTCTCAACGAAAGCTTGAGCGGGAAGCAACAGAGGGATGCCGGCGATGCACACGAGAACCTGAACAGAGCTAACGATTTGATCATGAGAGCGGGGAAGTTATTAAAGGAGTTAAAGTAGAGCGCCACGCATTACGTACCGTGGCATGTACCTATGTATATAGCAAATGTATTATTACGAAGTGTAAATATACTATGATAGCTATGTTGGTAAAACGTGAAGGTACCTGATAGGGTGAAATAGCTACACAATATGGGTTCAACTTTCATAGCAATCAACAGAACGTGCGTTCCGTAGGTACTTGAAAAACTGTTACTGCCCTGACTTTCGGACACAGGGCGTTTAGACTGGATTTCTTCGCGTTCCTTTCTTTTTCCTCCATCGTCTCAACCTATCAGCTCTCTTCTCTCCAATTCCTGCACAGACGATTCCAAACAACTCCATCCCAACAACAATCGCACCTATATCATCAGTACGTACTTCGCTTTCTGGATTCAGTCTCTGCCCAAGGGTAAGTATAACTTGGGACTCTGAATTGACATGGCTTTTATGATTCCTCTTACATCTGCCCTCCCAACCAAAGCACGAAGTTCTAGCCTTACTTGCGCTTCCCTACCATCTCAACAACCTCGTCTTCCATCAACAACTAGTAGCACTACCTGACTTTGTCACAGCTCACAGTTCAAACCGCAAATTTATCAGCCTCACCAGCTGTGGCATCTGTCATTACAAAAGAAGGTAAACAACTTTTTTCCCTTTTTTGCTCACATTTCCCTCACACGTCACCATTATCCTACTATATTCAACCCTCTTGCGCCGTGCCTGCCGTTTCCTGATCTCATCATCTCCCGCTTTCACACAGATCAGAGAGGCTATCTCCTACTGTGATACACGCATCTCATTCTGAGGGATCAAGCGTCCAACATATTCGTCATACCTTCAGCGCTGCACCAACATTTACCGGCGTTTCTTTCCTCTGCTGTGACAGGCAACTTACATTGTCATCTTCCCACAGCCAACATCGTCATCTACATTGTCTGCTGTACGCAAACACCATGGCTTCTAATAAGGAGGCCACTGACTCCGGCGCGGGCGACTCAAAGTTCACCGCTGTTGATATCAAGTTCTGTACCATAATGTTCAAGCACCTTCCCCGCCAGCTGGAGCTGGATTGGGACGCTTTCGCTAAAGAGATGAAGCTTAAAAACACCAATGTCGCCAAGGTATGTCGCTCTTACTGAGTTTGCGCTCTCTTCTCGGTTCACCAACTCAGTCATTTATTCATGCCTTCATCTTTTTTCTCGGCAGTACACTCACCGGGGTCTCTTCTCCTAGGTCCGCGTTCGTCAGATACGCAAAAAGCTAGGCCTGGACGGCGTTAGCGCCGGTCAGAATGCGAGCCCCGCCAAGCCCAAGCCCAACAATGCGAACACCAAGGTGTCGAAGTCGGGTAAATCGTCCAAGGCGAAGAAGGCGACGAACGCCGTCGAAGAGGCCGCTGATGCTATCAACAATGAGGACATGGATGCCGATGATCAGGATGGCGAGGTCTGAGCTCGGGCAGCAAAAAGCAATTGACGGCGTTATCACATCTCACATCAACTACATGTGTACCCAAGTACATATCTGCATGACCTTCAAGGATGTGGTGCTCCTTGCTGCTCTTGCCCAAAACTCACGATTAAATGGTTTGCACATGATTCGATTTTTTTTTTTCGGTCGGAAGTTACCGGACACTTTGATTTTTTAAGAATAGTTCCATGCGCATGACCAGGCCTCACCTTTGATAGGTAGTATAAGCAGGTTATTCACAACCACGAAGTTGTGGTCAATACAGTTACATCATCCCAATGCCAGCTTTGAATGTCTTATTGTCAAGCTTAAAAAAATGTGAAATGCCATGCTCTGCTCCTTCCAACTTGTAGGAAACTGTTGGCAGGTGCGGTGGGTGTGGCTATATTACCCCTCACAGTGGATTCCTTCAGTGACTAGAACTTCTACTCTACAACATCAATACAACCCTTTGCCAATCCCTTCGCTCAACAGAAACATGAAAACGCCGCTACATATTCCTACATGCTAAGTACAAAAGGAGTTAAGCCCCTCCTATGCTTTGGCATAGATGATAGTACTTACGGTATACCCTCACAACTACATCATCGAGCTCAATAACGGCAACATGGAATCTATCTTAACAGGAGTTGTACTATCTTCCTCAGTATCACAGAAATAAAATGCTGGCTAGGTGGTATTTCCCACTGTGAATACGACCGTCTAATTTATACTTAGTTACTAGCAGAATGGACTATCACTTCTAACATCTTTCGTAATTGTGTTAATGGATAGCGTAACAGACCTCCACTAACGTATTACAACGAGTTTCACTCGGCATATCTCATGCCCTCATCTCTTCAGCTCATCCTCCTGGCCCTTCAAGATCCAAGCCCTATTGGCAGCAGACTTTGCCTCAATCTGCTCTTCTGTCATCTCCTGAATAGATTCATAGGGATGTGTCGAGGGAATATGTCGGCCTTTCTCGACGCTTGGCCGCTTCAAGATCCTCAGAATCCAGTCATTCAGCGCGGGATATTCTTTAGGGTCGACGCCAGAATTTTCTATTAAGCCGTTAGTTATCACTCTGCTCTGGGATTTGATGGCTTTCGAAAACATACTTCCGAGGGCGACCCAGCCCCAGCTAGCAATGTCGGCAATGGTATACTTGTCGCCAGCTAGATAGGGAGACTTCTTTAGAGTCTCGTCCATTATGCGGTATAGACGGCGCACTTCCGCTCTGTATCTATCGATTCCGTACTTGATCTTCTCAGGGGCGTAGCCTATGTCACAGTGAGTATCAAGCTGCAAGACATGTTACTGATCGCAGGGCATACGGTTGAAGTGGTTGAGTTGACCCTGCATCGGCCCAAGACCCCCCATCTGCCACATGAGCTAATACAGAAGTCAGTTTCCGTTTTGAAGGTCATTGGTTGCTACCTCTTACCCAGCTGTTGGTCTCGTAGTACTCTGGCGTTCCAAACGGATAAGACACCTTGTGATCTTTGTCGTATCGATCAACGATGTATTGCATCATAGCACCGCTTTCGAAGACTAAGAATCAGCGTGTTAGCCCAAATCCCCTCTCCGATGATGCGGTGATCATGCATATATCAAGAATGTAGGTATCCTTGAGAAAGGAGGCAACCCCCAACCCTCGCAATCTTCCTTTTGAGCCGCGCAAAACTTAATGAAAAGAGAAAATAACTTTAGACAGTACTCACTTCGGATCTGCTTGCCATCGAGAGTGTCTGTCATAGCCGGAACTCGACCATTGGGATTGATTTCCAAAAACCAAGGCTCCTATGCAAGCATCGTTAGTGCATCTGCCAACCTAATCTGGTCGGTCTGCGTACCTTCTGCTGGTTCTTACTGAACTCGATGGTGGTGTGCTTCACGTAGTCAGCGTCAAGAACTCAAAATAGCTACATATGAAACACAGACCTTGTATTGCAGGTTAAGCTCCTCCAGCAAGATGGAGATTTTGATCCCATTGGGCGTCTGCGCCGTGTAGATGTGGATATCTGTGGGGATAGCCATGGTGATAGACACTTGGGGTTCGTCTGGAAAATTCGATCTAGTACTTGCTGGAGGCTATGATTTCTCTATGGTACGGCCAGAGTAAGGTGTCTCTACTCGCGATGCTAAGGCCTATATATACGCATGGTGACCGCAAGTGCAAGAGCGGAGTCTTCCGCGGAGGGGTCAACTTAGATGGATTTCGTGCTTAGAAATCACGATGCTGTCATAATGTGGGGGACTATACCGCCTCGATTTCTAACTTGGCTTTGTCATAATGATTATAAAACATACAAAAATAGACTAGCTCCTAGAGTGCTCACTCTTCAAGACATGGTATTGCGGTGATGTTGGGTTCAGCTGCATACAAGATATTACAGCCTCGACGGCATATAACCCCACTGCTTCAACACAGGTCCCAGAGTGGGGATATTTCGGCGAAGCACCGTTATGGGAAGATGGACCAGGTCGTTCGATGAAGAATATAACCAGTAAAAGCACGGCGTGTGCTGCTATGGACTCTAAATGTTCTCAAATTACTAACCTTGCTAAGATCTGTAGTCAAATCCGCGGGCTTTCCCCGGACAGCAACTGCACGTGTGATTGCATGCATGACAGACAAGATTTGATATTTGTGCCATCTATGAGATTTTCGTGTTACTATATAGAAACAAGATGCCGCTGGTGTGTTCTAGTGAGGGGAGGGTCATCGGATTATTTTAATGTTATCCCAGGTCTTCAAGTTTCTAGGTACCAGTGTATAGACACGGCAGGTATGCATTTGATGATGGCGATGTACAGGCCTTCGCGTTACCAGCATCGGCAAGTATTATGTCTATCTATACATACACCGCCTTTCCGACGGGATGCTTAACCACCTCCATCAGTTGGGATAGATCGCCCGTTCCAAAGATAAGAGAACAATAACGATGTCGACATGGGACATGTCATGAATAATCCATCAACCTCTAAAACTCATGACGCTGACTTTCCTTTCTGTGAAAATGCTAAGTGAATGATTGCGATTAACTGAGAGTTGGCGTTTCTCCGTTACCTCGTTCTATTGTCTACTTCCTAATCACCTTGTTGCCGTCTTTTGGAAGAACAAACATGCGAATGAATGGATACTACGTCCACAAGCATATATAAACATCTAATGAAGTAGGCTTGCTACAGCAACCACCTCCAATTGTCAATGGCAGCCACATACCCAACTCCCATCTTTGTAATAAACCCGCACACATGCTCTCTTCGACCTTCTTCTCGTCTGCCAACCCTCACCGTATCGCTTGTGATTGAATTCAGTATACTGGTCATCTAACGGCTATGGACTCTACTCCATTTGCTGCAGTGTCCGACTTAGATACTAGCTTGCCAGCGAAGTCACGAGATGAACACCGCATTCCAACCTCAGGCTTCACGTTTTCCATCTCCGATCTCTGGAAGCCTACGAAGGAGCCGATTAGACAATGGATAAACCAACTACCGGTTCACGTACGCCGTGAGGAGCCCCTCGAGCCAGCCCATTACCAAAATCTCAAGCATTCTCTCGTAAGTAGCTACCTAAATAGTTAACTCTCTCACTTCACATTTGTCTCAGCGAGATGTTTTCGCTGGATGGAAGCCAACTAGCCTCTCAGGGTACTGAAGACTTCGATGAAGATTCTAGCCTCGAAGACCACCGCCACAAACGGGCGAGGACAAGCCCAGCAGCAGGGTACCGGAAACCAACGGAATCACGTCGCAGCAGACTCTTTAGCACTGGTCGTGGTCTCGTGAATCGGATTTCCAACGCTTGCCATCGTGTCGTCACGCCATCTCGATATAGCAGCTTATCCAAAAGACCGGATTCACGTATGTCTCGCCTAGGGACGCCGGCACCAGAACCCACTCCCTCGCCAGGAACTCCAAGTTTCATGCTCATTGACCGCCCCAAGATGCGATTCGTGTTTGTGGGAGATGCCGCATGTGGCAAATCCAGTGTCCTTCTGTATGTGGCATTCCTGTTCTGGTAGTTTGCTCAATCCTCCCTTCTCTCTGCGCTGCTAATGTAGGCTTATCAGACGTTTCTATCGCGATACGTTTACTCAGGTACTTCATACCCACGGCTATGAAATGATTATTCCTCCTCCGAATCATGGTTGTGTAATAATTGGTCAAATAGCACTATAGCCCGACGCACTATGAGCTGTTCCACAAAGTGGTGGCAGTCGACGAACAGGATACCGATATAGAGCTATGGGACACTGCCGGCGATATCGCATTGGAGCAGCTTGCGCGCCTCAGCTATCTGGCCTGGGATGCTGTGTTCCTCTGCTTCAGCGTCAACAGCGTACGATCCTTCAACAATGCGCGTACTCAGGTTTGTGCTCTGACGTCTCATTTGCTTCCATATTGCCCGGCGCACTCGCCCAAACTTCCCTTATGACTTACCTGCTAATAATGATGTTGTGAGTCTAGTGGATCACACAGATTCGGCGCTATACTCGCGGCGCTCCCCTTATTTTCGTCGGCACGAAGACGGATCAGCGCGTCGGCGCTAGTCTCTGGGCTCCGCTGTATCCGAACCTTGAGACACGGATCACCGCTACAGAGGTCAGTGCCCTGCTCCTAGTCTTAACATCGGCTGCCGTCACCTCGGCGTATGCGGAGAAATTCTAACGGCCAGGCGAATAGGGAGCTATGACGGCAACGGCAATTGGCGCTACTAGATATGTCGAGTGCTCTGCGAAGACGGGCCAAGGCATCGTCGGCGTCTTTGAGGAGGGCGTGCGAGCGGTCTACGACCGACGCGAGGCGCTAGGAGAGCTAGAGACAAAGAATCCCGATCATCTCTCTGGCTTGGCGGAGTTTCTCTGCTTCAGATAAAAATAGTGACGTGATAGATGCGTTCGTCATGCCTCTACATTTGTGGACTAGCGACATTGAACGGCCGGGCGAGTGTATAATACTGGTGACTGCTTTGGCAGAGAACCAATACGGGCGAGCTATGATGCCATGCTATTGACGTGTAAATGCGATTAGCTTAATCTCAATGTAGGAGAAAGTACCAAAAGTACAAGTCGCTTACGACGGAGAGACTAATATTCAAGAGTTAGAGATATCACTATGGCTAAAAACACCCCTTGACTGTTCGAGAAATCTGTCTACGTGATGGGCCTCACCTTTGGGACTGGACACTGTTACTGTGATACCGAAGACCACAAGGTGAGACAGCACTGTCTGATGGATGGCAGTAATACCGAAAGTGATGATACTATGTGGAAGGTTAGGCACCAGAGCCCAGACCTTATGAAGTCAATACAGTGCCACAGAGTTGTATGAAAGTCTTCTTCACGTCCCGGGGTCAGCCTAAAAACTTCAATGAAAACATTGCAAATTCAAAACGTTTCCGTCGCCTGGAGGCAGTATGGTACTAGGGGCACGGAAGAGTTGCACTGTAGGCATGCCTTGAGGGTAAGTGAGCTCCGAGAGGCCAAAGATAAGAACACTGCCTATGTAACCACTCGCGTCGATGACCTTTATCAGAGATTAAATTGAAGAGAACAGATACTACACTTGATCTAAGCCATTCGGCAAAGGGGAGCTGAAGATACATATGTGTACCTATGTGGGTAGTGGAGTACCTTAATAGGTACCTACAAATAGCAGGCTCCAATACCAAGGTGGTGACTACCGGTAGCACAATGCACCCGGCTAGGGCACTCGATGAGTAATCATTTCTATTGCTGATTTTTGATGATAATTGTAGGTACTCCGTGAAAAATACCTACCAAAAAACCTAAGTACTTGCTTGCTCTTCATTTCTTTTAGAGGGGCGTCAATTGTACATGCGTGTTTCGCCACTATAACCCCGGATTTGAGCATTAGCGTCACGGGTCTACATACCTACCTATACCTACTCATGTACTTAAGCTAACTTGAATGCTTGTGCAGGAATTCTCAAAGCGCAGTATCATAGAGGGAAGGCCAGCAATAACACTGGACTGAGATAGTACGCGCGGGCTATGAGTTTTTTTTTGGGGGCCATAACTAGAATGATATATGATTTGAATACCTAGGCAGACACCTGATCATTTCTCCTTCTCAAACTGCAGTAGGTACGGTATCCTGATAGAAAACATGTGACTGCTGCTAGCATCTTTAGCGCTAAGCTTTCAATGGCTGCACATTGTTGAGAACATGTTGTAAATGGATTGGGGACTCGAGACGATATATAGTTAATTTGCCTGATATTTACATGAATGTTTCAGAAACCAGATATTCCCAAGGTATACATCGAGCTTCATCCTCAATTGCGACGCGTTATCCCGTGCAAACGGTAAGGCCTGCTGGCCGTCACTTGCGTCCTGAGGAAGTTAAAGTGGGGATACCGAGGTTCAACCTCTTTTACAGATTACATACTTCCTTATTTCATCTACATTCCTGGAATTCCCGCCCATTAAATAATTCAGGTGCTTGACAGCCAAAATTTTCATTGAGCTTCTCACTGTCTGTAATCGGCCGTCCGTCTAGATAATCATGGCGCCCACAGAGCTTTTCTCAGTCCCTATCCCCGCGAGGCCGTCATATCCAGGAGGCAGTGTCGTGTGCACAACCCCAGCATCCAACGTCTACCTTCTCACCTTCACTTCGCCAAGCGATAACCGACTAACGCCCGAATTCATTCGTGCGGTTCTCACCGCGCTCGACATAATTGAGTTCGGCTACGAACCAGGCGTAGTAGTCACGACGTCGGGAATCCAGAAGTTTTACTCTAATGGCTTGGACCTCGGCCTCGCTCAGGCCACCCCGGGATTCTGGGAAGACAGCTTATACGCGCTGTTGCGGCGCTTTTTGACGTATCCCATGCCGACGGTGGCGATGATCAACGGTCACGCCTTCGCTGGCGGCATTTTCTGGGCGATGCATCATGACTACCGCGTTTTTACCGGCCGCGGTAAGGGGTTTGCCTGCGTCAATGAGCTCGAGTTCGGCGCACCGCTGCCCCCGGCGCTGTCGGCCATTTTTCGCATCAAGACGACACCTTTGGTGTATCGGTCTGTCGTTCTCGAGGCCAAGCGCTTTGATGCCGAGGCAGCGCTCGCGGCTGGCATTGTGGACGCTGTGGGCGAATTGGATGCTGTGCTGAAACTGATCAACGATCGCGGCCTGGTCGCAAAGGGATCCAAAGGCTCGTATGGGCAGCTGAAGGCGGAGATGTATAAAGAGAGCATTGCGGCTTTGGCGATCATAGGCCCGGGGGGACCCTACCCCGATGAACTACGGAAGATTGCTAAGAAGCAGAAAGCAGAAGGACAGAAGTGGCTCAAGGAGTGGAGGGAGAGTCAGGGTCAGAAGGCAAAGTTGTAAGTACATTATAATGTGCACAGGCTTTGATGTTGCGATACTGTTTCGGCGCTAGGAAATTGCTAAGGAACCTTTCGCCTCGTTTTTTATTCCTTTTCTTTCTCTCATCAAATTGGTGGATCCATTATAACGGTAATGACGACGTTGGTGAGAATGAATATTAATATGCCGATTATGTTCCTTGCAGTTTTTACTCATGTTTGCACTTGGTACATCTCGTTTTTATTAAATTTTCGCCCTGGTGTTTCTGAGTCGTTTAGGCCAAATTCCCATCTTTCCTGGAGACAAGATACCATTCGGATCCAAAGCGTCCTGCTCCAGGTTAGTTCATAAGCTTGGAGCTTTGGGGGCTCACATTTTGCTCACCTTCAATGTTTCGACGAAGCGCCGATAGGCGTGGTTGTTGAAGTCGAATAATTCTGCGTTTTGGTCTGCAAATCCCGATGATCAGTCATCTACCAATCATGATTTCTTCGATGGCCCGACGCAGAAGGGAGGTGGCATTTGCCTACCCATGTGCTTGATATGAGCCCTATACTTCGCAAATCCCCTTCCCGAGCCCTCTTTAAAGAGCTGCTGGAAAATCTTCTCGACGCCCACCCGCTGCTCTGTGCTTGTCTTATCGAAACAGAGCATGCACACGAACACAGCATATCGCTCATGCATGAAGAAATCACACAGGAGGTCGAATCCTTGAGATTCGTAGACTTGCTTTGCGGCTGTAACCCAATCGAGCAGGACCTTGCCCTCGAGCGGCACGATGGGCGAATACGCCCCATGAGCGCCGATAGAGTCTTCTCGGACGTTATAGAAGTTCACCACTACAACCGCTGGATTCAGTAATTACTCTTTCAGGTAAAAGTTTCGGGAGTTCTGCATACTCCCAATACACACTTGTGCCCCTAATAGGTAATGATGGCCTCTGGGAGTAACTAGAACAGGAAGAAAATGACTCCAGTGGTTACATACTCGGTATACTCCACATACTTGGAACACCCACTCTTATTCCGCCGTGAGGCTGAGGAACTGACATGGCCTCGAGAAGCCCGCCGTCTTCTCCACTAAATAGGGACTGTTGCAGTCTCCCCGTCGGCGCCCTTTCGGTCACGACCCGCAGGACTTCGGCATATTGAGCCTGGATTATAGCTGTAGGTCCGTACAGCCCGAACCTGACGCTCCAATTACCAACGTCTAGCTCCTTTTGCATTTCTTTGGTTCGCCAACTCGGGATTGGTCCCTCACCTTTCCACCAGTCTGAACGCTTGCCGAAAAGAGCGGCCCATTCGTTGATGTGAAACACGTAAACCATGGCCGGGAGAGACCCGTTGCGGCGCATCTCGCCGAAGACATCGACAATGGTGGCAACGTCTTCGAACTCGGGCATGTCGAATGTGCACGACATGTAGGATTGCGGCTGTGGTGTTAGGTAAATACCCATCTTGGTCACTATTCCCAAGTTGCTCTGCAGGAAGAGACCGTCGATCGTAGGACCGAAGGTGAGTTTGGTTAGATGTGCCGTGGGCGATGTCGTCATGGCGTATTGGCCTGTACGGACGACATCGCCGTTCGCGAGAACCACTTCCATCCCCGCGATGTTCTCATGATGCACCGCAGTTGGGATAAATCCCATGCCCCTATCAAGCGTCTGTTCGTGTTAACCTCGTTCGGAATAGGACCTGGCATCCACAGCGGAAGCAAGGAACTCACGTTGCCAATAACGCTACCCCATCCCAAGGATGCTACACTAGGCCACAACTTCAATTTCTTCTCCGCACAGAACGTGTAGAGGTCTCCGAATGTTACCCCAGGCTCGACTACGACATATCCGAACTTCTCGTTGACTTCGATGATCTTGTTCATGCGATGAAGATCTAATGCGATGCAACCTGGGGTACGAGGGGCGGGCCCACCATATCTGCGATGCCGTCAGTGGGGAATCTTCTGTGTGATGGGCAGTCAGCAAACGTACCCTAGGTTCTTTCCCCGAGAGAATGTCCAAACTGCAATGCTGTGCTCATTCGCTACTTTTAAAAATCCCCGGAGCTCCTCGGCTGATGAGGGGCTTTTGAGGTCAGCCCGGGCGACGTTGTCAGTTCGCGATATTGTTCATCTTACCAAACAGCAGCGCTCGGTATATTCCTTACTGTCCCTGCCTCCGGAATATCGTAAGGGTCAATGTAGTACTTTAAGTCATTACCCGTGAAAACAGCATCTTTCCCCAAAACCTCGGTGGCTTTCTGAATCGCCTTGGAAAATTCAGCTTCAGAGACACCAGGTGGTAAAACAGTCTCGATTGTTTTCGTTAAAGGTGTCGAGAAGACCTCTTCGTGGGCAGTCTGGTAAGTAGAGTCGGCGTACGCAGGTGGAAGTCCAGGTACTGCAGCCATTTTTGAAAAGCGCAAACTATGTCCACCTCAAGGAGCGAGAAGGAGGTCTGACTTTACATGAATGTTGGTAGGATTATCCGTCGTTCGGCTATATATAGGTAAGCATTTCTCCTCATCGATCTTGACCAACTTGGCGCGCTGATGCGGAGAATGGAACTGGTTTTCCATTTATGCTACCGGCTGCCGGTAATATGGACACTCGCATCGACTACATATGGCTCGGCAGTTATAGTGAATGATACGCTACCACCGTTGCAACCTATGTTGCTTAGAAGAACTTCAAGCCTAAAGTAGATATTCACCCAGGCTGGCAGGTTTTCCCCCTAGGCCCGCACCAGGCAAAACAGCCAAGTGAAGAACAGGGAAGGCTCACATAAGTATAATTTTGAAATTCACCATAAAACTTAGCTCTTAGTCTTTAGCAATCTCGACTTAATATGACATGAATCTAGAATAGAAGGCGCTCAGGCTTTTCGCTTCGTCTTCTATCGCTTGTTATGATAGTACATTTTCTATGGTTGATGGTCTCTTTGAAATCCAATCAGTGGGGGGTTCGTCGAAGGAGCGCTGAACTGGAGGTCTCTAACAGAGTTCCCCGCGAGATTCTCATTCGAAGCTACTGCAATTCAAAGGCTGCTCCATCGCGTGACTGATTGTATATGATTTGTCAGTTTACAATGAAGAATGTTCAGAAATGCTGTTGGGTCTTTGCATATTTGGTGATAGGCCGTCCACTTACAGCCACTTAGAGACATGTATATGACTTAACTAGGCAGGCAGACGAATGGAGGGGCTGTTGTTACTCGCTAAGCATTTTGCAAGAGTTTTATAGTCAATACCTACAGACGTCAAAGACTCTCAAATCCATACAAGTACTCTAGCTAGTTGATACTCTCAACCTGATGTCGGCGCTACTTCGAAGGCTAGTGGTTGGTATCTAGTTGTACGTTATATGTACATCTAGGAGGAGGAATTCAATTGATTATGATTCAGGTACCCCGTGCTGGTGTCATCGCCCGTCAACGAAATTCTTACGTGCAACGCCAACGGGTAGCACATGAAGAAGGGGGTGTTCTTCGCACGCGTCTCGAAGCAGTAATACCATGTTACTGCGTATATGTACTCACCGAGAATCAGATGGGAAGGACGGTGCAACGGTATAAGTAAAAGTGATGACAAGGACTTAGATCGTCTAATAGATGACTCTTTCTGTGGACCAAGGTTTCCCAACGCGGCGTTTGAAGTATTTATTTCAATGCGAATGCGATGGGAGTGTTCGAAGATATTCAGATACATCCGGACAGTTGAGTAAGAAAGGCTGGATCGTAAGTGGTATGACGTGTTGCAGCGGACGTCTTTGCTCACGGGCGTGGCTCTTGGCCGAAAGCTGTTCGCGAATGCTCATTGATAGTGGGGGAAATCGTCAAAGCTTACCTACTTAAGCACCTTGTGACTGGTGAACTACAGCGAACTTGAAACAGATTGCACGCATGGATGGATCCTGGTTCAACAGTTGTTTTTTCATGCTTGGGTAGCGATGCAGGTCGGTTCCGCTCGGATGTCCGCTCCTGTTTCTTGATGGGCCGTACAATGGGGGATATAGTGATATCTGGTTGTCCGTGTTTTTGTGAGAAAGAAGAATGTGGAATATCCAAAACTGCCTACATACCTAGGTACCTAGTAAATGGCGAACAATAGAATAGAATATGGTACCTACCTAGAAGGAGAAATTAAATTAAGGAAGAGACTTGCTGTACAAGATGACCCAAGTTGAATCAGCTGGTTCTACTTCGCGGCCTCTCGTGTGCTATGGTCGAATTAGGTACCGGTACCTTGTGCCAAGCACTCGTTGGCAGTGTTCAATGTCCCACATCGCTCAATCTAAGCAGTAGGTAGGTATTACGCATTGCTTTTCTTCCAGCGGTCAAGAAAAGGAGACGAGTGTTGTCTTTCGGTGATCAAGAATCGCTTGGCAAGCCAAACTGAAACATTTACGTTATCGAGAGAAACCGAAATTTTGCCTCATTGCGGGACAATACAGCAGCGCCACGAGCCTTCTCTTCGGCCCTGTGACTGCATCAGACAGTGTAGATGTTTGGTCACAGAGCAGACCATCATGAGACGACAAAACGGGAGCCGTTCGCCAGAACGAAGCCAACGTGTATAATTATTATTATTATTACTATTACTATTACTACCTAACCACCTAACCTACCTATGACGATGGATTCCATTGTCCCTACGTAGTACCTGGATGTACCTACCCATATCATCATCTACTTATGGAGGCGTTCGTACACTAGAAGAGCCCGGTGCTGGAGCTGGAGGGGGGGCTCTTTATGCCCCCTTTTTGATAGGCCAGGCATCGTCGAGGCATCGTCGGGGTGTGGTTGAGGCACCCCTGCTCGGCAAGGTCCACCCCTCCTACTTTGTCAGGCATTGTTTACGTCTTGGAGTCTTGGATAGCCCACCATTGGTTGCCAGGGGAGCAAACCTGTATCTATTGCCGTGATCTAACCTGAGTGGTGCATGGTCAGCCTCTTAGCAGACTCTAGCCAACCTACTACGTAGTGCAACCCAGAACATGATGATGATGATGATGATGATGATGGCGAGGATGGCATTTCTGGGTATTAGGTACGAAGACAAGAGCGTGCCCTGCCTCGCCTGTCCACCGTCCAGTACTCTATGAGCTTTCTCACATGCAGAAGCTACCTCGCTACCTACACAGTACAGTAGCTCCATACGGAGTAAATAAGGTACCTACGGTAGTAGTAGGAGCAGACTCGGACGGGACGGGCTCGGAGCCAAGTTCGGGTTGATAGGCTGGTGTACATATATGTAGGTAGGTGGGTAGGTGGGTAAGTAAGTAAGTATAGTACGGTACCTACGTAGGTGATGAATGGGATGGGTCTATTTGCGCATCACAGAGCAACAACAAATCATCCATCCCAACCTACCTTTGACCTACCTCCAGTCGCTTGCCCACTCCTGCTTCCCACAAGACGCAAACAAGCCAAATCCCAATCCAATAATCATAAAATAACAACAACACTACCACAAGTACAACAAGTCGACATCATCGTCACCATTGGCACCATTAGCATCATTGTCAACATTGTTCTCGCGTTCGCTAGAAGCTATTGACTCGTTCCCAATTGACATCTACGCCTACCTGTCGACCGATCTCTTGAAGTTGACCCGGAGTTGAGCTGCAGCCCGCGCGCTGAGTTGGTTGCATCCCCCGTCTTGTTCTCAGTGCAAACACGCCGCCAGCAGCTTCATCTATTGGATGGATGGGCGCCGTGGCATTTCAGTCTTGCCAATCCGTGCATTGAAAAGGAAACATACGAGACAAGTCAACCTGCCTGCCTTGAGTATAGATTGACCTATCTAGAATTATGACGCGGCCAAGTGAGCGAGCCCGTTCCCTAGACGTTTACATTCTTTTACATTCTTCTATACCCAAAGAAGCCCATGTCTTGCCACGGGCCTCGTGCAGATCACACCCTTCTTCCATTTAATCTAAGACCCATAGGAATGTTGCAAAAGCTTACATTGATGTCTCGTCTAGATGACAGCCCTGAACTCAGCCGAAGGAGAAACTGACCCTTCGGGGCCCCAATCCTCTCAGTCCGATGTCCCTGTTCAATCTGAGGCCACGAGTACTGATCCAAGCAATACCGTGGACCACAATGATGCGGCAGCCGGCGAAGATGGCACACCCAAGAAAACGACCGCCACAGGGCGTCGTCGAGCCTCGACGATAAAACCACCCCCTACGCTTCTTACCGACTTTCTGCTCGGTCGTCCATCACCTGCCCGCATCGCGGCCGACAAGAAGGCCGCGAAAGAAATGATCCGACAACGACGCATGAGCCTCGAAGCAGTCAAACAGGAGATGCGAGAAGCTGCCGTCCAGCGAGTCCAAGCTCCTGGAGGCGTCCGTGACCGAGTGACGAAATGGCAGAAAGCAAACGCAGAGGTCATGGCTCGGGCCGATCCACTTGCGGCCCCGAGCGAACCCAGTGAAATCAATATACGGGTAGACGAAGAAAGTGTCACCGAGGAGGATCGTGTCAGGATCAAGATGCGCCAAAAGAAGAGGCCGCCGCTCAGTGTGCCATCTCTCACAACAAACACGGAAGGTGACGGATCTAGCAAAGCGGACCAGAAAAAGCCTGTTCCCACGAGCCCGCCTAAGAAGCGCGTCGTGAGTGACACAAACTGGGTCAAAAATCACAAGTCGGAGAGCCCCTCGAAAAACTCTACACCAAAGAAAACCCCACATGAGGGTAGCGGTTCTCCTTTGCCCAAGGATTTTTTGTCGCGATCGAATCCAAACCCACCTGTTTCCCAAAAGATCCAAGAATGGGCTAGCCGAGTGGAGATTCCAGATGAGCCACGCAAACGCCCTCAGGTACCTGTGTCTGTTAGTAGTAGGTCGGTCGGAAGCGGTGATGGAATACGCGTGAAACCTATATCCAGCGACATCCCAAGCGAAAGCGATATCCATAGCGCCAGTATCTCCCAATCCGAGAATTCAAAGACCATTGAAGACGATGGGATCCGCGTCAGACCTCTTCGTCTGAATGAAAAACATGAACAAAAAAGGAAAGTAAACCCCGAAACAAAAACTCTGCCCGATGATGGAATCCGAGTTCGACCTGTTCGCTCAGAATCGAGAGACTCGAGCACTGTGCGAGCAGCTTCAGCACAGACATCAAGGGTGGAAAGCCCCAGTGCAACCAACATCTCTCGCCGTCGATCACGATCTGCTGGGGCAGAAACCACGGAATACTCAGAGTCGGACCAGTCGCAGACGCCAGTAAAATCAAGGAGAACTACCACCAAGAAATCATATGCTGCCCGACCAAGGCGCGCAAAGAGCGTAGCCGAAACTGGAACTACAATGACTGAAGATTTATCTGATAGCGAGTCGTGGTCTAGTGGTTTGGAAGATGAGTCGGACATCCCTTCTAGTATACCCCAAAAGCCCCTCGCCGATATTCCATTCGGATATTCTGCTTTCAGTGAACTAGAGCTCCCTCGGGGCCATGGGCGCCCGATAACGAAACCAAAAGCTAACAGACAATCAAGCTTTAAGGGCGCGACTAACGTTTTCAAGAAAGCTCTAAATGAAGGGAAAAAGATCTTGGCCGAGAAGGTTGATCCGCCCAAACCCGTGATCAACCAGCCGCCAAGCATTGAAAACTGGCTGAAGGATACTGTAGATCCGTTTGTTGATAGTAGGCAACAAGAACGTAGTCGCGAACCCCAAAGGAGGTCAATCGAGAAAGAATGGGCATATGAAAGCAAAGCACGTCGCTCTGCCTCATCCTCACGACCTATATCTGCAGGTCCTGATGAGGATAGTGATAACCACCTTAAGTCAGATGAACCGAAGTCTAGGTCGAAGTCTCCATACGATAGCCCTCGTGACGAACCAACAACTCCTACATCACCAGCGGGGCTTAGAAGAAGCCAAGCCACGAGAACCCCGTCCTCTCCAGGGAAACTTGCTTCAAAACGGGGCTTCAAAGAAAAGATCCGAGACGCATTTCGCGGAGAATCCACCGTCCTTATTCCTAACCAAAAGGAATATCCAAGTTATGATGAGGCTATGGACGATGAGAGTGATCGAACTGTTGAATATCACGAACCGTCCCGGTCTTCTGGGGTAAGGCGAAGCCTAACTCCCTCTGACGAAGACTCCACTATATCAACAGAGTCGCTCAAGCCTAGACCAGCTCCTCTCAACCCGAAACGACGACCACCTACGAATGGTTTCCATGAACTTTCCACCATCATCTCAGACGCAGAGACACTCAGTACGCTAGAGTCAGAATTATCTTCGAAGATCTCTGATACAACGATCACCCACACTACGATGACGAGGAGTACAGGATTAACACGGAGCTCTGCTGTCTCCCGTAAAAGAAGTCAAAAGCCGGCATTGAAGAGACGACTTACCAAACACTCTGACTTAGTTTCAGTGCTCTCATTGCCCGATGATTCCGAGAGTCTAAGTCGAAATCGAAGTCTCCGTTCTGCCCGCAGTGTGAGAAGAGTATCCAATCACCTTCATGACGCCACTGTAGATAACCTTCTACGGGAATTCGCAAGAGATGAGAACTTGTACTCGCGAGAACTCAAAACACTTGTAGATGGTGTTATTCCTGTTCTTCTCTCCCAGTTCGTCGAAGGAAAGCGAGATCAGTCAGGAGATCTCTTCACGTCCCCAAAAGGTGCAAACAAGGATGACCCTCTACCCAAGGCGGTAGTAAGCATGGGCATTGTCCTTGAAAAGCTCAGAAGTCACCATCGACGATGTCCCTTAAGGGACGCACATAGACTGCCACAATGGCTTGAAACTATCACCCCAATATACGGTGATTACCTTGATGTATGGCGTCTCGGATTTCAAGGCATTATCGTCAATTTAGCGCCTGCATCTCCAGATGACGAAGACTCGCTTATAGATGCATTGCCTCGTAATGAGCAAGGTGACATTCTCAATGAACATGGCGATCGTATAGATGTGGCACACCTCTTGAAACGCCCCTTGGTGCGCACAAAATGGATAACCAAATTCATTCAGGTAAGTAACTACCTACATCCATTCGTCATAAATATTGAGGCTAAATGTGGCAGGGATACCGAGCTGTGGCCGGCACACCACAATACGAATCTCTCGCATCAAAGTGGGAGGCACTTCAGGAGAAAGCTCGCAAAAGGCACAAAGAGGAAACAGCACGAATTGTCGATGATGATGCAAGAAAAACTGACACGAGCCGGACCCGTGACCTAAAGACCATGGCAGCCGCCGACAATGTTAGAATTGATCGGTTTCGACAAGTATATGCAAAGGATTTTTTCTCGCTTGATCTTCGACACTCAAGTGGTCAGCGGCTTAACTGTCAAGTTGAACTTGTCTACAGAGACAACCAGCTTTTCAAGTCTGATCCTGGTGATCTTCTTATTAGGGAAGTTGGCAGTGGTGGCCGATCGTGGCTGTTATTTGCCCCTATAACTGGTAATCATGTTTCTGCACGAAAAGGAGACAACAAACACCAGTTAGTTGTCATGATAAGAGGCTACAAGGATGAATACTTTGAGCTTTTGACCTTGGCCACGGATAACGAAGAGCAGGTTCTTGATTGGTTGAAGATTCTGGGTAGCAACCCCATACCACCGGCTATCAAAGAAATCACCGTTCCCGACACAGGGATTTCGGTGTTGTCTCCAAGCTCTGTGAGTTTGGACACACCTGTAGGGGAGAGAAAACGGTATCCCAAGCAATTATATCCCCTGCCAACTAGTACTTCTCCCAACGGTCTCGAGAAGGAACTCAAAACTTCCAAGGACCATCACCAGGCTCATTTTAGTTCACCAACCAGGCCACCTCCTGCTGTTCCATCTCCGGAGAGAGAATCGGCCTGGGAATCCATGAAGTCTCGTCGCTCTGTATCAGATTCTACAGAAAACCAAGAGGAACAATATACCCATACGCACTTAGAAGGCACAGATCCCAATTCCCCGTCTTCCAAGGAACAGATCCCAGATGATGCCCCTTACAGAGAAGATGGTGCACCACCTCCACCGATACATCGAAGTTTAGAGCCAAATAAATCACCAATACTTGCACCCCCTGCAGAGGCATATTCCAGCCTAAAACGCCGAAACTCTTCACCTTTGAAGCACGAGTATTATCCTTCAGACGTATCTTCCGAGAGTTCGTTCTCATCATCAGCATCCGAAGATGAGTATTCATATTCCGACGAGTCTTCAGACGATGAGCTTGAGGATGCAGACATGCCCGACGCTGCACCAGCCATCAGTATAAGACGAGACTCCGACTCCTACACGGAATCTGTTAGTTCCAGAAGCTCGGTAACTCCTACACCTTCTGTCTCGGCCTCGCAAATGGAGACGCCTAAGATAGGAAGCGCACAGCCGGAGTATTTGTTCAAATCTCTCGCGACCATCTCCTACTGGGACAATAAACATGGATGTTGGAAAGATCTGTGGCCTGATATATGCTCCATTGTGACAACGCCAGGCTTGATCGAAGCTTATCCCTTCCAACGAACACATACTTCCTCGGACGATCCTAATCATGACGGAGAACGCCCTCTCATTGCGTTAGATCTCACCCCCTTGGTTATGCTTCGAACCAGTACAGTTCTCGATCTCGAAATAAGGTCTCCGGTCTTGAGCTATGCCCGACTATATCCCAAGGTGAACAAAGTCGAAACTTCTTTCTTCCGTTTCCGAGCCCCGTCACTCCAAGAATGTGAATCCCTATACATGGCGGTCCATCGTGCGCGCTTGGACAACGCAAAGTACAAAGCCCTTGAAGAGGAAACGCGAATTCGGGCCTTTGGACAAGGTCAGAATGTCCAGGACCACGGTGACGGGGGCAGCCAGCGCCGAAGTTGGTTCGGCCGCAAAAACAGTTATCGTGCCTCAGCCCGCGCACCGTCGCAATCCGCAGGCAGCACATCTCCTTCCAGTGTATCAGCCACATCGTTCCTCAAGAAACTCATGGGCGGCGGTGGCCAGTTCAATATTGCCATGTCCTCGGTTCATCGACAATCCCGCTTCGGCAGCGGGGAAAACTCATTATATACATCGTCTTCGGGATCCCCTCGATCTCCATCAGTTAGTGCTGCAAACAGTGGAGCTGTCAACAAAATGAGCCTCACAACCAATAATCTCAAGATCCGACTACATCTTCTCGTGTCAGCTAGTAAATGGGAAGATTATGGAAATTGCTATCTCGAGGTGACACGTCCAGACCAAGGGACACGACAGAACCTGAGAAAATATCAGGGCATGGAGAAGCGGATCATAGTGACGACGATCCCGAAGAAATCTACAGACCCTGCCAAAGTAGTATTGGACATCGTGCTAGGTAGCCGCTGTTTCTCGCGGCTCGGCAGCCGAGGCATTCTGCTTAATGTTTGGGAAGAAGTGCGCGACGAGCGCGGCGAGATGGGTGTAGCCCCGAAGGGAGGAGGAAGTGGTGGTAATGTCAGTAAATGGTGCTTCCAGTGTGCTTCTGTCATGGAGGCAAGTTGGATCTATGGGCTCGTCACGCAAGAAGTTGTTATTGGTTGATTTTTGATACCCCCTTTTCGCTTATTTCTGCCTTCTACTTTTTTCTCTCCTTTTTTCTCTTCTTCTTGATATATAGCGGCATTTGGTAAGGGCGTAAGGACATGGCTTGTACAAAGGGGTTTACTGCCCTGTGTATTTACATAGTTTCTTTTGTTTACTGCAAAGAGCATAGATCATCATGGGACGGCTGAGATATCCTGGGCAAACGGTTGCATTCAAGTGAGCGCTGGGGGTTTCTGGGACAATGGCATAGAGCAGGTGGGATGGGGTTAGGCAGTCTGAAGGTGTGGCCTTTAGCTTATTCGTTTTGACTTTTACTTGCTTTCTCTGCAGGCATGCGGGAATAGCATCAAGATATAAATATAATAATACACAGATGAAGATCTATCGATACCTCTCTAGTTCCCTTACGCACAGCAGTCCCATTTCATCGTGATAGGAACAATAAGTAGGTACCTAGGTAGGCAGCAAAAAACCTGAGAGGTCCGCCTTCTGTCACCATCAAGTCGGGAAGGTACAGACGTGTGGTAGACGAAGTGACAGAGGTACAACATGCTGCAAATGCTCCTGCCCCTGCCCCTGATAATCGCCATTGCTCCTGCCACAGGCACACATCCCCGAAGTACTTGGGTACTGAAGCACTCGCTCATCTCACTCTCTTCTACAAGGGAAGATCCGCAAAGCTACCTAGATACATATGTACATACCTCCTACCATATGTACTTAGGGACCTGGTAGGTAGCCACAGACCAAGGCACTCTCTAGGTCTGAATTCCGTTACCTTCAGCCCCAACACATCCACATTCCCAAGTCTGAGCAGATCACATTCGAATTGACCCTTATCATCGCCAGTCAGCCCATGCAAGCAGTTCAGAGTGTATAGCCTCGACGGTGAGACCGAGATTTTGTAATAAGGCGACGACTGTCATCACTCGGAATTTCTACCAATGTGTCTTCGGTTAGTCATTAGCAGCTCACCCCAAGCCATCGCCTTGCCGTCTCTCGCGACGGCATGAGATTATCACAAAAGCCGACTATACCAAGCTACTACAAGACATACTTCGAGATCACGATCGCGTATCTGGGGGCTGCGAGTGGTATTCGCGAACCGCAGACATTCGGATATTGCCTAGGACTGGACAATTCCATCCTATAGGCCAGTGGCACTGGGTGTGCATTCCCCACATGCAACTTCACACGATACTAGGTATTCGAAGGAAAAGGCTCAAGTTCCACAAGGCTTCGGACCAATCAGCGGCATTTGGCTCTACCTCGGATATCAAAGCTATCCATCGTTTGCGAAGTTTGGTATACCGATGGCATCTAATACATGCCATCTACCACCATGCCACAACTAAAGAAACCCCGTCTTCCAAAAGAACGCCGGCCCAAGCGATTATCACAGAAATTTCTTTTTTTTAAGAGCCTACCGACAGAACTGAGACTCGCTATATGGGAGACCGCCATCTTAGATCATAATGAAGACCGTTTTCTCCCTGTATCCGAAGACACCAAAAGAATCATACCTACCTGGTATCTCGCATGCTCGCCACACTTCTACGTCTCACATGAGAGCCGTGAAGTGGCAAAGCGCCTCTACCCTATCCGGCTTCGTATTTCTGCACCTATAACATCACTAACCACCGACATTTATGGTGATTATGACGATGATGATGATGATGATAAAAGGGAAAAAAGAAAAAAAGACATCGATATTGATGATTCTCGGCCATGGGCTATCTATATCAGCCTCAAGCATGACATTTTCGTGCTTGTCTCTAACAAGCTATCTTATAAAGACTTAGTCGTTCTTCACAACAGCCAGCGTCTGGCAGTTACGCGACGAAGATCAGAAAGTCTAACTACTTTGCAGACCCAGTGTGTGAGACAACTTATGCTGTTGAACATTATTAATAAGTCACAGCTAAAAAACGAATGCGCTCATTTAGGTCACTGCATAGTCACGAGTGCTGATTCAGGCTACAATGGTGAATATAACAGAGATATGTTCTCCGGTGTGGAAAGATGCCTTGCGCTATATCTTGATCCGTACCAAGCACACATAGCATACGTCAGCCTACTTGACCTGCAGAAAGGCATCTTTGGCCGAAATTATGACCACCATGACGATAAAGTCCTACTTCGTAACGAACCCATCAGCAAATTCTGGGAGATGGGCAAGTTTTTGGATTTTCCATGCCGTCGATGAGTCGAGGTCTACCGAATCATTTGTGATTATGAGTCTCAATAAGCACACTATGAACGCAAAACTAGATCTCCGTGTAGAAGCCCATGCAATAGCCTGTCAGTTTACGAATAGCTTGGAAGTATTTCGCACGCAATATGACGGTGTGGGGTGCGGGGGCTGGCCATACAGTAAGGATGGTGTGCTGATGAGTAGCCGTTGTCCGCAGACTCAAGCTATAATTGGAAGATTACACATGCAAGTTTGCCCGGGCTAGGCTGTTGAAAGTACTTGCGAACTTGAAAAGAGATCCAAAATGAAAGATGGAAGTGTATTACCAGACACTCCCGCATCTGTAATGTCTCTTAGTCGATCTACTGTATAGTCCGGCGTGCATGCAACCTTATTTTACAGCTGTGATATTATCTATATTTGTTGTATCCTTGCCTCTTGGAGTTGCACATGCATATTGTATCCGATTGGCTCTAGGCAAGTCCCTAAGATTAATGACGCCCTTCGTCCAACTGTGCGAATATCAACTCAGAGAGCCCATAAGCTAATTATCATTCAAGGTTCTGGTAATAAACTCGTAGTTTACGAGACTTGGAGGCCGCACGATGACGTCCTCCGCGGTTTACAGTATGCTAGAATTGACAGGATGTATGTTATACTTTCATCGCCTGAAGCCGGGGTTAAATATCTTGTGGGGGAGCTGTTGGAGAATGGAGCTCCGCGTACATATGCATGCGTACTTAGAGGGCGGAGTGGAGGGCTGATGATAATTCTTAAGACCTACATACAGCACTGCAGTGGACTAAATACGATATACGATTTGGTAGCAATCTAGTCTTGGCAAGTATTACCAAATAGCATTTAGGTACATAGTGCATCTTTTGCTTTTACACCTTCTCTGCCTTATTCGATGTTAGCTTAATGCTTCTTTCCTATTTCCTATGTTCTATTAAATATAATTATTTACAAGTTAAGCTATGGTTATACCTTAGCTATAATTTAGTTGCACCTCAGTTATAACACTTGTTGCTCAATTCTTAGTTTTGGTACGAGTTAATATTGCAGCAATATCCCTTGACTACTTTAACACACGCAACACCCAGACTCTTAATTGGCAACCTCTTCTTTGATCTAACTCAAATTAATAGAAGGAATAATAACTTGACCTTATTCACCTACTCAGTATTTTCAAGTATCGGTGCAGGTGATCCTACCACGTCTCGTTATCTAGATTATACATGTACTTTACATATACATGTAGGTAATCTCAAGTGCCGAGGCCTTAACGGATTCGAGTTTAGTGTATCGATATCACGGCACGGGGCGGAGTTCGGCAAATGGGACAGGTGCTTACTTACATTACATGGGATCATAGAGAGTGTCTATTCGATAGTTACTATATTACTTACGCTATAATGTTATGCATTACACAGACTCAAGATGATCCCGAATTCCGTATTGTGCACATGTAATGATATCCTTAGCCCCATACCATACTTATAATAATGACTCCCTACATGTACGCAGCAGAACTTCATGGATTAAGTACTGGCCTACACACCTAAAGTTAGTGTGCAGATACCAGCCTGATTATAGCTAGGGTTATGCTAGGTTCAATTCGACCCTGTTCTCGTCCTTTGGTCCTTTGGAGATCGGCAGCGCACACCATGGATGTTGAAACGGCTAGAACGGCTCGGCAGACGCTACCAACGGTCGGCTCACCTACCGATGTCTACGCAACGGATATTGGCGAATATTTTACCAATCCTATCGTTCTGCGTGGCTCAATCTCTGTTGTCTGGCTTTAGGAATGCTGATAATGCATAGCCTAGAATCTTGAAGTCTTGGCTATTTGAAGAATTCCTGTGACATGATTTCTTTCCATCTTGTCAACGAGAAACACGGTTTGCCCCGAACCCGAGCCCGAGCCCGACGTCGGGTCCTCCACGATGGCAATGTTTCCCTAACTCCGGGTGCTCAATATGCGTTTCAGTGGACTGAGGAAAATTCCGCCTGACAATACTTTCTCTTCTACACCTCACCTTCTGCATGTGTTGCGCGGCTTTATATGTACGAGGGGTTCCCTTCTTCATTATCTTCCAAAAGGGAAGAACTAAGGCGTAACAAGGAGACAAAAAAGTCTTTCCAGCGTGTATATGTTGGACATAGGCAGATACTTACCTAGGTAGTGGTCAGTTGTGGACCCGTCATGGATATCTAGATTTACCGGGTTCCTCGCCCAGAGCTGGCCCTACTTAGCGTATGTACTGCATGCCTTGGTTGGGAACTTTTGGCGATGCCCTCGCAGTCATTCCCATGTGCATGGCTAATAAATCACGCCACGCGCGCACCAAGATGCTTGCTGCAGATGACGGCTGTTTGATAAATACTACTATATTATCAGGACCATACTTACTTACGAAGTAATTGTTGTGATCACGCTAGTATGCAGCTGCCATGTCCCAGCCCAGCTGAGCACCAACAACCATGTCTCCAAACTCCCGGATCTGCCCGGACCAGAGCAGTACAATACCGTAATTTATGAAAGGGGGGCATATTGTGCGTATCCCGCAAGTTGCGGAGGATCGGATGGTCAGGCTGCCGATCCATACCATCCCTTAGCTTACCCAACTCCTGCCGCTTCAAGTCAAGCGAGCCGTGGGCGAACAACTCCGCTGCTACCTGGCCACTTAGTAAGTAGACAGATTTCTCCGACTGGGTGAGGGATATGACGAACCGGAACTCCGCCGGCACAAGAATTCTAGATTGTGATATCTAGATTCTCGTCATGAAACACCCATCACTGTTATTCCCATAGCCTCCCACCGCTACCAGGTGTGTTCTCACCCCAAGCGCCCGCGATGTGCATGCGGACTCGGATACTTCGCAAACCCCGGTGGATATGTTTCGTGGAGGGGTGAGCCTGGCCCAAGGTGGCTCAGGCCCGATCTAGTGCCCAATGGCCAAAGTCCGCCGTGGCTACGGATATACTACAGTACGTATGTCCCCATTCTTGACTACACTTTAACCTTAGTGTGTTGGAGACAAGTGACGTCGTGGGTCGTGTCGTGTCGTGTCAACCCAGTCCCCGCCTAGATACACTACCCCTGTATATGTAGGTAGGCACTACTAACAGCAGAACCCTATCCTATAGCTATAATGTCTCGAACGGGATGCATAAGAAGCAACACGCTATATATACTCTACTTCCATCTTCCAAGTTTATCTAGGTGCTTTTCTATTTCCTTGTGAATCAAGAGCACTAGCTCGAGGCCGCAACGACTTATCCGTTCGACCTACTACTGGCTACTGGCACCTTTCTCTCTGACAAAAAGAAGAAGAAGGAGAGGACTTGCAATATGAATATCGTGGTTGACTTTGCCCAAAAGGGGCTTGTTCTTGTAAGCTCGCTTCTCACCCTGCAGTCTTGAATGGGTACAAGCAACGAGACGTTACGGACTCATCTCCTGAGAGTGAGTCAGAGAAGAATATAGAGACTGACAAAACGGAAAGTGGCTTGTATACGCCATCGGACGCATGGTGTACAATGTGTTTTTTCACCCGCTTCGGAAATTCCCCGGCCCCCTTTCTCATCGCTTATCTGTCATTCCCCGGACGATATACATGGTGAATGGCCGTTTGCCTTTCCATATGGACAAGCTACACAAAAAGTACGGCCCGATCGTTCGCATTGGACCCAATGAGCTCGCCTTTTCCAGTCCTCAAGCCTGGCGGGATATTTATGGGCATAAGAAGGCTGGCGAAACTGAGTTCCCGAAATTCGAAGGCACTTATCACCTCTTTCCTCACTTACCAAGATCACTCATCAATGCGACTCGCGGAGAGCACGGCGCGCTGAGACGGCAGCTTTCCCACGGTTTCAGCGATCGATCCATGCGTGAACAGGAACCTATAATCGGCTCCTATGTCGATCTGCTCATGCAGCGTTTGAAGGAAGTCACCAAGGAAAACAAAGTTCAGAATTTACGGGAGTGGTACAACTATGCGACCTTCGATATAATTGGCGATCTTAGTCTCGGCTCAGAAGGCGGCTTTGGTTGTCTACAGCAATCCGAGTACCATCCTTGGGTAAGCCTGATCACGCAGGTAGTTCGGCAAGGTGGTATAATTCAAGGGCTATATCATTTAGGCGTAGCATGGCCGATTGTGTGGGCCAGCAAGCTGGGCCTGCTCGCCGACTCGAAGCACCGCTCAATCGTGTGGGAGAAAGTCGGCCAGCGCATGAAGGGCGGCGAACGACCCGACTTCTTGGAAGGCCTCATTCGTAAAAAGGACGAGCTTAAACTGGACCAGGCAGGCATGTCCATGAACGCCTCGCTATTGATCCTCGCCGGCTCGGAAACCACGGCGACATTATTATCTGGGGCCACGTACTTGCTCACAACCAACCCTAACGTGCTAAAGAAGTTGGAACAAGAAGTTCGATCTACGTTCAAGAGTGACGACGAAATCACGTTACTCAGCGTTAGCAACCTGCCTTATGTAAGTCCGGGATATACCAAAATCTATTGGTTTGAATTTTGGATTCGCCCAAGAACTCTAGTGACAAGAGAAAAGTACTGACCACTTTGACGTAGATGTTGGCCTGCTTAAACGAGTCGCTCCGTCGATACCCACCGGTTGCGGGTGGCTTACCACGACGCGCACCGAAAGGTGGCGCGGTGATCGGAGGCAAATTTATACCCCAAGATGTAAGTTCTTCCCATATGACTACATGTCAATCCGCCGGATGAAATTCGCCAAGTTCGACAGACCCGAATCTCGTACTACCTTGAGCTTAGAGCATTTGCGCCGTTGAATATTGAAGGTGAGCATATGTGATCAAAAGGCTAATTCATAGCGCCCATACTAGACTATCGTATCTATTTTCCAGTGGGCAGTAAATCATGATGAGCACTACTGGACCGCACCTCAAGAGTTTTCGCCTGAACGATGGATGGAGGACCCCAAATTCAAGGACGATCAGCTCGGTGAGTGGCGACTTGCTTCTCTATTCGCGCAGAATATTCCGGGAGCATATTTCGGCCGCTCGAATAGCGCGCCCCTGCAATGCCCAGGGTCATACCGTCTATCTCAAGGAAATGCAAATACTGATGCTTATTTTGCACAGATGCTATGCAGTCATTCAGCGTTGGACCACGGAACTGCATCGGCCGAAAGTAAGCTACAACTATCTTCTCACCATTCCGCTTCATATTCATCTCCTACATGGCCAACATCCAATTGTGCTTCACATACCTAGCTTCATTGTTGATCGCCTAGCGCGCGTTTATCTTCCATGCTAATCCAAAATTCGCCATCTAGTCTTGCTTATGCTGAGATGCGACTGATCCTCGCCAAAATTATCTACAACTTCGATATGAGTCTAGCTGACGACAGCCGTCACTGGCTACGCGGCCAAAGAGCCTATACAATCTGGGACAAACCTCCTCTAAATGTTGTTCTTACGCCCGTGGTACGATAAAGAAACCGAGTATAAGCATGCCAAGCTGACTCAATTTTCATCTGCCGAACCTGCAACGGTCAGCTATGGGCACGAAGGTCGACTGATGCCATTTGAACGCAAAATTTCTGACTGAGCAAACTCAATGCCTCAAGGCCTCCATCAATTTTCCGCTATGTTAAAATGGATAATGAATTAAACAACTCGAAACCGACCTAATCTCTCGCAAGGATATCTTCATATTGTAATAGTTACAAACAGCTCACCTTTTATACAAATTCTTGTATATTGCACAATAACACTGGCAATTCTACTCTTGTCCCACTAGGTTACCAAGAGCTCAGCTTTGATGTTCATACTGGAGTTGTAATTCAACCTCTGTTATCTCACTCTTCACGGGCCCTCTTCAATGTTGCTCATCAATTTAAACTCAAGATTGTTCCCTCGATTGATGAACTTGATCAATGTGAGGAAAACTGATATGTTAGATGACTAGTATGTTTTGAAGTGAATGAGAGTATATGTCGGTCTAAAGCATCCACGCCTAAGAAAATAGATAAGAATCTACACTTTGATAGGAATTTACCAGCAGCTTCAATCACTAGCGGATCTGTTAATCATAGAGAACGGAACGCGATGCATTGGCTGAAATGAATACTAAAGGCCACGCCCCCGAAATTATGAAACTATCGTCGTCGGACTGTGTTGATTGTACAAGATAACCCCGAAATTCCTAGACCCTTTTTACTAACTAACCCATCACTCCATACCAATTTAGTATATACCGAAATCTAGCTGCAACATATTTATATTGGCATTCCTTTGCCGATGAAGATAATTGAAAGAACTGGCATAAGAAAAGGAGGATAGAAATATACTGGGTCCACAACTCTATGATTGAGTAGAAGGGGTGGTTATCTCTTGAAGCTCCTTAATAGAATTACCGCCATCACTATCATTATTGGCAACTTGGGGCTTCGGAGTCCATCGAGGCGCATCGCCAAGCCGATCAGCCGTCAGGCCAGCCATACCAGGGTTCTTCATTCCGGCTTCAAGTTGACGCTGATAAGACACATTCCGGAGGCGGTCGTGCTCCGCCGGTGTGAGACGAAGCTATCACAATGTTAATAAGAATCCTTTAGCACACCAAAAGGGTTTCAAGCCACTTACATAACACTCAGCGGCGAAAACGTGAAGTACTAAGGCTAGCCACCCAGCGGGACCAAATGCAATATTGAAAATGGCACCGGCTTCTATGGCGTTGTCTCCCAGCAAGGTGGCCTTAACTACGGCTTGCTGGTGTATGTTATCACCAGAGAAGAAGGCGGCGCATTCTGGGTAGAACGACATTGTAGCATCTTGACCCCCGAGCGCAAAATTGATCTTGTCGCAGGGCTGGGCAGAGTAGTAGCCACCAATAGAGGAGAGGATCGTAGCACCGATAATCAAAATGATGCGGAGCGTAATGACAACGCCACCCTATCATTCCGATGTCAGGATATTTCGATTCTCAGTCAATCGAACAAGGAAAGAGCACTCACGTAAGCCCAGGCGCGAATCATCCACGCACGGTGCTGTTCGATCTGCAGGCGCTTGACATTGATGATGGCGAGGGTCAGCGAGCCTAGGAACAAGATGGCTAAAGCACCAAGGAGGACCTGCACATCCAACCCGCCGCCTGCCGCATGTCGCCCTATCACGATTGCGGCCGCCGTTCCGATGAAGGAAAGAAGCGTCACAATATAACCATTGATGCGATGTACGAGAATGACCTTGTGTCTAATGATAGGGACGAACTGGAAACATGCGAGCAAGGCACCGGGGACTATGGTAACTAGGTGTAGGATGATGCCGATATGATAGCGCCCCGGTTTGGTGTAATAGAAGCACTCTCCCGGCAAGGCACCGTTCCCGCTTGTTTCGTTTGGGTTACAGAACACACCCCAGAAATCTAAGTATTCGACTGTAGCCCCCACGAGTCAGTTTCTTCATGTTGGGATTGTGACTTGGCCTTGAAACATGGGGCAAAGGAGAAGGAGACGGCTATAGAGTTGATGACTTACGCCGCGCAAGAGAGAATCCGAACAGTGCACCGACGAATATAAACCATAGGATGAAGTTATAACCTTTTGAAAAGCCGATGGGGTTGTAGACTTTTCGAGCACGAGCTACGAAGGCGTTCGCAGGGGGCTTAGTCGAGGTCGCCATCTTGGGGGGAAAGGGGGAGACTGTTCTGGGTTGGAGAAAAGGACCGATGTGAAGATTTTTTAGATGCGATTCAAAGCAGAGTGAAGTCTTGTTGCTCAAGGGTTGTACAAAAGCTTGAGAATGATACGTGGCAGAGTGGAATACCAATGGTTTAAGAATCACAAACTGCCAGTGACTTGTTGATGGCGTTGATGGCGGTTATGATAATGAAAGTGGTCTCGGTTTCACTTTATATATACATAAAATCTCCTATATCATCTACATCTATACACAGACATATACTCATTCATGCTACGCCACATGATGAAACCGAGAGTTGCTTTCCGCATTGATCATTCTACCGTACTTCTCCCGTACAACAGAGAAGCATCATGGATCTCAATGGTTGCTGCCTCGCATCCCAATAGGATCCCAAGAGAGTGCGAATGGCGAGAGCATGGGTCTGTCGTTAGTGTGGAGTTGCCATTCGCTGATATGACACTTTGTAGTTGGGCACAGCCATGCACACGCATCGCCCCACCAAGCGAATGCGAGCGCTGAGAAGGCCAATGAAGCAAGCGGCACCTCTTCTGTCCGTGTCCAGCCCGCCGCCGCGGAGATGGGTGTGGGCGTATTGTATGCGATAATTGTATCATTGCAATGTACAATGATAACCATAGGGCTTGGCTGAACCATCTACGCTTCGCATTCGATTGTGAATGAATGATATGATGATGTCTACCTAGCTAATACCTACATCCCCAACACAATCATCCATCTCGGCACCGCCCGTGAAAAGTGTAAGGAAAAAACAAAAAAAAACCCCTTTGCATAGAATTAAACCAATATTTCGCCTCTCAAATATATCTAACCCCGACACGATGACTAGCACAAGGGCAAAATAAAAAACATCTCTCGCATTACAAGCGAAGATGACGATAATAGAGGCTTGCCGAGACCTGACCAGGCGAAGTGGATGCGCTGCTCGCATTCACAACAGGTAAAAAGTGGAGAAAACATCTTACATAGTAAGGTTCTTTCTTCCGCGGGCTAACATTTACTCCTTTCTCCTTTTCTAGCCACCTCCAGCTCACCCCCAGAAATTGCCCAGTCAGAAGAACGGCGTTCCATGTTCACTCGCATTCACGACATACGGAAGTCCAGTGAGGCTGAGCTCTCGTCGGGATTTTCCTGGATGTTTAGATCAATTTTATTTTTACTCAAGATTGCTGTACAAATCTCCGCTACAAGTATACTAGTTAACTAGAATGGTCATCTCCGGTGGGAACAAAATGGCAATAGTCTCGCAGACGAAGACGGGTGCTGTAATACAATATCGAATGTTCACACCGGGTATGCATGCGGCTACCCTTGGAGACCAGGGACACCACAGAGCAAGTACTCCATGACTTTATACCAAGCTACGTTGGTGATGCAAACCATTATCTATGCAGCAACAGGATTCTAGAACTAAGTCATCAGGGAATTCCACACCACTTTATAATTTAAACCCCTCTCCCCCCCTTTGAAACTGTACACGTGCTGGCCTTTAAGTACAAGCAAGCTCTACGGTTTTTAAATCAGTTGTGGTAACTTCCCTTGAGGCCAAATATATAAGTGAAGCTGTAACCTGGTCTTCGCGCGACAACAAGCTTCCATATACCATCCTCTCCATACCTGGCAAATACTATGTCCCCAAAAAGTCAGGCATGATTCTATCATGCGTGAGTTTCCACGTGCAGCTGAATTCAAGGGATATTATCGTGGTTTAAATCAGTCTGCTCATGTTGATGTTTGTCTTAATTTAGCGCTCGACCATGAGGCCCTGCATCCACCTGTCATATCTACGGATGGGAGGTAGCATGAGGGACTCCAGGGCTAATCAGGGCGACCCTGGAAGACAGGCCAACAATTATCCCTTGCTTTATTTCGGGGTGACTCAAACTAAAGTGCCGTATATCGACCCGATCTTGCCTCATGTCTCGTTATTTCGACCCGACGTTCTCCTCCCATAGTTCTACCAACTGTCGTTGTTCGTCTACGACTAATAGCAACTTCTGACTTTCGACACACCCGACGAGATTTGAGAATGACCCGAGTGGACGGCAAGGACCGAGATTATGTCAAAGCGGTTGACGACGCCTTGAATTCGTTTGAAATTCTCGACAACATCCTGCAAGGAATCGACAATGGACCAGATTATCGGCAGACCATTCAGCAGATAATATACAATTTACAAAACATAAAGTCTGATCGCCGCCTACGCACACGCAGTGTTATGGACAACATCACTAGAGTTACATATACTGCCCGTGAAATGTTCCCATATTTACGCCATTATCGTAGCAACCGATTGAAAGCTTGCATAGGCTTTTCCAAAAAGCAGAGAACGTGCAACGATCTCTTCAGACAGCTCCAAGAACGAGAATACATGCTAGAAACAAGCCTTAATTCACTACAACCTCTTGTATACGACCCATCCAATCCCACAAACGTAAGCTATCTCCAAGTGAATATTCGCAAATCGAGTACATGCCAAATCAATGGAGACAAAACTAAGGCTCAGTTTATCATTGTAGATTTGACTGCCCACAGTGGCGTGCATAGGGAAACACGCCCAAGTGACTCCTACACGCGGTGTGAGGAGGACGATCCATGGTCTAACAACTTGAATACCAATCACCCATCTCTGGGGTGGTGACGACGATCAGGTTATTCCCCGACATTGGAAGAAGGAATATGTCTAGGTATATATCTTAAGCTTTTTCGTTTATCGGAGGGCTCGCAAAGGTACAGTTGCACCAGATCTCACTGTAATGACACTGTTGAATCATAAGAGTACAACTGACGTGGTCCATTTCGCAAAATAATATGCATAATTTCAATCATAGATGAGAGATGATGGAGTTATAATTAAGAGGCAATCCACGCTAATCCACTGCGTCTCTCTCCCCACTACACGGTACTAGCTGCCACTTCCTCTCTGTAGTAGGAATATCTATTCAAATGATCGGATTAGGTTGATTCGATGTTTCACCTGCGTGGGGAGCTTGAGTGGAACTTCCAGCATGATCTTGCATGAACTTGACTAACAGATTCGACAGGGGAAAGAAATATTACGTGAATATCCGACAACAACACACAACATCACATGGGTTAACCAATTTGAAGTGCCTTTGGCATCGTGTAAACGGGAATATCGGACGCTTAGTCGAGTATGCCAGGATTTGGCGTAGTTGAACGTTGGTAATCATTGGGAAGGACTACGAACGCTTAGAAGCGAGCAGAGGGTTTTGCTATTTCACTTGACTTTCTTACTGTGAGAATTACTGTGCGTTGTTGCTGTATATTCTAAACTGAAGGCATTGTGACCATCATACACAGTATTTCCTCACAATCAATCACTGTGATTGGTGCAATTCTTTTTCCATAAGCCATCCTAATCTATTATTTCACTCTGCGTATTGTTCGATTCTTCAGTGATATGCTACCTCTTTGCGAGTAATAACTGATGCACCGGGTACTTAGCTATTACTTGGTAGTACTGCTATATAAGCCAACACCCTCGAATAAAGCCTAAGCTGTCTTTCGCGTTTGTGTGTATGTTTGTAAATCTACATTGTATAAATGTATTCATGTCAACATTGAAAGAATAACTGGCTATTCTTACCCATTTATCAGAGTGAATGTAGCCGGTACTATGGGTTACAAGCAATACATTCACTCTATTTTCGGCCTTCAGACCCCATTCACAAACAGGTATTGTAACATGAGGAAACAATAGACTACCATTGCTGCACAATGCGCATCTACCACGTATCCGAGGATCATTTACTAGATACACAAAATGTCTTCTTTAGGCTCCTCGAAGACGGGGACAGCAATATTACTGATCTACGCACTTTTTGATATTTTACTTATCTCCTGTGAAAACACTACTTCTTGAATTCTACAGAAATTCATACCGAACCACGAACAAAAGCATTACAGTCAATAGACACCAGACTTGCGACATGGCAGAGTTTACCAATGCTTTACGGAAGTACAATAATTCCTTCTTCCGGATCCATCCGTCCTCCATCCCAGCAATAGTCTGCGTTTTCATAGGTGGAAGCCGACTGTACGCTCAGGCACAGCTTCAGAGTGATTTTGACGGTATCATAGTTCTCAACTCAAAGCACGAAATATACACGCTCGTTGCCGATAAACGAAACCGTCAATGCCTCTGGAACCTGATTGGTGTGGAAACCGAAGACAAAGTCGATCTCTGCATCCCCTCGCCATCTTCGCCCCTATATAATGAGTTTGACGCCATTCGACTATCAGGGCTTGACGAAAATAATATTAAGAGGACAATCACACTCCTAAGTTTGGAATATTTTACTCACCGCAAGAGTTCTCTTAATATTCTATCTGGCGAAGACCAACGTGTATACACTGATATCTCGGGATCAGCACAGCTATGTCAGGCGACGACCCTTGAAAATGCCGTTATCTTACACGATCAATGGCTTTATGCATCGGAAACAGTGGTCAGATTCGGTATCACCACAGACCTACTCTTGTCGGCTGCTTGTGTTTACGGCGAGCGACCTTACGGCCAAGGCATCAAATGCATCCTTGCGAAGCATTACACTTCCGTGGCAGAGGCTTCTCCACGTGCCAAACTGTTTGCTAAGTCACCCTTCTTCGTTCCTTCGTATACGAAATGGCTTGATCAAGAGCTGGCTGGAATCCTTCCTACGAACTTCACTCCGAGCTTCAACCGTATCGAAGTAAGATGTGATCACGCATTATTGTTTGGTGACACAGCTCAGACACGTGCTAATGTTGGCCTGTGTGATTCTACACGGGCTACTCAACTCTCTTTGGAGGCCGTGAGGTTGTTCAACAAAGGGGAATTTTCCCGGCGAGATGGTCACCAGCCTCAGTTTTCGAACAATTCATCATCTTACATCGCCAGAACGAAATCCATCGACACTACCTTTGATATATTTGTGAAGCAAACCCCATTTGCGCAAGATGAACTAAGAGGGGCAGTGATCGGGGCAGAATACTTCCCACGCATGTCGATTCCCTGGATGGTAAGCTCAGGTGAGCTCCTGTATCGATTCTTTCCGGGGAGAACGGCGTCAGATGTAAGGCTATCATATATTCGCGGGGAGCGAAAAGATAGCTTTCTGTTGGAAAAGTTGCTATACACTGAGCTCGTAAAGGCTGGAGATACGCTTCGCGCGTATAGAAGCTCCTTATCTCTCGAAAGGAACTCTTCTGCGCATCGCTGCAATATCCAGCGATTTTTCCACGATCGGTTGCTGGAAAATCGACGTGTTCAAGCGCACTACGGGCATGGCATATCTTTAGGAGGGCAAACAATCTCACTCGACAGACTACTGTCGTTACGCTGGCTGATAAACGGTACATCCTACCCTTCTTTGTACCAAGCCTACAAAGAGGCGAGTGACATTATCTCTCCTACGTCAGCACAGATCCTTTCTTGTCCGACTGTTTTCGGATTAGGAGACGCCCATGGTGGAAATGTAATGATCGACGAGTCGAGTGCCAAGGGTGGTGGCACGAGCGATATCCTCTTCATCGATTACGAAGTAGCGGGCTTTCACCCCGTAATGCTCGATCTGGCGAAGCCACTCTACAATGATCTTTTCTACGAGATGCTCTACCGACGGCTTACACCGAGTTGCATTAGTCTGGGCTTGAAATATACCCTGGATATGGAAACCAACACAGTCATCCTTGATATGAAGCCTCAGATCGACAACTTGACACAAGCATTGCTCGATATCAAGCTGCGGTACCTAATAAAGCCGCTCTGCGACGAACTTCGATTCCTAGGGGCGAATCTAGAAGACCATGTCCCGCTCCTCTCGACCTCGCTGTTCCTATGCGCGACGTTAGGATTAAGTCTCGCAAGTAACGAAGAGGCATTCTTGGCCAACTTCGCCAGTGGCCTTATGATACAGGGCGCCCAAACTTGGCGAGAGTTGGCATTACGACTAGAGGAACTGGGCTTCCAGGCTCGAGTCATGGCAGAGCTATGATGGTTTTTTAATCCGTATATAGACAATCAATCGGTATACTGCAGCAATCATCCTTAGCTGGTGATTTTAGGAAAAGTGTATTAGCACATGACATGGTCAGCTTAGATTGGCTCACACTGTTGATTGATTGATTAATTGATTGCATCTTGGTTTTGAGCTGTGGTGTACTTAGGTCATTATGTACTTAGATAGACATCTACCTATATATACATAAACGATATACAGCATAGAAACAGCCTAACGGGGCCCGATTGCTATAAATATGCGATAAAGAAATTGGACTGTGCACTACAGGTGGACCCCGCGTCACGTCTTCAGATGATGGACCACTAGGTACCACTACTCTCGACGCGTTTTATGCATTTGTTCTGTTTTCATTATACTGTGTACACTACACACACTTGTGCTGTGTACTGTGGAGGTACCTACAGTAGGTACCGTACTTACATAGACCAGCAGAGTGGGTAGGTAGCACAAAGCCGCTGGCAGCTTCCCCCGTTCCTTTCGCACCTTTCAGAGCTCTCCAGCTGCAGCTCCAGCATCTATCATCAATTTCAATTGTCATCATAACACGGCCTTGGAACAAAGCAGGCCACTCTACCCAAACATAGAGTATCCCATCCTATCCAACTGCAGCTCTTAACAATACCGCCCGCAGCAAATTTAGCGGCGGGAGCTTTCGCTCGCGCCGTCTTTGTCTTGGAACGCCCTCGAGTGTGCCCTCGAGCATCCTAGACCGCGACAAGCCTTTCCATTCCTTCCCTCTCCTTATCCCTGCCCGTTCGCATTTTCGCGCCGCTGCGACCATTGGCCACTTGCGATCCTTCCTACCTCACCATCCACGATTACATCGTCAAGAATAATCCACTGCCATGGCCGACTACGCCTCTCTCAAGGTTCCAGAGCTCAAGAAGCTTCTCCAGGAAAAGCAGCTTCCCGTGACTGGTAACAAGGCCGATCTGATCGCGCGCTTGCAGGAGCATGACAAGGCCAAGGAGGAGCCAAAGTCCACCGCTGCACCGGGTATGTGCGATTCCAGCCTCTTGCTTGTGTTTCACTTCTTTCCTCATGTCTTCTTTTATCTACTTTTGCATTCGCTCATGCCAGTCGAACTCGGTTGTCTACTTGCGCGAAACACTCCTCGCTTCTATAATGTAATAAATCTTTTTAACACTTAAAGCACAGTGTCTGCTGAAGAAGACCCCATCGACTACTCGGACGACGATGTCCTAGCATCCAAGCCCGGGCCTACCAAGGAGTCTGCGCCTGCAGCAGAGAAGGTAGCCGAGTCAACAGCTCCCGTGACAGGATCCTCAGCTGAATCCTCAGCACCCAGCGGCGAGGACAAGCCTGCCGAGACAACCGCAGATGAGACGAAGCCTGTCGAGACCGAGGCGGAGGCGGACTCAAAGGCGGCGCCCAAGGCAGACTTCTCAGCACATCTACCCGCCAGCACTGCAGATGACGAGGCTCGCAAGCGTGCAGAGCGCGCCAAGCGTTTTGGCATCGTGGAAGACGCAGACGAAGAGGCCAAGAAAAAGGCCGAGCGCGCCAAACGGTTCGGCGTCGATCAGAGCACTATAGTCTCAGGCCTTGATTCAGCTCTGCCCGAGAAGCGGGAGCGGGAGCGGAAGCGCGGCCGTGAGGGTGCCTCAAATGCAAATGCAGACGGCGAGCGCGGCGCCAAGCGACAACAGAACGCACCGGGTAGGCATCGGGGTGGTAGAGATAACCGGAACCGAGGCGGACGCCGGGGTGATCGCGATTCGTCACGGAAAGATGGTGGTGGGAAGCCCAGGGGTGTTCTCAATGATCCCGCCGAGCGCGCAAAGGCGGAAGCAAGAGCCAAGCGCTTCGGCGGTCAATGAAGCAGTGTCTATCTTAGACTTAATAGAATGCGTCAATGCGGACTCGCGACTGATGGTTCAAGTTGCTGCTAAGGATCTGCCATATACGGACACTAGTAGTGAATCTTGGAGTCGCCTTACCAAATCGGATCTGATATGAGGCGCGACCACTACTGTACACTATCATATTACCTGCGTTATGCTACGTTTCGTTTCATCTAATATCGGAGTTTGTGGTATATCTTACTCTTCGCATCTCTCTGGATTAACCTCTTTTTTTCCTTGGAACCTTTCGGACAGCTTGATGCTAGCCCTACTTATGAGAAACTGGATGGGAGATTTCGGCGCTGGATCGGTAAAGGATGCGACTTGGTATGCAAAGACACCTATTCAAAGGACGATAGACTGTATAACGTGGTACGATATGGACTGGGAGACGAGGACGCCGGTGTGCATTCTGAGAGGAGAGGCTCTTTAAGAATTGTGAATCACCCAATAAGCTTGAAAGGAGCAGCAGTAAAATGCCAGAAATCAAGTCCCGCATCCTTGTAGCAAGATGGTTAGAACTCTATCGTGATTACATCTCCTCAGAAGACGGCGTATCTGATTGACAATAAGTTTTCACGCCAACCTCTACCATGTCATCATGCATTACATATTCGACGACTTTGAGACGGAAAGGGAATATCTCGTGGTAGCGAATATAACTGCGGTTTCATGAGCATGGCTCGCTCGATATTACATATATTTGCTCATGTATGTAATTTTAACAACTTTCCATATCCACAGTACCGAAAATAGTCCGACGTCCCCCTCTTAAGTTATGAAGCTATAAGAGTTTCAAGAGCGTCACATGATCTAGGAATTACTACTGCCACACATCGCTCTCAAGCTTTCATCCATAAAATACATACGGTATAAGAGCCTGTAGTAAGTGATCCTCACGTACAATTTCTCAGATTAGCGATCAACGTAGGCACTTAGGTGTGCATGCTTGATACAAATATAACAAGTATGTAAGCCAATTTAAATCAACCTTTGAATCATGGTGTTTTTTATATGAAGAAAACTCCGCTGCTACCTACTTTGCCCGCGTACGTAGATAAATACAATGCATTGACATAATAAAAAAAGCTTTCACCGGGGTATCGCCAGCAATGCACCAACAGTTCTACTACCTTCTGTCCCGAACATTTCCCTCTCGCTATCAGGATCTTGTCTTTCTCTATTCTGTATCGTTTAGAAGGCCCCCCCTTCAATCCCTCATCCAGTACACCGAAATAATAAATAAGATTATGTGAGAATATGTATGTGTGCAGACGACATCTCTAGGTGAGAAGCGCAGGCAATACAGAAGAGAAGTAAGTAAAAGGGAACATAAGATGTTCATGCAGATAGTATGGCGTTGGTTGAAGGGAGGACATCGATACAGGAATACATGGCATTTCTATGGTAGGAGGACAGGACAGGCAGGCCAAGGCAGGACGAAGTAGAGTGATGGCGACAGTGGCGACGGGAGGCTAGGGAAACGAACACAATATATTGAAGAGAGGAAGAAAACTAGCTAAGCTCGTGGGCGGTAAGGGCTACCGAGAACCCACTTACCCGCTCGCTTTTTTCCTGTGTGATTGTGTTGTCTTCTCGCCTCCCTACTTCTCTTTAGTCCTGCCATCATCCCAGATCCTGAGCCACTGCCTGTCTGACGTCGTCCCATCTCGTCCGCTTGCCTTTCCGCGCCAATACCATGTAAAATTAAAGGGTTTTTTTTTTGTTGTTTTCTTTAGCTTAGCTGCATAACCATGGGACCGGCAACAGTGATGTCGTCTGTCAAGACGCCGGTGGCAGGGGCGTCACTTGTAAGGGTGACGTATACGACGCCAGCTAGGTTAGGCGCCAATGCGCAGCCGTTTGTGGCATCGAATGGCGTGAAGGCAGTACCACCGGGAGCGGCCGAGTTCGTGAAACCACAGAATGATGCACCTGATGCGGCGTCGCTCTGGACCTGGATGTTGGTGCCGGCGACGAGGTTCATGACACCGGCGACGGGTGCAGGGCTCGTCATGGTGAGTGCGGGGAAAGCCTGGAGGGCGAGGTTGGAACCACCTGGACATGACGTGATGAAGGGTGCGGCGAGCGAGAAGATAGCCTTGGGCCCCAAGGGCGTGTCGAGAGGGGAAGGAGATACGGCGACACCCGAAGCACTGCGGATGAAAGACTGGTGCCGCGCTTCGACTGTTAGGATCGAGGCGGCGGTGCTGAGGATCCCGCCGTCCGATACCAGTGGCGCGGCCCCTAGATAGGCAGAGATTCCGACGCTCTCGAGGATTGCAGCCGTGGCAACCATACCCGCGGCGTCTGTGAAGCCGAAGTTGTACTCACATGGCTGGACAGGTTGGACGCCGGCCTGGGCGATTGCGCTCTGTAGCAGCACGACGTGGGATTCCTCACTTGATCCAATACCCTTGAGGTCGGCCAATTGAGCTTCATTCAGACCGAGAGCAACAAACTGATCATCAGGAAACTGGGCGAACCCTTGCTGGTAAAAAGTGTTCTCCAGCCACTCCAGAGTCAAAGCACTGCACGATATAGATGTAAGCCGCTGACTCGACGAAATGAACTGAAAAATTCTTGAGCTCAACTTACAATTGGAGGATATCGACATCTGTTAAGCCGGCGGCGGCAGCGGCTGCGTTCTGTCGCTTTGCTAGCTCGTAGATGCTGTTTTGTCTTGTCGAGAGCTTGGTTTGAGCTGGAAGAGCTGACACGGCTGCGACCAATCCGGCCACAACCCCCGTAGTCTTGATAATAGAAGGCATCTTGTTCGTTATAAATCTTTTCGGTGACGATACTTGGAATTAACTCTTCTGCTTCTTTCTATTTTCCTTTCCCGAATCGTTCTTTAGTGACAGTGCGGTTGGATTATATAAGAGGACGATGATAGTATTCGAGGATGAAATGAAAGCAAGAACCAGGCTAGCTGTCCTATATGGTATATTCAAAAGAAAATACGAAGTGCAAATGTTCCACGTGGGTATTAGAAGAATTAGACGTTATAAAGGAAAGTCGAAGTCGTTGATCCCAGGGAAGCAGACCAGCGCTTATGGAGTAATATTGATGCACACGAACGACGAGATAGGGATAGAGAAGAGAATAGTAGCAGGAACATGATGGCGAGGTGGGAAACATGGCCACATTAAATTCAACCTGCCATGTGCCGTGGAACAAGGGCACGGGGCAGCAAGGAACCAAACGCCATGGGTGATGCTTCACGGAAAGAGAGCAGGCCGGGCATGGATGCGATGATCCCTCGCAGCGCAGTGGATGATTTGCGGCTCCTCAACAAGTCGTTGCTGGCTGCTACCGGCATCGTCTAATCCCTATCGAGGATTCGCTTCCGAACACGGATAGCGGATGGCAGCAAGGGTAGGCAGAAGGGGGAAGAGATGGGACGGAGATTGCTGGAAAGCTGACATGCAGCTCTAGGGATGTGAGGGATCTGTGCCGAGAGTCGAATCACAGATGCTGGCGGCGCGGCAGGAAACGAAACAAAACCAGACGCCCCAATGACAGCAGGCTCCTCTGCCTCCTCGGCCTCGCGGCTGAAGAACTGGGTTGAGATACTGGTAGAGTTGGCGAGAGCCACGAGATGCCAGGGTAGCACCAGGGGCGTCTTGGCGGCCAGGGGGAGTCGGGGGGAGTCGAGGGGGAGTTGAAGTGATCGCGGGGATGGCTAGGGGCAGGGGCTGCCGCTGACGGATCATCTGCCTCAGATGCTGTTTCACGGGGCTCGAGCCGACTAGAACTCATCTGCTTTCTGCACGGGCAAGCGCCAACCCGAACACTGAAACTATCTCAACGTGTTTTTCTCCAATGCCGCATCATGGATCTGTTCGTACTTGTGCCACCAAAAGCCAAAAGCCGATGAGACCCTTGGGGCAGCATTCAGAATCTGTTTCTGAAGTAGCCTTGCTGTAAGTCCTAGTGGAGCGCAGCCGTGATCTGGCAAATTGGCACTGCTTGTTCCGATGCACGATACTTCGGCAGTCAAATATGATGGATCTCTTTATAGTTCTTGACCTATTGAGGAATACAACACAGCCCGAGGGTCGACTCGTTGGTTACATGACATATTACCTGCGCACAGAACTAGAAATCCCCATATCGACTAAACACACCTACATGTGTTCTTCAAGGGCGTCTGAGATGCGAGAGCGTATCGAGAATACTCCACACTGTTAGATTACCTCATATGTAGTAGTAAACGAATGATACCCGGGGAAAAAGTAGGCGCTTCGTTGCCAAAGTCCGGCGTTATGTAGGTACTGCATAAAGTCGCAAAGTACCTCCTTATCATCATTGAAGGATGAAGTACCGGTAAGGTGAAAATGGAATGAAATGCGAAACAGAAACCGGAAAACGGGTCTCTCTAATCGGGTTACCCGTGCGGATCCACGGGTCTTGGACTCGCCGGCCCGCCCCATACATACTTACATAAGTAGACAGCTAGGCATGTACTTACTGCCAAATGGAGGCTCACGATGCATGACAGAACAAACAACAGGACCGCATAAACGACCAGCTTCTCACCTCTAAATTGACCAAACGTTGAGGCCGGCTGCTTATATGCTACAACGACAGGTAGGTTACTCATGGCTGCCGCCCCAAGTTTCCTCTCCCTATATAGCCAGCCGAAGATACCTACTATTAGAAGGGTTCCGAGGCACAGAGCCCCAAGTTCATTTAGGCCATTACATGGAAGGACACGCGCACCAGCAACGGAAATGGTGATCCGCGGCAATGTCAATGCATCTTGACAACCAGAGAGCTCTCTGTTATAAACTAGATAGCCGAGCTTGTGCCAACAGCCAATCTCACTCGACCGGGGTACATACTAGGTAGCTACCTACATACAGAGTAGGTAGCAGTACCAGTATGTGTCTCGATCGACTCAACCGCAGGTCCCATGAGACGCTGGAACATGTTCATTGGACGCAACGACTTGAGGATGGTAAGGATTGTATCATCCTAAAAGCTTGTTTCGTCGGCGCTTGGCATATTCGAACAGTACCACAGAGATGCATAGGTAAGAAATCTCGCCACGTCAGGATGATTTTAAGAGACGTATTCTGCCTAATATTATTCTCAGACACCCTGAGAAGCGGTATAAACTGTCGCCGGCCGTCCATATTCCGGTCCCGAGCGCCACGGCCTCATCGTATCATGTCGTAGATAAGCTAACCATAATGACTCCTGACATACTTGTTCTATTCGATCCCACGATAACAACTTTTTGATGGCGCATATAATCGATACTCTTGGGGGAGTCTCAACATAATTTTCCATACAATCTACCTTTGTTCTATGCCCCTCTGGCATTCATACAGCAAATCCAGACGATGCCATACCCATCCATTCCATCGGCTCTAAAATCCCACGATACTTAAGCTATTTCCAGCTCGGCGACCAGACACTCAGAGAGCGTAAGGGTTAAGCGAGCGAATTGTCAAGCAACTACGACGGGGTTTAGTTAGCTGATACTGCCCTCGCATAAAAGTGTTAGAAGTCGGCTCAAGGCACTTACGGTGGACTCTTGGTCAAATCAGTCTTAAGAATAATGGGGACTCTTGTCATCTCCGTCACGTCCTGAATATACTCTCCATCCTCTTCTCTAAGCGAGAATAGCTTGAGATACTTTTCTTTGTTCGTCAAACGGGTCTCGACAGCCTCAGCGATGGGAACTTTCGAGTCTGACCTTGTGCGATGCAAAACACCTGCAGCATTCGAAGAGGATCGATTCGGCGACCCTGGGACGCTTTGAGTAGGACGTTCAGCAAGCGATGCGCCAGCCATAGCCTCAGTGGCGTCGGACATATTATCTTCGTCATCGTCAAACAACGCATCCACATCATCGGTGGACATGGTACCAGTTTCTGTCTGCTTTCGAGTAGCCTCCTCGCGTTCCTTCTTAACGCGCTCAGCCTCTTCGGCTTGTCGTGCAGCAGCTATTGCATTTGAAACCCGCTGTGAGGCGGCTGCCTTGGGTCTCTCATCTTCAGGTACGTACGCCGAACTCGGCACGCCTTTCTCCCAGTACAACTCTAGAACCCTCTTCTCTTTTCTGAACTCCGCTTTCTTCAATGGCAACTGGTCACAGTGCACTCGTTTTTCGAAGCCCCACTCAGGAATCAAGACATCAAAGGCAGATTCGTAAACACAAAGAACGATACCTTCGCTGATCAAGTCACCATTGGCTTCTTGTCGCTTTCTATCCATAATTCGGCAGGACTCGATATGGATGCTCTGTTCTTGAGCATTTTGGGCCGACTCTTTCTTGATATTACATGCTTCGATTGTCTTTACTAACGTCTCCAGGTCATCATTATACTCAACCGCGCCCTCGGACAACACCGCTTCTAACTGGCGATGCACGACAATGTCCGCGTATCGCCGAGTTGGGCTCGTAAAATGAGTGTAGAGGGGTAGGTTCAGGGCATAATGAGGCCGCAATTGCTGATTTATCTTGCCGGATATGAAGTACTTCGCGTGGTGCATGCTCTTAATAAGCAGAGTCTCCATGCCTTTGCGAATGTCGTTGTCATCTACTTTGAAGAGACTATTTTGTAGAGTCCCACTGCTAGTCGTGTCTATGTCATATCCTAACGCTCTCATGCGCTCAACGAATGTTTGTAGGCGCCGGGTATTAGGAGGTCCTTGACGTCGGAGAAGTGCTTTCTCGGGAAGTTCTGTAGCAAGTTTTTGAGCAACATACGCATTAGCCTTATGCAAAAGCTCCTCGACGAGTTCAGTTCCCGTCGTGGTATCAAATATGTTATGTCGGATAGGAATGTTCTCATCGTCGAGATGGTGAAGCAAACGCAGCGGCGCAGTGACCTCGTCGTTTGAACCAAGCCGCGCTTCTTGAAATTTCTGCGCAATAGCCTAAGAGAAAAAAAGAGTGAGCTAAACCACTGCGCGCAGGAAATGGGGAAGCTTACATTGAGAATTTGTATGTCTTTGATCTGAGCCCACTCGTGTTGAAAATTGGCACCACCCGCCAGGGCTTCATCAATATCCTTCAGTGATAGCTTTGCCTTGCTTTTGATGATACTTTTCCCAATCCAAGAGTCGCCTTCGGCAACGGCCCCTGTATGAGGGTTGACCTTAAAAACGACACTGACTGTGAGCCTGTCTTGCCCAGGAGTGAGTGTGCAAACTTCAGATGCGATCTTTGGAGGAAGTAAAGCACAAGTGCGGTTCACTAAATGAACAGCAGTTCCGCGCTTTTTTGCTTCGCGATCAACTAGTGAGTTCGGCTTTACGAAATGAGTGACATCAGGCACGTGAATACCAATCTCAATTTTGCCGTCGGAAAGGGTCTTGACGTGAACTGCATCACCAAGTTCACCTGTGCCAGCCAAATCAAAGGTCAAGGTCGTCTCATCACGGAAATCTCGGCGATCCTTCATGGCGGTCTCATCCTCTTTAGAGAGAGACCAATCCTGAAGACCGACACTTCTAAGAACAGCTTCAGCGAATTCATCAGAAGAGAAATTGTTGTCACGAAGAAGAGCATCCGTCTCGACCTTCAAATCACCCATCTTACCAAGCTGCTCCACAAGTGTGCCAAAAGGATGCAATGATGTGATCGGCCACCGTTTGATACACGCAACGAAGATTCGATCAGCATAATCTTGATGTTTCTCGACAAAATCGCGCGGCGCCTGTTCCGTAGGGATTGCAATCAGTGGTACACGCTTGTCGGTAGGCTTGAACCAGACAATCTTTGGCTTATCTGGCTGTCGATGGTCATGGGATCGGCCGCCATCCCTAGCAGCTCGCTCAGCTTCTTGCTTCTCTTTGGTGGCTTGGCTGCTTGGTCGCAGAAGGCCAAGGGTACCCGAAAACATCTGGCCGGCAACTCGTTCGATGACGGCTACGATGTGGCCCGCATAAAGAGGCTTCGATTCATCGTTGATTTCCTCCTCCTCGACAAGTAAAAGACTCTGGCCTTCCACTTCCACATCATCATTCTTTTTCTGGGTTGGTCTCTGGCGGAGACTACCTCTTCTACGGATGCCTCCGTCACCTGTAGCGGAATCTTCACCATTGGTAGCACTGGAAGGGCCGTTTCCGTTGGTCGAGCCCGTTCTGGTGTCGGTGATATCCTTTCTCTTCTTCTTCTCCTCCTTCTCGCGCTTTTGCCCCCAAACTTCGTCAACATCGAGAAGTTCGACGGCAACCAAATCTCCTTCTAACGCTCGGTTGCGATCTTTGCTTCCGCAAATGAAAATATCGGCATCTAGGAGGCCGTCCGAAGTAGATACGTATGCATCGCTGCGATTTTTCTTATTTACACGGAGAATTCCGGAAACGAGCTGGCCATCGCCGAGTAACGCAGGCAAGGTAGCTTGCGGTAAGTAAGGAGTGAATAGCGTTTTTCTCTGTTGCTGCTGAGATTGCTGGCCTCCAAGCTGAGGGGCATGCTGGCTAGCTTGAAGACCAACCATGTGCTGGCCATTCATCTGAGCAGCTTGTAAAGCTTGGAGTTGGTTTATCTGCATGGGATTGAGTTGTTGGCCGCCATACATCGGCATCATGGGGATTTGTCCAGGCATTGGCATAAGTTGAGGTTGGCCGGGATACTGAAAAGTGCCAATCGAAGAGATAGACTGATTAATTGAGGAACGAGAACGATGACCAGGCTGAAAACCCTGCTGACCTTGGTTGGATTGATCCTGACCTTGGTTATGGTTGCGCCAATTGCCCTCAAAATTGCGCGAGGATGACCGGGTGTGGCCGCCTGCGCCCCCTCCACGACGTGGAAAATCACCACTCTCGCCAGGCACACCGCTGCGCGCACCTCCACGACCATGTGTGGCCATGCTCTGGCTACGCCCGTGCCCGCCCCGTCCACCGCGAGTAGATGACCCCTGTGCTATAGGAGTGTCCGCAACGCTGCTCTTAGGCTCTTCAGCTGGCGCGCTTGCATCAGTCCCGGGCCCGGGGAATTGGAAATTCGTAGTAGTGCGCTTCTGCTGAGCGAGTTCAGCAGCCTTTTTAGCATCGGCTAGGGCCAAAGAATGCCTTCGCTGATGACCTCCGCCACTACCGCCGCCACCGCCCCGTCCACCTCGTGGCGCATTCTCACGACTCTGGCCCGACATATTCTCAAAATGTCCAAACGCGGAACCGGATGCTCCAGAGGATGGTGCCGGGGGCGGGCCCATATTCATGTTAGGCAGGGCAGACTGGTTTCGACGATGTGACATGGGCTGGTTCGGCGCTGTCATTTGAATATTCTGTTGCTGTGGAAGCTGCTGGTTGGGAAATTGAAAAGCCGGTTGTGGCGACATGTTGGGCATGTTAGGTTGCAAAGGATTGAACTGGCCGCCGGCACCAAGCTGGCCGGGTGCCATCATTCCCATGTTCATATATTGTTGATGAGTTGCTTGGATCTGCTGTTGCTGTTGTTGTAACAATTCAATTTGCTGCTGGATGGCGAGTTGCTCCACTGATAGAACACATGGCACAGTCAGTCAATTGTAAGAAGTATGATAACGACAGTAGGAGAGCTGTTTGAGCAAAGCAAGAAAAGAAGAAAAGAGAGCTTACTTCCAGGATTGGAGAACATGCTCATCAGAGGGGTTAACTCTGAAGGGCTTCGACGATGGGCGATGTGAAGACGGCGTCCAGTCGGCCCAGGGACGCCTCCAGTTGGGGGAGGCTGCTGCTGCTGGTCCATCGTGGGCGCTGGTTGCACGTCTGGGTGCGGCAGGCCGTGACGTGGCTCGGTAGCGATATCCTAAGGAGGTGGATAGGTGGGCTAGACCAAGATGAACGGATGTTGTCTAGAGGTCAGGTAGGCAATGATGGTAACGTAATGGCAACGCGACGTCTTTCTAGTAGGGGGTCGAGCAAGATCGCCTCTTGATCGCCAAAAGGCTCTTTGATGAGCGGTGACGATGATGACGACTGATTGCGTGGGCGCCTTGTGCGACTGGAAAAGGAGGTAGCTAAATGAGAGGATGAACGTAGATGGTCTCGGTGATTGAGAGTGATGCGAAAATTCCCCAGGAAGGAGTGTGCAAACAAACCCAAGAGAGTGGTGTGTCGATGGAACAAGATGAAGAGGACAGTGGGGTGTAGTTGGGAAAAGAGGGAAAGGAGAGATGTTGTTGATAGGATCGGATGGGGATGATGAAGTCGGGAGCTCAGAGGAGGCTTGGGAGATAAATGTCCTTTCTCCGGGCAGGTATGTGTAGGTTAGTAGGTTTAGGTAGGTAGGTACCTAGGTAGGTACCTGTAGGCTGTAGGTAGGCATCTGCTAGGTAACCTTGCCTCCCGGGGCCGGGGGGTACCTCGCAGTACTTGTGCGGGCCGGCCACCGCCCGCCATGACACAGCTACTCCACGGCCGTTGCGCAGTGCTCGCCTGGCCCGCCCAAGTACCGCGTAGGTAGAGGGGCTGTCAGCTTGGTGAGGTCAGGGTGGGGCCCACAGCTTTTTGGGGGAGGGTGAGGGGGTGGGCGAGCCGCTAACTTGGTGGAAGGGAGGGTAAGAGCCATACCACTTACTGAGACTACCTAGAGCCCAAAGATCCAGACCCCAGCCCAGCTTCGACCAGATAGATACCGGTATCTACCTACTACCTACATATGTACCTTAGGTAGGTAGGTAGGTAGGTAGGTTTATGTATTATTATGTAGATTCAAGGGCATATGTGCCTCTTAACCTGTCTACTACTTACCTACGTAGACAACAGTTCAACGTTGCTTATTCCAGTTTCGAGAAACAAGAGGAAAAAAGAGGAGAGGCAAGGCCATGAGTGGAGCCAAAATGAGGCACCAAAGCCGGGAGCTAGAGTAGGTGAGGTAAGTATCTGGTTTCTTCAGGTCGGAGCTGAACAAGGACAAATCCAAAATTCACATGATAGGCACACGATTACCTTGTAGACCGCAAGCAAATGATTGGCATAAGTTTAGAAATAGTTACTACCAACATATGTAGGCATCTATGCCTACCTCTATGTCTAAAATGTTAGCTAGATTCTGCTATTCCCGTTGCTGAATCAAGAAATCGGCCAAGATGTTTCCAGGTAACCTCCTGCATCAGCCATGGTCATTCAAGAAACCTAGGATATCTAGGTATCTTCATAGGGCTTGTCTGGAGATTGTACAACAAGTAGAGCTTGCTTCCTTTTGCGTCATGCGAAAGATGCATCAAACGACACAAAGATACTTGTTAAGATAGAATCCAGCTAGCATTTTAGATAGAACAGTTTGGCCGATTCCTTGATTCAGCAACGGGAATGGCATAAATAAGTAGGTACATAGTGAAGTGATACTGGTCGTATATCAGCCTCGTCATATTACCTACTCCTACAGTAAGTCTGCATGCACCTCGCTTATTCACTTCTCGACTGGTTTCCTGAGGTCGGTCATTCGTCACCATTCCATACAAACATCCAAATATTCTAGCAGGTGGGTAGGTTTTAGCAAGCACCCACTCTCGCCGCTCTGAGGCACCGGGACCTCGAATGTCGGCGTCCGAGCGTCCTTTCGCGGCCCCATTATTTAAACGTCGAGCTGTCAAACTCATACGCAAGCTCCAGCAGAGCTCCATATAAAAGGTAGTAGGTTCGTTGGCTTGTCTGGGGAAAACAACTGGGTCGGTCAGTGACGATCGAGACATCTTGGTTTCAAAGGGAGGTTGTCAGCTCGAGCTCCTCGAGTCAGGTCGCCGCTATCCACGAGGCTAGACTGATCGGCCAGGATTGTGTATGTAGATTTAGCTCTATTTATTCGATGGCGGAGCGAACGCCGAAGCTAAGGCTGTGTCTATCCATTATACAATTTGACCCTATTTCCCAGTGCATATTCCAAAGTACACGCATCTGCTCCCTTCAAGTTCTAAAACTTACTCGACAAACGACCCCTCTCACTGCACCCGCACTCATCCCAACCTTATTGCTAAGCTGTAAACTTGCAATATACTTAGTCAAACCGCAAAAAGCAAGGCATCAAGACTTATCATCGAGTCTAACTCGATCTCAACAGCTTGTCTCTCACTACCCTCGGCTCAATCATCACCGCCGTTCCATTAGCGTCAAGATGAACCACAAAGTCATCAACGCTGATCTCACCGTACATGATGGAATCAATTGCACTCCATTGATGCGCACCCGGATCTAAAATCCGGTGCGGTCTACTCGAGTTCTCGCTTGTCGTGTCGAAAACCACCCGATATGCTACACGTTGATTTCGTTGGGTATTGTGATTTGTAGGAGACTTGTCCTGGAGGTTCGTAGCCTGAAGTCGCGCAGAATCGATAGGGGGGCTCCCAGTCTGGGCTGCGTAAGCCTGTGCGACTGCTTTGATATCGACGCCTCGATTGATCCATCGGTCCAAGTACAAGCCAACCGGATCAGCGGCAACTGTAATACTTGAGTTCGTCCCGGGCTGCGATGATTCGTACGTGCCACAGAGGTTACTACATGCCTCACCTATGGTAATATCCTCGAGCACTGGGATGAGAGACTGGAGTACCATCTCAGTTGCGACGGTAATAACTGACCCGCTACTAGATCCGGCTACCAGGATAGACAGGGTAACACCATAGTCTGGCAAGAGCATGAGCTGCGAGTCGTATTGGCCAACGCTGCCCGATTTGGTGTAGAGATCTACAACCCGGCCGTTGGTGATACGACTTCGTGTCCGCCATATCTCCCAAGGGCTGCCGACAGAGAAGAATGGGCTGGACGTGTGGGACGTGGGCTTCATCCATTTTCTAGTGTCCAATGCCGAAAGCTGCTTGTTCTTTAGGATGCTGCGCCCAAGCCTGGCGAGATTATCTGACGACGAGTAAATACCTGCCGTTCTGCAAGTTGTTTCAAACATTAGTTAGATTCGTATATTCAACTGTACTTGCTTATCCTAGCAAGGCAGCGTTACGATCACATTACTCACGGTGTTTCCTCGCCATAATCCACGTAAAAGCCACTTTCATTTCCAGGAGGAATCACCCAAGAGCCTTTTTTCGGAGGATACGTCGCCGAGGTATCACCTAGTTTAAGGGGCCCGATGACGTTGGACTGTAGAAGGGAATCATATGGTGCATCACCTACGGCCTCGAGCACATATCCGATCAATCTGAATCCCATATTAGAATAAACCGGAGTTGTCCATGGTGCGAAGACAGGATCTCGTTTAAGGGCCCCTTGAAAATACTCTACTGCTAGTATTAGTGTCGCCTGTCGTGGTAGATGAAGACCAGCTATCCCATACCTTGACGATTGCAAGGAGGCAAACTCGTATTGCCAGCACAGTGTGGTATATCTTCAGGAGATAACTCTGGTAGACCAGTCTTCATCCAAGGAAACCCCTGGCTTGCAAGGTCTCCATTCGCATCTAATCAGAAGGATTAGCATCAATGTATCAAAGTTAGCTCAAGGAAAAGCTAAGTTACGCTATTCGAAACATGTAGATATTACTCACAGTCTCTCCCAATTCCAGACAAGTGAGATGTTAAACTGCCCACCGTTACCTTGTCCCAAGCCACATTCTCAAGTGAGGATTCATAGTCTAGTGCTGCCGCTCGCCGTAGCTCAGGTACATATTGCGTGACAGCATGGTTCCAGATGTCCCACCCGTATCCGACCAGGAGCGTGTATGTAGTCAAGACTTTAGAGATGCTCCCTATACGGTAGACGGAGTTCTTGGTGATGTGGCTAGTACTACCAGCCGATTGATTGAGGAGTGGTGAGGCGTAGTGGAAATCGAAGAAAGGGGCGTCCTCGTCATCCTGGGTTGATACTATGGTAATGGAGATGGACGAGGTGTTCGCTTCGAAATCACCAAAATTGCTATGACCGGATTGTAGAACTTGTTTCAGTGTTTCTGTGAGGTTTGAGCTCCAAGTATCTATGCTACCGGATGTTAGCAATTCGGTAGGAGGAGAATACACTGGACCGAGAAGGAAGGATGTCATGATCTGGAAGTGGGGAGTTGAAAGGATTCATATGAGCCGTTTCATGAAGTTTTGGGTTTTTGTCTCTATTGCGAGTTCCCTAGACTGGGAACCATCGAGCATTTAAGTACTTTCAGGCATGACGGTCAAGGATTGTTTAGCACCGCGGTAGAATCCATCGGGACTTTCACGGGACATCTGCGGAGGTTAACACGCTATATTACACAACCACCGAAATCTCAAAAGTACTAATTACTGTCCATCGTATGAGCTGAGCAATGTTTTCAAGGCTCGCATTTGCCCGTCTAATCGCTCGATTGAAGGCCCCGTATCTCTATGCGAGGAAGCTGTAGCTGCAATATCCCGCAATATGGTTAATGAATCCACCCAACTTTTCACCCGCGCCGTTGATAGTTCCTCCCTGATCCTATTGCCCGCTGCGACACCTGACTCTGCTAATTCAATATTTGAGATCCTCAGATGTGGTATATGAAGCATTTCTTTCGCATTTCGGTATATCCAATTATGGGCGCCTACACAAATATTGCGTATAACTCCTGGCGAAAGATCCGGCATAGTTGTAGGTGTAGGCCACATCTCGCTAGCCGTCAGTTTTCTAATCCACTCAGCCACATTGACTATCTTATGGGCTGCTTGTAGAGTCTCATATTTTACCCGCGTATCGACAATATGTCCCATCGAAGACCCAGACTCCTCGATCCCGTATTGTGAGACACAAGCGTCTAATTGCATATAACAATTCAGTTCCAGCAATGTCACAATGGCTGCATGGATGGGAGAAACGTGCTGTGTCCCTATATCAAGTGGTAGTGATACTTCTTCCAGCGAGGTCGTATTGCCGTAACATTGTATGTTAAAGGCTGGCGGACAGTCGTTCGTACGCCACTCTCTAAGTTGATTATACAGGCTCTCTATATCCTGATGTCTTGCGCCTTTTCGCTTCGCTACAGGGCTGCAGAGTATTTTTGTCATTTTTCGGGCAACGACTGCCAAGCCAAGGATAGCGTCGAAGTAGCTCTGATTTTCATGTCCGTGGAGCTGCTCTGAGAGATAGACATCTTCGTCTTGGATCCGGGAATTCATTCTGATATCAAGGCTATGGAAAGCATCCCACCCGTAAACATACCAGAACAAAAGTGCTTGACGCTGTGCGGCCCTGGAAAGGGTAGTAGATAATCCTGCTTCTGTTGTCATACAGGTATCAATGCGATACTGTAACGTCATCACGACAAGTGAATCGTGTGTTAGCAGCAAGCTTTCCAGCTGCGACTGAAGTGATGTAGTCGTTCCCTCTGGTGTCTCATATTCAAAGTCCACCATGAGTGCTAAAGCCTCCAGATCATCGAGTTTCACAATATGGCTGCTTGATGTTGACCCCCGTGCCTGAAGAAACGATTTCCTGAATCTTGAAGCAAGACGCTGCTGCAGTGACCATTTCTCTGCGACCCGAACAAAGGGGCAGCCTCGACAAGCGACTGCGAATACGAGCGCAGGGCTACCCCGGTGCGCCTTGTAGTCAGCCATGAAGCCATCTCTCGTGAGGAAGGAGAGAGATAAGGAAAAGAAGTTGAAATATGCGTCTATCGCTGTATCTAGGATTCCTGCTGGGATATCTAAGCAAAAATAGGGGCTTTGAGTTGAAGACAGAATTTCCTGCGGGCCGTCAATTGATTGTAGAGAGAGGCTTGGCATATTATTCCACTGTGAAGCAACTTCTGGTGTATCTTGGGCGTCTGGGAAAATCGAGTCAAGAAATGCAAGACTATTGGGACTGAGCTCGAATGCAAAGTCTGGGCATGGTGGCAACTGAGAAACTGTTACTGAGCTTTGAGTGGATAGAACAACAGTACTACCACTACTTGATGGACGGGAGACATTAGAAGCAGTAGTGGTGGCAGCATCATGAAGTTGAAGAGGTGATGTAGCATTTCCAAGGGGTAAGGCTGAATTTCCTGGAGACGCTGATTCATTGTCGCTGGTCAAAGTATATTTTGTTCGTTGGACGGGGTTTGTCTCAGTCAACATGCTGACACCAAGCATCCTCTTTTTAGGCGAGCTTTTCTGTTTTCGCTGAATACGGATGTCATCACATTCGAAAGTGCAACGCGTCTGGCGCCAATCACACTGGGAGCAAGTTGGGAGCCCCGATGCAGCGCGAGAAGAACGGTCGCACTTTATCTTCCGTCGAAAGCAGAAATCGCAAGATTCACGTTCTAGTCCTCGCTTTAAGGGCATTTTCTGCTAGTACCTCGAACTTTAGTAGGGAACGTTCAATGTGGTCATTAGAAATATTCTCGGGGAAATGTTATAAACTCTTTTCAACAATACTGTATGATTAGGCTGCGTTTAAAAGATATTATCCGTCTGGATGTCAGAGTGGCTGGCTGCCTTATTAGGCAGCAGCTTAGGTTCCATGCTCTCTCATCGTCTCTCCCGCCTATAAAGCCCGTATAACTACTTTTTTTTTGTGGTTTTAAAATGCATACTTAGACAATGTATAGAAGCACATTTTAGTAAACTATTTTGTTAATCCTGCCATCTTTCAATAGACAGACACTACCTAGTTCTACTCACGCTCTCGACACTTGTGTTCTACTCTGTAATACCTGCTATGTTCGGAGTCACTACAAACCATGCTCCAGACTGAGTGTGTAGACAGAAGGCAAAATTTGGTGCCGATTACATGAAGTTTTTTATTCAATAGAGAAAATTTAGCCAAAGTCGCCATGCGTACAATACCTGTCTGGTATTGCATATGAGAAGGGATGTTGTAACTGTGCTGGCCCAGGGAGATCTCCGTGACAGTCTTGAAAGTGACGGAAGAACTTTAGAAGTTGGGTCTTACCATTCGTTTGTTGAACTTTCTCTCTCCAAGCTGGCTTTTATAACAAGGGCAGTTGAACTGGGCTTGGAACTGAGGATTCTGATTATAATGATCAACTAGGGCTGCAGTAGTCCTTGACCAACCAACTCCTTCTCGGCTGTTGGTGGCTTGAGATGACTCTATATACAAATAATCTGCCAGCCCAGACCGCCTGGGTCTCTAGGGTCTGTTTCAAGAAGCGAAGTCTGTATAACCTCACTTTCCAATATCACCCAATATTGCCTGCATGTCTTGGAAGGTCATGAACAGCCTGCAATGGTCCTTCGTACGGCCGAAGTGCAAGGCGAACTGCATTCTTCAACCGGCACAGAGGTTACACGTGTAACAGCTTTATATCAGAGACCAACTCATAAACACGATCCCATGGCGCCACTGTTACATTATCACCTTCTAGTGCTTTTAAGAGTGAACGGACCCCTTCATTCAGGTCGTTTGGTTGGTCGGCGTAGCTTGGTAGAATGAAACCAGGTCTTTCCATTATCTGCTTACGAATGACGACCCGTGCCCTAAATAGGAGGACCTCCGTGAAGTTTAGAGTTATAACTGCCCATGCCGAAGCAGTGATTGAAAACAGATTATGAATCTTTTACCAAGCTCTCGAAAGTCCAGAGCAATCCACCTACTTGATAGTAGAATGATAAGAATAGGGCTTGGCGAGAAATACTGGAACGTATCGAAATAGCTTACTTTTCTGATCCAAAAACTGTCACCTACCCCGTTTGGCTTCGCACCTACACGGAGGAGAAGGTCAACGCTCCTTTGCTGTAGTCGATCACACGCGAGGCCGAGAGGTGTGATCAATTGCCCTGTAGAATGGTTAGCTGAGCTATGGCGGGGGGCGTTAATATCATATCCCATGTCAAGGAGTATATCGAAAACGCGAGAGTCTGTACTGTCTCCTGAAGCAACTGCACTGTGAAGGGCATCAACACCAAGGTCAGCATTGTGAGTAATTAAAAACTCGAGAGTTCTAGCCGAAGCAAAATATAGTGGATCGCCATTTAGCTTGAAGCCGGTAGGAAACAGGGACGGCTGGTATTCCTGAAGAAGAAAACTGGCACAGTCGTACCTAGCCGCTTGGATAGCATTGCGCACCAGGTCTGTGTTTCGGTCGTTAACTAAAGATGGGGTGAAGAGGCTGTCCCCCAAGGAATACAAACGGTGGTCAATAACAAGCTGCGGTAACGCTTGTGTTGACGATGCCGGCCATAGCGGATACCTTTCTAACAGAAACTTCAATGATTCTAAATTGTGCGCTGCTGCTAAGGCGAGAATTCTTCCGACACCCCTGTGTAAAGACCTGGCCAACGCCAGCCCTGCGAATACAAAGTATCGAGGGTGGCAAGTGAAAGCGAAAGAAGCGGTAGATCTCCGTGCTCGATGGCGTGAGCGATGGGCTTCGGAACTTGGTTGGATCGAACCATTAGGGCTGCTCTGACAGCTGCTTTTGCTAATGGCTCGGTCAAGGTTCGACTGGTTCTTGCTAAACTCAGTAAGGCCCTTGGGCTTAGGCAAGAGCTCACACTGAGGAGTGTATCGAATGTCAATTCAATGGCCATTTTGATTGATTGATAGCTGAATGTGCTTAAGTACTTGTGGAATGGTTATGGGGATTAATGCCCTTCGGCTTCGACGCAGTTATAAATCACCCTTCAGTTCATTTTCTTTGTTCTGGTTCGGTATCTGTGTTTAGTTGGGATCAATTATCAACCTCGCAAAGTACACATATGCATGTGGTTGTTATCCTGGAAAAAGAACAAAGAGGTTGTTACATGATTCTAGTAGCTTAGGTAGGTACCTAGATATAACAATGGCTCATGTTTAATTAAGTACCTAGGTACCTATGCCATGTACCTACCCCTAGATAGCCTTTGTGTGTGTACCCACTCAACCTGTAGCGCGTCGGCTGGCTCCCAGCCAATCATCCCAAGTATTCTTAGCAGCAGTGAGCGGTGAAAGAGCATGCTGGGCAGTACCGTACCATTGACTGGCGTTGATCTGAGCAACCCTTGCTTTCTGAGCTCTCGTCCCGTTCTGCCGGTGCCGGTACCTGGTGTCTATTCTCTTTGGCTGTCGCAGTGGATTAGAGTGCAGACAGGTCTTTATTGCTCTCAGTGCCATCTTTTTTCTACTATGTTCCTCTTATAACCTCGTTGATCGTCAAGCGCCATGACTGGTTCATCCCCGGCGACGCGTCGATCGCGACAATGGAGTAGCCCGTCCCGCTCTCGGATATCTGACATTCTTGCTGAGAATAGGCATACTGAGTTGAGCCACCAAGATGCCCTAGCTGCTGCTCAAGCCGAACACGAACGCGTTCGCGATGCCGCCATTAGGGTGTTTAAGGACCACGAGTTGAAGGAGGAACACCGCCGTCTGCAAGAACGCGAGGAGGTCATCATCCAGCAGCAGCGAAGAGAAGAGGATAGGATTCGTAACGAGGAGAGGTTACGCGCCGAAGAAGAGCGACTACGGGCCTTGAAATTGAAGACGGTACCGAAACTGCCACCAGAGGAACCCCCAGCCTCTTCACCCAAGCCAACCTCTACACTTCAACCAAATGGCTCCGGGCCATCAAATTCGATAACAGCAACAAACTCGCTTAACAAGCCGGTGCCGGTATTGACCACAGAAAAGGAGCCGCCTATCACTTCTCAGCCGTCATTAAATGTCCCAACACCACCAGTAAATGGGATCAAGCTTGCTTCGCCCGACCAGGCACAGTTGCTTCCACAGGGGCAACCTAAATCTTCGCCATTTGCTACTTCGCCAACACCAAGTTCTTTCCTCAAGCCTGCTACTTCACAAAATGCTCAGTCAGTTGGGCCGGCATCCAAACCACAAACTGATCAATATGTAGTGATACATCAGAATCTTAAAAAGCTGCGCGCCTCTTTGGCCGAACAAGCCAAAACACTGCCACCACTTAAAGCTCGGATGGGAGACATGAGGCGAGAACTGAGGAAAAGTTTAGGTCAAATCGTCGCGGAGAAGGGAGCCAACAAGAAGCAGGTGAGTAATTGATCGCTGATCGTCTTTATCCTTATTCAACAAAGCTAACTTATCAAGATCACAACAATCCAGAAGCTACTAGAAGAGTCACTTAGTGGCAGCGTTCCGAGTGCAATGGTGGACCCTTCTCAATATGTCATAGACGAACGGGGACCAATGGAGGGGGCTTTACGCAATGAGGCGCAGCTTCCTTCGCTCTTCCTTTATCTTCTCAATATCTTCGCTAAAACCATTATTAACCAGTTCATCAATGAGTGCGGCGCTCAACCAAAAGCAGCTGACCCTCTTGGTGTGATTGCCGCTCAAATATTTTCCAACAAATTCTACCATTGGAGGGGTAGAACTCTCGTAGATATTCTGATGGCTAAATATCGAGTGGCGTGTCCTGTCCTCTTTGGCTACCATGGCAGCGAAAGCACAGAGCAGGGCCGCGCGAGACTCGGATGGAGGAGAGACGGGACTGGGTGGGCACCAGAACAACAACATATCGATAGGATGAAAGGCCTTGCCGTGGGATACGCGGCAATCTCCCTCCGCGATTTCTCGAGATCTCCTAACACAAATCCCTGGCCGCCATCTAAATACTGGACAAGTTTGGCGAAAGTTGTCAACACACCTCCCGCCGAGATCTCCAATACCCAGTGTGTGGTACTTCGCGGCATGATCGAGATATATGAGGAGCGCTTCATCTACTTCTATGGAAGTGCCGCTATTGCTGCTCTTCGCTTGGCATTGGTTGATTTCCCCAATAAAGCGCAGGCTAAAACACCGGGTACTTCTGGCTTGCAAGTTCTTGCACAGATGTTGAAACGAGATATCGGACTAGAACTGTAAGGATTAAGCTGTAGTAGTCATGGCATTGCATTTACTTTGGGACATGATATAAATTACCGGTCTGGGAAACCACCTTGTATCAAACTGGCGTTGAGGTTATATAGCATATATCCGGCGTCCAAAGTTCAGTCTTGGCAGGAAATGTACAGATTGACATTGCTTGGAAGACAAAAATCTGTGGGAATCATAAGTGTAAGAGGTTGATCGGTTTCCTATCGCTCATGCAACTAAGTGAATACTCCCGCACGCCATTGCTCGCTTGAAGCGCAAAATGAGACTCTAGTGACTATAATACAAGCAATAATACCAATAAGATAATTAAGACTGTGATGAGTACCGCAATGCAGCAACTACTATACCGGTCTTCGTTCCGCCGCATTACATATCCGAGTTTCTGCATACCCGTCTGCAGCCTTCCACCAACACGGTCTGCAAGGGTATCTACATGTTCCAACATCTCATGCTGCTCTTCGAGCTCGCGTCCCATGTCATCTGCTTGTCGCCGCAGGTTTCCGACTGTCACAAATACCCCATCTAGCTGCTGGTCTTGCTCCCGCATCATCTGCAGCTGTTGCTGGTGCTCGAACTCGGCGTAGTTGTCGTCACCTTGCGCAGAGCCAGTTTCGTCAAGAGCGAAGGCGCTCGGAGGTGGCAGGTCTTCATTCGCTGCCGCCCTAGCTGCGGCCGCAGCTCTCGATGAACCCGAAGGGCCGGAAGAGGAGGCAAGTGTGGCGGTTCGGCGCTCTAGCTCCTCGCGCATGTCCTCGATTTCACCGCCAACCTCATCAACTAGCTTTTTCCGGCGCGAGACCTCGTGCGCAGACAGTCCATAATGAGAAGGGTCCGATTCAACGGCACGCACAGATTCGACCAGATCTGCAAGATCTTCGGCCAATGTGGAAAGCGCGGATTCGAGATCTGAGCGCGCCGACGCGACTTCGGGAGACTGTGTAGGTGTGCTGCTGAGGCTGCGGATACGGAGGTAAGAGGCGAAAAGCGGTCGGGCGTTTTGCATCTGCGCAAGAACATCTCTATATGTTTGGGGCGGTTGGCATTCTAGAAGACAAGGTAAATTGGAGGTTGACTGGGTGTTACGTACTGTTGGACCTGGAGGAAAGGATCCTCCTCGTTAACTGAGGACATCATCCTGCCGGGTTGAAGATTTGCGCAATCATCTAATGCCTACATCTGTGCACTCTATGACGTTGCCAGCGATCTATAATAACCATAAGGGGTTTGAGAGGTTGTAGTGTAAATGCGACATACAAAACATCTTGCATAGTCGTGGTCTGGCTCAGTTAGATGACGTGTAGCTACAAGCTGCCAGCTTTGCCAGCTGTCAGCAGCGGACAGTTTTACAACCCAAGCATGCTGATTAGAATTTCAGGTGCAAGTTTCAACAATTCATCCAAAGTACATCCAGAATTTTGAAGATCATAGAACAGTCTAAGGATGATACCATCTAAACCGCTTCCCTACGTCGATTGCTGGGCTACCTCAGAAGAGTACGTCGACAATCTTCTGCAGTTTGTGACTACATCGGATACATTTCAAATTCTATGCGGTGGCGTACACGTCCTAGACTTTTTTACTAGTGAACCCGGACTTTTCAGTTCAGTCATACCTGATGAGTGGCAGCCATGGCTCCTACAGTGCGATCCTATGAGGCTTTTAGACATTCTTCTGAGGGAAGATGTTGACTCACTTCTAGAGCCCCGACTACCTGAGAGTCTGTTAAGATACATCAAGGATATCAGGAAATTCTCCTTGGCACGACAGCTCTCTATAAGTGAAGAAAAGCTTCCTAAATTGACATGGAAGATGTCGGTTGGGATGAAGCCAAAGAAAGTACACGAAGTGAGAAATTTTGCGGGCTATGTGGATCAACTCGCCAAAGATATAGAGTCCGAGTTTGACAATAGGATTACGCACTTCGTCGATTTTGGCAGTGGTCAAAACTATCTCGGCAGAGCTCTGGCGAGTGCTCCATATAACAAGCAAATTGTCGCTGTCGAGGGGAGAGAGCACAACATAACCGGTGCCAAAATGCTCGACTCGATCGCAGGCGTCGCGGAGAAGCCCAAGATAATTAGAAACAAGAAGCTCTGGTTACAACAGCTCGATAGTATAACCCCAGAGGACCAACGGGGTGAGCGCGCATTGAAAAGGGCCGCCAAAGTTATCAAAATCCCCGAAGGTTACGCGGCTGATTTGAGACCCCGGAGCGAATTCGAGACTGTCTACACTCCAGAAGAAGGCAAGGGATTTATACGTTACATAGAAGGACGGTTAGAATCTGGAGATCTTAAAGATGTTATTGATAAATTAGAAGCCACCCACTTGGAGTCAGACAAAACCCAAGCGGATCTTAGGCTGATGGCGATCTCGATTCACTCATGTGGAAATCTTTCTCATCATGGGATCCGCTCGCTAATTCTCAACCCGTCTGTTCAAGCTATCGCTATTGTGGGCTGTTGTTACAACTTGTTGACTGAGAAACTAGGGCCGCCAACTTACAAGCATCCCTACATGCGACCCAGTCTTCAAGCGTTGAATGGCCGGGTGATTAGGGAATCAAACGCACACGATCCTCACGGGTTTCCTCTGAGCGATCGCCTGTGTACCTATCGAGGCGATGGCATCCGTCTGAACATTACTGCTCGAATGATGGCGTGTCAGGCTCCAGCGAATTGGACAGAAGCTGAGAGCGATGGCTTCTTCACTCGGCATTTCTTTCGTGCAGTTTTGCAGAAGATTTTTCTTGATCGTGGCATCATTTCGAAAGTATATCACGATGGCACACGAGTGAGTGACGATTCATCTCAGAGTCCATTCAACATGAGCACCAATCCCGTCGTACTCGGGTCACTCAGTAAATCCTGTTACAAGTCGCTACACGCTTACGTTCGGGGTGCAGTCACTAAGCTGACTACCGTTTCCGACCACCGCGAGCAGTGGGACATCGTAAAGGAAAAGATGAGTGACATCACCGACGAAGAGATTGCCAGGTATGAGCGCCAATACGGACCCCGCAAGAGAGAACTCAGCGCTGTCTGGACGTTGATGGCGTTTAGCGCGGCGGTTGTCGAGTCTTTGATCGTTACGGATAGGTGGCTTTTCCTAAAGCAGCACTCCGACCTGGTACAGGATGCCTGGGCTGAAACCGTTTTTGACTACCGCCAGAGTCCGAGGAACCTGGTTGTTGTTGGTGTCAAGAAACCGCAGCCCTGAGACGGCCGGGAGAATCCTACTTTCTCGGCCGAAGACATGTCGTCAGCGGCCCATAATGGAAGCATTAGCTGATGTTACGCGGCCTATCCTGGCTCGAAGCTAGGCAACTTTCAAAACGGCATGAAATTCCTATCATTGACCGATCATTGCTATCAGGGCTTTTTAGAGCCGAACCAGTATTGTGTCCCCGCCAAATGATACATATTGGTCATTTGACCCCATGCATGAACCTGCATGGACTAAGGTCATTGGCCAAGAACACCAATCCAAGCAACTGGTACTTTTATCAGCTTTGGCTGGAACATATATGTACTGTAGAGGCATCTCCTCACCATTATCAGTTAGTCGACAAAGAGGACCATGGCGTCGAGATCGAAGCCATTGATGACACTAAACGTGTACTCTTTGCTGTGACGCTTGAACGAACCAACTACATTATTCTTGATGGTACAAAGTAGCTGCGAATTTGGGTATGGAGTCCTCAATCTGCCAAGCCCGCAATAAGCCGTGATTGTGACGACATCTTGGATTACCTGGTGCTGTTGTCTAGCCTTGACCATGCTAGGAATGAAGGAGACGGCGATGATGTAGGGAATTCATCCCACGCAAGAATCCTAGCTCTTGCAGCGAAAGCTCTCTACGACAGCCATATATCACGCCATAACTACGAAGCAGGCCGAAACTTTGGTGGTATTGCCAGCGAAGCTGGCGTACGTGCGTACGCTACCCAGCAGGCGCCGCGGGGGGCTTCAACAAGTGGAGTATCGTGAACTAGCGGACGAAACCCCCAATCTCCAATTCCCACATGGTGCCGGCGAGATGAGGTGGTTCCAAGGACTCAATTGCCGCACTTGGTTCAGTCGTGCAGATGATTGTTTGTTATACGAGTTGCTTGAGCGGAAGTTGGTTTAATATTCCCTCGGCAATGCAAGGAACAAGTTTGAAAGATTATACCTAGGTATATGCTTTGTTTCCCAGAAACACATATATCAATCGCTAGTACATATTTGTTCCAAGTTGCAAGAAATGTCCAGCTACACTAGACTTACACCTGCCGTTGCCGAGGACCTCGGAAGGTGTCAAGGAAGGCGTCAATGCGCCTCTTGTGCAGAGCAATGCTTGCATCAGCAACTATGTAAGTAGGTAGGTACCTATATACTAGCTGAATATGCACCTAGGTGGCCACGATCTGGACCGGTGTATACCTACATGGCCATCTTGGGGGGATGTCTGAAGTGGCGGATGGTCAAATGACGGTTGTGAATGTGAATGTGATAGGGCTTGAGTTGTTTTGCGCCTAGCTACGACGTAGTAAGTCGGTAAGCAACATTGAGGTCGTAATAGAGAATATTATACCCAGCCAAGCAAGCCCCTCTCCAACTTGTGTGTGCTTAAGGACAGCAGGTACAGTACCGACTGACTTATGTAGTCAGGTATAAAATACATACCATATCTCCTACAGTGCCTGCCATAGAGTACATAGTTAGTACCATATATATCCCTCCCAAAGTTCGATACTATTTTGGCTGCCGTTGTTACATGGATTGCTTACATAGTACATACTTCGTACATGTAAATACTAGTACGTATCTGCGCACAGGTAGGACCAATCCTGCAACGAGCCGCTTCACTACCTATGTAAGTAGGTACTCTACAATGGACAAGTGTAAGTTAGGGCAGAAACTAGGTGCTTACCTAGTAGGTAGGGACTGGGTTAGTATCTTGGTAGGGTCTTACTTGGTGTGGGAGGATGATACAGTACCTAGGTAGGTAGGCAAATGCCTACAGCAGTAGTACCGTGTAATGTTGTTAGGAGGTAACTACAGTATTACTGTATTGGTACATGTAGGGCTCTAGAATCCCACGAGCCCTCCGGGTAACTTGGGAAGTGTACTAGGTATATAACCTGTACCTACCTACTCCAAACCATCTCAGCATCTGAGACTAACAGCAAGAAGAACAACCCCCCACGCCCGGAAACGTGGAAGATCCTTTCCTGTCTCCATGTATGCGGGAGTAAGGCCGGCGTAAGTGGAATTGTACTATTTAGTATTTACCTACTACTAGGCAGGTAGTTCCACCGTGATATACTAGGTATGTATGTACTCTTATCGCTAATGTAGATATTCCTTCCTCCAGCACACACGCCCCTCTCCTTACTGACTACATACCGTATGTAGTGCCCAAGTGTGTAGGTAGGTACCGGTAGGCATTCAATATCATATATATCCGCTCTTTCGATGCGTTGCTGCGAGATACGCCCGAAACAAACTAGATCGCACACTGCAGCCAATGCCGCGGGAACAGCCATGGCGGGAGTTGTTGTTTTCACCCCTTACGTCTTGTCTGCGGGATACCCTATTCAGGATTGTTCAGGGAAGACGCAGATGGCTTGCATGACGAATTGCCCTTTACGCAGTCCATATTTGCTGCCCAGGAACAACAGCGTATTCTGACGGCCGTGATAATGATAATGACGACGATGACGATGGCGGCGGAGACTACGGTCCCTAGCTATTATTAAAGTCAACTCACCTACCTAGCTATCTACACACTGAAATATCAACTCAACTCAACTCAACTCAGCCGCCTGTCTGCTTGCCTTGCCGAACCTGCTTATCTCAGGTAACTACATACCTAGTAGTAGACCGGTTTTAGGACGCCGGTCTGTCACCGTGGTCCCAAGCACCACAACTCTAGTGCTCTAGCAAGTTGCTTTATTGACCAAGTCTTGTCCCCGTGCCTCTCTAGCCTAGAGTCCAGGGCAAACAAGCGCACCAAAGCCAATACCGTACTTGTTTAAGCCTCCGTGCCCCTCACTTCATATCACAGTACATAACAGTACAGTTGCCCCCTCGCACATTCCGGCCCCTTTGCCTCTGGCGTTGTGTAGGCAGGGAAGAGACATCCGACATCGTCGTCCAAGGAGAGATCTGCTTTGGGTGCTCTGCAGGTGCAGCGACATTGCAGCCGCACATCAGCCAGACAGGGAAGCAACCACGACAAAACACATCTTCATGGCATGGCATGGTGCAACAACGCCAATGCCGTGCCGATCTATCTAAACTCCACCATTCAAAGTTCAAGTGGCGCCAACAATGCTGCGTTATCTCGCCCTGACTCGACAAACTTTGTCGTGAGACCTGGTGAGACCTAGTTACGATAGCTATCTTGAACCCTTCCCGCCCTCTAGCGCTGGACTACTGGGCTAGATTGCCCGTTAGTTTTACACTTCGTCTGTACGTCAAATCTCTCTGCTCTCCTGCTCCCACCCAATTCCACTCCAGTCTCGGCGTCCTTTTCTCATACCTTAAGTAGTAGGGAGCAGACCACACTAGCCCCAACTTCCCATCTTCTCACTTGTGTCCACAGAAGCTCCGATTAACAGCCCTATCTGCCATCATAGCTATTTCGGCTGACTCATTTCTCTGTGTACACCACGACGTCGGCGTTGGCCTCACTTTCGTCCAAAGCCGAGCCAAGACCCTGACTCCCCAGACTACCTTTTTCCCCGTTAACAATAATAAAGAAATATGGGATTTGGAACTTCAATTTACAAGTCACAACGGATTTCGCATAGCAATACATGCTGTCTTGGGCGTCCTACACTGGTTGCGATTCTCTCGGTCTTCGCCAATCATCATTTACACCGGCTTTATACTAGGGGAACGCCCGTGGGTGCCTTTAAGAGGGTGCTTCCGACATTCGGGAAGTGCTTGGCGCCAATTGGGACGCACGGCGGCTTCATTTCAGTGGCGATACAATGAATGCCCAAATATCATTTCTAGTGAGCAAGCCCCTCTTCACTTCTCTGCTTCTTCAATGCTGCTCAATTTGACACAATAACTCGTGGGAGTTACTCGTGTTCGATGACGAGGTCCGCCTGTGGTTTTGATGTGAGAAATCTTCTGTCACATCACATAGTACCTCGAAGCATGCCAGAACTGCGTTGCGGCATGCGAGTTGAGCTGGCCATGCTGTGCATGCACAGCAGCCACGAGACGATGTAGTCGAAATGCTTACGGTTAAAACATCCAGGAGGGAACCTTCAGCCTAGTACATGTTCCTCTAGACTTATATCCGACTTTTTTGCAGCCCATAGTCCAGGTGCTTCTGCCCCAAGGTGCCGGTGAGGCCGGTACAATCAATGGGGAAGATGGGCTCGGGAATAACACGAGACATACATTCCTTAACATCAGCATAACGCCCATCGAATGCTCGGTCGTGTGTCACAGCAATTGGGCCAAGACAGTGTTTGAGCCTGTTGTCAATCGGTTGCCGCGAGATGTTGCAAAACGTGTCACCATATCGAAAGACGCTTACCTAGTTCTCTCCGTTATCAGTGCGGGGATGGACGCAGGAAATCGGGTCTTGGAACTAACGTCACCCCTGGCACTGGCTGGCATTCCAATTCTATTTATCACGACGTACTATTCTGATTTCATATTGGTACCAAAGAAGAAGAAAGACACAGTTGTACAAGCTCTGCTAGCTCGGGGCTTTGAATGTATCGAGGATGAAGATTCCTACGTATCACCAACCGTCATGTCACATGGTCGGGCGAAGAGTCAAGGTAGTGAACCACCATCGACACCTCCGCCATCCAGCGTCGCAGAGCTACAAAGGAGGACCTTTGACTTACTCACGAAGCGGAATGTGATCCCGTATATATGTGACGGTCTTAGCCTTGTTCAGTGTTCTGGCCGAGATGTATCTGAGCTGATTGACTTCGGCGCCCGGCGAACAAATCAAGGCTGGTCAACGGCTAGCAATGGACACAGGACTAGCTGGCTTGATCATATGGATACGAAGCTATATACAAGCCTTATCGCAGTTTTGGCTGGCCAACCAAAATTTTTGTCTATCACGTTAGCACTAGAGGATGCCCCCTCTTTGCTAATAGACAAGACTCTCCTCCATGTCTTCGGCGACTCTCTTGTCGGAGATACCGAGGGCGACCTTGTACCTATATTCCTCGACCTCGTTAATTTACCTCTCGAGGCCACAGGAATCGTTTCTGGCGTGGCCGGAAAGCTCGTCGAGGAGATGCATATGATAGAGACGGGTGTTAGTGCCGAGCTGTCATATCTCTCAACTGCACGTGCGGGCGCTGTGATATTGTCCAATGAGCAGTCTATGAAAGCTCTTGAGGTGTTGAGACCACTTCTCGTGAAAGAAAAGTGATAAGGAAAAGAAACTCCGTTGCATGAGAATGGCTTCAACGGGTGGCATGTTTATTTGTACAAATTATGAATATGTCAAACGGTTTGTTAGCTATGAGGTGTTGGAACGAAAAGCATTCCACGAGAGCGGCTTACGTCTTTACGATTATCTATGACTTACGCATTACCCAAAAACTTAGGCGTGGTGAATCGGATAAAGTGGATTTTTTATATCATTGGGAAGGGGTGTTCGTGCATCGGGAGGAGACATTGTGAGGTTCGCATCTCAAGCCTTAAAAAACCTTTCGGATTATGTACTATTGTTAGGCGTTTGATCAGGGAAACTTCAATAGGCGTAGTATGCGAGGTTATATGACTGCCTGCTACATCTAGGTAGATCTACTTGCGTCGGTTGAAGCCCAGTTGAACGGCGAGCCAGTCGGGAGCGATCCACGGTTCCGCCGCTTTTGTATATTCACGTACTCTCCCATGGGATAGCAAGCGTTAGAATGCATCTAACCCAGGTTCTGATATCTCATTTCACCTGTCTTTTTTCTTCACGATGATTTTCGTATATTTGAAACAGCGCATCAACTGCACACCCGGAACAGCACCTTGCCCCCTTTGGGTCGTTGGATGCGGAAGCTCCCTATACGTGGGAAACATCCCTGAGCGATGGCCGGATTACCAAGATGTGACGAGGGATGGAGACAGAGGAACTACGGCGCATGCAGTGTCACGTAGGTAGGTGAACAGAAAGCGGAAAGCCGGATACGGGATGCCTACTAGTGTACCTGAGCAGCCAGCAAGCCACCTTGCCTACGCGAGGGGGAAAAGCTTTGGGGCAAGGGAGGGGAACGTTCATACAAGGCACGCGACGGCAGCCAGCAACTCAACGAAGAAGATGAGGTAGGTAGTATCTGTCTAGGGTGTGACGTGAAGCAAGCCAGGTACATACCCGCCCGACCTACCTACATCCCTACCTGCTCGCTGTCCTGTGGCATATTCAGTACATATATGGCACGTTCTACGATGTTTGAAGGCAAGCATTGTACCAGATGGAGGTTGCAGACGGCTTCCGGGGCAAGGGGGTTGGTGGAGGGCGAGGGGATCTGCGGGTTGGATGTGATGGGCATGGAGGACGAGCAGATTTCAATCACACCCCGATTGCCCAGATGTTCATTCATGTATTATGTATGTATGTCATGCAGGAGAGGTGAGGGTGTATTGCATATACAACACGCGATGGGCTGGCTGCTCCCCACCCACCGTCCCAGCTCTCCCACGATAGGTCCATACATGTCACTCTGCACGTTGTGTCCGAACTAGGTACACTATCTACACTCTAGAGCAGGAAGCTAATTGTAGGGGAAACGGGAACTAGCGTGTGTGGCATGCGAGGGTCTTTAAGGGTTCGTGGTAAAGCTGAGTCAGTACGTAGGTATGTATGTGCTGATGGTCTCAGAAATGTCTGTGATGGGCAGATAGCTTAGTTTGGTTGCCTTCTGTGTCTCTGAAACGAGAGACATGAGGCAGAATTGCGAGGTCGAAAAGACAGATGATATAGATCATCTGGGTTACTTTCACTACGCAGTGAAATAGGTATTCCCATGAATGAGTATCCGACCTAGGTGTCTTGGTTACTTACATAGTAAGTCTGGGGATCACGTCTAGCAAGCGGGGCGATATCCACGACGAGTGGTTACGCAATTGCACATTGGGCCATGGCTGACCAACCCGCTCATTCGCGAGCACAGGCCGCCGCCACCAGTCCAGTCTCGTTTACAGACTACGATGCCTTGAGCATCTACTACGAAACTGAGATACTCATCGGGGAATTCTCGATACATGCACGCCTTTGTTACACCGAAGCGTAGGTGTAGGGATTCACACTTATGCTGGCCGGAACCCGTTGCTCTGGGGACTAGAATTGACAACCTTGAACGAGAAGGGACGGGGTGTGTTGATTGCATCTTCTCGTTGTGCATGAAATTACACGTTTTACTGATCAGTCACTGCCTGCGGGCACGGGCGGTTGCATTTGTGTAGCCACGGTGACACACAGATATCGTCACGTACATACGTGCCTAGCCATCTCCCTTCCTATATACCACCTCAGTAGTAGCGAGCGTGGGGAGACGGGGGAAAGAGAGATCGGTCTCGCCATAATGCGCACACCACTTTTTCTCTTCACCATCGTTGCGGCGGCGGCGGCGGTCGCCGCGGAAGCACAGGTCCAGACCCTTGGCGAGCTCTTGCGTTATGACTCTGGGACGCAGGTACCTCTAGTTGACCCCGAGGTTGACCGCGGCACGCCGGAGAGCGCGGTACCGGAAACGCAGACACTCCCCGTCTCCTGCGGCGCCTGTGAGGTTCGTTGGCCTACCTGTGCACCTGATCTTGATATGTGGTGTGTCCGGTACTAAAGATGACTTCTAGGCTACGCTTTTCCAGCTCAAACTAGCTGCTACGCGAGGTGACGATTTCTTCGTCACATTGGCGACGGCGGCATGTAAACGACTGAAGGTAAACAAACAACTGTCTATACCTATACCTTGCGTTTTAGAATTTCGCATTTGACTTGCTGATTTCTTAAGAGTTCCGTAAGCTGATCATAACATCCTAGATTGCGGACGATGACGTCTGTGAGGGATCTATTGCTCTTGAAGGTCCTATTATAGCGAAGAGTCTCCGGGGCTTGCACATTGGGTCCAAGACGTCGAGGCTCATTTGTGTCGCGCTGTTTGGCATGTGCTCGTTCCCCGAGATAGAGAAACATGAATTCGCTTTTCCGTCACCAAAGCCAAAGACCCGGAGACCGAAACCAAGTGGGCAGCGCCCACTGCGCGTTGTTCATATTTCCGATATTCAGTGAGTTATTCTCGATATCGTCTTGGTTCCGTTATTTCATAATTATATTTCAGAAACTTTCAACAACTCTAATTGCATTCCATGGTCTTAACTGATATCTTACATTCGAGTACTACAGTATTGATCCTTGGTATACTGAGGGGGCTGATACAAATTGCACGAAGTTCATTTGTTGTAGGTAAGTGGAATAAGCTATGTCCAATCTGCATGACCATCGGAAAGTTGAGATGTTGATATTTCTAACCTCGTAATAGAAGTTACTCTGATGAACCCGCTCCTGGACATACGTTCCATCCAGCCGGGCCCCACGGCGAGCACACATGTGACTCACCAGTAAGCTTGGAAATGAGTATGTATGGAGCTATACGAACACTGGTACCTGATGCGGCATTCGCGCTCTTTACTGGTGACATTGTTGACCATGCGGTTTGGAATACTACAACCATACAGAACACTTTTGACGTGACTGATGCCTACACGCGTATGGCTGATGCAGGTTTTCTGGTATATGGAACTGCAGGGAACCACGAGGCGTCCCCGGCAAACTCGTACCCACCATTATCAGTGAGCTCCTCTACGCAATGGCTTTACGATGTTTTATCCACTTCATGGACGAGATGGGTTGAGCCTCGTGCTGTTCACACGGCAAGGAAGTTTGGCGCATACTCGACGAAATACCCCGGCGGCAACTTGCGCATCATATCACTTAACACGAATCTTTTCTACGTACATAATTACTGGTTGTATGAAGAGCCGATGGAAATAGACGCAAGTGGACAGCTCGCCTGGTTGATAGACGAGCTAGACGCGGCCGAGAAACTGGGCGAGAGAGTGTATATCATTGGGCACATGTCCTTTGGTGCGCGAGATGCATTTCATGATGCATCAAATTATCTTGATCAAATCGTGAACCGTTACGAAGCTACCATTGCTGGCTTATTCTTTGGTATGTTCGCTTCACGTTCTCTAAATATCTGATGCGTGGCTCTTGTTTGATTTGCCAAGACCGGTGCTTCTGACCAATTACAAACACAGGACACACCCATTTCGACGAGTTTGAAATTTCATATTCTAACTACAGCCAACGCGTTGCCGAGAACGCTGTCGCCGTGTCCTTGATAGGGCCCTCCATGACGCCCACGTCAGGTCATCCAGCCTTTCAAGTCTATGATATAGATCCCGTTACATTCGGAGTTCTTGATGTTACGACGTACTTTGCGAATATGAGCGATTCCTCATTCCAGTCTGCAGAGGGCCCAGTCTGGACGAAATACTATTCAGCTCGAGAGACATATGGTGCCCTTGTCAACCCGCCTCTCGCACCCTTGGAGATCGAGGAAGGTAAGACGAAGGAAAGAGCCAGGGAGTTGGACCCTTCGTTCTGGCATGAAGTGACTGAAAAGTTCGAGGAGGATCCAGCAGCTCTTGACGGGTTCATGGCTAGGAAACGCAGGGGTTGGCTACCAAATGGATGCGGTGATGACGCATGCCGGAGTGCCGAGATATGTAAGCTCAGAGCTGGGAGAGCGCAGGACAATTGCATTCCGCCTGGCTTTATTCGCCTGGTTGGTCGACTGGCCGAAGGCGTCCCTGCCACTCGTGGTACAAAGCTTGGGGAGCGCCTGGAGTGCGGCGGCTCAGTGTTGGCCGACACACTGGGAACTGTTGCGGACGATGCTGAGATGCGTGTATGGTTGGAGATGCTTATAAATGGTGATGATAATGGCCGCATATTATGATAGATAGATTACATTTTTGATATGTACACTAGATAAGCAATGGTCACACACCAAGTCACAAGTCACAGGCCACGAGGCCACAGGGTGACTTCGACATTATACTAGTGTTGTCCGCCGTATATCCCCCTTCAGATAAAATTAATAGTCACAAGGGTGACAGATGTATTCATCTAGGTAGCCCTGAGAACGTATATACAACTACAATGAACGGCCGATTCTCTCTTCACCTTGAACGAGGTATTAGTTAGCTGGGTTAGTCTACATCGTGAGACCCAGTTTTTCAGAGTAGTATCAAGGAAGCCGGGGGTAAGCTTGAGGCTGTGCCTAGACAGATGTCTAAGTCAGTGTCACTGGGTAGGTCAGGCAAGGTGTAAGGTAAGCAGAAACAACTTGGAACTTGGCGGGCGCATTGCGTGCGCACCTTTATTGTCGTCTCAGCTTCATTCCCGAAAGAGAGAAGCGGTAAGGCAAGCCACTTATAACCTGCCGTAGCTGAACCGTCGAGTTTCCCACGCCACGAGCCGCGACCTTCCTCACCTCGCCAACAAAAACGGTATGAGCATGCCAGTAGCAGCAGCCCACCGCGTGCCCATTTAAACAGTTCAGTCGCAGTCCCGCAGAGGGCGAAGCGCTTCTTACCAATTTACTCGTTTCCTTGACTTTTGGCCCTGGTTCGTACACTGCCTGACGATAAAGCCAGTCCACCTGTACAGCCATCTCTTCTGTCCGCGTCTTGACGAGCAACCAATTGCTTCTCAAGAGGGAGAGTGTACACTCGTCTTGGATGCTCGGCTTACGACCAACCTTGAAGGCCCGGCCGTCGCTAGTGGATCTCCTTCGGGGGAACAGTGCTGGAAACAACACCAGTGGCAGCAGCAGCAGGCCCAGCACTCCCACAGCTACAGGTACTAGCCCTCCTAATACTGGTAGTAGCATACATGTACCCACACCTACACCTATAGCGTCTGCGTCGCTAGACTCGGAGGGATCAGAGGTACCTACAGTAGAGCTAGACCCAGAGCCAGCGTCGGAGCAGCAACAGCACCACCAGCACCACCAGCAACAGCCAGAACACGCTAAAGCCACAGCGAGGTTAGTGAACGACGCACTCGCTATAGCTTCCACCCAATCCCTGCCTACCACCTGCAGTCCCGTGCCATCACCGACAGCTTCCACAGCTGCGAGCACCGTTGCTGCAGGTATTATTATTACATCTACATCTCCAAACTCCCCTTCGACACCAGCACCGCCACCTCTTGCTGCCTCATCGCCTGCAGCTTCACCTCGCCCTACCATCCCTTCGGAATCCCTACCTGAAGCTGCCCAGGCCTCGAAACCAGTCACACAAGCTTCCAAGATGGCCCCGGTAAGCTCCCGTCTCAATCTGTCTTGGGGCTGAAAGACAGCTTTGCTGTCTGTGTTGCCCCGCCACTCGCAAGCATATCTTTGCTGATGCTTTTGCCAGTCTGCGAAAGCCACTAATGGCGACAATGATGGGCTCAATTCTGGTATGCTTTCCGCTGTCTTGTTTGCATTTCCCATGATTTCGCTAATACCGCAGTGTAGGCAGGGTCTATTCCGTCTCTGGGTTCGTGGACAACGCTTTCGTCTCCCAAGATCCGCCAAACACTGAGCTAATGCTTCTCTCAGGCCTGTCGTTGTTGCCGAAGATCTGCTCGGTGTTGCTATGTACGAGCTTGTATGAACCTACCTCGTCTCTTTCCCATTCCGCTGCTTCTACTAATGCCGGTCAAGGTCAAAGTCGGTCACGATGAACTGATTGGTGAGGTCATTCGAATCAACGCCGACCAGGCCACCATCCAGGTCTACGAGGAAACTGGTATGCCCCGTTCACTATCACGGGTTTGCAGTAAACACTACTAACAACAGTCCAATAGCCGGTCTGACTGTCGGTGATCCTATCCAGCGAACTGGAAAGCCCCTATCCGTCGAGCTCGGCCCTGGTTTATTACATAACATCTACGACGGTATCCAACGCCCACTCGAGAAGATTCAGAAGCAGGCTCAGAGTATCTACATTCCCCGTGGTGTCGCTGCGCCAGCCCTGGATCGTGAGAAGAAATGGGAGTTCACACCCACAATGAAGGTGGGTGACCACATTTCAGGTGGTGACGTATGGGGAACTGTCTTCGAAAACTCCTTTATCAAAGTCCACAAGATTCTGCTGCCGCCTAGAGCCAGGGGAACCATCACAAAGATTGCCCCCAAAGGCGAGTACACCGTCGAAGAAAAGATCCTGGAGATCGAATTCAACGGCACCAAGACGGAACACGGTATGATGCAGGTGTGGCCGGTTCGTGTTCCCAGACCCACCACCGAGAAACTGTCCGCTAGCAACCCCTTCATTGTCGGACAACGAGTCTTGGACGCCTTATTCCCTAGTGTACAGGGTGGTACCGTCGCCATTCCCGGAGCTTTCGGGTGTGGTAAAACAGTTATTTCGCAATCTGTCTCCAAGTTCTCCAACAGCGATGTGATCGTTTACGTCGGATGTGAGTATTCCTCTGAACCTGGACATTTTCCGTAAAATTCGGAGGCAAATGTTATGATTCGCCTCATTATATACATACGACGCCAATCACTGATAATATATCCTTATAGGTGGTGAGCGAGGTAATGAAATGGCTGAAGTTCTGAAAGACTTCCCGGAACTTTCCATCGAGGTTGAGGGGCGCAGGGAGCCCATCATGAAGCGAACAACACTGATCGCTAACACCTCCAACATGCCCGTCGCCGCCAGAGAAGCCTCTATCTATACTGGAATTACGGTAGCCGAATATTTCCGCGATCAGGGAATGAACGTGGCTATGATGGCTGACTCTTCATCGCGATGGGCCGAGGCTCTGCGTGAAATCTCTGGTCGTCTTGGTGAGATGCCTGCTGATCAAGGTTTCCCCGCCTATCTCAGTACCAAGCTCGCCAGTTTCTACGAACGTGCCGGCAAGACCCAATGTCTGGGTTCTCCCGAACGTGAGGGTAGCGTGAGTATTGTTGGTGCAGTCAGCCCTCCGGGTGGTGATTTCTCGGATCCTGTCACCAGTTCTACCCTATCTATTGTGCAAGTTTTCTGGGGTCTCGACAAGAAGCTTGCTCAGCGAAAACACTTCCCTTCCATCAACACCTCAGTATCATACTCCAAGTATACGAACACGCTTGACAAATGGTACGAAAAGGAATTTCCTGAGTTCCCTCGGCTCCGTGATCGCGTCAGACAGCTTCTCTCCGACTCTGAAGAACTCGACCAGGTCGTACAACTAGTAGGCAAGTCAGCCTTGTCTGATCCTGACAAGATTACTCTCGATATCGCGACCCTGCTCAAGGAAGACTTCTTGCAACAGAACGGTTACTCGAAATATGATCAGTTCTGCCCTCTATGGAAGACCGAGTGGATGATGAAGCTCATGATGGGATTCCATGATGAGGCACAGAAGGCGATCGCTCAAGGCCAGAGCTGGTCCAAAGTCCGTGAAGCTACCAGCGATCTGCAAGCCCAACTTCGAGGTCTCAAGTTCGAGGACCCCAACGACGGTGAAGAGGCTATTTGCAAGAAGGTATGTATTTCGAAATTAAAGATAATTGAATTGCGGTGACTAATTACTTTGTATAGTACGAGGAGATCCACCAGTCTTTGATGGACAAGTTTGCGTCCGTGATGGACGAGTAAGTTGACTTCGTCGGGTATGATCAAAGGCTGTATATAACAAAGATTAAGGGGACAGGGCTAATCGGCGGGATAAGGCTCGAAGTTGTATCGAGGTTCAATACCACATCTAGAGTAGGCTTAGTATGAGATTCTGAAATCATATTCACAGACAGACAGAGCTTCAGACTCCTTGTCAACGCATCATCATGTCTTAACCCTCGCGTTCCAATTCTAGTTTCCGTTGTGATACGTAAACTGCTATACCAACTCCAATAAATCTAACTCGACTGTGCCCCGGTGCATGGTCTGCTGTCTGCCTATATCCTCATTCATACACATGCCCTACCTCGCAGCAATACTTCGACCTTCTCGCATTGACCCACCAGACAAGACGATCTTAGTGTAAAGAGGAGTCTTGTATCCGTGGCTACAGTCACCAAAATCGCGAATAAAGCACGTCCGTGGCGGTAATACGAATAGTCATAACCAACAGAAGCCTAACGAGAGGGATAGGTTGCAGTGTCTTTCTGTCACGGTAGGTAGTCTTGACAAGACGTGAAAGAATTTTTTGCACAATCCTTCCTATGCTTGAATCTATAGAGTTTTGGTCGTCTCTCCTTTGACTGTCTCGAGGACGTGCAAAGGGCCATGAGAAACTGAAGGAAGTAAAGAGATGCTGCCGGATGAGGCAGAATTCCCGCGTGCTTGTGTGTATAGATGTATATATGTATATACGTGTTGTCGTTGGACCATTGGGTTCTTGGTGCTTTTAGTTGCCCGTAAGGGTGCCGCCGAGGACTTCAGAGTTTACTCCTGTCCGTCTTGGTTCTGTGTCGGCGGGTTGGTGATTGTGTGGGAACTGGTATGGGTCGATAGTGGACCGTGCCAGAGATATATATCGACGTCGTTGGGTCATTCGGTCCTCATTTTATCCCTTGGCCTTTAGCTGTTCGTTCACATAGTCGGCCGGCAAGCCGCTGAGTAGCAGTAATAGATCGTTCCACCTCTACTTCTGCTGATGTCGCGACCGATCCCTTGGGTGGGTAATAGATAAATGGCCGTACCCCCCTCTCATCAATCAGTCTGCGGCTTGAGGAATCCCACCGGTCTGTTTGGCTTCTTTGTTACCGCCTCCCCTGATACTTGCTTTATCGTCTTCTTCCTCTTCTGTCTTTCCATCATCTCCTATTCTCTTTTCCCTCCCCCTCTCTTGCCTCGTGTGTGTCTCTTCTCCTTCGATCTCTTCCTCTGCTGTTTCTCCATCTCCATCCTCCTCTTCCTCTCCCCCATCCATCTCTATTTCTTGATCCTCCAGCATAACTCTAACACGCTCAATCCTCATAACCGCTCCCTCCAACCGTCCAATGCGCGCCTTCTTCTCTTCTTCTCGCTGTCCCAGCTCATTGAGCCGTTCTTCGAGGGCGGCGCGTGCCCGTCGCTCCGTTGCCACCATGTTATTCGCCTGCTCAAACAGCGACGCACTGAGATCCTCTACCTCCCGATTCGTCGCCTCTAGCTTCTCCTCGGCCGCGGCGCGTAATCGGCGCTCGTGGGCCAGTGCCTTCATCAGGCCTCGGGCTTCAGCTGCATGACTATCGTGGGGCAGTGCAGGGGAAGAGACGGATGATAAGCTCCCTCGTTGTTGCTGTTCCTGCTGCTGTGGCGTTGCGGTGGCATTTGACGAAGTTGTGGTAGGTGGAGGCGTGGAAGAGGGGCCCGTGGTGGGTGATTTCCGTGGAGATAATAGTTGGCTTATTCGTGAGGCGCCGGCCCCGAGAAATGAGGAGCGTGGGCTGTTGCTTACGCTGGGATCCGGAGTGTGAGGCCTGTTGTTATTGGTACCGTTGCTGCTGCTGTTGTTCTTTGTGGATGTCGTGGTGGTGGAATTGGTGCTCGTAGATGCGGCACGAAGCCGTGACAGTTCGTCTTCGTAGTCTGCCCATCGGTCTGCTGCTGCTGTCGCCTTCTGGTTGAGAAGTCGTACTTGTGCTTGTAGGTCTTCGATTTGGCGCTGTGCTTCGAGGAGAGCTTTGTGTGGATCAGAGGTCGGAGAGGGGAGGGAACGGCCACAGTTTGGACAGTATGGTTCGTTTGTTGGGAGAGTTGATGTTGTTGCTGATGCTGCAGAGGGTAGCGTCATCGTCATTGTTGAGGCCATTGTCATTGAGCTGTCCTCACTGAAAAAATGTTGGACGAGAAGAAGAGATGGGGATGCCGGTGCCAGCTGGGCTTAGTAGAAGAAAGGCTGAGTAGTTCAATGGCTCAAGTCGCATCTACCAGCCCAGATGCCAATATTAAGTATTGTTCTTTCTGGTTGCTCCGTCCTTCAGGTACTGTACGTAGTAGAGATGGACCAAATAAGCTTGTCCGATACTTCCAACATTGACACGAATTAGCGCTTTGGCGATCAATGCCAACCAGTCACCAGAATAAACAAGCTGTAGTGTATCTGCAACCCTAGAAACGCTTTCCGCAACTCCCCATTGCATGCCACTGCAAATTTCGCATTCTTAACAAGGTGAATGGCTTCTGGGGTAGTCTACTATGTAGTGTTGCTGATCTTCGGAGGGTCCAGGCGGAGGGTCTGGGCTCTGGTCGGGGGTTCGTCTATTTTTGGGGGCGGAACAACAATCTATCTCTATTTATGCCCAATTTTTTCTGACTGCGCCTTGTTTCTTGTTAAAAAGATGTATTCCTATATATGATGCTAAGTCCATTATATCTTTTCCCGGGGCGCAATTCACATTGGTGCTATTCAAGACTTATCAGACCTGACTTTGGCTCCGTCAATTGCTATGTTTCTTGGTTATCCACTCTGAGTGGCACCATGTACTTTTGTAGGTATGCAACTCAGTACCTTCATGGCGAAGCATTAAATTAGGGCAAATGGCGACTCTACTGCTGCCGCCGCCTCGGATACGCCAGTATTGAGACATGAGTGGGCATAAAAGGTATTAGATGATTATGCTTCATAGTCTTTTAGAATGTATCTTTGTCACCAGGTAACTGCCTCGAAGTTTCTCACCGAAAAGACCGATGATGATATTGCGGTCAGTTTGAGACGTAAATATTCGTCTTTCCGTAAACCGGATCCCGGGAGATGATATCCTTTGTTCGTCTGTTGCTGTTCGTGTGAGGATTTGAACTTTGCCCAGCTCTGACAGCTGAAGACAAACTCGCCCTATCACATGCTGCCATTTATATAAGAATACTATGGCCCATGCTTCTATTGGTGCGCTCCGTAACATGAACGCAATGACGCCATATTCTCGTTTCCAGCACGGCTTGTCGCTGTATAGTTAGTAGTGCCGAATCTCAGTCTCGCCCAACTGTCCCTCAAAACGGTTTGGCAACTTTTCGACTCTCACTTAAACCTGTCTCAGGATCCTTGTATTCTTTCCAGCTAACAGGAAACATGGTGTTGCCTGCCTCACTTGTGGCCATTATTACACCGAGTTCGTTGTTTGCTGTCGAGAGGTAGTAGTTGGCTTGGTCACCTAATGATATCTACAAGTAATCTTATTAGTGTCCATTTACATCCAACTCGAACTTGCAACTGGTATAGTGTAGCCTTGGGAAACTCACCACTTGCGCGCGCACGATATCGCCGGGTCGGAAGCTTTCATAGATCTTGACGCGGTCTTTTTCCGTGGCGCGCACATCTTGTACGCGCACTACGCCCTGCCACTGCGCAGATAGAACCGCATCGCCAACAATGAGGATCGAGACTGTGGCCTCCCGTGGTGTAATCCGTGTCACGCGGCACAAGACAATATTACCGACTTCGGGGAGAACCTCACGCTTGTCCTGCTGCTCAGCCGTGCTGCTATTCGCTGGAGAGACGGATATAGTTGGAAGAGTGCTTGAGTTGGATGAGGCGCTTGGCGTATTCAGAGCTGCGATGCGGTGCATGCGTTTTGCAGGCCCGGCTGTCTTTTCTGGCTGCGTGATGCTGACGGTGCCCAGCAGTGAGGAGTAGAGGCTCGATTCGTGGATGTGTGTTCCCGCGCCGGCGCTGTATTTGTTTGACGGACCGAGGAGCTGGCCTGGTATAGCGACCGTCTGTGCCGCCGCCGCCGCTGCCATTATCGTTCGAAGTCTGCGTTGGAGATGGACTTATGGTAGGTGGATGCAATGTGACTTTGCGACGTGAACACTTTTTCTCCAGAGTGACGCAAGTAAAGCTCCCGTCCCACGCATAGAAATGGATTAATGAGATCGGCGTCCGAGATTCCCGTTGCCGATCTTAGTGAAGGCAGCCAGCCAATAGCGAAGCTTCAAGAAATAATGGTTCGATCCCGGCTCCTCGGTCTGCCGAAGGGTCCCCCACAACCTGCCCTGAGCCAAGATATCAAGCCCCTACAAAAACCCCTACAGCAAGCTCTACAGGTGGAACCATCACTAACTCTCCACTATACCTAGTTGCTTATCATTGGCGAAATGAAAAGTCCCTTCCTGAGGATGCATTTTAGCTAGACGGAGCTATACGAATACGGTCGCGAGCAAGCTTACACATACCTAGGTATGTTACAATGGACTGAACTCACCGTCTTTACCAGTCAGTCAAGCCATCCGTTTGCATTTAATGCGCCCAATCGCCTCTTCCTTGATCTTACATGTTTTAATTACCAAGTCGCTCCTTAGTCCCTGATTTCTTCGCACTCGCAAGTAGCAATGGCTCCGAAGACCTCGGAGACGAGCGCGATGACGCGCCTTCTGACCATCGTCGCCGTCCTCGTCGGCTTGTTCACGCCCATCGTCTACCTTCTGGAGCAACGCCTCGAGAGCTTCTACATCTTCAAGACGGATGAGTTGCACGATCTCGCGCAGCGCGCCATCAAAGCTCACGGCAATGACACGGGCGCCATTGTCAACTACATCGTAGGGGAGATCGGGGAGCGACACCCTTATCACGCCAACTCCCACCGACACGATGACCCTGACGAGTGGATGTTCAACAATGCTGGCGGCGCAATGGGCGGCATGTATCTTATTCATGCTAGTACGTAGATATACATCTTCAATACCCAACTTCAGCGCTCTATTCTTACCTCACCATTTCCCCCCTTATTAAAAAAAAGATTAGTGGAAATTTTTGAATTGCGTAGAAACTGATAGACAAAATACTTAGGTTTCACCGAATACTTGATTATCTTTGGTACAGCAGTGGGAACGGAAGGCCACACCGGCCGCCACACCGCAGACGACTACTTCCACATCCTGACAGGCGAGCAATGGGCGTACACGCCTGGTGACTACAAGCCCGAGGTCTTCCCCGCCGGTTCCGTGCACCACCTGCACCGCGGTACCGTCAAGCAGTACAAGATGCCCGAGGGCTGCTTCGCGCTCGAGTACGCTCGCGGCTGGATCCCGCCTATGCTTTTCTTCGGCTACGCCGACGGCTTGTCCTCCACCCTCGACCTGCCTACCCTCTGGCGCACCACCTACATCACCGGCCGCGAGATGTTAGGCAACCTGGCGCTGGGCAAGTTCTAAATCAAGACCCTTGATTATTAGACTAGAGATTATTGCTATGATGCTTCGCTAGACGATTAGTTAGGCCAGCCAAAATGGCTGGACACATAGTACAGCTTTTGGGCATAGCGTTGGGGCGTCTTAGACCTCGTCTATTCATCAATCATAAAACTAGATCTAGACTAATAATTGAATAATTTCACAAGGACCAAGATATTGAGAATAGGGCCAACGTTGGTATCAAAGTATTTCTGTTGAGAATATAGCGAATGCTGGGTAAAAAAAATAAATAAATAAATAACAGCGCAAGGACACCTCGACTAGGTCCATCTCTATCCGCAGCCATATATCTATAGTAGAAGCGATAACTAAACATCAACCCAGTGCCATTCGCTATGCCATGGTATCTCAATGCAGTGCGCCAGTAATGCAGTTCAAAAGAGCAACGCAACCGATTCATTATATCAGCCCCACGTAAAATCGTCGCCAAGGGTCTGTACCCCTTCCTGGCTTCTCCTGCAATTCCTGCTCTGTAATAGTTTCTAAAACCCTCCAGTCGTACACAGCAACCCATTCCCGTTCGCCATCTTTTCTTCTCAGGTCAGCGTCCTTGATCTTCTGGAGGAAAGCCTGAGTTGCTTCTTTTCGTCTTGATTCGACCAGACAGATCTTGCGATATCTTCTGCCAGGGGTGGCTCTGGGTGTCGAGTCACATCTAAAGCTGCCTGTGCTTCTATAACTGCTCGCCCGTGAATCCATGCTGTGCCACACTCGCGGATCGAGGAGCGGGTCAACGATACCGTGGCTTTTTAGCAGATCATCTGTAATCCATGCATAACTGGATATACATGGGGATAGCAAGACGGAGCAGCTAGCAAGAGCGCATTCATGTGAGGCAATAGAGCAGCATGGAGCGTTCGACTCGCTTGGCTTGCTTTGCGTCCGAGTTGTCACTGAGCTTCGTTGAGTCCGGGAGACCCTACCTGGCGATGAGGACATCATTTCCGAAGCAGTGTAATATGCAATGGGTGAGGATGCACCAGTTTTTCCAGCGCAGAGATCGGCATCTTCTTGCATTGAATCCGTTAGGGGCAAGCTAGATGGAGAATTTTGTGATCCTGTACGCAGGTTCTCAGAAGCATTCGGGTCTACTTGGCTGAGCGGTTCCCGATGTCGCGTGCGAGATGACGCTGAGCCTGTCGTAGCATTCTGTTGTGACGAATGCATTGATGAAGCACCCGATTGTCTTCGAGTCCGCTTTGCGACGCAGCCTGGCTGTGTCTGTTCAGCAATTGGTCTTTTTACTACTTTCGAAGCTGACAGTACCAAACGATTAGTTTCAGGTTCTGCTGAAGACAACCCGGTTTCTACAGCCGAAGACGCCGGCGGTATGAGTATATCACGTCTGGAGTCCTCTATATTATACCTGGATGGTGTTGACGATGAAGATGAATAGGTCGTATCAGAACACGTAGTCGCTTGACTCAGTGTATCTGCGATGAACTTTCCTCGATCCATCTTTTCAAGCGCTTTCACCCATTGACGCATCTCCTGGCTATCCTCCTCTTCCGGAACATGAGTTGCCGCCTCCGCTATGTTCTGCAATTCCGAAAAAGTGATAGTATCCAAATAGGATCTATCATGATGAACCTTGGCAACCTGCGGAAATCGCATACTCCAAAAGTCGGTGTTCGGTTCCCGATCGAAGGCAAAACATCGCATATCAAAGACCAGGGGGGTTGGGAATACAACCGTTGGTTTCTTTGGCAGCGCGCTTCCGCTATAGTCAAGCTCAATGAAGCTGTTTTCCTTGTATGGTACCGTTAATGGCCTTCCCTGAGCCCAGAATGCTGATAATATCGGCCCGGTAAGCTCAACGACGTTCGTTACACGAAACCGAGGCATCTCCGTTTTCACCCTCACTTGGTTGCTGTTTTCCAAGCACCCTATGAAAAAATGGGTCCATCTCACGTTGGGCATTCTATACTCTTTTGCCTTTGCAGCATCGTATGATGCCCCAATGACTGCGAAGTCTCCGACATCCCCCCATCCTTGGATGTACTCCTTTTTCAGCTTAATATTGAAGCAACCATAACGCCTCGTTCTTCCACTAAAATCGAAATAGGGTTCGTCTGGCTTCAATACTAATCCTTCCCCACGAGAGGATATGCATTGGGCAAAGAGATCGCGTAGTGCTGGCACGGCTGAGGCCCGGGAAGTATGGATGGTGTTCCGTGGTACAAGTTCTGCATATCCCTTTTGACAAGTGATTAGTTTGCTTAGCCGTCGAAACCGCTCACTATTCTTTATGCCTAGTAACGATTCATCGTCAATGAGAAGCACATCATAGTATATGATCATGAGGTGCTCGTATCCATGCGCCCTGGTTACTTGTGAGTACTTGCACAGCCGAATATAGGAAGAGTAGGCGTACTGTGAGTCATTGGCAGTGCCTAAGAATGAACCGGAGCGGGAAACGTGTTTGCGTATCTTATGGAATGGGAGAATTTTGTTATCCTACCACGTGCCTGTTAGAAAACGTGAACAGACATAACCCAGGTATGGAACAAGTACTTGCCTTGGTACTATATACCACGAGTTCTCCTTCCAGGATACAGCCTTTGGCGAGTTGACAATCTGCATGTCCTATCTTCAGAGATTCAAGTATAGACCTATCTCTACTTTAGTCAAGGCCTAGGAAGGATTGCGCGGTTTTGACTGACTTGTGCAAGCCGATACGATCAGCAGTGCTATCTTTACCGCTCTTGGAGAAGATCCGGATGCAATCGCGAGGCTTCTGAAGGTCGATATGAATCTGACAGTACTCCCCGTCGATTTTTTGCTCGCATAAGACCTCCCGCCCCTGTGCCATATCCATGCAATGCTTGATGCTTCTTCCTTTGAGCCATGGCTGTCTCCCGACCTTTGTTCCAAGGCGTGGTTTTAGTATGCTTGCAATTGTCTCTGGCGCATCGCGTGTCTCGTCAATGTGTCGCACGTATGCAGTGGCGGCGGCAAGGTCGTCTCTAATTTTCATCATCTGAGGCAAAAGTGGGTGATAACTGCGGAAGACCACATGCTCATTCAGCTCTACGGGACGGTAGTTCTTCAAGACTAATCTTGTAAACCATTTCGCATCACGCGAGCCAAGGCGAGTATAGATATCAGCCAATAGAGCATTAAGATCACGTAGGTTAGATGCTTGATGTAGGGCTCTAACAGCAGGTGAGCTGAACCTGCAAGCTGCCGCTACGCGGCCTAATGTTTCATCAATTTCTTCCACGGTAAGGTGGGTTGTATCATCGCGAGAATTAGGCTGGGATCACGGGTTGCCAATCAGTTTGATGGCTGATCTGAGACACGACAACTGGGAGAGCGACTCACCGTCTGACGTAATGCAGCCTCAACACAATCGGCAAGATCTAGATTAGTACCAGATTCGGACCATCGTCGAAGTTCCAACACCCGCGATGCGCCTAACAACAAAGCCTTGCCGAAAATACTCTGCAGCTTCGGGGCCTGGATGTTGTAGACTCGGTCCGTCCTTCTCTCGGGTAACAACGTAGAGAGGATGGCACAAATATCGCTTTCTGGCGCATTAATCAGACAACGGTGCTGCTGGAACCAAGAAGTGACGATCGAATCAGGGTGCACTTGTTTCCCAGGAGCTTTACGTCCTTCGTCATCGAGCTGTTGAAGTAAATCGCATATATACCGATATGGAAATGGCATGATAACTAAAGCTAATATGATCGAGATGAAGAGCCCTGCAAAACACACAAGTCACGGAGAAATGGGTCTATGCTCTCACTGTGACCAGGCCGATGTGTATGTATATATATATATATATATATATATGTGTGGTGTGAGAAGGTTCATGTTTGTAGGCAGCAAAGAGCAAAGCCATTGCTAGCGGACAAGTGTGGATGGAGCAAGTGGGATCAATTGCTGGAGGGAAACCTGCATTGAGATGATTGACAAAGGGCCCGGCCTTGCTTGGAGGCAGCAAAGGTCACCACCAAGTTACCGGTGTTGCGGTATTGGTATGGACTGCGATTGTGCGATTGTTGACGAGTCAAGTAAGTTGGCTTCCTCTGATTAGTGGACGCGGGGCTCAAGCCTCACGCGATGTCAATAACCCGTGTTCACGTGCGCCGCGCCTGCTGCACCCCCAGAAAAGGCAACAATGCCCGTTCAATGCCACCAGCTCCGTCATTGACATTTCAACAAGATCTATCTAGTGTCCTTTTTTTTTTTTTTTTTTTTTTACCAGTTGCTACATAGTACAGAAATTATGCGTACTTACTGTAAAGGGGTACAAGGTATTGCACCTTTCTCCCGCTAGCGATGGGACCTGCAGAACATCAATTTCGCCCTTGCAGGGTAGTTGACGCCTTTTAAGCTAGACCATCTGTTCGCCCCGGTTTGTGTGGTTGTGTGGGTTTTGTGTACACGTATATAGGTAGTTTTTCATACAATAATATGCTGTCCATTTAACCTTAGGAATAGTGTGGAATTTTTGTATTGCAGCTCAGTACTGTCCTTAATACTCAGTCAGTTACTCCTATAATATGTAGCCAGCCTACTACAATAGACAGCAAGCAACTGCTATGCGTCCACGCTACACGTACAAATAGGTATAGGACTGGCTATCATCGACTAATTCTACCCCTGCATCTCACGATGTACTATGTAGCCACCAAAAACCGCCCAGCCCAGTCCAGCCCGGGAGAAGATAGGTACTTAGTCAACGATCAGGGCTTCTTGTGGAGTTCGGACGGTTGTTTCGTCGCTCTAGTGGCTAGCCATTATTGAAAAGCGCGAGCAGGAAGCTCGGGTTGCCTAGGCAGTCATGGGAGCAGCAGGTAGGCAACTTGGGGACACTGGGTGCATATATGTACAGATTGAATCAAAATAAACAACCTCCAGGGCGAGGGATACAGATGAAGTAATCATTCTGCTAATATCCCATATGTAAAGATACTTAAAGCAAATCCTTACCAGTTCCTATGCCACCAACGCGGCAACTCCGCTCTCTCTTATTACTCATCTATGCTCTATCTGTTGTCTTTCGTTACAGTCCGTGGTGTTCTCTCACCCTTCAGTACTCCTCCTCCAACGGTCGCTAGCTTGGTTTTACAGCACACGGCGAACCATCACGGTCCCTTGAGTAGGTGTTTACTAGTAGCACTACCATTGCCAGTCAGTTGGACGTCCAACGGACGAATTCAGAAATCTCTCCTCCACTCCTTCTCATCGAATTCCCTGTACTGCTCTTCTGTGCCCTTCATCTAGCTCTCAGCCCCCCCCCTTGGCAGACAGGGACTACGCTATCTTCCTATTGGAAGTTATCGAGGCTGGGTTGCTATTATAGGTGGCACCCAAGCACGCTGCAGGTCCCAATCCCACCATATTACAGGGGCCTGCCAATTATATTGCCCAAGTACCACCTCCTTACCGTAGGAATTTCCTCCAATCTCTCCAACGCTGTTTTTAAACACAGCTTCACCTTCATTCGCTCTTTATTCCGTCACTGCTATCGCAGGTTTCGCGCACTGAGCATCACCATCTGCCTGGAGATGCCGATGGGGGGTTACCTGACAGTCATTACAATTTAATTCTTCGTCTGTCCATGAAACAAAAGCAGCTTTTACAAATCTGTCTGGCCACCTCTTCTTCGTCCACACTCTTTAATTACAGACGCCTCAACAACATAGTCACTGCTCTATATTCTACGAGAACGTCATATTCCGGGAGTCACCAGAGGCACCGCCGTGCCCCGAGTGCCCCGTCCCCTCTCTCTTTATACTATCGCCCCTATCCAGGGCAACGTCGACGTTTCACAGGCGAGCGCTCTAATTGCCGCTCTTTCGAAAACCTCTCCAAGCCATCATCAGCTCGGACAGACATGGGCTTGGAACGCCGTATGTCGCGTGCCTCACCCACTACGGCCGCATCGCTTAATGCGGTGTTGAATGCCTCAAGCACCGACTTTAGGTCAGAAGCCGTAGCTTCTGGTTCTGGTTCTGTTTCTACCCCTATATCTTCGTCGCAGGTCAGCGAAGAAGGATGGGCCGCAGAGGACTCGAATACCCTAGACGCGAAGACGTCAATGCCTCCGCCACAGCCGCCAGCTAAAACTGAGACATCCGAGACACGCTCGACTCGCTCAACTCGCTCTACATCGTCTGCCTCTCGAAATGCGAACCGACTTTCCTTGACACTGCCCATTGCGCCACCCAATAGTTTTTCTTCGAGACCTACCCCGACATCGTCAATGCCTCCCACTCCCGTTGATACTCTAACTTTGAATTCTCCCGTTGATTCGGAAGATTTTATCGTTGCTATCGCAGCACAAGAACGCCGCGTTTTGGAGCTGCGAGAAGAACTTGCGCGAGCCGAGGCGGGTCTTAAAAAGCTCCAGAGACAGTGGACAATATCTGAAGCTTGCAAAAAACGACCGCCAAACACAACTGCTGAACCCCGCCGAGCTCTGGCGCCCGCTGCGAGCTTGCGGGACGGCCCAGCAGAAAGTCCGGCATCAAAGCGCCATAGTGAGCTTGAGAGAAGAAAAGCTATTCTTCTTGCCCAGAGTCAAGGCGCATCTCGACAACCTAGGAGGACAGTGATTCGCGGGGGTCACACGCGGACATTATCTTTGCTCTCACCTACTAAATCTGTGAGTGGCATGTCAATGCATGAGGGCCAAAATGGTGAGCAGTCACCAGAGTCATTCATAATTCCATCGCCCACTCCACCTATTCGCCAGGTGAACAAACGCGCCACATGGGCACCGCCTAGGAGCACTCAACAGCCTACTGGTGTCAAGCAACTTGCCAATGACTTCAAACAAGGTCTGTGGACATTTGTCGAAGATTTGAGACAAGCAGCTGTTGGTGATGAGGCCATATCGGGAACAACGAATAGGACAACTGGGATGGGTTCAAGGTCCGAAAACACCGATAGTAACCAAGACACGATACGTGCATCCACGTCGACCCGTGGCCGCATCCCATTCTCTACTGAGCTGGAATCCCCATCTGATAGCCCAGATACCTCATCCGCGAGTAGTTCTAGCGATCGCTTTCAGCACAGACGAACAGCGTCAAAGCCTGAACCACGAACAAGGAAACACTATTCTTGGACGCCGTTGACCTTCGACAGCTTCGATGATGATGACTGGGCAAACTGGGATTCACCCAATGTCAAGACATCACGATGGAGTGGAAGCACTGTAAATGGTGATATTGCCTCAGCTATTCCCGAAGGGGCCAGTGAAGCTGAAGCCGTACTGTAAGAGCAAGCCACCAGTCAGAATGCCCAGAAAGCATAACAGCAGCAATGAAATCCAGCTTTCTAATAGAATTGAGAACAGACAACGCAAATCTTCGAATGAAGAAAGTCAGATCTCGCCTCCAAGGACTCCCAGCAAGCTTGAAGAGCTTCCTCAAGCCATCTTAAACAGCCTAACGCCTAGCAACATCAGAAACACAACTTCAAATCTGATCAGGGAGTGGGAGAAGAGCTTGACGCCGTCGCCCCGATCATCTACGTATGGAGCAGATTTGCAGGACTTTAACACAAGCACCCAGTAGGCATCAGCCGCAACAGCATCATTGAAAGTTGCTGGTAAGAATTGGGAGGCGGTAGCTGAGTTCAAATTCATCGCGCATTAGCAGGTTTTGAGGGAAAGCTAGGGTTCGAGCTGATGGGGACATCCGAGTTGAATTTTTTGAATCAGCTTTGTTCATGATTGGAATATAACCGTCATGTCAAACGAAAAGCTCTCTGGAGAGCAGTATACTGTTTTTGGTAAACAGAGTATGTTACTAGGGTTTAATATTTGTACGATTCATGATACTAATGATAGACGATAATGTAACGACGAAGTACGATCGTTGTGCGTTGTCAGCTATAAACATTATAATCACATTTCCCCCTCCACGTTGTTCACTGTGAATGCCTCGAACGAAAATAAGGAGACGACAATAAACAGAGGGAAGCCTTTATTACGACCTGAAATATCGCAATTACTCTCGCCTGCTGAGCAATTGGACTGATCAGTTTAGTCAATAAAGAATACAAAGCTGTCGCCCAACCACGTACTGTTATCGAGCAGGTCGGATCAATGGGATGTTGAGACGAGGAAGACCTAAGGACCTACTCAAGAGTCAACAAGCAAGGCCAATGAATGGGCTGTGGCGTGCCCCCTCTCCAGACAAGTGTAGACTTCCTTACAAGTTCAACTGATCATTAAATGTCTGCATTGTGGTATGAACAGATAGAGGGAAGGAGGAAACCATCAGTAAATCTCTCGCTGTGTCAACATGTGAACTGAGAGTATCCTGTGATCCCTTCAATCCGACGGAAAAGGGGTCACCCGAGCGAGAGGCGCGTCACGTTGGTATCCACAGTACAGTTCTCGCATCGCAGCGTGCAGGTGCAGGTGCAGTGCGGGGAATCTAAACGTCTGCCTGCTAGCGAGTGTATAAGTCAACATCGGAAGAAGAACTCAAGGGAACCTGTTTCTCTACATCCTTTGTCTATTCCCAGATCGAGACTTTAAATAGATCAAGAAATCGAATTTATTGGTATTCATGCATATAAACATATCAATGGACCCTCTGCCGTCGGAAGAAGTGGCCAGTACACAGCGGGCTGAGCTACCCACCCCGAATAGCACACATTCGTACTGGCATCGCGATCCTTCCAAGAAGCTGCTAAATCACCATACTACGGAAGATCTCCCTTCTACTGCCGATGTCATTGTTGTTGGTAGTGGGCTAAGCGGGGCATTTGCCACTCGAGAATTGGTGGCTGGTGGACGGAGTGTGGTGATGCTTGAGGCGAGGGAAGCTTGTTGGGGTGCAACAGGACGAGTGAGTCTCATCACGTCTCCGAGTTTTTATTTAGAGAACCTGAAGCTCCTCTTGACCTTGATAGCACTGCCATTGCCTTCTGGCCATAGTCTTACCCGACTATGAAGATGTAATACTCACTAACAGATACCTATAGAATGGAGGCCACTGCCAGCCCAATGTATGGGGCACCACTGAAGAACTCGCGAGATTCGAGCTCGCCACATTCAATATGGTCAAAGATCTAATCACCCAACACAATGTCCCTTGTGACTGGAAGGTAGTTGGCGGAATCCGCGCCATATACACGGAGGATGTCCTCGAAGCAGCGAAGCAACAGATCGAGCGTTTACAGAAGTATCCAGATCTCAAGGACAAGGCATTTCTGATCACAGAAATAGCCGAACTCGCAGCTCAGCACGTCCCGGATGCCATAGGTGCCATACTACAACCGAATGCCGCCAAGCTATGGCCATACAAGCTCGTTGCGTGGATTCTAGAGACGTTGGTCAGCGAGCACGACGCAGCGGCTTTTAATCTTCAGACTAACACGCCTGTAACAAATCTTGAGCGCGATGGGACATCATGGGTCGCGCATACCCCGCGCGGGACTACCCGGGCCCGCGAAGTGCTTCTCACGACGAATGCGTACACGTCGTATCTGCTGCCTGGTCTGACGGATGTAATTTTGCCTGTGCGCGGACAAGTCTGCGCTCTTGAGCCGCCACAAGGCGCGGTCCAGCTGCCACACAGCTACGTGGTATGTATCTCCTGGAGTCACGCACAGCGACTTGCGGTGTCAAATTTTCTGTTTAGGATGACCAGCATATACCATACAAAGCTCCTCAAGGCTTTCTACCAGGGTGAATAACTATTGACTTGTACAAACTATAGTGGACAGATGCAAGTGATCAGTACCTGATCCATCGGGGCCTGGACGACACCCAAGTCGGGGTGCCAGATAGAAGTCTGGTTTTAGGGGGCGAACGATTTGCCGTGCCGGAAGGCGAAGAGGGCATATCCCGCGATGACGCGATCAATCCGATAATAAGCCGCGCGCTGCACAGTAGCCTGAGCAAGGCCATTAAGCTGCTTCCCGGTGGCGAGCCAGAGAAAAAGGAATTACGCGCCGCGTACGAGGTTGGTTCCCTGGAGTCATTTATCCCCCCCACGCAGGCTTCGGGCCTCGATGGTCCTACATACTCCCGAAACATGGACTGAACCCCTTCCCTATCTGGCAATTACTGACTCCAGCGTGCGTAATTAGTGGACGGGGATCATGGGGTATTCGCGCGACAGCCACCCTTTCGTCGGGCGCGTACCGGCGTCTTTCCTTGCGGAAGGTGAAAGCGAGACCTCCGCGACCGACGGGCTGTGGATCAGCGCCGCCTTCACGGGCCATGGAATGCCGGTGGCCCCGAGGTGCGGCATCGCCGTGGCGGAGATGATGCTTGGGAAAGAAGGTGGTGTGGATATCCCGGCGGCTTGGGTCCCGAGCGATGAGAGGATCGCGAGGGCGCGGCTCATGGAGCTACCTAGGACTGTCGAGGATCTAATAAGGTCGCTACCTTCTGTGGATTGAAATCTATGTTCCTAGCTATCGCATTACGGGTTTGTAATCCTCCCTTTTTCTCGTTGAGTGGAATAGATACGGGCATGTTAGATTTGCATAGAGGGACGAGAGTCAGGTTATGGAATCTTTGATCCAGAGACTTCCTATAATAACGGTCTTCCAAGACTTTCAGTGGAAGCTATCGGTATCAAAGTAATCATGACTATGCCAATAGAACAAGACGGACGCTTAGTCGTCAATTTTAGAAATCTGGGGCTGGCCTGTAACATGTCACGAGGGATGTTATCGAGTTGAAAGGCAATAGGTCGCAAAGTAGGTTGAATATGGACCAAAGAGTTGCTCGAACTGTTTGTCGTTTCTTAACGCAGAAGGCAGGAGAGGAAGGCGAACAATAGTCTTAAACATAATTTTCGCAGTATGGATGTTTATCACAGGATTCAGCAGTCGCCTTGTACATGGAACAGCGACGTAACCCAAACAAGATTATCCTAATTTGTACTGAGTTCCCTAAACGCCTTGCTAACAGAATGCCACTGCGATAGCCCAATAGGCATAAATCGACACCTCATTACCAAGCAAGATCTCCTTCGAGGCGATATTTGCGTCTGAATAGCAGTGATATGATAGCCGTTGCCCTACAATTATAACCCCTTGAAGTGATGGCAGCTGTTGCAAGGATGCTCTATCTATGCTCTAGGTGCAACTTCTCATGCCCCCTGGTCGAATCGTGATGAAATAAGCTACCGAGCAGGGCTCTTGCTACCCATTCGCGCGGAAGGGGACCTTGACCTACGGCGTGGCGAGTCGTTTGGTTCCCGATTTCTCAGTGGTGATTTGTTTTCTTTAGCTCGTAAAGGTGCCTGGGTCGCAGTTGTTTGCCCCTTGCGGTTCCATTGCTCAAGCATTTCCTTCACCTGCGAACCCCAGACCTCCTCACCTTTAGCTAAATCTGCGAACTCCAGGCAATTAGAGCTCCCGAGAATAAAGTCTCCTTGGCGACTTCTACAAAGTTCGGCCATCATAGCAGAGGAGGAAACTTTAACCCCCAAATCATGGCAAAAGCTTCGTACGTAAAAACCCGAAGTAACGGTCATTCGAATCCGCGCAGCTGGCGGTCCTTTGCCATCCCAAGGAGGTGTACTTGATTCGGGAGTCTCGGGAATAAGATTTGATCCTTTGCCAGGTTTGGGAGCCGCAGGTGGCAACTCACCCAGGGCGCCGGACATCATGGGATTATCCTTTTGGCGATCCCCCTTTTTGCGTTTGTTCAGTCTGTCAAATACGAGGGCATCAACGCTCTCGTCAGCCTTTCTCTTAAAATTTTCGTGTTCATTGCGGGCCTTCGCATCAGCTTCCTCCTCTTCAGGAGTAAGCTTTTTCGATTCCATCTGGTCCTTCTCAACCTTCCAAACCTGTTCAGCGAAGCCTCGCTCAAAACTCGTGGCTTCTTCCGACGGCCACCGATGCGAGTGTGTACCAGGTTCATACCATTCCACTAGCTCCAAATCCGAGACGTTTACTTCTCTCGTCGCGATTTCTCGTGGTATGGGTTTGCCTTCGCGCGCATATTCGTATAGAGGCTTTCCTTCCATCTTAAGGGCAGAGTACAAAGGGGGCATCTGTTGATATTTACCGCGGAAGGACTTGAGGGCTTCCTCGACTAGAGGACGGGTAATATGATCGTAGGTTGTCTTCTTCAATATTTTGCCGACCCTGTCGTAAGTGTCGGTGCTTGCGCCGAACAAAACTACCGTCTCGTATGTCTTTGTGCAGTCGAGAAACGATTGCAGAGACTTTGTGCCTTTACCGACACCGAGAATAAGGACGCCGGTGGCTAGCGGGTCCAGAGTGCCGCCATGACCCATCTTGACTCTTATATCATTTTTGCCAAACCCGCGCCGCTTCCTCTTGTTATTAGATTCAGATGATCTATTCGCCATCTCCCGGTCTACCATCGGCTTGAAAGTTGCAGAAGGGTTGAAGTGGTGTTGGCAATCCCGTATTACTTGCGCGGAGCTCATGCCTATTGGCTTGTTGATACCTGCAACAAGCTCTCCAGGTTAGCCGGATCCAGGTATTCAATTGCAAGATGGCAGTAGGAATAGGAGTACCAAAGACACCGTCCAATATGGAGGTAGAGGCAGTGCCAGATGCTGCCATTCTGAACAGTCTAGAAGCTGTCATTCGATAGAGAAGAGATCGCGACTTTGAAGACCCTTAGAGAGACGAGCGCAAGACTATGTGATTTTCCTAGCAGCAATTAAGGCTGTTGTTATATGCTCTGGCTATTGCACCAAGTTATGATATACAAATAGAATTAGAGGGGACAATTAAGAAAAGATGTCAACCGCAGCTTTGGCTACGATTTCATCTTTAGGAAAGAAAGAAAAAAAAAAGTGTCCAGCAGCATTGGTCACATACATACGTTCAGGTTTAATCCACTACTTAAGTACTACCGAATAGGTACCCCACTAGTACCTACCTACTGTAGACATTTATACATTCGGCACCCACTGCGTATGTTAATACGGATGGCTACGTACATAGAAGAGAACCTAAAAGTAACTGAAACTAGGTAACTACATGTTGGTACTGAGTTACCTATATATGATAAGTACGTCGCGTTTCTTCTTGTGTCCATGACAGATCCATGAGCAGGGTATCACAATGTACCTAAGGGAAGCGCTTAGAGGCGCGTATCCTACCTACCCCACCTATAAACAATGTACCCAGTACTCAATTATGGATACTACATGTACATACGTGTGTATGTACTCTACCTAGATACGGAGTAAAATGTACCTCATTAAAGGCGCTCTAGGTGAGTTCTAGGTAGCTGTAGTCCGCCGCCGCAGTGGAATTACCACATAGGAAGGTATATGTAGGGTGGTACCTAGTATGTAGAAGGTACCAAGCTAATGCGTCGCGTGTTCTACATACATACCTACATACACCTAGGTAATAGTGTAGTGTAGATGACCTGTTGCAACTTGAAGTAGACAGTCGCATTCATAAACCAGGCGCTTAGTTGAACTTCTTATACCATTTCCCATTGCTTCTTGTTTACCTACTCACTTATATTCATCCAACTTCTATTTCTACTTCCATACATCTTTATCATACACTGAGTCCAGTCTTCAAGCCGGCCTCTCTCCCTTCACTGATCTAGCACATCCCCTCCCCCCCTCCTCCCCTCTTCCGCCAACTTTCACATCGTCGATCACTCTGCTACAGTTGACGAGAGACCTCACACTTGCTTCAGCCCACATCGTAGGCAAGACCTTACCGATACCGATACAATCGAGCACATTGCGCCCGCTTCCGCCGTCATGGCCAAACGTAGAAGACTCGCCATGCCGGTTCGTCCCCCAACCTACGAAGATACTGCCCGCCACTACAAGGAAACGTCAGTGCTGAAGCCAGTCAGCCCCTCTACTCACACCGATAATTGGCCGTGTTTCCTCCTCTCCGAAGCCACCGTCCATATGCGCGATGGCAGTTTGATGGATCTGCTGAATGTCGACCTGTTCGGTCCTTTTATCGTTCGCGGAAAGCTTGAAATTGAGAAGGATAACGAGAGATACCGTACGCGCACTGGACCCTATTGTAATCTGCTTGTTCTTCGCTGACCTGTTCTCTGCACAGTTGTCAATCGCAACATGAAGGCGAAAACGCTTTGGATCCAGATTGAAAGCTCGCGTACCTTCTCCGTAGGCGCCAAAGATGCCAGCTTAACCTCCCCCGTAGTATGGGCCAGCGGCGAGGCAGGTTGGTTCGAGATTGTGCCTGCACCATGCTACCAATATATATGTGATGGGATGTTCCAAGCTGTCCGCCTGCACTACTCTCTTCTGGACCAGTATGAAGAAGCCGTTGAGAAGCTACGAAAATCAAGAAAAAAGAAAAGGCCGACGTTCGCAGATGTCTCTATTGAGATAGACGAGCTACTCTTCCAGGTAGGTCACGTTGCTATTAACGAGCGTAAGACATGTAATTCTAACAATCATATAATACAGTGTGCTCTACGTGCTGGAGACGGTCAAACTGTTGAAGAAGCCCGCAAAGTGTTGAAATACAATGGCGCGTTTTTCTTGTCACATTTCCCAAAGGACACTAATTTATACCCGCACCTAATCGAGCAGCAGCCTGTGAGTGATTGTCTTACTATATATGTGTGTTCTCAACTGACAATGCGATATTTAGGGTGTTGCTAGACTCCTAACTCAAAAGACTGCAAGCTCTAAGTGGACCGAATTCCTCAATAAACCTAGCCCTTTGATAGCTTACGACTACTCGCAAGGTAAAGAATCTTCATCGCCCGAGATTCCTAATGGGGGGAAGAAGGGCAAAGGGCGCCCTAAACATAGTGTTTCCCAAACCACACGGTCTAGTGAAATGTCCGACATGAAAGGCGTTGTTAGCTCATCCAAGAAAGATCGAGGGCATCACCAATTGAGATCTACGAGGACAAAGACCGGATCTCCAGCAGAGATTCCTCAAAAAGTTGACGATATCACCATGACGGATTCGCCCAGCAACAACAACCCGGGCCCCTCGAAATCACATAATGTTCGCGATGGAGTTGGTGGAGACAATGCGACAATAGACACCAGTGCCACACAAGGGACAGAATCATCGAGCCATGTTCTCGTGGGTGCCTTGAAAGACGCTAGGAGAAATTATCTTCAGTCAATCAGTGAAGGTAAACAGAAGAAGCAGCTACACCAAATAACCGCCAAGAGCTGGCAAAACAAGGTTTACCTAGAGTGTAACATCAAAAGCTACAGCGCGGTAGAAGAAATCTTTCAATATCACGCTCGAGATCTGGTGCGGCTTCTAGGCCCAGAATGGCACGATACTAAAATCTATCAGTGGGCTAAAGAGAATTCATCAACTTCGCCAACACTCACACTCATCTCGGAAGCAGAGGTCAACCAAATTGTCAGAAGAGTGAAGAAATCGGCACGAACAGCACATACACAGAACGTCGCGAGCGAAAACGAGCAGTCAGTAGTCAACGAGTATGCGGGCAAACAAACACCCAGAAATCGCCAGAGTGGTAAGGCCGCTGGGCTGAGGCCGTCTACGGGAGGCAAAAAGCGAGTGCGACAAGAAATGGACTTTGACGACGACATGGACCTTGATGAGGATGGAATACTCAACAAGAAGTACAAAAAGTCGCATTATTTTATCGAAGAGGATGACGAAGTTGATGATGACAATGACAGCACTGAAGACGACGATGAAGACTCTTCGGGTGAGAGCAAGTCCCATGTAGGAAAGGACACTATGGCAATGACACAGCTTGTCATCCGTGCAGAGAAACTACCGTCGGCCCAGTCACAAAGACTCAACCAGACGTGGATTTGCGAAGAGCCTGATTGTGGTTACATCGTGAGAGCCGCCCACGAAGAAGACGGCCAGAAACTTATCAATGCTCACTACGAAGGGCATGAGAAAGAAGCCCAAGATGAAGCACATGAGATGGCCTTAGACAGGGTCAACCTTGCCGTCCAAGAGGCAAGAGGACATATGCCAATTAAGTATGCTTAATTTCATCATATCTTTTGGTCTGCTATGACAAAGGCATAGCACATCATTGCCTTCAGTGCGTCCGCGAGGCTGGTAGTTCAGTTAAGGCGCTAAAACGACCCATTTTCTTCTAAATGGGCCGTTTGGCGTGCATTGATCTGGTAGGATCAATGTATTCGGTCATGCATGCGACCCCTCGTTTCTTCTGCACAGCTTTCGTGGATTTTTTGGCCCTAAACCCCATTATCAGGTTAACATATCTAACATTTTCTTTTCTATAGTCACCTACTCGAAAAGATTCGCAAACTAGGCGAAAACTCGAAGCGGCGCGATGAGGTCCATCTGCATGGGCAGGCGGTTCCTGAGCCAATCAAAAGAACTCTCCTCATATGATTACATGAGATCTCTCAATTCATTACGCCTATGCGCACAAGCTATACTAGGCTTAAACGATCTGCTTTTGAGATCCCGTATTATTGCCGATTTAGGCGAGCTTGCCCAACAAAACACCAAACGTTTAGCTATAGACAGGATTCTTTCCATTACCCAACTGGGGTTGGCAAGCCTGGCCGAATCCATGACTCAAGACAATGTAAATACAGATGAGGGGGGTTGAAACAGATCGGATTACTCGGCGAGGCCATGGTTTGACTGTCGATATATATTGAAGGATTCGGTGTTTGGCAGATTAGAGTGGATGATACCCCAGCTTCTTCGTATGCTTTTCCGACTTATGACTTAATATGAATGGATTTCCATGACTTTATCTCAGATGATACGCGACTATTTTAATGGCCTATTATCTAGTGCCTACGGAAATATCATGAATGCAAGTTTTTGGATGTTACAAGTATTGAGAGCTGTGCTAGTGCATTTGTTCTAGTATGTCACACTGGATCTGAAGCTATTAGGTGTCAAGATCAGAATGTTAATAGTGAAAGGTCACTGGACTCAAAGAGTCTACGCTCATCACTGTCAGATTTCTAGGTTGTCTAGTCCAAACGCCGGCATCGTTACACTCCAATTCATTATACAACCTGGCCTGACATGAAAGCGGAATATGTAATTTGATGAACGCAAGCCAACGAGCTCTTGTTGATAAACGTATTAGTAGGGCGCATTCTTGCTTTTAGCAGATGGTGATTAGATCTCGGGTTTCATATATACTTATATTCTTACTTACTAGCATAGCCTAAAGTTTACTGGCATGTCTATGTAGACAAGTGCTTTCGGCTCGTCGAAGGTGTGTAGGTACTCTTTCATGTGTATTGACACCAAGATCCATGTCTTCCGCTTCCAGTGAATCGACATACTGATGTTCTCTTCGCACAGACGCGTGGAAGAAGATGAGATGATCTGGAATAGGGGTAAGTAATTCCATTCGCCTTTTTCTGTGGCTTATGATCAGTCGTCAAACGACGTAGTATGCATTCAGCTTCACGCGTGAATCGCTATCGAGAACCGAAAAATCCTGTCCGAAGCTATAAGTGCGAAAAGAAAATGGAAACATGTGCATCGTTTTATGTTGCTGATCATACGGCGCTTGAGACCTGCCTATGACTAGGATAGTAGAAGATGAAAGGGATAGGATGGAGGGATGATGTTCTCTATGTATATAGACAAATGTTTCCGTCATGAGATATACGGGATTACGCAAGTTTCGTGAGAGCTAAATTATGTAACACAAGGCGTTTTGTTTTGTAATGATTTGACCTAGACCTGCTACCAGGAAACCCTAAGGGTCTGAGAATTGGATATGTACATCAGCGCCATCCTCAGATGGCTGTAACCATACGCTCCAAAAGAATCGATAGAACTAGATTATATCTCTATATGCTCTATGGCACCATAGCGCTGGTGGCCTTTTCGGCATCGCTGTTGGAGTGGTGCTCTGAGTGAGGCATATGAGACTTGTGTTCGTCGGTCTGATCGTAGGCGATGAGCAGCTCGCCATTCTTTCCGTAACGCCGCGGCTCCTCCCTTGCTACGCGCACCACGTCGAGGTAGCCCTTGACGCCATCAACCTTGTGAAAGATGCTATGAAAATAAACACGTCAGTCTAAGGTTTACATTTCATGAGAATCTGCACTAAGTTCGCTGGGCACTCACGTATCCATTTCCTCCAGAGATCGGTACGCCGTCTCGGGGTAAAAGAAGTAAACGGAAGGGACCATGAAGGCATTTATAACAGCGAAGATGATATATGTCTGGTAACCAATGTTGTTGAATGCAATGGGGGTAATGACTAAGGAGATTCGTTAGTCGCCTACTCTCTGTGTATATTCGACAGTCCCAACATGATGCAATTAGAAGGGTTTGCACTTACTAACGACAATAAAATTAAAAATCCAATTGGCAGAAGTGGATAAGGCGTTTGCAGGTGCCCGAATCTTCAGAGGCACGATCTCAGCGGGATAGAGCCAGGTCATTCCAAGCCAGCCGACGGCGAAAAACGTGTTGAAGATGAACAGCAAGGCAATAACAGCGATCGACGGTCCTTTGGGCGGGTTGTCTCCTCCAGTCAGCGACGCGGAGCCTGCAAGGGCAGCCATGGTCGCGGCTTGGCCGGCAGCACCGAACAACATGAGCTTGCGTCGACCGACGCGATCGACGAGATACACTGCTGGCCAGGAGGCGATGAAGTATTCCGTGCCGTTAAGAGCTGCGAGCAGTCGGGAAAGAAACCCGCTGAGGTTCAATCCGGAGTAGATGACAGCCGCATAATATGTGATAAGGTTGATGCCTACGGATTGCCACGATCAGTATCTTCTCCCCTTATGGTCCTAGAAACTATAATTCAATGGGCATCCATCCTTACCAGAGATCTGCTGGAACACCTGGTTGACATAAGCGAGCAAGGTTCTGTGGAATTCCCTGAGCACCTGTGTTAGTCTACCCTAGGATTCTGCATGCGGGAGTGAATAATAGTAACAAACCTGTCTTTCGTCATCTTGAATAGATCGGAGAATTTGCCCTTGGACATTTCCAGGACTGTCTCCTTGATAGCCAAAAACTCATTCTGGACCATGGGATCGTCAGGGGTGCTATCAGCCAGCGCAGCCAGAACTTCACGCGCCTCCGGCTCCCGGTTCTTTAGGATTAGCCATCGCGGCGACTCGGGGAGATTCCAGATGAAGGCCAGAATGAATACGCAGAAAACAATTTGGAAGGCCAGAGGAAACCGCCATGCGACGGTGCCCGGCGCAAAGCTGAAGCCGAGGTCAATCCAATATGAGAGTGTAATTCCACCTGTAATCAGGGCACCTTCAATCATGACCAGCTTGCCTCTTTTATGTGATCGCGAAGTCTCAGATTGCCAAGTGGGCACTGTGGATGTATTTCCGCCGTTTCCAAGACCGGTGATGATTCGGCCGACGATAAGATGTGGCAATGTGGTCGCCGACGCCTGAAGAGCAGCACCAACTATCATGATAGCGGTGCCGAGAATGATCATGCGCTTGCGACCAAGTTTATCCGAGATAAAAATACTAATGACGGCGCCGAGAAAGCAGCCTAGGTTGTAGCTCGCGACGGCAATACCTTGTGTCTGAGCTCGGTTCGACTTAAGCGCTGGGTTATCCGCAATGGCCGGGTCGTCGGGGTCGATGGAGGGAAAGATGCTAAGAAATTGAGGCATTGTCAAGATGCCACCCATGACACCCTGGTCTGTGACGCTCTTGTTAGTTTTCACGGTATCAATTCAATCATGGGCCATCTTTTCCCGAGTTCACCTGACTGACGGCTTGGTGGGGGTAGCGCTGAGCCAAGTAGAGAGCTTGCTTACCGTAACCGAAGAGCAGAAAGTCGCAGCCAGCGACAAAACCGACAGCATAATTGAGGGCTTGCCCTCGAAGGCCGAAGAATGGCTTTCCCATGGCGACTAATCACAGCGGTGGACGACCGCGTTCTCTCTCTCTCCTTGCGAGTTGAACAAGCGTTGCCAGATCCAGCCGTATTCTAGGAGTGAGCTGGTATACCAGGTAAACCTGAGTGTGTATGTTCAAAGACGGCAGTTATCAGCCAGGCTAGCGGTCTTCATTCATTCGAACAATATTTATAAAGTTCTCAGTCCTGATTCAGCGGGTCACAGGCTGCTGCTGCTTCTACTTATATATGCTTAGTCGAGGCTTTCCCAGGCCGTTTGGCAGACAGATGCCGATCTCGTCTCGTTTAACGCGATGCGCTCACGGCTACACTACATAGGCGTCGAGAGAGGACACAGTCAGTGTGGAGACCGAGGATGTGAACAGGCAAGCCGTTGGCTACGACTCTGACGACCTCTCAGCATCTCCACTGGCCTACGCATGATCCCGGGCTACGCAGAGTCTAAGCGTATACTAGTCCAAATAGTTACCGCAGAACGAAGAACAAGTAAGCCCGATGGATGGAAACATGTACCGAAGGGCATTGAGACCACGGGGTCCGGTTTGGTTTTGCTGTGCAGTTCACCATGCGCTCGCACACCTGAATGCAATCCCTCGGATAAGGGGGCCTTGGTCTGTCGCCGACGTCGGTAGTTGGAATGCTACATGAAAAAAGAAAAACCAATTATTTTCTCTGATCTGCTCTGGGCTACACAACGAGGTGTAAAACATACGAGACCCTTAAGTCAGGCGAGGGATACCCCTGCTCTATCTAATATTGCCTGCTACGCAGTCCGAATTGAAGATTTGCAGTACCTATCTAGGTAGGTAGCAAAAGACAAGACAATGTACATAATCGCGCAGGGTCAGGATCAATGCCTTCTGGGTATGTTCACCTCGGCAGTGGCTCGGGACCTGCATTGCATACTTAGGAATATCAACAAATCATTGCTTAAGAAACTTTGCTGCAGCCTGTAGCTGTGTCGCCCAGTTTTTGCTGGTGTTCGGTCGAGTTCCCCATCCCCAACGCTATCTACATGCCTATGTATCTAGGTACTTATTCCCCAGATTCCACCCAGAAACTCTCCCCCTCTCCCCGCAAGAATCTCCTCTACTATGTAAGAACTTGCAACAAGCGCTTTTTCGCCCCAATTACCTCCATACGAAGTACTTTGATTACTTAATTTTGGTCAAGACGGATTGCCCGTTTGGGGAATCCGCCCATCGTCTACGAGAGCGCCCCTGACGTCAGAGCATCGGTAGTGTGCTTGGCATGGGGCACGGGTGTTCCTTTGGCGACTGGAATTGCCGAGTACAAGCACAGGGCAGACACAGGGCCTGTCCATGTAAGTGGTACCGTACTAGAAAAATAATCGCGAACGAGACACTGCTCGACTGCTTTCTTCTCTATGAGTCGGCTTAGAATCGCAAGTTAATAAGTAAATCTGACGATATATCTTACGGCTGGCAAAATTCTTTCCCCATCTCCTCACTCGGTGGAGCTGGCATGCCATAAAAGTACTAAGTATGTATAGGGCTGTATAGGGCTAGTTTGGGTATTGTACTTAGTTGGCACGCGAGTCATTGAGAATCCATGTACCCAAAACGAGCATGGCCCAATCAAGGCTTCATCAGTTGTCGGATGATTAAACTGGCTACTCCTAGATGAACTAACATGGGTCTGAAGTTTAGCTAAGATTATATTTTCCAAAACTTTGAAGAAGGACAAGAAACCCAGGGCTCAGTCGAATGAGTTGCCGAATGTGTTTTAGTACTAGGTAGCCTATTAGGTAATCGAAACGGGATGTCCTTCCTAAATTTTGAACGCTAGGTTCGCTTAGCTAACATCGTCTTTCTGCGGGTTTGCTTGTGAGAATGGCTAGCCAGGTAGGGATACCCGAAATACGTAATTATAGCAATTCACTGTGGTTGAAGAGCAGTCTTGACTGCTTGATACCAGTTTCAATTATCACCGTGCCATGCCAGCCAGGCATGAAGAGTTCTAAATTTCTAGAGGCCCCATGGGGAAGTACTCCATATCATGTGCATATGCGTAAGCTCATAAGCCTCGTGTCTGTTGTCGCGTGATGCAATATCTATCGTCGTATCTACAGTCATTCATATAAAATCTGCTGTGCGAGTCACTCATAATCCATTGTCCGTTTTGAACTTATCCCAGCTCTCGTTCAGAGTGGCGAATACGGTAGCAGCAATCAAGCGTGTTTCAGTGTTTGCATCTTGGGGAAGCTGATCATGGTGATTAGTATCACAACTGGAGAAGCACGTGGTAGTGGGGTAGAGATCATGTAGTTGGCACCCACCTTGTCTGGATGGCATTTTGCAATGGCCTTCATGTAGTGAATCTTAACCTTGTTGGCGATCACTAGTTCGTGTAAGCCCACCTTCTTCCAGCCACTATTCTCCCATAAGACCTGGTCGAGGCTACCCAGCAGTGCCCGTAGATTATCTCGCTTCCCGTCTCGCCAAGCCGCAATTCGGGCGTCGACTTTTTCACCAAGGGCAAATTTCTCGTCATCAGCAGCTTCGGCAGCTTTGTTAGCTTCTCGTAGTCGTTGAACAGCCTCTGAGTTCTGTTGCGGTCCAAGGTCGGAGATGGCAGAAGGTTTCGGACGAGGCTTGGGTGCTTGGACTGGCCGGGGTGTTGGTTTTGGCTTGGGGGCAAGCGCTTTCTGACATCGCTGTCGACCCGCGACTGCATTAGGGCCACCCACTCCAGCCTCAACGCATAGTTGCCATACATTCCCAGCATCTGCCCATTTTTCCATTTGCTCGAGCGCCTCTGCTTTTCGGCTAAGTGCCTTTCCATAGAGCTCTTTCATGTCACGCAATTCACCATCAGGCAGGGCCACATTCTCGCCTTCGCCATGTGAAGGGCCGATAATGGCGATTGCGCTATCAGCATCACTAACTGCCTGCTTAGGGCTACCTGTCTTGAGCGAGGTCAAGGCCCTATTGGTAAGGATGACGATGCAGATTGGATGATTTTGTGGTATGCCAGAGAGTGAGTTGGTATACGCTGTGTGTGCCGCATCATAGTCACCACGTTTGAAATGTGCCGTCCCATCAAGGCGGTGGCGAGCAGAAGTCTGTAATACTGATGAAGAAACCGTTGGTATATTTCTTGATGGAGCCGGGGGACGTGTGCTAATCGGCTTCGATATGTTTTGTGATGTAGATTTAGGTGCGGGTGAGCGCTGTGGAGAGCGCTGGGGCGTCACTCGATTAGATGACGGAGCTGAGGAGTCAAAAAGAAGGTTGTTGTCAGGTTCTATCCTTTGCGTTGGTTGTGGCGTGGCTTTCTTCCTTCTGGCGGGGCTGACATAAGCCTGTGCACTTTCTTCCTCTGCCATCTGTTTCTTCAATCGTGTCCGAGGATCTATTGAGCCCGGCGCCGCAGTTTGTTGCCACCGAGGCGCATCAGACTGACCAGATGGTCGAGTGGGTAAAGTGGGAGCATGTTCGCGAGATGCCTTGTGCTGAGAAAAATCGCGTTGGTGAGTCTGTTTCTCGGGCCGTCTCCCAGATTCGAGCATCAAAGCCTCATCAGTTGCATTTTGGGCCTCCCTTCCTCTGGGCACTGTCCGGTCTTGTTGTGCACTACGCATCCACTTTGGTTGGCTTGGATCGCCGCCATCTTGCTGGAAGTCAGCAACTGCCTTTTGTACTTGTTTCTGCCCAGTTTTCCATAGGGAGTTCGCCGTTTTGAAGAAGCTCGACCCCATAGCAGCAGCTTTCCGTGAAATATCGTCCATCTGGGCCGGCGACTGTGTATCTCTGCGTGGAGGCACTGGCCTATCTTCACCATCCCTGGCCCATGCAGCCCCACGGTTGTCTCTAGAACGACTGCCAGTTCTCCCTACGTCCTCGGAAGCATCACGCACCCTTTGCTGATTCCGAGCCTGTTTATGGGCGTCCTCCAATAACCAGCTGACTGCAGCTTGCACATTTACCCCGGCGCCACTCTCCGTTAAGCCACGCCTTGCATTCTCAGCTGTGAATCCCATATCTACCAACTCAGCTACGGCTTTGTCGAATGGGTCCGAGCCGGGATGCCCGCCCGTTGTTTCAGGCCCGGAATCCGAATCCGAATCATCTATTGGCTTCCCGGGTTGTCTTTTCTGGTCGGCTGCTTGCGCCTTCATTCGAAGCTCTTCCACAGGCCTGCCCAAATCTCCGAGAAAGTCATCATCATCTGCCACATCTGGTGTCAATTGATGTTGGGCTGAACCTTTAGGTTTTAGTTGGTTAAGGCCGAAAGGATCGTCATCATCATCATACAGTTTGCTTCCGCCCGGTGCCGGGACTTTGTTCCATGCGCTAGCATTGGACAAGTCCAGTTTGGCAGCACTAGCAGGAGTGCTTGTCCTAGATAGTGGCTGAGGTGGTGGAGGATAGTGGCTCGAGTTGTCAACTTTCGTATCTTTAGCAAAAGCCGCAAACAATTCGGCGTCGTCCTGGTCTCTGTTCTGCCCATTCGTGCTCCCTATTGCGCCAGGCGAGACAGTTCGTGACGCAGGACCTGACCCTTGACCAATTGTATCCCAAAACTGACCACCGCCGTACTGCGATTGAAACCTCCGTCTTTCTTCGTCTTCCTTTTGCCGCTTCTCTGCAACGAGTTGTTCTTGTCGTTCTCGGAGACTAAGGTTGGCATTGCTCTTGGTGCCACCAAAGTTGACCAAGTTACTAAAGCTGTCGGCCGCGGTTGGTTTAGAAACAGGTGGCTTCAAAGCCCCGGCCACCGAGCCTTGCGCAGACAAAGGTGTAGATCGGCCGGAGGCTTGCGGCGATGGGGTCGGACGTAGTGTTGGATAGAAAGCAGGCGGGCTTGTAGGGTTCATGGGCGGAGGCTTAGTGCCACTGCCGTTGGCAGAGTTGGCTGCAGACCAATCCAGGCCGGAGAGATCATCCATGCTGACAAAGTATTCGAACCGTCATATCAGGGGATATCATAGTATTTCGTACAAACAGACATCTTACCCTTTGGGATTCACTTGCTGGTCATGTTCAGTATATTGCCAGACAGCCAACCAATCCAGGTCCCTGCATCAGCCCGATCTTGGCATTCCCACAAATTAGACGGCTGTGGCTAGTGAGGGGCTTTGTGGCTTGCTCGGATACTGTGGACCTAGGTACCTACATACAGTGGTTTATGTTGTATGTAGATATACCTATTGCAAGGCCAACAACTGCCTCTCATTCCATAATTGCACCATGAGCCTTGAGAATGTGTATTTTCGCAGGAAACATAGAGCGAGTCGACTTGATGCGCCAAATTAAGGTCTTTGTAACCTTTTTTTAAGTCCGATCTTAGGTTTAATATCTGCGGACACCCGACTTTCAGCGGCTCCCTATTACCTACTATATGCCTTCCAACAATCTGATCGCACAATTATCATTATACAAGTGGTTATTGAGTGTGTAACGATGCTGAGCAGCAATATCATAGGTATTTCGTATTTGAAACTCTTATGCAAGAGAGTCTGTCAGACGTAAACTAGGGTCCGAAGATCACATATACGGTATATTCAGCTCACCGCTCCATCGTTTATAACATACGATAGAATCTAGCTAGCTAGAGCACTCAATACTACCTTGCATTGTCTCTCGTACGCACTGCATGGGCCGTGGGGCCCACCGAAGCCAGAGAGTTATGGAGCTCGGTTCGCCCGAAACCACTATATAGGTAAACTCTAGAGGGATCACTCAAGAAGTGTTTCTCAAGTTCGACCTCCAATTCGATCACCCGAACCCTATGATAGCTATCTTAGACGATTACTTGAATATCTCTTTATTTGATTACCATGTCTTCATCCGAATTTAGCGGCCGTACCCAGCAAGACTTGCCCCATTGGATATTCCAACTGAAGTTCCACGCAACCTTCAAAGAGGTCTGGGAACTCGTCGATCCTGATAACAAAGAAGGAGCTTCTCATCCACCAATCCAAGTTCAAAAACCTCCAACGAGAGCTGACGCGATTAAAAAGATAAAGGAGAAATCTTTACTACTGGGCACAATTGAGCCCAAGGAAGAAGGGATCACCGCACAACTAGACGAATGATCCAGCTCTTCGTTGCGGAGACTGCCTACTGGACCGTTAAGTCTGATAACTATATTGCTATATTTGACTGGATTGTTGCTACTTTTCAGATCGTTTCCTCTGATGAGGTCAACCTACAGTGACCGAGCAAAAAAAACGGTACAATTTGAAAAACCACTCACAGAATACTATATTTCTTAAAAAATCTAGAAAATCAACATAACAACTTATACATTACTTATATATAATTCTAAATAGAGAAATGATTATTTTATATAAATACTTTAAGAATTTCTTTCTTTTTTCCTTTTAAAGCTTTAAATTTTATTATTAAATATAATATATAAAATTTTCATTTTTACTACTATTAAAACATATTATAACTAAATCATATTTTACTATAGTAATTTAATTTTTACTTATAATAAAAGAAATGATTTATTAAGTACTATATATAAAGATTTTTTAATAATTTATTATCACTTAGAATTTTGAGTAAGTTGGAATTGAAAAGTGTGAGTTTTCGCGTTTTTTGGTGCGAATTCACGATTGTACCTTTTTTTTTGCTCCCCCACTGTAAAAGCGCTTGTAAAGGCCATTAAGGAACACATTTCCCCCACGGACTCCATTACCAAGAGCTTAGCTCAGCAGAGATACCAGCAGGTGTTCCGTAAGGCCAACCGAAGTCAGAGAGAGTCGGACAACTCGTGAGATGAGATTAGGTCAGGGTTTCAAGGCTATTGCTCGCATGCAATTTTCATTGCCTACGTTGACTGGTCTGATGGTCAACTTTAGTTGCCTCGATACAGGCTATCGTGAGCTCCATCCCTGACGACATCCATTGTTGGTTAACGTAGGGGTGAAGCACCAACCGTTAAGTATATAAACAATATCCATATCCATACCAAACGTCGTAAATCGAAGTGATGATACCATTAATCGTATAATCAGGTTACAGGATCAGAGCCTGTCATTATGAGCTCTGAACGTGGTGCGTAGTTGTGATATATCCGCCCAGGCGTGACATCACATCATTGCACATTCTGAACGAAGCAAATGCTTATTAGTTCTCCATACACAGATTTTTTTTCTCTCATGGAACGGCTACTCTAGTAACCCCTTCTCTGTCGTGTTTACCGGACACTTTCGGATCGTTCTAAGTTATTATTCCTTGCAATTGGACTGCACTCTGAATCATGCGATTCTATTGAGGACCTCTTGATTGTGGTCCATGTAGCTCCTCTGTATGCTTATATGTTAGACCGTGATTTTAATTAACACTAGTCTGTTAGCGAGTAACATTGCTTATGTCTTCTAGACAAGCGCTACTCGATGCGAGTGTTAGGAATCAGGGGCTCAGGATGAAGAAAACGATTGTATATAGCTAAAAGGAGTCTGAATACTCTGACTTAGGACCATCTAGACTTCGCGCAACAACCAGAATTTTACTGTATACCCTCGTGCGTTCTTCACACTAAAGGTGTTTCTTGTATACCAAGGGCGTTTCGGAGTTCTTGTGGCAGATCACCAGACAGAGCTCAGCAATATCTCTTTCCTATAACTGGGCAACCATGGCTCCCATTTTTCTATAATTACTACGAGTAACGGGATTCAACTTACCTCCCAGGAAAACCACGGCCGCAATATTACAGTTGCATGTAAGTTTGCATGTTTGATCCCCTTCCTGTGCTTGTATGCTAACAGCAACATATAAGGAGGTTAGTAAGTTGAAGCATCATCTTCTGCTTTCGTCAATTGACACGTCGAAGTCATTTCGAGACATAAGTGAAATGTCGCCATAAGCACCTGTGTTAAAAAAGGTTCCCGGGTAGAATTTGCTAGTAGTCTAAGTAGTATATCTCCCGCAGCAACTCCAATAGTACCAAACCTGATATCAATGCTAGCTCCCTCGAACACAGCTAATATTGGTCGTCTATTGCGCTGGGTAAAAGTGGAAATGAAATGCGGGGACCTTGTAATAACAAGTTCATAATAATATGCCAGCTTGGGTGTGCTCGACTTTTTGATGTTGTGAAACTGAGACTCGAATAATCATTTTCGAGCTAAATGCTGGCCTACTGCCCATCTTATCCTATTCTTTGTGGGCTTGTTGTGATTTGAGAAAACATTTAAGAGCTGTTGAAACTGCACTCATTATGGCTGAAATACTTTATGATAATACCCACGAATTAAGTATGCATCGGGTGTGGGAATCTATATATTGTACCTACATACCAACAATTGATTATCCGCCTATCCTAGCTAGAGACCGTCTCTAATAGAGTCGTTTGCCAAAAAGGAGGGTGTTATAGCTAGAGAAATGACCCATCTATGTGTATCAGATATCATCTAAAACATAGTTGACCCCTCCTCTGTTAACCATCACGAGATAGAGACAGCGTAGCTTTCTTTAACATTCGGATGTTACCTTGTCCTAGATAACCACTAATGTTTATGATTAAATAGGAACACAGGCTATATATTAGACAGTGTCTGACATAAACTTATTCAGATAGATGATGTCTTTGAGAATCTCATTTCTTAAACTCGAGTGCTATTGCAGCTCGTGAGGTACTGGATACCAAGTCGTTCAATATCTATATAAAAGCTGTCATCTGGGTGCCGCCATGCGACAAGAATAACGAGAGATAAGATTCCAATATTCATCGTCGATTCTTGATAAGAAAGCATATACTAAAATGATTGATTTAGGTTCGGGTAGGCCCAAGGAGATTGTGTGTTAGGTAGGTGCGCAACAAGAATGATAAGTCCAGCATACCTACCTACATGGTAAGTACCTCCTCACCCAAAAAGCAGTTCGGAGTGGACTAGATATATCTGTGCAAAGCCGCTGGAGCGACATATTTTCCTACAACCACGTACTTGGATTTCTTACCCGTTGAGGTATGTTCCCGACTTGAGAGCTTTGGTAACTACTTAGTTTTCGATGCCACGTCAAGACGTGGAGAATTTGTTGTACCTAGTGTAGGCACACTGCATGGTCAGATATCTGGTCAGATGCTCAAGATACAGATGCACAACGGCAATCATGGTGCCACAAGACGGGATTCTGAGCCCATGTTTTCTGCCCATGTCAATTTAAGGGATGTGTTTCCTAACGGAGCAATCATCCAGCCCTGCAAACACGTCTGATTGGCCAGGCAGGGATAGATGAGCTGTAAGTAAAAGATTCCGAAACACATGTCGTGTTTGGGGTGACCCTGTCTGTCCCTGTCTGTCCCTGTGCGTTCCTGGTCGTGCATGGGCTCTGCCAGGCCCAACCTACCTATCATTGCTAAATCCCTCTTGGAGTACACACGAGCATCATCAGAGATTAGATGCCGCATCACCTTGTGCAATCACCGAGAGGAGAGAACCGGGTTCAATATGATTTGTTCCCGTCACTGCTGTGTAGCGATTAACAACGAAGAAGGGCCGGGCCACCGAGATTTTACGCCGCCGTGACCTGTAGAATAGATACTAGCTTAGCTGTATTGCGATGTTCGATAGGCAATATCTATCGCCAAGCTACCAAGAATCGGAGGATTCAAGCATACTAGATATAGTTAGATAGACACGAGAATGGGACAGAGATCTGGGTCTTAATCTGGTACTGTCTGGAGTACTGGATCTGTCGGATCTGTACCCAGATGTGCCGTAAGTTAGTAACACTGGAGGGCACAGAAAGGGGGTCGAGGAGCACAATCAACATGCACTCTCGGCACTATCTACGCACTACGATAATCCAACAATCACCTGGAGATTTGCAAACATTACGATGTGCAACCGATGTACTAGTACAACGTAACTTACCGAATACCAGTTCTACCGACTCGCGGCTGGGCAGCCTCGGGCAGCTATGGGCAGAACGATGGGGCGAGAGGTAGATCGGCTTATGCTATTTTCTCTCCTGTGACGTAGTTAATCCATATAATTAGTGCACTAGACACCGTTTCCTAACTGTTGACCGCTCACTAAGAACAAACTGGTCTGTGATCTGCCGGCAATATTACTCGCTTGAGTAATGTATGTGATGAACCTTTCCTGTTCTGACCACTAATTCTGACTACAGACTCCTCTGACTCTGTCTGACCAAAGATCCTCCGACTGGGAGGAAACGCTGGGCTTACTGGATCGTCGTGGCTACCTACTTAAGTACCTAAGCAGGCGAGGCAGGTAGTAGGAAGTGTGTAGGCAAATTCTGCGACTTGATAGACCTGCACACGACGACTTGCACTCTCCAGTCTTACAGTAACTACCAACCTAGATAGGCTGTCATGATGGATTACACTTAGCACACGAATACGTGATTGTGAGCATACTTGTCCAAGTTCTATAATACTTCCATACTATATATCGTAACATAGGTACCAATGGTAGGTGGGCGCTGACTTGCAAACCAGCATGGGTGGCGCCTTCTACTTAATAGGTTACCAGCAAGTGGCGTAGGTACCTTACTATAAGGTTTGCCCACTGAAGCTGGCGCGTGGTGCTGGCGGATGTAGCCGTACATTACATGTGCACTTACCCATATATGCAGGTACAGATGTAGGCACTTTCCTAGTGCATGTACGAAGTACGCACCTGGGTGCCAGGCGGACAGAAAACCACTGATTCAGGGGCACTTGTCGTCAGTGGCTGCACCCTTATCCTACCTATGTAGACTGCCGGTTGGTGTCGCAAGCTTGATGTACATGGTCTGTACATGGTACAGCTGAGTTGTGGCGCTTGAGGTACCTAGCTGGCACAGGCTACCCGTGCCTGAAACCGTCATGGCCAATCAGAGAAACGGCTGCCCCTCCATGCAGATGCTTAGTGGTAGGCCTTAATTTATCTCGAGTTAGTCGAAAGAATAAGGATCAGCTTAGGATTTGCTCAGATCTGCTCAGAGCCATCCCCTTATGGATAATACTCATTAAGATGCCTAAGCACCTAAATTTCGGCTTGCTGAATTGAACTCAGGGGCGCAAATCGGTGAATTATCTTTGCTTTACAATGACATAGCGATAGAGGGTGCCCGCGAGTCGAAAGGGAAAGTGCGAGCCGCTTAATTTGTGGAAACACCTTGACAGATTGACTCCAACTGGGCCTCAAAAGTTAGGTACCTCGAGTAATGGGTACTGCACTGAACTTTCAAGTAGAATAGGTGGTATGGACCTACTACTTTTCAGGCGGTTGGGTGGAAAAGGTTATATTAAGAATATGACATAAAGCAACTGGCTTACGCCAAAGTCTAATCAAATAATAAAGTCAAACAAAGACATCTTAAGATGCTTCTAGTTATATCATACTATCTAGTTATACCTACATGTACTCAGTCTTTATTGTTTCGCCTTGCCTCCAGCTGGGATTTAGGGTAGCATGACCAGCCTTTATCTTACCTTACCTACTATGTACATAGCCTATACCTCCACGTCAAGTACCTCTACTCCTCCATGTCCGATCCCAGAATGCTGATAGGTAGACTGGAGGGGTAACTGGGTACGGTACCTATCCGTATCCAAGATATGTTTTATCCCCACATTCAAGTACATCCTACTGTACTTACATATGAATATCTAGCTATGTACTTAGGTGGTACCTCGCAAAGCACTAGGAGACCTGAAGTCCACTAGTCAGGTACCCTCCAAGTTCCACTTGCCGCCCTCAGTCACTTTTACCATATCTGAGGCTGCCCTGCCCTCAATTCCCTCTCCCTCTTCCACCACGAGCAACGGACGGTCTCATCGCTTACCAACCTCGGATTTCGACATCCTACATACCAACACAGTCCATTACAGTCATTCTCGTCGCCTTTCGACAGTTCTCTGTCACCACGCTCCTTACCATATCTTGACCGTCAATCCAGGCGCCAGTATAGGTAGTTCTAGATTGTTGGTCATTTCGTTCCTTACTTCGCTTTGGCCTGTGTTGATCGCATTCGTTTCAATTCTCCGATTGTTCACCCAAGCTTGGCCGCAACCCGCAGCCTTGATCCGCAGCCTTGACCCGGTATTACCTCGCGAGGAGGTTGGCATCCAGCAAGCTTGGATATTAAACAGTCGCGCGCTTCTTCTCTTATGCTCCTATCTCATCTCAACACCGCTGTGGCGCAAACTCCTACGAAGTAGACAGCGCAGGGACGCCACCAACGCCTTGTGCATCACGTTCAAGTTGTTTGAATAGGCAATCACATTGCACCGGCTTTGCAATCATCTGGAGTTGAATTCGAAGCGCTGATTATATCCAAATCGGCTCCAATCGAGAAAGTCTTCAAAGGCACTCAACCCGAGGCGTCGCTTGGTAGCAATCGTTACAACCTTGGCCGGTTTTCAAGGAACACTATTCGATTGTTATCTCTCGACCAATTATCACACGGACTAAACCCTAAAGCGCGGTTTTCGGTTATTTATTCGAACATTGAGAAATCACTGCAGTTCATCTTTCAGAACCAAAGGCATATGGTATACCAACCCACTAAATAACAGCAACATTCGCCACAGTTGTTCGAAAACTGTTGTGGCTAAGGAGACGGTTCTCATTATCGCAACACAAAAATCTTTACATCCGCTATTCCGAACCGCTGATTACGATCAATCGTGACAATGCCTTCCAAATCTCTTACTACATTAGCCATTCTTGGCATGTCATTGGTGACTGAGGCATTCTGGCGCATGGAGTGCCGCGGTTCCACTGGATTTGCCCGTATAGATCCTATTGTTGACTTCAACAAGGTCTCTAGTCACGCCCATGCGGTCCATGGATCTTCAGGTAAGCTTATTAATCTACTTGTTACCTGTCGTCATGGTCTTTAGTTTATAGTCATTGGGTGAATAATTGCTCATTCTCGTATTAGGCTTCAGCACAAGTGCAACTTACGATGACCTCACCAAGGGTGACTGCACCTCCTGTGCTGTGAAGCAGGACAAATCAGCCTATTGGACCCCGGCTATGTATTTCCTTGATGATCAGACCGGCGAGTTTTCTCCTGTTCCTCAAGTTGGTGGAATGCTTGCGTAAGTCACAACATCCCAGTTTCTCGAGGATACGCAGCACCTCTGGGTCAGCCGCTTGTCAACTTGTGTTTATTTGGTGATTTAAGTTATTCCAAGTATGTATTCACATACACTTATACTAACTCTCTGTAGCTACTACCTGCTGCGTGGCGACAATGTAACCGCTTTCCCGCCCGGTTTCCAAATGCTTGCTGGAAGCAACTATCGTCGTGACTACACGGTTGGAGATCCTTACTCTCCTGACCCACCTCAGTCTAATTGGGCTGAGCTCAAGCAAACCGGCCAGTCTGATCTAGAGCAGCGGGCCCTTGGCTTCAACTGTCTAAACTATAACAAGGCCCCGGAGGCGTCATTATACCGCCATTATATGCCGAACAAGACCTTCACCGATGCCAATTGCCCTGATGGTCTCAGACTTGAGATTATGTTCCCATCATGCTGGAACGGTGAGGTTAGTAGCGACGACCACAAAAGTCATGTTGCATATCCGGATCTTGTTGGAAATGGCGTTTGCCCTGACACCCATACACAACGTCTTGTTACGCTCTTTTACGAGACTATCTGGGATACAAATGCCGCGCAGTTTCAAGGAAAGAGCGGCTCGTTTGTCATCTCCAATGGCGACAGAACTGGTAGGTTGTGCAATTATATCAAAAGAGCGGTTCAGCAGAGTTAATAAACGTATTTAGGTTATGGATACCATGGTGACTTCATGACTGGCTGGGATCCCGCTTTCCTGCAAGAGGCTATTGATACTTGTACCAACCCATCTGGAGAGCTCTCAGACTGTGGGGTTTTCACTAGCAATGGACCACTATTGTCGGAGGATGAGCAGAGGGACTGCAAATTTAAAACCCCCCTAGTATTAGCTGCAGAAAACGTCGTTGCGAAGACTATGCACGAGCTTCCAGGAGGTGTCCAAATTCAAGACGGACCTGAATCGGCTACGCCGGCGGGCAGCCCTGTCGATCATTTTACGAGCGTGCTTGGTGGTATCTTCGGTGGTGACAGTACTACCATCACTACATCTTCTAGCGTCCCGGCGCCTGCTCCCTCCACCACCACTGCCCCTGTTGCTACAACTTCGTCCGATATCCAGTCAGGAGGCGCATTTATCGAGGATCCAGCTTCGGCCACGCCATCAGCCCCTGACTTTGGTGCAGCCGACATTCCATCAACCACTACCTCTACATCGACTCTGACAACGCCCTCAACTACTTCAACTCCATTGGTTTCCTCGACCTCGACCTCGTCCTCTTCGTCCTCGGCTTTACCAACGACTACTTCTGCGCCTCCTGTTACGTCAGAACCGGGCGTGTCTTATGAAGTTTATAGCACACAAACTATCACTAGCGCAGGTCTGGTAGAGGAGATCGTGTGGATGCAGCCGGTCGTCTACGTGACAGAGGACTCTGTTACTACTGTGACCATTCCCGGTCCCGCCCCGCAGAAATTTAAGATGGCCCGAGATCATGTTTTGCAACATCGTCATAACCACGGCCGTCGCGGGTACTAAGCGGCTGCTTAAGATACACTACCATTTGTTTCTGTGAAGATACTTTGGGCCATAAGGGAGGATACTACGCTTACAGTCGCTGGCTGATTACAGTCTATCTGGGATTTTTTTTCGGTACATGTTGATTGCTTCTGGACTCTTTGGGAAGAGTACAACCATATGAATCGAATTGAGTGAGCTTCGAGCTTAAGAGGTTCGTCTGTGAAGCGTTTTATGACTGAGTGGTGGCTCTGGTATGACCTTGATATTTGAGGGTGACAGGTATTGCATATGACGGCGCTGAAGCTCTATGGGTAATGGGTACCCAAGGCCATCTGATTCCAAGGCCCATGTCTTTGCAAAGAGGATCGTGGTCTTTTCAAGTAAATTTTTTCCCAAATGGAGCCCTTTGAGATTGCCCCTCTCTTGGCATTGAAGATAAAAAATCTAGACACATCACAATATGGCGTTCCCATTCTCTGTTCTTGTGTATGACTATATACTCAAGGCATCAACATGTCTATCATCATCGTCTCATGCATGTCACAATGTATAGGCAGGTCCAGTGCTTGCAATTTGAGCGAGAAATCCTTCGAAATTGCGCTCACAGTGGTTTTATTGACATCATTTATCACATCCCTTAATTCATAATAATGTGAAGAATGGCCGCCGTGACTCATTCGATTGCTAGCCACGTTATGTCTCAGAAGCTGCCCCCTCCCGGCACCATAACATGTGAGTAATAGAAGAGACATGGCCGATCGGTCCATCTGATTGGAACATGGGTGGAATTCAGCTGTCCTGACAGTCGGGTCCGCACCACGACAACGCATTCCTAGCGTCCTGTCGCCGTGACAATGGTGGCAGTTATGGGAAATGTTAGGTTATTTTACGGCGGACGAGCGAGATGACCAGGATAAACATGCTTGGATATGATATGTAGGTATATGTTGTGAGAAGTTGGTCATCTTATTTTCATTCAAACGAAATTGCGAGCATAGCGAGTCAGACATATGCTTAAGCATACACCTACATGCTCAGACCGAATTCGTGTAGTAAGAGGGGTGTGTTCCTTGACCATGTTTATTTTGTATTCTAGGCTGCGAGACACTTGAATCTCCATAGTCGCCGAAGTAACGAGATCCTCTGGCCAAATCCGCCGCCCCAAATCACCTTGACATCTTGCTATTCTCGGGATATTTCGACTCGCTTTCTTTATTGTCTGTTGTCGACACATTGTAAGTACCATCGCCGGCAATGTAGGCTAACATTCGCTGATGAAAAGTATTGGATCTCAGAGGAGCGACTCAGATGAGCAACAATCACGTTAGGAGGCAGGCAATCATTTGGAGCACGGAAACGGAGGGCAGACCGAGAAGATCAAACAACGACCATACTGAGGACCCGGAAACGAAGATCCGCATATAGGTCCCTATGTCTAGGCTTTCTATGCTTGGGTAATTAGGGCTTCTAGACGCGATGTCACATTCAACAGCATTAGAAGCCCGACAATTGGGTATATCTAGCTACACCTTGGCCACCCGCTCAATAGTCGCGGCAAGTACGCTCTCAAGTGGCGCAATAGCTGCAATAACGGTGGCTGGTTCCGTTTTCATCTTCCTGCTCATGATTGGGCCCCTCTTGATTTACCTTTCGAAGCGGCAGGATCACCACCGAGCGGCCACAATTCCGGCATCCAGTCTCCTGTTTGTAGAGCATGGACAATTTGTGGAGAATGGAGATATACGTGGGCCACGAAGACTTCGCAAGAAGATTGTGGCTAGCGACCCTGTAGCATATCCTGGGATAAAGAATGCTACACCTATTGGAGCGGGCGGAGACTCAACGAAGCATTTCAGTTTACCCAGCCTCCCATCTGTTTTCTCGCGCCCCGGAAGTTGGCGCATTAGTGGTCCGCTTCCAGCTTGGGAACATGGAGCTGGTGATGATACAAACGGCAACACCTGCGGGAACAATCATAGCGCGCCGGGGCGTGTATCCCCAGAGAAGCACCACGGATACACCATCTACCAGAATCGACGGAAGACATCCTGGATCGACGAAGACGCGCTACATGGCCCGCGAATATCGCCGAAGAAGCACACGAATCGGAAATCGAGCTGGTTTCAGGGTAATGAGCTTACAAGGACATTAAGTCGACATCTCTCATTTCGTAGATTCGGTGCGCCCGAGCTTGCGCGCAGTCCTACGCTACCATGTATTGAGACAAACCAAGAGAAGAAAACTAGAGGCTCAAAACAGGAAGAATCTCTGGCACATAGAAGGACAAGGAGTACAGAAAACTCAAACATGCAGCGTGAAGCTGGGACCGCGCCACGTTTCCCGGCCCGTCAACCAGTACAGCAGGGAGGGTCCCTAAGCTTTCATCCGAGAGCGCAACCCATAAGAGCTGCTCTTCCGAATAGCCAAGGCCATAGTAATACAGTCATAAACGCAGCACAGCAACTAGCAGGTCGGGCACGAGTGCCATCAATAAGCGTCGGTGTTAACGGGCAAGGATATTCGCGCTTCCCCCCAAGCAATACAGATGCAGATCTGCAAGCGATGCTGCGCAGGACAGCAGAGAAATTGCAAGACGGAAATCGAAGTTCAAGGAGACAGACATTGATGTTGCCAGTATCATCGTCGTCTTCTAGGTGGTCAGATCAGCCCCAACGAGACCGTGATCCAGAATGCGGGTGTACTCGAGACCGCGCGCGGACCGGAGATGGGACACCGAGTCCAGCAAGAAGCCAAAAGAGCGCCCCTGCGGCAGTGTCGTACTCCGAGCTCGAGGGATGCAGTCCACGAGCCCAGCGGAGTGCGTTGCAGACAAGCACACCCTGGCAAACACATAGACGAACCATTACACAGCACATACCCCATATCTCACCTTTGTCGATGCGCTCTGAACCTGACAACATGGCGGAGACTCTTGTAAAATACAGCCCTAAGCGTGATAATTCGTACGGACTTCCTTCTAGCCCAAGCCACATTATTCAAACGCCACACTCCTACTCACAGAAAATGTTGAATCAGCAGACGTATTCGCCAGCGAGCGAGAAGTCTTCAGCACTGTCAACTATATATAGCAGAGACGAGAATAGTCCTCCTAACAGCGCTGAGAAAGCTAACAACAACATTCTTAGCAATGAAAATGAAATGGAGAGAAGAGCTATGACTCAAGCGTTGCGGGCATGTGATGCCTTTGATGGCGGGTCGAGGCAGAGAGACAACAAAGTTGGAAACAATGCGGAGAACCTGGACTACCAGAGAAACTTGAGGATCAGCTACAACTCTCGGGCCCATCATATAAGAGGGACATCGTTGGAACAGGCCATGCGATATACTCTGCGGCCGGGTGAAAGCTCTGCTTCAGCGCCACAAGGCGGCAGGAAGCAGCCGATAGCTGCCATATCGCCTAAAAATATATCCAAACTGAAGCTGCAATCCATCAAAGTCGGAGCTGAAGACCCTTTCACCACGTATACGACTCCAACGCGGCAGATGCCAACGCGACTGTCCCAAGTCTTCTCCCCAGTGCCAGCCGAACTACCTGGTGACACTATGACGCCCTCCGGAAACGCAACCCAGCCGATTCCTGAAACCCCGACGCCCTCTCCATCACATAGGAGAATAATTCCTCCCCCGTATCAACTACGGCCCGTCACAAGCTCGCCAACACTCGGTCACTCCCCTGATCCGGAATTGCAAATTCAGCCTCCTAGCCGTGAACCGAGTCCCGCGGTGTCAGAGAGCGGCCTATCGTCAGTATACGATAGTTATCGGTATAGTCGATACAGTGATAGCCTAGAGGGCTCACAGGCAATGTCACGGATAAGCGCCACGACAATGCTCACGGTGCCACCAACTGAGGCGTCGCCCGACGCAAGTCAATGGGACGAAGACACCGTTCCCTCGTTGGAGAACCGTCATGACTGCTGCCGGGTAGAGAATGGTGTAGGCACGCTCCGTTCCACGAATGTAGGCTTGAACAATGTCGCGGTTGGAGCTGGTGCCTACACACACTTCGTCGGTGCTCTGAAGTCGTCTGTCGAGGAGATGGGTCGTATGAAGAAAAGTTATACCATGGCCAACACGCTCCCTCACCCCCAACAACCCCGTCAGATCAGTCTGGGTAATGCCAGCAACTCATCTGGCGAGTCGGCGTATTCACAAGATGAGGACAGACAGGATAGGCTAGGGCCGCTGATGCCTTTCCATCCCGCGACGGCGACCAAACACGGTATGCGGGTCACAAGCGCAGTAGCGGAACTTCGTCGTATGAACAGTCAGGTAAGCTGCGTTAGCGGATATAGCACGGCCACGACGAACATCGCTGGAGATGTGAGTCCTACTTTGCCGGCGCTCCGAGGGGGTGGGTTCAGCCCCGGGAAGAAGAGTGCCGGTGGTGGTGCTAAAAACTACCTTTCGCTGGGGAAAAACAGCCCGGTCCGAGGTGATGGCGGGGCCAAGGACAGTGGCGCGGATGCAAAAAGGGGTAATGCTGTGAACGAAAAGAATGGAAATGAATCCAATGCAACGGTGATGATGCCAGGCGGAATAAGCGATGCTGTTACACTTCGTAGAGGCGGCCAACAAAGATCACGTGGCAGTATGGTCGTGGAGAGATTCGAGCAGGATCTCGATCATGCACGGCAAGTTCTCCGCGAAAGCCGGGGCTATAATTTACAAGCCACCCCGGAAGCGGCTACGAAGAATATCCATGCGCATAGGTTCAGAACCCATGGGTCTAAGTTATCACAGGAAGGAGGGCGGACGAGTGTGATGGGCTTGGGGTTATATGACAACAAGGGATTTCTGAGGAGCTCGGTGACTAGTAAAGATATGACGGATTACGTATGAGGAACGGATCGCAGGTTCAGTTCGTGTATATTATCCTTATTCCTTCTTTCCTGGCTCCCCAATTTGGGGAGGGAGTTTGATCATCAGTTCGATGAATCGTCAACGGTAAAGATTCATCAACTGAATTGTATTAGCGTAGAACAATGAGAAGTGCTCATAAGTGCCGACAGATGAAAACATACCATTTATAATTCATCAAACATTTTGTAGCATGTAGAACGGGCATCGTCTGGGTAGATACCATTTTGCCGCATATAGTCGTAAACATTGTCATAAGCGGTCTATCCTTTAAGACAATTAACCTGATGATGATACTACCATAAGATGAGATAGTCTTATGGCAGATGGTCCAACGGATTTACTCAGTCCGAGGTCGCTTCACGTCACTGTCCTCTACCTCTTCATGCCCATTCTTTCCATCCTGCTCAACCTCATCCCGGCCGCGAACGCGACCCGCGCCATCACCAAGCTCACCACTAACGCCATTATCGCCAATCCAGTTTCCTTCTTCATCAAAATACTCGTTGACATTATCCGCCGTTATCCAGCCAGAACTACCTGGCATGGGAGGGGGTAACCCCCCGGTATTGTTTCCCTGCAATACACCTGGTAGGCCCTCAATCGCCACTCCTTCATCGACATTACCCTCGAATACGATGTGGTCTGCGTTGAATTCGTCATCTTCATCGTCTTCTTCGCCCTCATTACGGGGGTCGGGGTTCAGATTTGAGCAAGCTGATATTTGGTTGAAAAGCGCGCTCGTTCGTTCCGCGTTCAGGGGATCTAGAGCAGCGTGGACCTCATCGCTTGAGCTAGGTTTGTAAGGGATGAGCGTAAGCTCGATCGGTTCGAAGCTTTCGTCGTCGTCGGGGGCAGAATTGGAAAACTCTAGTTGCATGTAGACGCCCGAAAATTTGGACTGTGAATCATCATCGGATTTGTCAAGGAGCTTGAAGTTCTTGATCGCGTGAAGCGTGACGGTAGGATACGGAATCTCAATTCCTTTGCCGCTATTGTGAGAGAACAAGATCAATTTTCTAGCAAACTCGTTAGACTATTAAGCATCGCCCTGAGCGCTCGAAAAGGTGACCCAGCAGGACCTACCTCGAAGAAACGAAGACCTCGACCTTGTTCTCTTCGCACGTGTGTTTGTCCTCGCTGTCAAGCGCATGGGATTCGGGGGGCGTAGGCTTTAGAGACGTTGGTTCGCTAGCCGAGTTTTGTGAAAAGAAAAACAGTTCTTCGAGTTTCTCGTTCGAGACCCAGGCCTTAATACTTTCATCGTGAAAGTATAGAACTGGTTTCCCCTCAAAGAAGGTCTCAGGGGTTTGAGACTGATACTCACTCAACGGCAGAAAGTCATTCTCCGCCGAAGGACACTTCTGTATCACTACAGGCAACATTCTGTTCCTGTGTCAGAACTCGGAGGGAGGGAAGCAACAGTGGAAGTCGGAATCGATGGCACTATGTAGTCTTGGAAGACAAAGCTGTCGCAATGCTGCTTCTGCGACCAAGAAGCTGTGGTGGGGCTTATCGATATACATGGTAAGCTGCGCTTTCAGAAGCAAGGTACTGTGTACAGGTCCTTCTGCGACTTGGCAGTTGGTTGCATTGGTCCCCAGCCGCCAAACTCACCTCACACAGCCCGGCCTTAGGGATATCTCACATACTCCTTAACGGATGAGGCCATCGTATTCACTAAAGAAGGAAGAGATTTGAGTTTATGAGTCTACGGCAAGTAGTGCTAGAGGATTCAAAATGGTTTTGATGCGCGATGATCGTAAGGATACCAACTCCAACAAAATGCGAATCCGCTGACTCGCCTCACAGGCACACACCCTTTGCTGGCACAGGTGCCATTAACAGTGTCACCCTTCGTCACGCTGCCTACGGCGGCGACACTCCCTTATACTTACAAGAGCATGCCGTCAACGCTACCGCCGCCTTCGACCGGAATAACAGGCGCCACTGACGAGAAGCCTAAGTACGTGGTGTCACAGTCCGGCCACGCCGCTCACCCGGAGGACATCATTGCTTCGTGCAAGGCTTTACAGGCCCACATCACCAAGATGCAAGAGGCCGCCGAGCGTGAACTGCGCGAGCTAGATGAGCGTATCCGAGCCCGCGAGCTTGCGGAGAAGCGCCGAGTCGCGCCCGGCTGGCTAGATAGCGAGGCGCGGCTGCTGGAGCCCGAACGAAAACCCGGGGCGCCTGGTGAGGCCGAAGTTGCCGGCCAGTTTGCTGAAATGAGCATTTCCGGGCACGAGAATGTCAGCGAGATGGCTGTTGACCAAGGCGAGGAGCTTGATCGTGCGTTTGGCGGGCCGAAGTGATGGCGGCATTATTAGCATCACCACTGATGTAATTTCATGGCGTTCTGGGGAGGGAGGCCTTGTGCATTTAAGTTAGCATTGGTGGCGTCAGCGTTGGCGTTGGCATGTTGGAACTGTCCACAGTTGCATCACAGATGGATACATTCTTAGGAGGCTTAATGAATTATGAATATCTTCACTCAAGCGCATTTCGCAAAAGGTTCCATCAAGCATAAGAAGATAGTTACTACATATCTATAGGGTGAGTTAGTCGGGCAAAAACAAAACAAACAACAGTTGCGCATCTGGTCCCTGAGGCACACTGTCTGGAGCTTCATCTATAGATACCTACCTAGTCGTGGCAAGTCGGTAACCGCTGCCACTATGGATTCTGTCAAGTTTTGGTGTGATAGTGGGCTGATAGTGCTACGACCAAAACTGGTACCGCAACACGGATTTCGCTCTTAATCTGAACATTGTGCTCTGCGTCTGGCTAGACAGGCGATGTGACAGTACTACCTTTCCGTACTTATGCCGAACTGTTCTTAGCTGAGGCTATGATCGAGTTTTTGAAGAAATTTGAGGCATGGCATATACATTATTTTAGGGTCCACTAAGCAGCGCAATTGTCTGTATCAAATAACCAGGACAAATTGAATCTTACTCTCGGGGCGCTATGAAGAAAGGTTGAATAAGTATCAAACGCGGATAGGCACTCTCCCTGGTATGAGGCTGGTTTAGACACGTCAATTGATTGGACGTAAGCGCGGCCAAGTTCCATGGCCCATGGCGCCGCCTGGTCGCATCCATGGATCCGTGGCGTACTTATGCGTTCTATACGAGCTCTGGATCTCAATAACGAGGCGCGGTACGAGCTGTGCGAGGCTTCGGCCTCGCTTTTAGTGGTAGCGTTGCACCAACAAGCCGACACTACCCCACGCCATCACTAACAGCCGCTGCCGTGACGAATCATCTCCGTCAACGCAGCCCCTTTCGCGACGGGACAACGGGACGCTCGTACCTCGGATGGTCCGAGTTCGTTTACCTGGGTGCGTGCGCTTCTTTATAAGTATACGGTACGGGGATGCCGCCACAACGACAGTCGGTTCGGAGACCGCATTCCAAGTCTCGAACTGGCTGTCGAGTCTGCAAGTCCAGGAGAGTAAAAGTGAGCCGAACCCTTGTCTCACCAGCCACAGCGCCACCCGGGCGTGGCGCTAGCATTTCCTTGACGTCCTTGATATCCTGTCTAACAGCCTGCCGTGACTAGTGTGACGAGACAAGACCGTCTTGTCGAAGGTGTCAAACGTATGTCCTGTTGACGGGTCCATCGAACTGTCCAGATGCCTAGCTGGGGCTGTATTCGGATTAGAATAAGTGCCTCATCTCCTCATTGTTCCTTACTGACCAGTTGGCACCAGTCATGGAGTGCAATGCGACTTTCTCCTCGAGACAGACACGAGGCCTGCAGCGCACTACAATCGAGATGCGCTCTCTATACACCAACTGACTTCCCCATCTGTAGCCTCAACACCCGAGGCATCCCAAAGCTCCACGACATGGTTTACTATTTCCGAACTGGAACTGTTCCATCACTTTATTACCTCAACTAGCATGACTTTGTCCAGCGATCCAATCGCTCGTAACTTTGTAAGTGGGTTAGTTTGAGACGTATATTGCCCTTTCGGCCTTCTTCATAGCCAGTACGCTAGCCGTAGATGTCGACGATCCACCTCATCATTGGGTCTCTGCCACTTTGAAAGGATTACTAACAATGTATGAAGTGGCGAGTCAATGTGCCTCAATTAGGGTTTTCACATCCATTTCTGCTCAAGGCTGTCTTTTCGATAGCTGCTCTGCATCTCGCCCGGTTGCGGCCGCAACAAAGGGACAGTCTAGTTGAACAGTCCTTGATGTATTATAATGCTGCGTCTTCAACCGCATTGCCATTAATACCAAATGCTACCGGCGAGAGTTTCCCGCCGATTTTCCATTTCAGCGTTCTTACGACTATTATCACCTTTGCCAGACCTCGAACTCCTGATAATCTTCTCTTAGTCTCCAATGATATTCTCCCAGACTGGCTGCTTGTCACTCGCGGCGTTCGGATATTACTTCAGTCCGAGGGAGACGCCGTTTTATCCATGTCTAGCCTAGATGCGCTGTTCTACATGGGTATGCAACTTTCGAACCAGTGGGAGAATGAGAGCGAGGAGCATGAGAGTCTGAATGAGTTAGAGAATAATATCCGAAGTTATTCGCAGCCACATAAAGTGGCCGATCTCTGTTATGGAATATCGACATTAAAGCGCTGTTTTAACCTCTTCTTCAAGACCGGGCTCTCTGAAGAAGAACGAATGAGAAGTGCGCTCATGTGGCTAGTCAGAGTCCCTGACCCATTTGTTGAGCTGCTCAAAAGCCATGATAGCGAGGCATTATGCGTACTGGCGTTCTTCTGTGTGCTCTTGAATCGGATGGAGCATCTATGGTGGGTTGAGGGGTGGGCATTTCACTTGATCGAGCGAATATACTCCACGCTAGACAGTAGGCACCGCCTTTGGATCCGGTGGCCACTCGAAGAGATTGGCTGGGCTCCTTAATTGGCTTACATTGTTCGCGCATGCTACGTGGGTGTCAGAATTGGCGTTGAGAGAATCATGGTTCTATATTGCTGCAAGACCACGACACATGGCGACACTGACGTAATCTGATATTTGTTAATTGTTGGATATCATGCTACACATCGGAATGAATATAATTGCCTCTCATGGGAATACCTGATGAAGACAAGGGAATGTGGTTTGGTAGGTCTCGACCTCTTATTGACACCAGTTATCAACCCAGGTATTAGGCTAAAGAGAAGGAATTGAAGGGTTGCACATGGTCCCAATAAGGACACCTATGTGAAGAGCTATAATTAGATTGTAACACAAAGCTGTAGCAAATATGGAATCTTTAGTTGGAATCATTCGCATAAATGTGGTTATTAGGCGGGTACAAGTCAACTTTTGTGGTCATGCGCCGCCCTACCTTTGAAGCACTTTTAACTCAAGATACCGAGCAGGAACATAGGTGACAAGTGTAGCAATGAACGTTAGTTCATTGGCCAGATCACCACCATTGATACCAATCAGTTTCCCGAGTGGACCAACGTACCAAGATTCTACCATGCCTAAAACCCAGCCTATCACTCCGACGAGAAAAGCCGTCAATGCCGCCAGGCCAACGGGTAACCGAGTAGGGTCATTCCACGCTTCGAGATCATAGTTCTCGAAGCTCCCATTTCGAAAGACGTAGTGCTCAACAAAGAGAATCACAAAGTATGATGTGGACCAATAGCCGAGAAATGACAAGAAATTTTGTAAAAAGGTGTTGAGCTGCTCTCGTCCGCCTAAAGCCAGTGCAAGGATGAGGAGAAAGCATAACAACGTCCAGACGAAGCGAGGTACCAAAGCACATGGACGCGCGAACTGTTGAAACGCGATAGCAGCGCTATAGATGCAAATGACGTTGACGTTGATACCGGACAGCACGAGCAAGGTGAGGATTACCTTGGCAAAGCCCCTAGGGTATAACATGCTCTGAACCAAATATCCGATGCCATCGTTTTCATAAGTGTCGGCCCAGTCGGGCATATTATTCAATGTTGATGCAACGACACAGCCAGCTACCATCCCGATGGAGGTAGGGATGGCGATGCCGAAGGTTGTCATAAGGAAGACCTTGGTACGGGAAACATCCGCAGGGTAGTGGACATAATAGTCTGATGTGATGGAAACCCACGATGCTGAGCTGCCGTAGACGATGGCACTGAGACTGAGGATGCCGCCTGCGAGATCGGCTCCTTTCAACGGGCTGGGGGTGATATTATCTGCATATCTGCCTGTCTGTCCGAAGAATATCAAAAATATGGCGAAGAAGATGATCCAAGCATATCGCTCGTATATCAATATCGCCCGCAAGCCAACGAAGGAGATCAGCATAGACACAATGGCGAGGATAATGATGCCGACAACGAGGGAAAGGTGTCCGTCTGCGACCGCAGTAAGGGCTAGTCCACCAGTGATACATGCAACAGCGGCCCAGCCAATCTGAACTGTTGCATTGAGGGCGGCGATGATCTTATTAGGCCACCACCCAAAGCTATATCGTGAAACAGAAATCTGGCGTAACCCTGTAGCGGCGCCGAAAGTCGCGGCGAAGCCAGGTAGAGTGGCTCCAATCAAGGATCCGCAAATGCTGATGATGATTGTGTGCTTGAGAGATAGCCCGAGTTCCCAGCCGAGAAACCCCGTGGCGAAGCAGGACGTATTCATCGTTGCCGACGCCCACAACAATGCCATGTTAAGCTCCTCATACCATGTTACAAGGCGCCGGTCCTCCGGTCGTTTGCGATTGATAGCTTCTGACTCGACGCCGAATTTTTCATCAAGGCTTGCTTCAATCTGGCGGAGACGAAACATGATACCACCCTCGCCGCCGCCGCCGCTGCTGTCATTCCCGCTGTCTCGATCCGGCTGAATACCATCCTCCGGGGTGAGGAGAGGTGTTCTTAAACTGTTATCCTTCATAGTGACTCAAGAGCAAAAAGGTATCGCAGACAAGATTGAGGAGGAGCATTGCAAAGGAAGAGGAAAAGGACAGAATGGGGCATACATGGTGACTCTCCTCTATTAAACCAGAGCTACGTGACTGAAACAGGCAAATGTTATGTGTCACATTGAAAAGAAAAAGGGAGTCTCGAATGAACACATTCGCGCTGTCTTTGCACTATCAAGTCCGGTATTGAAAACGCCACCTACGGCACTTCAGCTGTTCTCAAAAATGCCTTCAGTTACCTAGGTACTTCCACACGTCGGCTGTCTCATACCAGCATTGTGGCTACTAAGCATTCCAACGTGCCTTCACGGGCTTGAAAAGCTTGTCCATCGCCAAGTTGGTGCCAATTGTCTTGTGAAAGACTAATGGAAGCTTGTTTGCTGGTGTGCGCTGCACAGGATGAGAAGGCCAAGATTCAACAAGAATGCCAAACTGACCTTATCTACATACATACTTAGTAGTATTATGGGGCTATACGGTGATCGTCTGAGATTCGTGATGGTCTCTGATGGTCTCAAATCAGTGCCACATAAAAGGCGGCAAAGTCAGCCGAGGTGGGCCGATAAAGCGGACACTGGCATAACAGGCCAACAGTCCCGGAACCAACATGTGTACTGTGCTCAGGTCTAAGTAGGTAGCCGGTGATGATGAATCATCCTACCGATAATGCTATCTATGGCAGACTGTGGCTTCGAATTGACACTTTGATGCGTAGGTGAACAGCGGGCGCTATTCAAACACCTACCTCCCACAAAAGGATCTTCATTGCAAATTCTACTATGTAGAGAAGTAACTCCGAAGGGGAGGGGAAGAAAAAAAAAGAGGAACTTTTGGTATTCGAGAGTAGTGAACAGTTCACATTGCCCAGTCGTATTATGTACCCCGGGCGGGCGTCAGCTGCCATGCCAATGCTCCCATTTCCGCTTTCCGGAAGCTGAAATAGGCATAAGTAGATAACCTAAGTATACTGAGTAAAAGGTATTGACATTAAGCACAGATGAACTCGACGCACCATCACCAGCCTTGAGTGGTAAACTAGGACCATCGCAACAATACTCTGGCAGAGCTCTGGCTAAGAAAGGAAGAGGAACAGCTGGCATATTGAATCATCAGCACTCTCAATATTCTAGGTAGCTGAGCTCAAAGCACGTCTTGTTGGCGCCATTTGTGTGTATGTGTACACAAGCCAGTCTGATCTGCTTAGCTATGCGCACTATCCTACACCGCGTACTACCTTATACAACAGGAATCCGTTACTGAGGGAATTACTATGTAGACAGACGGCAAAAGCTCCGAATCTCGTGGATACTGTACAAGCTTTAGCAACTAGACCGTCTATTTGGTCTCCTTAGTTCTACTCTTAGCTCGGGCGACTCCGACGATCATGGAAGGTGCAGTTCTTACAACGAGGAGTATCACGTTCATGGTTTGTCTACTGTACCGGTACTGTAGTGATCTACTCATGAATGTTTGCTCCATATCAACTCCACTCATAGAAGAGTTCCGTTACCAATTGGCAAGCCAGCTGCATCTTGCTAATGGCTTTTTGGAAGCTTGCAGACTCCCTGGGCTCCTAGGCTTCCAGGGTCGGCCAATTGACCAATGGCATCCATGAATTGAGTCAGTCAATCCATGAAAGACGATGTGAAATCGAAATCATGTCCACGCGACAACGTCTGGGGCGTACCTGTCGCTCAATTCCATATACGACGGGGATGCAGGGAGCGAACCAACGTTATCACCGGCTAAAACCAAGATAGGCAGGAGACAGTCAGCTCCTCGATCCCATGCTGGGGACTCGGGTGCAGGACTGGCGAGACTGGGTCAGCTCCCTGCGTGCTTGGTGCAGCATCCAGTTGCTCATTGCCTAACCTAGCATATCTCGATCTCAGCAATTTGCGGACGGGCTCATCTTGATCTATCTTAACCGGGCAGCTAGAAATTGCGCATTGCGCTCTCGGCCAGCATGCCTGCTTACGGTCCACCAGATCCCAACAGCATATAAAGCGAGCCATGGCACCCAATGCTGCTGCTGACAAGTTGCAATCCCAACCCTCTTACCTGGACTCAAGCCCTCGGAGCGGTAACCATGGCTCGCTTCCTCTCACTGCTTGTTGCCTCGGTGTTGGCTGCTCAGGGCCTCGCCAAGACCATCGACCAGCTTTACGATGTGCCTGAAGGTATGTGGCGACTAACAAACTTACCTCTGACACAAGAAAGCTTACAATGGTGCAGGATGGAAACTCCAGGGCCCGGCGGAAGATAGCCAGGTAATCAAGCTGCAAATCGCCCTTCAGCAGGGCGATGTCGAGGGCTTTGAGCAGGCTGTTTTGGACATGTCAACTCCGGACCACCCCAATTACGGACAGCACTGTGAGCCACACAAAGACACTCTTGCCTCAAAGTGATGATGCTAAAACTTGACCTGTAGTCCAGGACCACGATGAGATGAAGCGAATGCTCCTCCCTAGTCAGGAGACGCTCTCGTCCGTCTATACTTGGCTAAATGAGGCAGGTATTGAGAGCATCGAGGAGGATGCCGATTGGATGACATTCAAGACCACCGTTGGTGTTGCCAACAAGGCTCTTGGTACTCAGTTCTCCTGGTTCGTGAGTGAAGAGGCCAAGCCGCGCAGGATCCTGCGCACTCTTGAATACTCTGTGCCCGATGAAGTCGCCGAGCACATCAACACGGTTCAGCCTACCACTCGCTTCGCTACTATCCGCGCCAACCACGAGACCTCAAGTCAGATCTTCGAGATCCAAGCAATCCAGTCCACGGCTGCTGCAGACGACTGCGATGCATACATCACTCCAGCTTGCCTGAAGTCTCTCTACAAGATCGACTACGAGGCCGACCCCAAGAGTGGTAGCAAGGTTGGCTTCGCCAGTTACCTCGAGGAATACGCTCGTTATGACGACTACGTCCAGTTTCAAGAGAGGTACCTGCCGGAAGCCACCGGCCAGAACTTCAGCGTCATCCAGTACAACGGCGGCCTTAATGACCAGGACTCCGACGACGACAGCGGCGAAGCTAACCTGGACGCCCAGTACATTCTAGGCACGGGATCCCCTCTGCCTGTGACGGAGTTCTCTATCGGCGGCCGTGGTCCCTTGGTCACCGATCTTGATCAGCCCGACGAGAACGATAACTCTAACGAGCCGTACCTTGAATTCTTCAAGAACGTGCTGAAGCTGCCCAAGAACAAGCTCCCTCAGGTCATCTCTACCTCGTATGGTGAGAATGAGCAGTCAGTGCCAAAGTCATACGCTTATTCGGTCTGCAACCTTATCGCCCAACTGGGTAGCCGTGGCGTTACCGTAATCTTTTCATCGGGCGACTCTGGAACCGGCTCAGCTTGTCAATCCAACGATGGCAAGAACACTACCAAGTTCCAGCCCCAGTATCCCGCCTCGTGCCCTTGGGTAACCAGTGTAGGATCAACCAGATACCTTAACGAGACCGCCACATACTTCTCCTCGGGTGGCTTCTCCGATTACTGGTCTCGCCCTCTCTGGCAGGAGATCGCTGTAAGGAAGTACCTCAACAAGATTGGTGACAAGTTTGCGCCTTACTACAACAACAAGGGCCGAGGGTTCCCCGACGTGTCCGTCCAGGGCTTCGGCTTCCGCGTGTTTGACAAGGGAGTTCTGAAGGGCTACCAGGGCACTTCGTGCTCTGCCCCCGCTTTTGCTGGTATTGTTGGCCTCCTCAACGACGCCAGGTTGAAGGCCAAGCTGCCTCCTGTGGGCTTCTTGAACCCCTTGTTGTACCTCAACCCTCACGCGCTCAACGACATCACTCTCGGTGGAAGCACCGGTTGTGATGGCCGCGCACGATTCCACGGCGCCCCCAACGGCAGCCCTGTTATCCCCTACGCTAGCTGGAATGCTACTGCGGGATGGGATCCTGTCTCGGGACTTGGTACCCCCAACTTCCCCAAGCTACTGAAGGCCGCGGTGCCATTTAGGTTCAGAGCTTAGAGGAAGATTGCGCTACTATCGCATGACGAGTTTCTAAATAAGCTAATAAATAGTATTGAATAAACCTAACTTGTATTCATAAAAACAATCGGATCTTTAGCGTCATGACTTATGTGTATCGTAACATGCCAGATGCCGTGAATCAAGTGTAACACTGATAAAGCTAATGAACAGGCGTTCTATAAAAGTGTTTCTCGACACTCATTCGATTGCTATATTACGTAAGATGAACTGAAAATACTAGATACATGCTAAATGACATCAAAAGCTATTGTACATGTTACTAGAAATAAGCATATGCTCCTTAACGGTACTGACTACGCTCATACCCTTCCCGTACACTAAATATCATACTATCTCGAGCGCATTCCGAGACGGCACTTGCTTCCCAGTTAAAGACACTTAAGGATATCCTAGCTAGAGTATCCGCTACATGGTTAAGCCTGGTAGCTAGAACGACCTTTCCGGCTTTGAAGCTAATATGAATATGTACTAACAACAGACAGAAGAAAAAATAAACAAATAAAAGAAAATAGCACATGTACAACACCAAGGATTCGCCGGTCGTCACCGACCCGACTACTGATTTGGCTCTCTCTGGCTTATCTATGGGAGAGCGGACGGGATCCCGAGTTTTCCAGAAGATGTGGTCGTACATGAAAGAATTGATTGCCTTTGTAGGATTATCTGTGCGCGAGCAAGTCACCCAGCTGCCCATCCGCAATCAGCGTAGTAGGCAGGTAGGTATCAAGCAACATGTTGAGCAAGCATTCTGCTATTAGCGACGGGTGATAAGAATGTGTACTTCTTCCACTTTGCTAATTAGCATATATGCGAGCGAGCACCACGGCTGTACTCTTGGTTGGTTTCGGGGTGAGCTAGGTAACATGATGATATTGCAGGTAGTTGTAGACCTCCGAGGCCTTCAAGCGGTACTCCTTTGCTTGGCTATGAACGATTAAAATATTCGAGGGGGTTAAGCAAGGATAAGAGAAAGAAGGAGAAAAAATTGCCGATGCGGTCTAGATTTGCTAACCCTACTATCACCCTTCATGGTGTCTTCGAGTCAATTGGTGTAGAGAGGAAGGGGTTCAATAAAGCCCCCGAGATATCTCATAGATATTATGCGCCCAAAAGAGTAGCTACAGTCATTGGGTTGACTGCTTGAGCAATAAATATAGACCTTGGGGGTGCCACCAACATGTTGTTATCCAGACCATCAGAACCACTGATATCCGTAGTGGCGAATTGACAGCACCTAACTCTGGTAGGTTTCAAGGCCGTTTGACTTTTATCATGTGATGTAGTGCCCAACTCTTCATTCAGTGTTTTCCCAACCGTGGTTTCATTGCTTATCAGAGGGCTCCCCGAATACCTGCCGACGTGGCTTTTCCGTAAAAGTGCCACCAGAATGCTTCACCACTGCAAATTCTAAGTCAGACATATATTCTTCAACCACGGGTTTGTAGAGCCTCAGGGCGTAAGCAAACTGTTCTACCAATTTCAAGCCCCAGAAGGGGCTAAGCAGCAATGGAAACAAGAGACCATAACTTTGGTAAACACTCACTCCACTGTTCTAAGGGATCACCGCGGCCCTGCTGCCCTCTTACCTCCCTCCAGGCCTTCTTCATCGTATCTGATAGCCGCCGATCCTCGTTGCTGTCGATGCTGCTGGTGTCACCAGCGGACGCGGTGCTCTTCTTGCTGCTATCGTCGTCATCAACCGCGAGGCTTTTGAAGATTTCTTCTGATGCGCGTGTCGAGGTCGGACGTTTCTTGCTAGGACTCGACGGTCCGGAGTTCGGGAGTTGCGCCGCCTTTGGTCGAGTCAGCATTAGCCAGGGCCGCAGGAGGCACCTATGCCATTTTTCCTTCGTTGGCTATAAGATACCATACCTCGACTTGATTTTCTTCTGTCCCATTGTCTCGCTCCTCTGCCCCCTTGGTGTCTCCAGTCATAGAAAGCTTCTTGTCTTGACCAGCTTCAGCACCAATATTTTGGTTTTCCGACGATGATAGATTAGGCTGGGCATGTATATAGACCTCCTGAGACACTTGACATTCCATGACCACATCAGGATCAAGCTTGCCCTGGGGCGCAACGCTGGTGTCTTGTGGCTGCTGTGCATCCATAGTGGTCCCGATAATGAAGTTGGATTCTTGCAGTATTCAGGCCCCAAGCTGTTTATACAATGAATGAACAGCGCAGGCACCACTAAGTTGACATATATATATTGTAGCCTTCATGTGCAGCTCCTTGATTGAGGTCATGGGCCGCGTTTGGGGTTATATCATCATTAACGCATAGTCGCACAAACAAGTCATTAACTTAATACATAGGGGGGGCGCAAGGGATCAAGCCACAACACAAACAACCCAGAGCTATGCGTCTCAGTTGAACTATTATGGGGTTGCACTTCGAAGTCCTGCGAAATCTCCTATGCTGTGAACCCAACCGGCGGCAAGATTCTTATAAACATGTTTCATACCCGGCTGGATACAGCACTGTCTACTCCTATGACTCCCGATCAGAACCCTCTGAGTCGTATTCGAAGCCTTTGGGGAGCGGGGTTCGCGCCGCTTCAGTTTCATCGTCAATGTCAACCTCGATGGCCGGGGCTATTCGCGTTGGCTCTCGGGGTGTTTCTAAGATGCGTGGATCGGATGCTCTGAGTATTTTTGTCATCTCTTGCGCCCATTCCCAAGGGCGTTCCTTGCCTCCAGGGCATCCATTGAAGTACTCCCAACCCATAACGCCCCCAAATTTGGGGAATTGACGTTGCAGGAGCCTTAGATTCTGTCCCAGTATTTCGAAAGGCACGTACCCAGCACCGTTGTCAGGCGTCGTGACGAGACCAACAACAATCTTTTCAGGTGCCCAGCCCCGTGCGACTATCATGTCGTACATGACCGGGTTACTAGCATCTCCCCAGCCGCAATAAAATTGCGCGTTGTACCAAGCGATTTGATTGCCTCTCATCACCTCGAGGGCTTCATAATCAAAACCACTGAGATTCCGTCGTGCGTCCAGGAGCGCAGCTGCCACGGGAGCTAATGTAATGATGAAACCAGGCCCGAAGTCTGCTCGCAGGCGATCAATCAGGCGAATGATGCCGGCTAGCGACATATGCTCCTCGACGTCGAGGTCTAGGCCACCCAATCCTCTTTCTCGTATGAGTTCGGAGAGGGGTAGGTAGTACCGCTCAAAAGTAGTTTGGTCTTGATCTAGTCGTGCGTACGAACCCTTCGCAGCTCCGCCTAGCATGCCCATAACAGTGATGCCGCTGGCTTGGGCAAGCCGCAGCTCGGCCCATGTGGTGACAAAGCGAGAATCTGAGGGGGGATGGTCGTTCAAGGTCAGAGCATCTGGGTCGTCATTGATATGGATTGCCGCAATGATGATGTGGGTCACCGATATCCCTGGCTGAGTGATGAGCGGGATAACAGAACAGGGGGTTCCATCGGGATCATGAGTCGTCTGGTGATACAATATGAGCCGCGGAAGATTGCGCGACGATTCAGGGTGCATGGTGTTGTTGGACGATTCAATATGCTCGCTCGGTGGTAACCTAGACAAGAGACCCGGAGCTGTCGAACTCTCGACTATGGCGGGTCTATACTGCAATCTAATGTCGCATCACAAAATCACAAGCATAACTCTGGAAGCACTTATTACTGAAACATTTCTATATTCGTTATTGTCTTCGGCGACGATGGACCTGGATGCCTGACAAGTGGAACCGCCCGTGTTGAGCTGGCGGGGTCGGAGGCGGGTACAGCGGGGCTAGACCGCTATGTAGGTACCTACCTACATCCTACCTCCTACATACCTGAAAGTACTCTTTACCTACTGTGTATCAAAGGCCATCTCTGGCCATCTATGAGAGCCAACGTGCTGGGTCGGCTTGGGTTTAGGGGACCTCTACTAAGTACTCGAATGATAGGTTGTATTGCTTACTTAATCAACGGCATCTCTATCTTCCAAACTGTCTCCTTCACCGGAAACGGCGATTCGGATTATTTCCCTAGCCTGAGGCTCTGCTCTCTCGGGAGAGAATCACCAGGCGACCACAATTTTCCAAGACCACACATTTGCTGTCGGGGGTCTGCATGACTCGGATTTGAGAAAGGGGACAACACCGGCCAGAGGAGGGAGGTCATTAAACTGTCACAGACTTAATATATGTTGACTGACCGCCAAGTTCTTATCCACACCGCTGCTTGCCATCTTAAGAGAGGATGGATAATGGAATTTGCTAACAGTGCCACGTTCTGTCGCGCTCCATCTCCAAGCCCAGGCCTGTTTTTCCCCAACTTCAACTCCAACAATCTGACGCATACACAGTACACCACCACTACCTAGGTAGGTATTACCCTTGCGCAGACTCGCGCACACTACCCTTAAGCCTCTCAGCCAAACTGTGACCAATTACCCAACACATTGTACAGCCAAGGAGGCCACAAAGGCGTAGGTACTATGCACACATACATCTGACGTACCTACTTACATGTACCTACATAGATGCAGGCAGATTGTACTTAGGCCTTCTAGGTAGTCTATGGGCTGGGGCCAATTAGCGCATCAGAGATGAACTAAGACGCAAGTCAGCCAATCAAACAGGTTCTAGCAAAGCATGTGTAGTCTACCTAGGTATAATCTACATACCTAGGTAGGTACCTAAGTAAGGTCGCTATCTACATACAGTAGGTACTTAGGATACACTACCTACCTAGCGCGAAAGCGAGGCTGGCGGAGACGGTCATCACAACCGGGTCTTAAGCTTCTAAGATTGTTTCAGAAATTTAAACATCTTTTGATGGTCATATTTTATAGACGGTCAACCGCGTAAAAGTCGTCACGGACCACTAAAACGGTCTCCAAATTCCAAAACAATCTCGAAACAGCTATACAAACCTGCCATACAGACTTAGCTATATAATCCATACAGACAGCCTAGAAAGAACATCGATTTTGCTGGTTGTTTGGTTTGGAGCCCAATTCCCAACATCGTTGCATTGATTTTGCGCGTGTATGTTTACTTGCTTCAAGCCTTATACCTCAAATATCAATTGATCCGCGATCCTGTCACAGGCCCGTCGCTTTCCTGGCGCGATGAAATTTGCCAAGGAGCTCGAGCAGGATCTTGTGCCAGGTGAGTACTCTACTGGGCCAATCACTCATTGGTCGTACTCACGCATTCTCACGCTGATTCTTGCGACCCATCCCAAGAATGGCGAATAAAGTATCTCAATTACAAGGCCGGCAAGAAATACATCAAGAGTGTAGCAAGGGCTGTGAATCGAGCAAATGGTACACCGAGGGCCAATAGTCGGCGGCTTCCGCCACGTGAAGTTCCGCCCTTCTTCCGCAGCCCCTTTTCGCTCCAGCAGGTGTCCAGGGATGCGAACTCTCAGTGGCCCGAGGATATAGGTCCTCCGACATCCGGCCTCCATCTATCGAGACAGGCGACACGCTCGGAGCCTGCCAACATGCCCGTCCCGAATGAGAGACAATCACTGAGCGGCTCTGGTATGAATGAAACTAACTACGGGAGTTTCGTACGAACACCCCCAGCTAGTTCAGCTCTTTCAAAAGCTGATAGTCGCCAAACTTTCGAGTTGCCTGGGCCTGCGATCCATTTACCTTCACCAGCGGTAGATGCCTCTGGCATAATCCCGAGTACTAATTTCACCCGGCAACATACCACGCCTGTCGAACAAGCTAGCACAAGAACCGTGCAGCCAGTCGCTTCCGGGAGATTACGTCGTATATTCTCCCAGGGCTCTCAGCTGCCACGAGCCGAGGACACCAAGGGCGCATACCCGCTGGAGGCAATTGATACAGTCCGGCAACGAGAAAAAGAGTTTTTCGACTTTTTAGACGGCGAGCTGAATAAAGTTGAAACTTTCTACCGCCAGAAAGAGTTACAGGCCGAGGCTCGGTTGGCTGTCTTACGAGAGCAACTACATGAGATGCGCAACCGCCGCACCCAAGAGGTTGCTGAGCTTCGACGACTAAAGACTCACAAAAGCAAGGGAGTTGATGGATCTGCGGGAAATTCCTCCGGTTTCAATCAACACCTCAAATGGACCGATCCTATCAAGTCGAGGATATTTAAGCCTGGTGCCAACTCGAAAGCGCTGGCGAGGATGCCGCAGACCCCTGTTGTCGGTGCCATGGCTGGTGATGCCACAAGAGATTATATCAGAAGGCCGTATGAACATGACGTATCCTACAGGACGGCGAAGCGCAAACTGAAACTGGCACTGCAAGAGTTGTATCGTGGAATGGAGCTTCTGAAATCTTATGCTCTTTTGAACCGGACAGCTTTCAGAAAGCTGAACAAGAAATACGACAAAGCAGTTAATGCTCGTCCGCCTTATCGTTATATGAACGAGAAGGTCAACAAATCATGGTTCGTTAGTAGCGAAGTTATCGATGGTCACATAAAAGCGATCGAAGATCTATATGCGCGCTATTTCGAGAAAGGTAACCATAAAATCGCAGCCAGCAAACTGCGCCGGATGAACCGTCGACCCAGTGACAAGTCTAACATTGCCTTCTGGAATGGGTTATCGATCGGAATCGGCGCTGTATTTACGATCCAGGGTCTTACCTACGGTGCCCAGCTCCTATATGACCCAGATCCTACAATCCGGTTACAGACTAGCTACCTGTTGCAGTTATACGGGGGCTACTTCCTCATTCTTCTTCTCTTTTCGCTATTTTGCTTAGATTGCTACTTCTGGACCGCCAACAAAATCAATTATCCATTCATATTCGAGTTTGATACTCGGCATAATCTAGACTGGAGGCAGCTTGCCATCTTCCCAGGCTTCTTTCTTCTTGTCTTCGGTATCTTCATCTGGCTCAACTTTACTCGATATGGAGATGACAAGCTTTGGCTCTATTATCCAGTTATTTTGATTTTTGTCACGCTCCTAATCATTTTCCTCCCCGCGCGTGTCCTGTGGTACAGAAGTCGTCAGTGGCTCGCGTATTCCCATGTAAGAAGGTGCACCTCATAACCTCCTTTGGCTATACTGACTATCCTGTTCTTAGTTTCGACTTTTTTTCGCCGGCTTATATCCCGTGGAATTTCGAGATTTCTTTCTAGGCGATATGTATTGCTCACTAACCTATGCTATGTCTGTACGTCTTGTTATGAAGCAAACATATATCAATCTAGGGAAACTAATAATACAGCATCACAGAACGTGGAGCTGTTCTTCTGCCTCTACGCCAACTACTGGGAAAACCCTCCGATGTGTAATTCAAGCCACTCTCGCCTTTTAGGATTTTTCACTACGTTACCGGGAATATGGCGTGCATTGCAGTGTCTCCGTCGATACTATGATACCAAAAACATGTTTCCACATCTCGTCAACTGTGGTAAATACATCATGACCATTCTCTCTTACGTCATGCTATCCCTCTATCGTATCCAAAACACGCACTCTCACCTGGCACTCTACATTGCCTTTGCCGTTATAAATGGCTTATACACATGTAAGCATCTCCTATCTCATTTCGGACTCCACATACAGCATCTAACAATAGAGAATAGCGATATGGGACTTGTTCATGGACTTCTCGTTGCTCCAGCCTGATGCCCGACATCCTCTCTTACGAGATATTTTAGGGTTAAAGCGACGCTGGATATACTATGCTATCATGATTATTGACCCTATCCTTCGGTTTAACTGGATATTTTACGCGATTTTCACACATGACACGCAGCACAGCACAATTGCCTCGTTCCTAATAGGGTTCACAGAAGTTATACGCCGTGGATTGTGGACGCTATTGCGCGTCGAGAACGAACATTGCACGAATGTGGCACAGTATAAGGCAAGCCGTGACGTCCCATTGCCTTATAACCTACACCACGAGCCATTGATGGAACGCGCGAGTACAGACGAGCAATCAGGCAGGTCAAATCATGATCTATCCAATGACGATGGCGGCCTTGCACCGAGCCAAGATCAAAGACGACCAGATGGTCAGCAGTCCGCATATTCTCCCGCACCTGTCGATGAGGCAGGGTTACGTAGACGGGGGAAACAGGACGGGCCGGCTTCAAAATCCATCCGTGGCATTATGGCCAGTGCACACAGACAAGACTTTGAGAAGAAGAGACGGCCAGCTATGGAAACGGATCTAGATATGAGGGATCTATCAGCTGATGATCTTCGAAGTGAAGATGAAGACGATGACGACTCCGGAAGCGTAGCTGAGGAAGGACAGGGGGATTACGATACAGAATCATTAGTCCAAGTGCAACGCGATGAGATAAGTAGAACATAAATTGCACAGACAATACAGGCATATCTAATCAATGAAATAGATTGAAAATAATACATAAAATTCTGCTACAGTTCTATAAGTATGAGTGTCCAGGCCCGCATGTCAATCCCTAGTTTCAAGATGTCTTTCATATCATTGGTGGACAATGCCAACTCCCCTTTGAGATTGAGAGAGCGTAACCTAGAGCAGCCCGTCCCACTAGCAATCGTAAGACTTGTCGTGCAATGAACATTCCTGAATCAGCGCTTTCGCTCTGTAGCTTATGGAATGGCATCAAATGAAGTAAAGGAGACAGAAGTTACAACCTTTCAAATCTAACTAACAGGCCGCCTGCCGGTCTATACGTTAAGGCCGGGTTCGCTAGCTTGATCCCTATTCCTACCTCCTCCTCTCCATTAACCAACAGCTGCCGTTCTCCTTTTTTGTCGCTTCTGTGATTCGCATTTGTACCGCCCCAGCGTTCGATACCAAGGAATCTCCATTTACTCACCAGTTCGATGAGCATGACTTTAATCTCAACCATCGCGAAATTCTTCCCTGGACACATTCGCGGACCTTGGAGAAACGCCTGGAAAGCATAAGGGCTTGTGTTATCGCCATATAACCTATCCCACCGCCCTGGGTCAAACAAGGAAGCATCTGGACCCCATATGTTTTCGTGATGGTGGATCAGAGGCATATGTATATCGATCTGAGTACCTTTTGGTATGCGCACCCCTTCTATTATTATGTCTTTGGAGGCTTGGCGTGGACTCATGAGTGCTTTGATGTGCTAGTCTGTTAGTGGATATGACACATTGCAGGGGAATACCTTCAAAGTGACGCACACGGTGAGTAAACACGCAAGGTTTCCCGAACAAAGTTATGTAAATAGGGCAGCCCATTTATATCTTCGTATGTAGGCTCGCCAAAGCTCTCAAGCAATTCACGGATCTCCGCTCGCAAAAGGTCTTGAATCTCATGTTTTGTTGACAGAACATAGAGTGCCCATGAGACACCATTGGCTGTGCTCTCGTGACCTACGAACACCATGTTAGGAATGGATCACTCAGGTATTAGACTTAAATGGAATCATGCTTCTCACCTGCAGATGTGAAATTGAGAAGCTGCTAATGATTAGTATCTGCGATATCAACTCATAGGCATACAAGGTGGATTTACATACGTGACCAGTGATGTCTTCTAAAGACCAAGGATCTCGGCCCGTTTGTTGTCGCTGAAGCTCTGATTCCTCGAGAATATACGTTAGTAGGTCACGAGATTCCCCCGCCTCCATCGTGAAGGTCCCATTTCTCAGGTCTGTCCTGCGCTTTTCAATAATGTCGCGAAGCATTTGTCTCAAATCCTTGTTTGCCACTATGAACTTCCTGTTGGCTTCTAAAGGGACTAGCCTTCGGATAGGGATGAAGGCATTGATGGCTGAAAGGAGTTGCCCAAGAGGACTTTGATGGAGTACTCTTGTGAACAGGTCTTGGAAATTGGAAGACATAGTGCCGAGCTCGATACCTAGAACTGTTAAACAGATAATGTCCATGGCTGACTTCGACAATGTGTCAATAACTGAATTTGAAGGATTAGCATGCAGACGTAACAACTGCTTGCAGAAAATCATTAGCACACCTTCGATTGAAGCATAAGGTTTGTTTCCGAGAGCCATTTCGAAGTCTTTTGAAAGTGATTCCACACTCCGTTGGAAAACAGGCAAGATCTTTTTCGTACTCGGGACGGAGAAAGGGCCTGCGAGTAGCTTCCGTTGATGCTTGTGGTTCTCCCCTTCAGCAAATAAGAGGCCAACTCCCGTGATCTCTCCCACCAAGCGCGAGAAGAATGGCGGCTTGACGAAGTCATAGACATGCGTTTGCAGAACGGCTTTGTGGGCAGCTAGGCTGTTCACAACCAAGGCCTCTCTACCAGCTATAGATAGATATCTGATGAAAGGGGCATCCGGCCATTGTCGAGACCAGCTCAATTGTAGTCCGACAGGATTGTCGTTTTTCAACTTGTTCAATTCTTGACCGAGGATGACATTGTTATCCTGTTGAACTTCGGTTATTCGATAGATAGTCTGCGGTCGATGTCTGATGATGGCTTACCTGAGGCCCAGGGAGGTGCCTGAGGGGCGAAAAGAAACGAGGGTATAGGTAGATACGATAGAATTTGACAAGGGAGTAGCTGAAGAGAAATAAACCGGTGATCCGGCTGAAGTATAAAGTTTTCTCCGTTCTCGGATTCACAAGTGATAGATGAAACTCTGCCGCTGTGAGTGCTGCACAAACCGCCAAGTCCATCTCCCTAGCAAACCATGTAACTATTCTAACAGATATATGTACTATTAAAGAGTACTACGCTTTGGTTTCGATGATAGATGGTGTAACGTGGCAACAATGTACTGCTCACGGAGCATTGAGCTGTCTTTATACATACCGCACTGAGTCATCTCTCACCCAGCTCACAACTAGTTAAGCAGTTCTTATTTTGGCATCATATACATTAAATAGGTAATGAATAAGCAGCTTTACTAATAACATATACGTACAGCGAATCGGCAATGAACCGGGAGGTACTTGACCGTGTGGCATAGGTACCTAGGCAAAGACGGTCCAGGTTGCAGAGTTGGACAACACCAGTACTGCAGAGATTGCTGACCTCGATGCTCCAGGACAGGCTAGTGTGTAGATAGGAGAACGTGGGTTTCAGTATGAGTAGATCGACTTGGGGGTCAGCCTACCCTACACCCAGCACAAGTCGGCGTGGCATCGGCGGAGAGCAGCCATCTCCGGTATATTACCTGTGTAAAGAGATAGACTACCCATATGCCCTTGATATAGTCAGGACACATGCTTCATCGCCGACCAAAGCCGTAGGGTGTCGACTTGGATCGTCTAGTACGAGCTCCGAATACCGATTAAGTGTCATCCTGCGAAATGGTGGGTTTACTCTCTCTGGGCGAGCCGCGTTGAGGTCATTTGGTAAAGATGCATTTTCAAGAGCTCAGCTGCGCATCGTGATGACCAGCTGAGAGATCGCAATTTGCCTCATTCGGCTAGCGTACAGTACCTACTGTAAGATAGGTATATCCGGGGCTCATCCACCTCACTAATATATCCTAGGCATAGTGGCCATGACGACACTTGGAGACTGATAAGGAATGCGCTTATCGTAGCTGGCATCAGTTGGTACCTAGGTATGGGTATGTATCCGCCTCTTGTTTACCTGGCCTCCCCTGAGCTTCCGAACTAGATCATTCGATATAAGAGAGTGGCCATACACGCGGAAAGGAGAAGGAGAGTAGACAAGTAGCAGGCAGGCGAATTGTCTGCATAAAAAAACACTCACCCATGGTCCGTCACACCCCCGAGTTTCTGCGACAGCGCAGCTCCAATATGTCTCTACGAATGGCCGCTTCCTCGCCATTGGCCACCTCACGGCTGTCCAGCTTCGCGAACCCGGCCGAATTCGAAGTGAAACCGACCATGACTGAGGCCGAGAAGGCTATAATCGTTGGCGAGTTGAAGACCCGCCGCGATGTCAAGCTCTGCGATTCATGCTATCGAGACCTCCCCGACTCCTGTGCCGATTTGCTTTCACTGGAGCTAACCAACGACCGAAACTCATGCTCTACTTGTGCTATTAAGGACACAAAGCCCGAAGCATTCACCGAGCCCTTCTGTACCTTCTTGAGAGAGAACCCGACAATATTTCATACAGTGGATTACCTCAAGACGAAGATGATATCGCTTGGTTACAAGGAGGTTAGTGTCGCCAAATAGAAGAATGTCTTAGTCGTGTGTGCTGACTGTGCATCCACAAAGCTCCCCCCTCGTGAAGATTGGACCGGGAAGATCGAAGCTGGCGGCAAATACTTTTCCACTCGAAATGGTAGCTCGACCATCGCTTTCACCGTTGGCAAAGCTTATAAGCCTGGGAATGGGGTCGCCATAATCGCTGGCCACATTGATGCGCTGACGGCCAAAGTCAAACCCGTGAGTAAAAAGGCCACCACAGCTGGCTATGTCCAGCTAGGAGTAGCACAATATGCGGGTGGTCTGAACGAGACGTGGTGGGACAGAGATCTCAGCATTGGAGGCCGAGTCATCGTCCGAGACGAGTCAGGCAAGACAACAAGCAAATTGGTCAAGCTGGACTGGCCAAGTAAGCAACGCCTTGACGAGCATACAAGGTTCTTTGCTAATCATAAATAGTTGCTCGAATACCAACCTTGGCTCCTCACTTTGGAGTTGGGATGATGGGCCAGAATAACAAGGAAACTGAGGCAGTACCCATTATTGGGCTTGACGATCCGAGTTCCAGCGCGGCCGAGCCTCTAGGGTCTGTTGGATCGTTTGCCTCTACTCAGCCACCGAAGCTTGTACGACTAATTTCAAACGAGCTTGGCATCAAGGATTACTCGCAGATTGTCAACTGGGAGTTGGAGCTTTTCGATTTACAGCCTGCCACCGTGGGCGGAATGGACAAGGAATTCATCTTTGCCGGCCGCATCGACGACAAGCTTTGCAGTTGGGCAGCCTTCCATGGTCTGTTGGCGTCGGATCAGAAAGATGATGATGGAACGATTAAGATGGTTGCCCTCTTTGACGACGAGGAGATTGGTTCCCTCCTCCGCCAAGGTGCCAAGGGCAACTTTCTGCCTTCGGTAATCGAGCGCACGGTGGAATCATTGTGTCGCCAGGAAAAGACGTTCGGTCCCGGCGTTATCGGCCAAACTTACGCCAATTCATTCCTCGTGTCGGCGGATGTGACGCACGCCGTCAATCCCAACTTTTTGTCTCGCTATCTCCAAGACCACGCGCCGCGTCTGAACGTCGGAATCTGCATATGCGCAGATAGCAATGGACACATGACGACGGACTCGGTATCTACGGCTATTCTGACGCGAGTTTGTGAGTTGGGCGGTTGCACACCTCAGGTGTTCCAGATCCGGAACGATTCGAGAAGTGGCGGAACCGTTGGTCCAAGCATAAGCTCTGCGCTAGGCGTCCGTGCTGCCGACGCAGGCATGCCGCAGCTGTCTATGCACTCCATCCGGGCCACTTGCGGATCATTAGACCCCGGCCTAGGTGTGAAGTTTTTCAAGGCATTCCTAGACAAGTGGGAGCAGGTTGATGCCGAATGGCAATAGATTGGGGTGGGATACCCACGAGATAGATACCCAGAGTCATTGGACCTGAACCCTTTGCGTAGAGGTCTATAGAGGCATCGGTAATAATACCTTATCAAACAATTATTTCTGCATATTATGTTTCCCGCACTGTTTGTGGCTGATGACCTAAGCAGTAAATATCGAGTACACACTTAATTGACTACCCATCTACTTAGTATATCATATCTAGGTAAGCATCTAACAGATGCGGTCACAACTATTTATATAATTGCACCTTATATAAATACACCCGTACATATGTAGCTCTTTCAAGAGCTGCTGACGCACTTGAGGGGAAAATAGGTATTAGTATAGGTATTAAGATCTTGGGATCTTCTCATGCACATGCACATGCACTGTGACGCAATCCCATAGAGTGCGCGGGGCCAGTTTCAAATTTGACTACCTAGGTACACTGGAGACCAGCTCGACGGCGATATGCCTTTCCTTTCACTCTCAAAGCTTCACATGCCAACAAGTATTAATGATCCTTTCAGATGGCAGTGGCAGATAGGTAATTACCAAGTACGATAGGTACCTTACTTTTCAAATCCTACGCTTACTAGCTAGGTCTGCCGTTAAATGACCCTGATCCATCAGCCAGAACCAGCCTAGGCGGGAATGACGTCTAGACCCAAACCCACCGACATGTGCACTAAGCCTGGGCACTAAGTCTGGGCACTAAGCCAGGGCGACCTTCCGATTGGTAGCCATGGCTCGCGCCCATCCTCAACATTTCTTCCGGGGTCGAAATAATTACCTGGGTCCCGATTCTATTAGTAGAAGATGTTTGTTCTCGCAGGTCCCCTCTCTCTGTCCTGTCTCGTGCTTTTGCTTCTGGTCTCATTCTTTTTTTTTTTTTTCTTCTTTTGCTGCGGCATCTCGGCGTTTGCAGGATCTTCTATAGAAGTTACAACCCAAGTGATACCCGATTGATCATTTTCTGCCCCATGATCTCTTTTCTTTTTCTATTTTCATTTGTTCAGCTTCAATAAAAGGTTGGCGACTACTGGCACTTTTGTCCTGTTCAGCATAGCATCGTCACAGAACAACAACTTTCACTTCGCAACGTGATTCCAAACTTCACGTTCGCAAATTGCTTTGTAGCTGGTGGGAGCGTGATCCTCAAATCCGAACTGGGGGGTTGAAGACGAAAAAGGTGGTGCATTTACTTAGAACGGACTTTCCGGCTATGGCTCGAAAAAACGTGACGCAAACGGCGGAGGGCGAATCTTCAGACAAATGGACCTCCATTCTCTCCAAGCTGAACCCTATTCCGCGCTTTCCTGAGTTCACTGGCCAGTATAGAGTCGGCACCGTCGATATCGAGATTCCCGTTAGTGAGCTAGAGTCTCCTGCACCGGCGCCGGATAATGCGGCCGAGATCGAGACGATTCAGTTCCGCATATTTTACCCATGTGATTCAAATGCTACAGGGAAGCGAATTACTTGGCTGCCAGCTCCGCAGCGTGACTATCTTTCTGCATATATCAAATTCTTAGGTGTAGGGGCTTTCCTTGCTGAGGCTGCTTCGTAAGTTCTTCCTTAAGAGCCTAGAATTCTATCGCCTAGGGGCAAGATGCAACGATTTCCCAGACTAATCGAAGACACAGGTTTATCCCAAGGCATCTTCATTATACGACTATTCCCGTTGTCGAAAATGCGCCAATTCTCAAGCCACAGACCCCGAACAACCGGTGGCCGACGGTAATATTTTCACATGGCTTGGGCGGAAGTCGAAACGCATACTCACAGATCGCCGGGTCGCTCGCTTCTCATGGAGTTGTAGTTTTCTGCCCTGAACACCGAGACGGCAGCGCCATAGCTTCGGTTATACGGCTGCCATACCATCAGAGTCGGTTTTTTGCACGTGGTTCAAAGCGCATGGTTCCTTACACCAAGATTTCGCACGACCCGACAGACGAGGTACACGAGCTAAGGAATACGCAGTTACAGATTCGGCTCTGGGAGCTCGGGCTTTTATATGAAGCCATCCTTAACATAGATGAAGGGAGGAAGGTAACGAACTTGAACAAGAACATGCCAATGCTTGACCACTTTTCAAATCAACTACATGTTCACGACCCTGGCGCCTTGGTATTTGCAGGACACAGCTTCGGAGCCGCGACTATTGTCCAGTTCCTCAAGTCAGTCTTCTATGCAGGGCGGCCAGAACTCGAGGCGATGAAGACGCCGCTTTACACACCAAATTGGGAATCGTCTATCTGCAGGCAGGTTACTCAACAAAACGTCACAATTCTGCTAGACATGTGGTGCTTCCCGCTTACCGCAAAGAACACGGAACCACTTTTTAATCTCCCATTACCTGTCTACGCGCCCTCTGACTCTCCTTCCTCTCCTTTACAGCCACCCGGTGGAAACGCTGTACTAGCTATTGAGTCTGAAGACTTCTTCAAATGGCGCGAACACTTGCATGTAACAGCACGTGTCCTCTCGTCAGACCCCTCGTCACATGTCGTTGCGCCGCCCACGGACACCACGACTCCGCACTTCTTCTACGTGAACCGCTCTGCCCACTTAGACCAGTCTGACTTTGCTCTCCTATTCCCCTGGCTCACGCGTAAGGTCCTCGGGTCCTCGGCCCCCGGACGCACCTTACGGCTTAATCTTCGGGCTCTTTTGCAGGTGCTGCGCGTCAACAATATCCCAGTTGCTGGGACTCAGAGCGTTGATCTGGTAGATAACAAAGGCAGAGATACCAAATCGAGCACGCCTAATGGCGAGACGGTCTCACTCCGAAAGGGTGAAGTATGCACAGATGACACGGCGATTCTTGATCACGAGGGAAACGCTATACGGGATGATGATACGGCGACGACAGACGAAGCTGTACAGGCCTGGAAGTGGATTAATATTGTTGGCATGGGCGAGGATGCGGCTAGCGAGGAGAAGAGGAAGAAGAAGGGAGAAGGGAAAGGAGCAGAGGGTGCGGTTGAAGGCGTTGAGGATACGGAGGCGCAAATGGCTGGTGTTATTGAACCGAGCGACTCCCCAGCTGTCGAGCGCAAGTTTGACTTCGAGACCGCAAGTGTCTTCGCTGCTGCCCCAGAGCAAAAGTTGCGCGGGAATCCTCCAGATGACTCTTAACCTTGGATATTTGTTTCTCATTGGGTATGGATAATTTTCTTAAAATCTGGCTAGATTGAATGTATGGCGCCCGGCGTTGAGAGCGGCATAGATGGAAGGGATGTTCAGCAAATGAACCAGATTTCTCTGTTGGATTAGAATACTAACGTTATTAGATTCGTGCGTAGAATTCAAAGGTGTGAGTCATTAGAATGAATTGTTCCGGAGTTGTCCTTCGATTTTCTTATAGCTTATGGCATTATGAGCATAGGCGGAAATTTCCTTCGCAGTACCCAACTAGAGGCTCTCATGTGTGGTTCAGAAAAGCTCGCAAAAGACTCGAGGAGAAAGCAAGACTAGCTTAGCTTATTTGATGTTGGTGATAGTGATTGTAACATCAAAGTCAGAAGGGCTGAGTAAGCACGTGTAAGATTTGTCTAGATAAAACCAATTCAGTGAAATGCGGTATTGCCTAGCCTGACTTCAAGTATGCGGGACGATCATCAACGATGGTTGAATTGTATTAAATTGGGTATAATGCGATTCTATTTCGTTTGTAGAAAAGATCGATTGATCAGATTTTGCTCTTCTTCGCTACAGGACTCGAGGTACTAGAAGCAGCCATCTTTTTCTGTTTATTCCCACATAGCAGTTCACGCTTCTCTTTCTTACGAGTCTCTTTGTCCAGACTACCGATCACTTTGCTCTCTTTTCCACAAGGCCACTTCTCAAAAGCAGCAGCTTCTTGCTCTTCTGACCATTTCTGGGGAAGCAGAGCGAAGACAAGATAAGATGTATGCGTCTTGATCTCAGCTTCAGTGCGGTGAGTTAGTCGTCCAGCCATCCAGGGCTTTGATATAGATGAATCGCCCGAATCAAGATCCTTTGCCGCATCGTCAGCAGCGCCAGTCTGGTCCTCGTGGCTAGTTTCAGCATCAATGTCTTCCATATTGACATCGGTATCCTGTCTGCTCTTATGGTGCTCTTTAAACCGGCTATCGATTTGTTTCAGCCTCGTCACGGCTTCCACCACATTCCGAGGCGATTGATTTGTACCTCGTTCTAAAGGCATATTCAATCCAACTTTTTCGCGCAGTACATTTATCCTCCTTTGGGCGACTTCAACCATTTCAATCTCCATCCAGCCCAAGCGACGCATGACCTCAACGGTCTTAGTGACTTGTTCAATACAAGGAGAAAATGTACAGATATGCACAGTTTGATCTGCGCATAGCGGAGATACCCAGTTATCAGACGCGTCATTTAGAGGTTCCAATCCACAGCTAGCCAGCTGAGAAGGTGTTGGCTTCGTACGCGACAAGTGAGGTAGAGCCTGCCAGGGCGCCGGGACGTCTAAGAAGATGCATTCAGCCTCTGGACTTTGGTTATCCACAAGGAAGCCGTCGTTGTACACGTCTCGATGGGTAACTTGAACAAGGCCACTTAGACGATGGTCTTGGACATCCTCTCGCATCTTTAGAAAACGATCGTGGTTGAATTCGAAGCTCCAGACCTTTCCTCTCTTATCTCCAAAGCTCTTTGGATACCCATTATAGACTGCCCTTGTTGCGGCATGGGTAAAACTCCCACTCCCCGAGCCAGCCTCAATCAGCTGAGTCCCGGGCCGTGCGCGGATACGGTGTAAGATGTAGCTATAGTCGGGAGTGTAGACGACCTGGGTCCGGTGAGGCAAGCTTGACGTCCAGATTTCAGGAGTTGGCGGAAGAACATGGATAAAACCAGTGGGAGCTGTCCTGACATCCTTTGGATTGCTGGTGCTAGAAGCGACGGCTTCTGTGTCATTCCCCGTAGTGTCAGGGTCGACGACGTTCCCCAGCTTGCGTTTTCGACCTCTCGACCCAGTATCTACAATGGAAGCGCGAATCTGTGAGCCCCAGGGCTGACTGATGAGTGTTGAATGTGGAAATGAACCGAAGCGGGTGTTGATGACGGAGCCTTCTGTATAGCCATCCACCGTGTTTCCTGAATCATTTTTCAGATAAACAGGAACGACGTTGTCGCGTGAGAGGTGAACAAGCGCAAGGGCACCGGGCGTAGTCAGCGGCCCCGGGTCAAGAAATGGAGAGACTTTGGACATCTCGCAAAAACAGCGTAATTACTCAGGTAGATTTTGACGATTGCCCAGGTGCAAGGTACTATAATTGACGGCACGGCAATACCTAAGCAACAATTGTAGTACCTAGGTAGTGTAGTGTAGCTTATTCCACCTGGCTCTGCTTATTTGACAACTTTGTTACGATTCCCTGTTGTCGAGGGGAGAGCGCAACGAGTGTGTGCTACTGGAATGAAGACCGAGTTCAACACCAGGTTTCGTTGAATCCAAGTAATAGATTCAGATTATTTAGGTCTCACACGAGTGTCTGTCCTTCAATGCATCTAGGTAATCGTGGTTAAGTACCTTTATATGTAGGTAGGTAAGTAGGAAGTAGATGAACTGCATGCCTTTTTTGGGTCTTTTTTTCGCATGTTATTTTTTTCTTATGAGGCTGAGATGAGTGAAGAGATGCGCTAATGGCGGGGTACTAGAGCTAACTAAGTACAGGTAACACCCTCGCCAGAGATAGAGGGGTAAGTGGCTAGGATCACTGCTAAAGAGGGCTTCGGCCCGCCTGAAATGCAAGGCTATTCAGGGACAAAGCCAATTTCAGTCGCTCGCTATCCGCAGTTAAGCCCCCATGGTGTGACTCAATGCGACTTTGATTATATTGATTTTCGAGACACGTCGCTCCTTTGGTCTTCTCTCCCCTCCCCTCCCCTACCTCTTTCTCCCTTCATTATCTCTACTTGATGCTCCTCTTCTCTTCTCGATCATTCCGACAACTTTGCTTGGTTACGTCAAGATCACACCCGACTCGATTCCCGCTCCGTCGAGGCGTCGCAACACGACTTGCGATGGACTCAATCAAGGTCCATGACTCCTTGCGGCCGGGGCAGCCAGTTCCCTTCACCCCGATCGAGAAAGGAAAAATATCGTGGTATGCTTGCGGCCCGACTGTTTATGACCACAGTCACTTGGGTCATGCGCGCAACTATGTCTCGACTGATATTATCCGGCGTATACTGCTCCATTACTTCGGCTTTGATGTCAAATTTGTCATGAACTTTACAGGTACGCCGCAGCTTTCGCAGGCGATCCTTGCCAACAAAGACTAATGATACTTGGCGTGCAGATATCGACGACAAGGTGTGTCTCAAGACATGACCTACATTGCTCTCTTGAATGCGAAGCTCATTTGTCATTTGCAGATCATCCTTAGAGCACGAAGACAGCGGCTACTTGAGAACGAGAAGAAAAAGAAATATACCGATGCTGAGCTTACTGAGCTAGGCATGGCCGCTTTCAAGGCATATGCGAAGAGCAATCTTCCGAAGCTAGTCGAGGGCGACGACGGCCCGCTGGATATAAATAACTATGTAACCCGAAGAGATACCACATATGGACAAGTTCTGGCTGGCGGGACATTGACCGGAGAAGGAAAACCCGGCGATGACGAGGCGAAGCTGAAAATGCACATCAATAACATGAACTCTGCTGTTGTTGCCATTCGTGACAACCAGCTGTTTTCGGCCGCTGAGGAGATACTGTTGCCATACTTTGACTCTCTCTATAAGGAAACATTCGACACAAGCGACCAGACTATCTTCACATCACTTACGCAACTCATGGAGAACGAATTCACAAAGGATATGGACGCGCTCAACGTCCTTCGTCCCGACGTAGTAACGAGAGTTACCGAATACGTACCGCAGATCGCCAATTTTGTGGAGAAGGTCGTAGAAAAGGGGTTTGCCTATGAAGCCGAAGGCTCTGTGTACTTCGATATCACGGCTTTTGAGAAGGCCGGTAATACATATGCGCGCTTACGGCCCGAGAGTCGGAACGACAAGGCTCTCCAAGAAGAGGGTGAGGGCTCTTTGGGTAAGAGCCTTGGAGGAAAGAGGGGCCCTGGAGATTTCGCGTTATGGAAAAAATCGAAACCTGGCGAGCCTTACTGGCCAAGCAAATGGGGTAATGGAAGGCCTGGCTGGCATATGTATGTATTCCTGGAATCCCTCACGTTTCTTTTGCTTTTCCGTGGGAAAAAGCGCATTTTATGCTGATCTTTCGATGTTTAGTGAATGCTCCGTGATGGCATCTGATGTTCTTGGTTCACATATGGATCTTCACTCCGGCGGCATAGACCTCGCTTTCCCGCATCACGACAACGAACTAGCACAGACCGAGGCTTACTTCTGCCATCATGGACGTGAACACGTTTGGGTTAATTACTTCTTGCATATGGGGTAGGCTCTTCCTTGTATAGTTTCTTGTCATTTTTCCTTTAGCGAAAACATTATAGGCCATGTGGACAACGTTCTATCTCGTCCTGAGATCAATGAAACTGTCGATTTTGTCGAGACGAAAATGGCTGACTATTCAACAGCCATTTATCTATCTCAGGATCCAAAATGTCCAAGTCATTGAAGAATTTTCAGACTATAAAGGATGCTCTAGCGTCGACATACACTGCTCGATCTATGCGTGTCGTCTTTTTACATGGAAGGTGGAATGATGGTGTAGAGATAACACCAAGCATGCGAACACAGGCAGACTCCTGGGAAACTACAGTCAATGTAAGTCAATTGTGGCCGCCACTAGCATTGACTTGGTTTACTGATGCATCCAGAACTTCTTCACCAACGTCAAGTCACTTTTGGTAGAAGCCAATGACACAACCACTTCTCTAAACAGTGGAGTCGAAGGCATCTCTCTCAGTGAAAACAAGCCTGTAGAGGGGCTGGTGGCTGAATTAGAACAAGCTCAGAGAGATGTCGACACTGCACTAAGCAATTCATTTGACACCCCACAAGTCATGCGAGTGCTCGCGGATATTATTCGAAAAGCCAACATTAGTATTGGTGCTCCCAACGGCAATACCGACTTACCAGCTGTTGAGTCTATTGCGAGATGGGTTACCAGGATTGTCGGTATCCTAGGTCTAGATGCTAACGCAAAACCACCCTACAACGGACTCGGGTGGGCTTCTGCAGCTGCATCAGCGGATATAGACCCAGCTACAGCGGTACAGCCTTACGAGGCAGTATACAACTCGGTGCTCTCTGACGCTAAATCACTCAATCTTCCTAGCTCAGAGACATTGACAGACCTCTTTTCCCAATCGCCAAAGAGTGAATTTGACTCGTTGGCGAAAGCGGGACTCCGAGATCCCGAGCAGCTGGGGTTACCATTCCTCCGTGCCACATCTAAACTGCGTGACGAGCTACGGCGCATAGTATCATCCGTCGCTCCCGAACTCAAGGCTTCCATCCTTAGTCTCAGCGATCGCATTCGAGACTATGATCTAACGAACATTGGCGTCTATCTTGATGACCGACCAGATGGTCAACCATCATTAATCAAGTTCATTCCGGCGGCAGAGCTCATCTCAGCAAGGGAGGAGAAAGCGGCCAGGGAAGCAGAAAAAGCAAAGGCCAAGGAAGAAGCGAGAATAGCCCGAGAAAAAGCCGAAGCGGAAAAATGGGAGAAGGCCAAGATCTCACCGCAAGATATGTTCAAGAATGACGATCGATACGCTGGATGGGATTCTGATGGCATGCCTACACAGTTGAAAGATGGCAGCGATGTGCCAAAAGCACAACTCAAAAAGCTCAAGAAGGAATGGGATAGACAAAAGAAGGCTCATGGTGAGTATCTCACGAAATTTGGGGGCACCTGAGGGGCAAACTGTGCCAAGATATGCAAATATTATGGGGTCAAACATACCCCCTCCCACCTTCAGTGTCGACGCTTAGAATTGCCCGGTTCCTGTCAGTACCTTCCAGCTCCGTGATTGACATCGATGAAGTGATCGATTTGGGCTTCATTACTTCTTCTAAACGTGATAGAAGAACATGCATTCTACTTTATGGTAAGCTTATGGTTGCACCCCTGCCAAGGGAAGTTAGTGCTATATATGGAGGTTCGAACAAGCATTGCCAAGAACTCTAATAGACTTGGCAACAGCCTCTAGTGGAGGGAGCAAAGACGACATATCAACGAGCGTCGAGCAATAAGCCTCTTCTCAATACTCCTTGTCATGGTTTGACATCAGGCTTTTGATTTCATTCATGCGACAAACAGTGGTGCGCCACAAATTCCGATCTTCGGCCTTACTTCCGTGTTCTTGATGTGTAATTGGCGCTTCGCATTCCCATGCCGTCACAAGCAAAAGATCGAGGCAGAAGCTCCCAACCTAACACTTGAGTAGAAGACTAACTGAGCCCACTAGAACTTGTATCAATGTCGGCTCAAACTTGCCGAATTATGTGCGGCTCTTCGTGTTTATCCAGCTAATGTGTCCGTATTGCAGCGGCGTAATCCATACAACACGCGATACTACACATCCTGTTCTACCAAGTAAGGCAGCATCATAATATGAGCCACATCATTCGTCAGCAAACAGGTACAGACGCTAGAGACTCTAGGCTAGACTATATCAACTCCATGATTCAAGGCAGAAAAATCCCCTACTTTACTTGAGCGGCAACAAGGAAATCATATTATCCTAGTTTTCTATGAGCTAATGGCTAGGGTAGTGGGCTCCCATGTCAGCCGTGGATGTGGAGTCCCTCCTATGTACGCAGTCGAGGCAGTCTCAAGCTTGATTTCATCTCACCCTAACTTCGCTTAGTGCTCCTCCTATACCCTCTAAATGGCGGGAAGCTGGTGGCTGAGCTAGATGTCCAACCAATAGTTCGGTATGGACCAGCATACGTCAAGGGGTTCTCTATCGATGGGATACCTGCGTCGTAATATCGGTAGACGTTTTGCCTCCTATAGGCAGGTTTCGTCATCAAAGCGTTTCATCATGCGTTATGTAATTGGATGTGTGCACGGAATTCGGCAAAGAGTCAGCGGTTATATAAAGCGGTGTAATCCTCTCAACCCCTCTTCGTCAGCTTAGATGTCTATGGAACCATTCTACTCTACTCTATCAATTCGAGGAACACTTAGCAAGCTACCTGTATCTATTACAACTATTCAATATGTTCGGCTTTGGTATGCTACCCTCCCCTACGTTGATTATAGGTCTCTACTGAGGGATGACTGGAACTGTTTTAATTATCTATTTACCATGGTGCTAACATACGCTCTCTTTGCTCGTAGAGGAATCTCGTCAGAAGCGAGACGAAATCTACGATGGCCAGCCTCACGAATCACACCTAAGCCACGAGCTCATCGCTGGTGGTGCAGCCTTTGAGGCTATGAAGGTTTTTGAAAATCGCCAGCGCGCTGAGGGTATGTCAACGCTCTCTATCTTGGACCAACCTTCCAAACTCTCGTGCTTCCATGATCGATATCCCCCGTGGTACTCATTCACAAGCTTCCCACTATAGCTCATCCTGTTCCCTTCTATGATGGAGCCGAAGCACCTATAGCTCCAATTGAACTCTTCCTAGCCGAAAGATCCAATGACATTCGCTAATGGACGTTGTGATATAACAGGCAAGGCAGTCAACCATGGATTCGCCAAGGAACTCTTGGTAGGCATTGCCGGCGCTGAGGTCGACAAGCTATTTGAGACCAAGGGCCTCGATGCATTTGACCGCGAGAAGGCAAAACACCAAGCCAAGAAGCAAGCTGAGCACTTATACGACCAGCAGTACGGCCAGTACGACCAATTCGACCCGTAAGTCAGGACTCACCCTTAGATTTGTGTCCGCCATGGTTCTATAAGTCAAAGTATACCTATGAAGCTAACTTGTTATGCACCTATGTAGTAACAGTTACGACCCTCATCCGTCCATGAGATATTAGGTGCATGATGAAGTAGGGGAGTAGTGGCTAGATATGTCTCGTAGAATTGAGATTTATGCAAATGAAAGCCAAGAAATCTTAAATGAAAAGCAATTACTAAATGCCATCATATTTTCACGTGAGAGAACTTTGCATCTTTTAGCTGTAATGTAAGAACCAAATCTTTAGATGCTGCGTCCCCCACTGAAGACTAGATCAAAGTTCGTCCGTCTAACCAAGAATCTAAGTACACTCGAGGTGCTCGCCAGAGTGCACTGAATACCATCGCCGCTATCTCTCATTCTGTGTAAACACTATAGTCCATGTTCACTTCGCTAATGAGCTATACCCGCGTTAGAGAAAGATGATAATCTATTTTCTGTATCATGCGGGCACAGCGCCTAAAAGCTTTCCAAGCTGCCATATCCGGTTATGGGAAAAGCCCCTGTGAAGCCATCGAAGCGTCGTCTTACTATGCACATCCGCAGATTGGTATATCCCATGCCACTAGAATTTGTCATCAATTTTACCCCAAACGCCATGAAATGTCGAACAAGTAGGTAGCTGATCACCGTGACCCGGCCGGTCTCTCAGGTATCTTTTCTGGTGTTCTTCCCCACAAGCCTCAGCCTCAACCCCTGCGGAAATAGCCTTTGATTTTGTCGTACTCTTGATTACCTCCCACCGCGACCACTAGCCCTTGCACGGCTGACGGTCGCACGTCCTCTGGCTAGACCGACACCACGACCTCGGGCATTACGACTTCGGAACATTGGAGCGTTTCTAGAGGAGAGGATATATATCAGCCATGTGTCCCTTGCGCCTTCAGACTAGATAGATCAGATATTGACGAACTTCAACATATCCGGCACAATGAAAAACCTAACGTGGCTACCACGGATGTAGACTTGGTCTAAATGGCTGACTCGGCCGTCACGCGCTGTTACAGTGATGTCCTTAAGTTGTACGTTCATGTTATCCTCGGCTGCGTAGACTCGGTTAGCAGCAATGCAACAAGGTAGCCGGCGGGAATATCATCCAAATAACACCCCGTGCGGGCAGGGTTTGAATAGACCTACCCTCAAGCAGCTTGCCGCGGTATGTCTGGCCAGATGTGATCTCGAGCGTGACGATGTGGCCCTGCGCCTCGTTCAGGAGTTTAATCGGGATGCCAATTGTGGACGTCATTATGGCTGTGTATGCTGCACACTCCTTCAAATGCTCGGGATTGTAAAAGAGACGCGTGTACTCGGAGGGTTTGAAGCGCGCTGGTTCGGGGTGGGCTAGGCTATTGAATGTTGGATCATAGGTATGGATGCTTTTGCCTGCGATAAACAATTTGGACCTCAAGCTTAAGTGGAGACTTGAAGCTCTGCAAGGTGACATGATATCCCTCCAGCTGTCGTCCAGGTGGGGCCACCTGTCCACAACTATATCTACCTACATAGGTACTTAGGCCCCGATCTTACATACCGTATGTAGGTAGTTTTTGTGGTGATAAGTTAAATAGACCAAGTAATAACTCTCTTAGTACAGAGTTATCTCATTGACCAACAGCGCCATTTTCAAGTGTTATAGCCAGGTTCGATCACGTCTCTCAGCAAGCAGTATGAAGCAAAGTGTCCTAAGCAAGTGGTAGGTACTCTGTCCAAGCGTAAGCAAAATGATACCTAGGCCGTTCTTGTCAGCAATGCACCACCGAGTTTGGTTTTGTCCAGGCAGTCAATTTTACCCGACGTATATCGAATTGCGACATGAATGCTGCTATCGAATGGCAATTTAAAGATCTTATTTGGAGGACGAATAACTCTTATGTGTAAGCACATGTGTAGATACTTGAGGATAGTAGTACTTCGTGGGTACATATGTGTAGGCCCCTAAACGGATGTTTGCTGTACTAAATATTCATATATGGGTACCTATGTAGGTACCTTAATCTACATATGTACATAACCAGTACAAAGACCCCTGCTAGAACCCCTCCAAGCCCACCTGCATCATCGGGAAGTGCCCCTCCATGGATTTAATTGCCAGGTCCGCGTAGTCGCAACGTGACATATTGCAAATGTGACTCACCCCAATCCCTTTAGGACTCGTCAACAGGCTTGGAAATCAGAACTCTCGTACGCTCCAGTTGTACGTCTTTCCAATTGGCGAGTTTCTCGCCCGTATTCAATCATGGCTTCTCAACCAGAAGCGCCCGCCGCCGAAGTCCCCCCTACTGCGAACCCTCCATCAACTAAGCAAACTGTCGACCCTTGGAATGTTTCCGGAGAAGTAGGCGAAGATGGCAAAGTCAAGGCGATTGACTACAAAAAACTGGTAGAAGAATTTGGTACCAAGCTCATAGATCAAGCTGTCCTAGATCGGTTCGAGCGAGTCACAGGGCACAAACCCCATAGGTTTATGAGACGTCAGATTGTCTTCAGTCAAAGAGATCTGGAGGTTATCCTTGATCGCCATGAAAAAGTATAGCTTGAATCACATTTCTTAGCTAGTATTGTCAGCTAACCACGCACACAGGGAGAGCCGTTCTTTCTTTATACCGGTCGTGGCCCCAGTAGCGATTCGATGCACATTGGTCACACGCAAATCTTTGACTTCTGCAAGTTAGTAGTTTCGCAAACATCTGGGAAGACTAGATTCTGGGACTAAAAATAACCCAATAGATGGTTACAAGATGTATTTGACGTTCCTCTTGTCATTATGCTTACCGATGGTACGAAGCACATTACCATTTCCTCCCTTCACCATCCAGCAACTAACCAAGACTGTTATTAGACGAGAAATTTCTATTCTCAGAAAAGCGCACGGTTGAAGAGGTCATTGGCTACTCACATGATAACTGTAAGGATATCATTGCGATCGGATTTGACCCGGACAAAACTTTCATATTCTCCGACTACGAGTACATGGGCGGCGCATTTTATAGGAATGTCACAAGATTCAGCAAACTTGTGACTTACAATGTAGCCAAGGCCGTTTTTGGCTTCAATGAGAGGTATAATCCAGCCATTCTACACAATAATAGCTTCCTATATCGTGCAATTTGACTAACTTGACCACAGCTCGAACATTGGCAAGATTCACTTCGCTAGTATTCAAGGCAGCACATCGTTTGCCACCTCATTCCCCCATATTTTTGGCGACAACGAGAAAGAGACAGCCAAGATCCCCTGTCTCATCCCATGCGCTATCGATCAGGACCCCTATTTCCGTTTGACCCGTGACTGCGCGACACGGTTGAAGTACGCCAAGCCGTCATTGATTCATTCTCGATTCCTAGATGCTCTGCAAGGCCCCGGCTCCAAGATGTCTGCAAGTATCGATAGCTCGGCCATTTTCATGAAAGATACCCCCAATCAGATTAAGAATAAAATCAACAAATATGCATTCTCAGGTGGTCAAGAAACAGCGGAGCAACAACGGGAGCTAGGCGGTAATCCAGATGTCGATGTTGCTTACCAGTATTTACAGTTCTTCATGGAGGACGACGAGGTATAATCCATCTGACTCTCTGGCATTTCGAGAGAGCTTTATACTAATCAATGATAAATAGGAGTTAGCTAAGCTCGGTCAAGAGTACAGGGAAGGCAAGCTCTTAACTGGAGAGGTTCGTATCTTTATACCATCGAATATTATGTCTTTGCTAACAACTCTATAGCTCAAAGCAGTCTGCATTAAGCATCTCCAGGAGTATGTAGCCGGTTTTCAGGAGCGAAGAGCCAAGGCAACGGATGATGTAGTCAAACAATTCATGTCAGTTCGGCCATTGAAATGGAAAGGCAACCCTCGAGTAGAGAGAATCGTACCAGTCTCAGAAACACAAGCAGAAGGTACGGGTGATGGAAAACTCTCGAAGAATCAACTCAAAAAGCTAGAAAAAGAGAAACAAATAGCTGCCAAGAAAGCAGCAAAGGCTGCAGAGAGAACAGCTGCCTAGATCAGACAGGCGGGCTTCATAATAAACCAAAGAACAGTTCATCAAGCGCATTCCAACTGAACATGTGGCAATATGTCAACAACCCCAAGATCTTGTTCGAGAATGGGAGACTCTGGTAGAATCAAGAGGGTGTCTTCCATACAATTTATGTAGACACAAAGCGTATACACGGTATGTCACAATCTGAGCGTCGGATATCTAATTACTTAATCTACGTCACAAGAGAGTAGCGGCTAATACTTAACGTCTGTCGAGCTTTCCTGACAGTACCGAATTTAGACTCTGCATTGGCATATGAGCATTTCCGTAGCTAGAGGGACTATGCGTGACCCCTATCTCAAGGCTGATTCCAAACAACAAAACCTTATGCCTTTGCGAACATATATATGGTGAGGTTTCATTAGCGCCAATTGAAATGAGATGAGAAATGAACATGCTAGTTCAAATTCATGTATTCATTTAGGCATGGGACCAGGTCAAATTTGAGCGATGTTTATACATCTTGTATGTTACACAGTAGGTGACAGTACTTTCAAACAGCTGCATCGCCAATCTTTACATGCTCAAATCGGTCGACTCTCAGTCAGTTCTTGTATATCTACGTCATGCGACGCATATTAGACAATTGTTTGGCGATATTCAACCAGTGATGAGGACTGGTATGAGTGCACTCAGTTCTGAGTGTCGAAGGTAAGACAGGTATTACAGCGAGCGTAGGCATCGCAGGCGTTTCAGGTCTCACCAGTGTCGTGTCGGTCCTATCCGAGGTGCCTTTACCCTCGAATGCAGAATCTCCCGAGAATTCGCTTATTGGTAGGACAGTAGGAGGCGGTCTCTTCTTGTGTCGACGTGCGGTCCAGTTGAAAGCTGACGCAATCTTTTCCCATAAAGTCGTGTCCATGACGACTTTGCGAAGGACAGGCATGCAAGCAGCCACAATGGAGAAACTGGGTTCAAAGTAATTGAAGAGGTAGCCTCCAACCGCGTAGACTGGTAAACTGTGTTAGAATTTTTTCGGTGACAAGGCTTTTGAGTAAGCCGCAATATAGTATAGTCGATAGAAATCTTACATGGTTGATGCTCATATGATTGATTGGCAAGGCGTAGTAAGACGGCCATTCTCACTAGACCGGAAATGAGAGATCTAATGAGGGCCATACTTAGTATTCTTCTCTAAGTGTAAGTTTAACGACTTACGCGCAACCGAAACTCATTGCAATGCCCAAGCCGATCCTTTCGAATCGTTTGAGCTCAAGTGACTGCACAATTTTCCAAGGTAAGATAGTGAAATACGCATCCAGGCCACAGGAAAGCACTAAAAGTTGTAATTCTTAGTAATGATAACTCCTTGTCCTGGAGAGACACATACCTTGTACAGTGAGCCGAAGAGATGTGATGGACTCAAAGGATAAACATCCGTCTCTCGTGGTTTGTACTCGAAAGGGCTCGGTCGGGCCATCGCAATCCTGCACCCAGTAACTCCATGCCTGGATGGCAAAAAGAATGTCTATGACGAAAACTGAGAGGCCTAAACTACTCTTCCACCATCCTGTTGTGAGTCGAATGAATGTGATGGCCAAAGATGTCTTGCTGAAAGCCAAAGCCAAGGAGTTGAAAAGCCCCATCAAACTACCAGTCACTATAGTATCTAGTCAATAAATATGATTCCGCAAGCCGCCGTGAACAATTATTATCTTCAAAAAAAAATCTTCAAAGCTGAGGGGAATCTCACAAACAAAAGTCTTTGAGGGGGTAGTGGTCACATTCGGCTCAAACTTGTATGGAACCCATTCCCATATTGTAACAGCATTGCCAATAAGACATAACTGCGGAATTAGTCAATCGGTTAGGAGCTAGTGGTGTATCATATGTGATCGAGCAAGGATCTTACCAGTGCGGCCATGAGAAAGTAGTCATCAGACCATAGACGGTGACGTCCCCGAAAGAGATGGTAGTAGATACGCAACACCACAAGAGAGGCGGCCAAGCCGAGAACAATCCAAATGGCCACCTCGATCTTGGGGATGTTTCCGTGCTTGCTACGGGAGTCCTCGACGTCTGGTGCTACCACAGGGTGCAACTCTTCGATCCATTCCATATTGGATGATATCGTGCGCGTGTGAATATGCTAAGATGTCTCGAGTCGTATAAAGTGCTGGGTGGAAGGTCCGTGATACCTAGGCATCAGGCGGGATTCAGGACTGGCAAAGGTTCAGTCTCTACAAAAAGCCCTTGTGTGATGTTGTGCAAAAGAAAATCAAATCAAAAGGCAACCTGTGAGCTGGATAAACAATCACTTGCGAGGAGTGGGGTCTCACTTGGACATCGGACATGGAGGAAGTAGGGACTCGAGCAGGAAAACGCCCCGTACCTGCCCATCTTCTTCTCATTAGCAGCTGTATCTAAATTGTCTTCAGATGGAGGTTGTATACACCTACATGTACCTACATAGATACTTAGTACCTACGTATTGGTACCGTCACCACTATCTACGTGGCTAGTACCCGGGTAGATACCTACACCCCTTCATGCCATTGGTAAGTAACCACCTCAGTAGGTCGAGTACTTACATATATGTACATATATGTAGGTAGGTGATCGTGAACTACGTGAACTATGTCAACGTCTGCCCCAACAAACATATGCTGCTGAGACTGCACCAATGAATGGGTCAGCTTTCGAGTACCTAGTGCAATCCTACGAGATGGATATGTGCATATAGTTGACCAAGATTTGACACATGTCCACGTTACTCAAGCAAGCCTTCGTGAAGCATGTATAGAGTGTTCATCTTGATTATCATCCTTATCATTCCTACTGGCCCAGGTTCGCTATCTTGTATCAGCAATGGCTTCCAGACCAACACTCTCATCACTAGTAACAGCTGTTCCATCATCAGTGGGGAAGGCATAATACTTATCGAGTGTCTATGTGACATTCATTTTGGTCTTTCTCTTGTGCTGAAGCCGGAGAAACAACCTAGAGTCACAGTTCGTAACAGTATCTGCCTATGAGTTCTTCCATGAGTAAGGGCTGGTGTCTTTTAGATTGGGAAACAAGCAGGATGCAATAAGGGTACCGATGCCTAGCAGACCATATTGATATATCTTGTCCCTTCAACTCATATAATTACCAGCTCAAAGTACTTCTTTATCAGATTATACCTTTATGCTGATACTTCTAGGATTGGATGTTCCCTTCTTGTTGTATTCAGGTACCCAATGTGGAAAGAAATCCAGGTGAACTCAATAATGAGGCGGGATATCTATGTATATAAGCAACTACCTACATGTAGGTAGGTACTCAAGTACCTAGGATATGTCCATAATGTATTTCTTGCCAGAGTACATAGGTACTTGATTTAGGGATGTACTTGCCTTCAAATCTTGCTTGCACTGGTATTACTAGGCAGGTAGATACCTACCTAGGTAGGTACTGAGTATCGGCCTGTCTTCAACATACCTACCTATGCCCTAAGCTAATGCCTTAGGTAGCCTCAGTAGAGGCACTATCTAGCAATTAACGTACACAGATTGATACATATTATCGTGAACCTTCTGACCAGGTATGATATCGGCTTATATCTACACCTGATATGTACTTATGTACGTAACTATGTAAGGTCTCTGGTAGGTACCTACCTACCGTAGTTGAACCACAACTTGTCCCAAACAACGCAAAAGAGCTAGATACCCGATAAGGTTAGACTCGAACTTTAATCTGCATCATATGACTCCGCGTCCAGGTCGCGTTCTTTGTCTAAAGATCTAGGCAAATAGCTAAATGCTGTAGCCGCGTTAATTGATTTCTCACCTTTCCAAACTCTCTCTCTCCATTATCATTGTCGCAGTTCGGATGCTACATGTAGACATGCGACATGCCGCAGAATTTGGCAAGGTCGCTGCCTGTGGCGGAGCGAAAAACCCTTGCGGGTGAGGATGGTAGCCAAGACAGCCACGACAAATTACTTTTTCTCATTCAAGAGCACCGTATCGGCGTGGTAAGCGAGAATATGCACATCATTCATACTCCCTGCTCTAGCCAATGACAGCTGATCATGTCCCCCCAGACGACCAATTCACCCACTCTGAACACCAAAGGTACAAACGCAGAATACCATTATCTAGGCATTATAAAATTCATCTACCTATCTAACACGGTTTGTTTTGCTAGTGGACCTTGTCAGTGCCCCGGCTTCGAACCCAGTCGCAACAAGACGAAAGCCATCATCCCCACAGTCCCAGGTAAGATACACGTACCCTGACGAGACTTTCACGCACGGACGCGGCTGTTCAATTGTACAAGGGTGGTACTGATGACGAAATCTAGCACCTCAGGAACGCGTCCGACGCGTCTGCGAACATCCTGTACTTCAACACCAACATCTGCGCCAATCGTAATACCCACTCCAACATAGACTTTACTGCTGTTAGTGCTACATCAAGTCGGACAAATAACATAATCAGGTCGACAGCACCTTCATCGACTAAGGCCCAGACCAGGGTCGCCCAAAGACCTCCCGCCCCATGCGATGCATGCCCTTCTAACCCAGATATACGAGACGATGATATATCCGGATCCATACCATTTGCCGCATCGCTGAAGACGCAGACTAAGGCCATGTCTTCTCAATCATTAACCCAGTTGAATGAAGGTCGCAGCTATGACCAGTATTCTCGCGATGGTTCGCAACCATCATCTCCACCAGGAATTCTGGCGGAAGAGCATCGTACCCTGCAAGAGGGAGATACTGGCTATGTGAGCTTCAAGGACTCATTCGACATACCTGATACCGCTCCAGTTGAGCCTGTCACGCCTTTTCCTCAAAATAATGAAAATGATGATCCACATGATCAATCCCGATTCCCGTCACAACCCTCCACGGCCCGTGCAAACCCCTTCGCCCCCGAAACTCCAGCAGTATTCCCTCGGCCCTTTATATCTGGGGATGGTCAGCTTATGGCAGCATCCCAGTTATTCGGCCAGACGCAGCCAACGTCTGGGCTCAAGAAATTTAGTCCAACATCATCGCGCCCATCGCCAAATATTTTTGGGAATAATGTAACATCACCGACTCATCCTACATCGTCACCTTTGAAAAACAGAGGGTTTGGTAGCACTCCAATTGCGCCTTATATGTCGACACCCGGCTTTCCCGAACATTCATCTCGGCCGCTAGAGAGCAGGACATCTAGATCGCCGAGCCCAGTGGGCGCACCAGGCACAGCTGAAGAGCGAGACCAGGGTGATGTCGATAAATCCCCACTCCCGAAGCCTGGTTCTCGCAGAGTCAGAATTGGACGGGAGCCTATCAATGAATACCGCCCCTACCGAAAGCCAAGTCTAGATAGTGAGAGGACGAGGTCATCGAGTCAACACAGCGCAGATTCAGATTTTGAACGAGAAGAGGCTGAACTCCGTCGCCGGCGCGCTAGGCTACACAAAGCAAAAGCGTCAAAATCATTCCCAGAAATTAGCGTACCTCTTCCTAGCACAGGGAGAGCTAGTGTTGAGGTGCCATCGACGAATCGCTCTAGACGTACCAAAGGTATTCCAGAGACGATCTCTGAAGAGTGTATCCCGCAGCACGATGAGGACATTGTTGCAGATATGGGCGCCTCGCAAGAAACTGTAGTCGACTCGCAAGATATAATAGTGCAACAGAAGCCGCCGAGTGGAAGTGACACCCCGACCTTACCGGCTACAGACGCTAATAAACCTATATGTGATGAACCTGGTCGGCCATCAAGTGCCCCTACAGAAATTATAGATAGGGAGATGATTCCGGAAACTAGTCCTGCTTGTACCTTTACCGAACCACCAAAGTTGATCGGGGACATCATGAAGGAGAGCTCTAGTGCCCCCAGTGGTCTACTTCCATCATCTTACCCAACACTACCCAAAGGTGCCTTCGTCGCACCATCATGCTCACCGAACAAACTTAGCCAGTCAGAGCGCAATCCATCTGTGACATCAGTCATTGATAAAAGGGGTAGAGATTCGAGTGCTGCTGCATCGTCCCCACCTATCGTCCCGGCCACGTCACAACGAAATACCGGACGTCGATCCAGAAGGCTTGGTAAACCGAAAACACCATCCTCGACAGCATCTGAATCTCTTCTACCTTCTGATCCCGGCACAACGTCATCCACACTAACTGTACTGTCAGCAACACCAGTCATTTCCTCTAGCCTAACACCAAATACTGAGGATGATGTTGAGCCTCTGGAAAGTATTACTGCTGTCTCTTCTCCTGCAGAGGACCGAGGCCAGCGAAGGGGCCGTCCGTCTTCGTCATTACCCGACGTAACACCATCCTTAGCGAGAATGAAGCCAGGTGATAGCTCCCGGCAAAGCTCTAGGAAAGGGAAGGGTCGGTTTTCACGTCACAGCTCTCTATCACTAGATGAGCTGGACAAACCATCAACAGGTTCTACACAAGACTCTCGGGCTGTCGCTCGTAAAGCACCTAGGAAGTCGACCACACTGCGTGAGTTTCAGACAAAATATGGATTATTTGAAGGGATGGTATTTGCGATCTCATTCCAGGATCGTCAGCACTCTCAAAGAAGCAAAGATAAGTCTGTATCAAAGAACAGAATCGAAGAGATGATTCGACAGGAAGGTGGTAAAATCCTGGACGATGGATTCAATACCCTTTTTGAATTCGATACGCTCACAGTAAGTGTCAAGGCGCCACACCCAACTATTCTATCCAGTTCATTGAAGCTCGTCAATAATGGGACTGGGTTCGCCGCTCTGATAGCCGACGGACACTCGAGAAAGGTAAAATACATGCAAGCCCTTGCCTTGGGTATTCCTTGTCTAGCACCTAAGTGGGTTACCACTTGTGTATCAAAGAAGGAAGTAGTTGATTGGTCATCGTATCTTCTATGTGCGGGATCAAGTACATTACTTGGGGATGCCATTCGGTCTAGAAACCTTCAACCATACGACGCGTCGACAGCCAAGTTGGCGCAAGTAATATCCCAACGACCGAGGCTACTTGGCGAGAGTAAGATTCTTCTCATAATGAAGAAAGCCAAGAACGAAGAGAAGAGATTACCTTACGTTTTCCTTGCTCAAGTGCTCGGAGCGTCTCTTGTGCGTGTCCAGAGCGTTGAGGAGGCTAGGGCCAAGTTACGAGGATGCGAGTCTGGGGATGAAGCCTTCGACTGGGTCTATGTGGATGACCATCTCCAGGATGCGAGAAATGCCCTTTTCGGTTCCGGCTGCAGCGAGACAGGTTCTAAGAAACGTAAGCGTATGAGCGCGGATACTGATGTGAACAAGGACCGGCCACCGAAGCGGATTAGGACTCTGAACGATGAATTGGTCATACAGAGCCTCATCCTTGGGAGACTGGTTGAAGAGGACGAGATGGAAGATTAAGCAGGGTCCTGCCCGCTGTTCGTTATTTGGGAAATGGCTACAGGTTGCATATTTACGGCGTCTCGCTCTGGGCATCTACAGGAGTTATTGTTTCAGGGGCTAATTCTATACGCCACCGAAGGGAATGCCCACAAGACGGCATAAGGGGCGTAGTGATTATTATGTATGCTGAAGGTTAGGTAAATACATTAACGGGATGCACATCTAGTAGGTTTGCGATGCTTTGTGCTGTATATATGTACAGATGGTTCGAGGTTACAAAGGAGCCAGACATTGTGATAGGAATAGCGGGACGCACTATAATTCTTAGCCGCCGATCTATGTCGTCATATGACGTGAGCTTTCTGAACATGATGCTGCCCGGACGCAATTCCGTCTTAGGTATTGGGTGCAAACATAGCCCTGCGGTTCGGCACGTCGAGATAGCAAATGAGAAGACAGTCTACCCGAGGCATTTCTTTCGGCTCTGGAGTACTGTACATAGCAGGAAGCCTAAGGCCTTTGAGTGTTTGGTCTGCGGGGCGGCGGGGTGGGAAAATTTACCCAGATTCTGTAGATAAACCTAGGGCAACGGAAAACTTAGCATCCGGGGTGGAGAGGCTATCCCAACGGTCATGATCTTGATCGAGATGTTAAGTGTTTGATCGGGAAATTTTTTACGGTTCTTATCCATAGCCTGCGACTGGTTCGTCGCCAAGCCGGCTCGCCTTATGCAAGTGTAAATGCCTCCTCTTCCCACGAACCGGGGGAATGAGGCCCTGATTGGTAGGTTAGCGTTCAGATTAGGGGGTAATTACTCTGTTTTCAGGGAATTCTTGGAATGGTTTCCAAACGAATGGAGGTTTATATCGTGGGGGCGGTTTTCATTCACCCTTCTTTTTTTTTGTTCGGGATACTGAACCACGTTTTCTTGGCAATTCTGCCTTGCTGCATCCCCCTCCCTTGTCCCCTCTGTGGTTCGTCAATCGCTTGGGGGAGCAAGTCCATTTGGTGTTCAGTGCCTTTAGATACCTACGTACCCAATCCAAAGCCCGTTACTATTGGAAGAGCTGACTCATTCGCTCGAGGCTAATAATCATAACATGCTCATGTGTGTGGATAGGTACAGACTGATAGAAATGTTCCGCGCCAGAACTGATACCCGGATGGCGTCCCGTAGATAAAATTTACCTAAGCGACAACAAACATCGCTGGACGGTCGCCTATGCGGGTACTTACATGTAGTAAGAGATTCTTTACTAACTGTACACATAGTAGGTATGCGTATTGATTTGGGGTACACTACTGTAGGTAGATCTACAACATCTCGACCAGCCTCCTGTAGAAATACATACATGCACATATCCTTAGTAGGTACTTGGGTAGGAGCTTGCCTGCCCCCGCACTTTGCACTTTGTTCTCTTGCCGTAGGCGGGTTTGCTGATAAGAGCGCGGAGATGTGCGAGCCGTTTTCAGCCGCGTCCCCGAATGCAGGTGTAGTGATACCTCGCACGGCATGAGAGATGGCATCGGTGCATTGATAGGCTGGGCTGTGGGGGGGAGGGTGAGACAGAGGCATTGGAAGGGGTTCTCCTCACCAGAATCCTCACCCACGTACTAGTACATACATATGTGCTTACATGTATGGAGGGGCGGGCATGTCCGTGGATTGCAACTATTGACTATCCGCGAGAGCTGATGCGAGCTGGGATACTGTAAGCTCTGGGTCTCGAGGGTTGGATGCTAAGGTGACTGACTTGATTGCCTTACAGTAATAAGCTGAGTGAGGATGTATATGTCTATGGTCCGGTTGCTTATAGTAGGACTACGACTACCGGAATAAACCTTGTTCTCTGGAATGGATACGCGAGCGGTTAAGAGCTAGTCAAGCAGAGAAGAGAAGCTATATACACCTATAGTAGTACAGTAGTGCGGAGGTGTACTGGGCGTGATGTTTTGACGGCACACGATTGGAGCTTCCCAAGAGGCGGTGCGGTCACCTTGCCAAACTGGGGAGCGCCGTACACTTGCACCGCATCCTTGCAATCCTTACCTACTTACAGGAGACATGATGCATACCTGACCGCCTTGCACCTGTACCTGTACCCGTACCTGTATCTGCCTGTAGTAGGTAATGAAGGCCGCATCGTAGGCTTGTCAAATCTTTCCTTCGGCTGCAGTTGAGAAGATAGGATGTAACTGGGATTGAACAAGGCTTGTGTCAATGCACCACCCATACAGGTACCTACCTAGGTAAGTCGGGACGAGTCAACAGGCGTCCCATATCATATTGACTTGTGGTAAAGTTGCTGGCATTTACTTCGAGAAGAGTATGCTCGAATCCAAATGGCTTAAGGGCAGTTGAATACAGTGGGTATTATAAGTGTAGGTATCCTGATATACCCGTTCAATCGAAGGTAGGCCTGGAGTTATAGCGACAGCTTGATATACGCTTTCAATTCAAGGCAGGCCTGGCTTATATATTACAAGATATAGGGAATGACGTGTAGACTACGTCCAGTATGGCGGAACATGTATCATTCCAAGATTTTGGATCGTTTGACGGACGAAGAACTAATTTTTATTTGGGGGATTTCCCCAAGGGATAGATAGGCGAGGCGACATCTCGCCTGTGCTGTATGTACCGGTAGGTATGTATATAAAGCCGCCAAGATGCAGCCAGATGCATTCAGGTACCTCAGGCCTTGCATTGCGTCTTGTATCAGCTCGCGCTATCTAGAGATATCCCTCTTCTATTCTCACTCTTGCTTACGTATTGTGTTGTTGTTTTCAAAGAGGAGAGGAAGCTTCACGATTGACACCTGGCACCTGTCATTGCTGCACATCATTTTCAGGTACGTTACGCAGGGCGTTTTCCCACTGGCCATTGTTTATTCTGAGCGGGGAGCATCCTGGACGAGGAAACCACTCGGGCAGTGCTCGGAGGAACTGTCAGTTTGATCTGGCTGTCATTTGAACTCGGTATGTCGAAACGTTTCAGCAAGATCTAAGGCTTTCCATAGAGGTCAACCCCAGAGTCTCATCTGCTCGAGCGTGACTACGCCTGGTTGGTTGGAGACGGTAGTATATGTCAGCAGATTGATTGTATTGTTTGTGTTGGACGAAGCGGAGGCGGCATCCGGTCATTGAATCTTTATATGACCGACTAACCTGACCATCTACATGGAAACACATACAAACTCCAAGTTGTACTACCTTCTCAATGCATCATTGGATCACCTACCAGGTACTGACTGCTGGTAATTCTTCGCAGGCCCCAGAGGTCCCCTGCCAATGCAAACCACCTTATCCTCATTGCATGATATCCTTGCCACCCAGCGTGGCTCCGAGTGTCGTTGTGAGAACCCGAGAGCGTCAAAATTTACGGTTCTACTTACTACATACAAGACCTTCTCGTAAGTGGGTCAGCCATCTTTTTGGTCACGATTACACTGTAAACGCAACGGAGCCGTCTCAGGTTAACAAGCGGCATTGCTTTCGGTGCAACAATTCCGGTTGAGGCAATTGGCGGTGCTTAAGGTCAGGCGCAATACAACACCTATATTCAAGCACGCTGGCGAGCGTTTATTATACGATTGAAAACTTGGCCAGTAGGTAGTAGTCACTCCCTACCTGTTATATAGCATCTTTTGCTATAGCTCACAGCCATAGCTACGTTGCAGAGGCGACTCGGGAGGTAGGCTGGTTGAGCTGACAGGCAGGCAGTTCCTCGGCGCTTCAGAGGGAGCCAGTCCTGTTTTCAGCTCAAATTTTCAGCTTAAATGATCACCCGTCTGTCCATCAACTCCACCTAAAACGAAAGGGCAAAAAGTCAGAGGGGAGGAAGACGACTTACACAGTAAAGAAAAAAAAAAAAAAAAGAGACTACCTATCCGACGACCCCATATATATATCTTCGTACACGATCTCTCTTACCATTGCTTACGGTTAACCATTCTTATCTTCGCGGTCCTGCGGCACAGTAGAATACCCGGAGGCAACCGACGACTGGAGACTACCTAGGTAGCCCTTGGCGAGCACTCCGGAGGCCACTGGCACGATTAGCTGAGTCGGCACCGGGCTCAAGTCTTTCGCAAGCTGCATCCCAATTGATTTTATACTAAACACCAAAAGCACGCTAGAGACTACTTAAGTACAGTCTACGGGCTATCACTAGAGAAGGGCGCCGGCGAAACCGAGAGCGAGATAGAAAAAACGGCAGCCGGTAGGTAGTGCGGTTCTTAGCTTGTACAACGTTGCGCGACTGGGCATTAGCGGGCCCAGTGGTCTACCGCATACACTCGAAAAACTCGAACAACACTAACAAGACACTAACGGCCTGTAGCCAATCATACAGCGTTAATTCCTGGGGAAGTGGGTATGATCTTCACTTTATACCCACTTCCCCAGGGAATAACGCTGTATGATTGGCTACAGGGCCGGTAGTTTGTGTTAGTGTTGTTCGAGTTTTTCGAGTGTATGCGGTATGCAGCGCTCAAGCTGGAATGATCTGGGCAGAGATCTGGGGTTGGTTTGCTCCTTTGCGCGCCTTTGCGCTTTTGCGACCCCCTCTCCTGTCTGTCCTGTCTGTCCTGTCTTGTTGACCCATACCTACTTCTGCCTACTTATCATCACATGTACCTTGCACTACAGTATCTGGTTCCTGCTGACTGAGTCATAGCACCTACGGTACATGGAGTAGAGGGGCTTGACGATATCTCGACAATCTGGGTGTGTGATCTCATCAATGATCGACGGTTACACGATACCTACTTATCTAGGTACTCTCTGGAATACGCACGCATAACCTTGGAAGGAACATAGTAAGGGCCAGATAGTTTCTCTATTGGCCTGTTGGCGCCGAGCCCTCTCTGCAGAGCTCTCGACTCTCTGGTACCTTTTGCGACAGACAGCGACAGACCGCAACGTTCTCGTTGGACAGGCCAGAGACAGGCGAACGAACTCCAATTGCTTGGCCACTTGTCCCCCACTAGCACTAAAGTAGCTAAAGTAGCTTCATATCGGACCATTTGATCACATCTGCGTCGCTACATACCTACCACTAGTACTAGGTAGGTATACTAGTACCGGTACCTGTCCAAGTCCACTAAGAACTCGGGCGGGCAGGTAAGGAAAGCGGTACCTTCCCTACCCATCGGTACCTGGTATTACCTGGCTATTTCCATACTATCGTAAGTACTCCCTCCCAGGGCCAGTACATTGCTCAAGCGAGCGTTCGGCCTGCCTATTCCTACCGCATAACCTTCCTCTACCTACATACTTATTTTACATGCCTCTACTTTTCTCTCTCTACCTTTACCTGTGCCTCTGCCTCTGCCTCTTGTTTCTATTCTCGTCATTTGATCCATGTTCGATCTGTTGGCCTCCCTTTCGACACAACAGCATACCGTACCGTATTGCAGCATGTCAGGATACCTACTTACCTATGCACACAGTTGGTGACCTTGCAACCAGCTCAAACCGACACGTCCATCAGCTACCGACCTACATCAGACCTACACCAGACCTACACCAAGACCTACTTCGTACATCCACACCTCCCGCATCCGCATATAGACCTCTTTGATAAAGTAAGTGAGTGCACAGCAGCGAGCAGTGACCAGCTTGAACACCCAGCCCGCACCGGAAACGCACAACATAGTTGCTACAACCTCCACATTCGTCCACTAGATAGGGTACGCATGCTTCCCCCATCAAAAGAAATCAGCCCACGCAATCCCCATTCCAGCTCACGTCGGGCCTCGCACACCATCTTTCGCGCACCCTGCATTTCTACCTGGCCTGTTCGTGGATGCCCCATGCGACTTTCGCTATAGGTAGCGCATCGTTATTGGTAACACGACAGTCTCCCAGAGCTAGCTGTTTTTCTTTTTGATTTACCTATTTCTCGTCCTGCCTCTCCACCTTCACATCCTGCAACTACATCCATAGCATGATCCTAGATCCATGTGATTATTCATTGTCGACTCGTCCGTCTAGACGCTCTGTGATAGGACCCGTCTGGGATGGCCAAACCTTAAGCTTGATCTAACGTTTCCGACTCCAATAGGCAGCTCAGAAACCATTGGTCCTTAATTCTACTCAAAACCGAGCTCGCGCGTCCGCACTTGAAGGGGCACTTTACTAGCCAGACCACACTATCTTAGTCCAACTGCCCCGACCATTCCCAACAAAGAGATCTGTTGCGCCATACTGTTGACAAGTTTCAATACACTACCCTTTACGTCACCTTGAGCGAGGCATCAAATAACCCTCGACTCGTTTTAATCATGTATGACCCGGATTATGGCACGGCGAGGCGACCGTTGGACCCGGCGCCGCAAGTCTACTCTCACTCAAGGTCAAGAACAACTTCCTCCAATACATTCCCTGCGCAATACTCGCAGTACGCTCCGATGCCCAATCATTTACAACAACCCCAGCCTTTTACTGGCCACGCTCGACGCTCACCTTCGGTGAATACCTTTAGCACGACTTCGAGTAATGCGCCAGCCGACCTCCGCCGAAGTACGTCTTCGAGGTCCATTAGCAATCAACAAGGGGGCTATGTTGCCCTACTCCGTAAACAAAAGGCTACCGTGTGGTGTGATCGAGCACAAGCCGAGGATCCTCGCATGCTTGCCCAGCAACGCGCCGCTAAACAGAGAGCAGCCCAGGAGGTAATCGGCCGCACGACACAAAACCGGACGTCGACAGGTATTAGTGGTGCTGGAAAGGTTGTGACCAAATTCAGATACCATGGCAAGCCGGGCGTGGTTGGATATACCCCAGAAAACAACTACATCGGCGTCGGTGGAGTCCCACTGCGACTAAGTGCCACAGAGGTGGAAGGTGAAGATAGCGAGGATGATGATGTTTCTGCGCGGAAGTTGCACCACCGTAGGACAGGGAGCAGTGGACGTAGTAGCACTGCTAGCGGCCGCCGCGGCATGACCTATCGTACTTCAGGTAGCATAGGGCAGGGTGGTAAGCGTTGGAGCCCAAGCGACACACCAGAGCGAGGCAGCATCGCGGATGATCCTGAGTACAAACCAGCAGAGGACCGAATTGGACGTGCCACCAGCACACATAGTGGCAGTAGTGCAGAGAGGGCAGATGCTTTACCTGAGCTAGCCAGCTCCAACGCTACCAAGCTGGCAAGCAACAGTCTATTGAATGCAGCCCTTACGAGAGAGAAGAGCGTCAAGAACCCGGAAGATCTGAAGAGGAGAGGCAGTGTGGATGAGAGGACTATGACGCTTACGTCTGGTCGACTTTTCATTGCCAACCCGGATCAATAAACTTGCATCATCGAATTAGAGGAGAGGGAAGGTCTCGGCAGTATCTAATACCCAGTGCTGACTAGTTGTACCGGCTGTAGCTGGTCCTGTCACACATTTTGCATTGTATGGAGTTTATGTTATTCACTCTCTGGTTTACTTTTGGTTCGATCCGGAATAGGAGGTGGTTGAGGTAACAAAAAGGACAAGAAGCGGTATTTAGTCAGCCAGCACCACACGATCGTTTACTCGATATCATTCATTCCACTATCACTTGAATTGCACGTTGCAACAAATACCGTCGCTGCGGTTGCAACTATCTCATTTTCCATTTCATTGCGTCTAATGAGCATGAACACACTTCCTGGGCGAGTTGGAAGGTGACAAAAGAGGTCCATGGGGCTTGACGGCTAGCCCCGCCAAATTAATGTGTATGCCGTCTGTTGTATGCCGCGATGACTCTAGATAGGGCTTCTTGTTAGGAACATTATCAGCTGGTACCTGACTGTCTAATGCCGAGATCAAAAGACATTGACCTATGTTAAATTTGTCACGCACACGTCTCTCAAAGGGTGGCACTTCTATACCTTCGAAATTAAAGACATCTAGATGCAGTCACTCCCTTAGCTGGCTCGATGGCTGGTCGAGCCACCCTGTTTGGACAAGAGTAATATGAATGAATAGGTAAACAGATGAATTTGTTGCCTTGAAGTCATAGAGTAGTCAGGTCCTCGACAGAGGTCTTACAGCCGACAAGCATCTCTGCCCTTCATATATATTATACCATAGGGGTATACGTGCTATTGTGCTACATAATTCGATATCTTTAAATTTTGGTGTAGCATTATTAACTTCAGCCATAGTATATAGGCCATTGATAACTCAAGAAGAAATAGCTGATAAACATCTGCGACACTGGAAATTGAGTAAGCGGTATCGGATTATTGGAACTTTCTTTTGTGAATTGACAGGTTCGCTTGTTGGGTTTGGATAGATCTCGTTATTCTATATGAAGATCAAACAACCTCGAGGAGTTACCAGACATTCTAATTAATCTCCAGCAGTATCCAGAGCCTCTCATCTCTTCTGGTGCTTCCTTTCACAACACAACAACCCGCCTTCTTCTCACAGCGCATGCACTCACAACCCCGCCCCTCAATAAATCATAGAAGCAACCCCTTAGAAACCCTGTTCCTCAACCTGAGCCTGAGCAGCAGCAAGTGTAGCATCCGCATTCGGATCGACAAATCCACAGCCTGTCTTACCATTCTGGAAAGACGCGGCCTCGGCGCTGCAAATGCCTACTTCAGCACCGCTGCCATCGGCAGCCTCAGCGCCGCCAGCGCAGCACGCAGACTGGCAGTCTGCATCATTGATGCAGCCGCCCGTGGTGAATTGCGCGCCCTGGCCGTTGCCGACGTCGCGGGCGCCGGCATTGTTAGGGCTCAGCGCGAAGGCAGCGAGGACGACTTTTAGATGAGTTAGTAATGTTAGCTTCGTAGAATCAGAAGTGAGGGAGACGCAAGTCATTTAGGAAGAAGTCAAGAGGGGATATCGCTTACAAGAGAAGGTAGCGAAGATGCTGACGCGGACCATTTTGCCGTCTGTAATAGCGAGAGACTGGCTATATATATATTATGTCGAGAAGCGAAAGACGACACCCGGTCGTTGTATTCAAATTAAATCGAATATAAAGAAAGGTCGGACTAGCCGAGCAAGTAGTTGGTTTAAGGAATGAATGGCTGTGCGTGGTGGAAGATCAAAGGTGAGCGCGGGGATCTCTCGATGGCTTTATATCTACTGCTCATAACATGCGCGTCTCCGTATTCCGTAACTCACCTATACTGATTGCTACTATACTCTTCCCATCAGAGCAGGTTCTGTTGGCGATCTTCGCGCGAGTTGGGATGGGTTGTAATACGTGATGTGCGGCGTGCCTGAAACCACAGCCGGTTGGGGCGTCCCGGCTGAATGAAGCGCTGCTCGTCGCAGATCCGTCACATGCCGTCCGTGATTTTCGGGAAAAGAACGGCGGATGTGGCATGACAAGAGATGACAGAGTCTGGTTCGCAAGAAATTGGCTTCGTTTTATTTCAGATGACAGACGGTTCGGCTCGTCATTGTGGATGTAGACGTTTCATCTCGGGACTTTGTATGTGACATCCGCCTTTGCTATGCACTGATGATGCAAGTACCACGCACGATTCGACATGCCAGAGCAGCGTCTCATTTATTTCTATTCTAACAAGGTTCACAGTTTACGGGATATATAATATGCGTTAAAGAGTCAAGGATTGTTGTTCCCGACATGATATCTCAGACTCTCTCTTAGCTCTCCAAGAATTTTGTATATTTGACGGCGCAGATTTTGGCGAACATAGGAAATACACCTGTAACCGTAGCTGCCTAGATGTAAATCGAATAAAACACGCTCCCGATCCTGTAAGCTTAGATATATTAGCAACGATCACCGCCGTCGTAAGCGAGTTGATTCCCACATAGCGATGGACAATATGGTGCAACAATGGATGGGTGAGCTTTGGGAGCAGCCGCATTTGATGTGGTTTCATAGTCAGAAAGCAATATGTTTTTTTTTCTACAGAGTTGCGCTATCTGTGAACTTCGACAAATACCAGGAGGCCACGTACCAGGCGATGGTACAACACATTTCCTAGTCGAGATATATCAACACAAAAGAATATGTGTACGTTATAGCATTTACCACCAACATCAACTTTGTACATTCAATGTTCGGTAACTTTGACATTGCTAAGAGGCACGAGGACGCGGTCGCCCCTGAATCTCACGGACAACCTCCCTAGTTCGTGCATTATCCACGAAGCTGAGCCCAATTAGTTCTACCACTTCGTCAACTGTGAAGTAGAGACTAAGTTCGCTCTCCAACCATAAAAACTTGACGTCTTGAAGGTTACTCTGCAATACTTCACTCAGATATTTGAGTCTCAACCAATTGCTAGCATATTGTGAAGTAGATGGTATATCATCCTTGCCAGCATTAGGAGGGAGGAATAGATCATCTAACTCCGTGACTCGCGCAATCAGGTTAGCGATATTGTAAGCATCGTCTTGACCAATTCCAGCAAGATCCATGACGTCGGCAATGATCTTGGAAGCAATAGTATCCACCAAAGAGCCCACTGCCTGGCTCCAAGCCGATTTGGCTAGGATCTTAGACCAAGATGCGGCAGTTGAGCGTACATAAGTTGCAGCATTATCAACTTGAGATTGCAGATTCGAAGAGCCCAGTTCCTCTTGTTGTAGTAAGGTTTGAGATCCCCCAAGCAGATCGCGCAAGATGGTACGGCGAGTTGTCATCTCAGAAGAATATGCGCGAGTTGCGAACAGCTGCAGAGACTTCACATCGTTCTCTAATCGTAACATAGACTTCGCTCGAGGTACTAAGTCATCCCTAACTTTCCAGTTCTTGACAATTTCAGAGAGTCTTTCGGCCAGATATGTCGCATCATTATAGAGAAACCTTCGCCGCGTTAGTTTTGAATCAGAGAGAAAACCTGAGGATTCGCCTACATATTACCGCCAGCATCTAAAGCATAATAATGCGGAGAGACTGCTCTAAACATAGCCAATACCAGTGTTGGAAGAGAAAACAAGCCAGCGGCAGCAGTGGCCATGGGATTTCCATCATTGCTAGACAACGGCTTTTAGTCGGGTCTAATGCGAATGGTTGATGGATGACATACCTGACTAAATAGGCCCCATCCTCTAATATAGCTAATATGAGCGAAATAACAGGTTCTGGCATAGACGAGATATGATATGTTTCTTTGAGTGTTAGCTCTTGGATTGAAGGAACTGCGGCACTGTCACTTCTAGGTGCGTCAGCTGCCTCGTCTTCATCTCCCCAGCCCCATGCTGCCGTGGAATCATCATCTTCTGTTGAATCAGTCTGTTTAGTGTTTGTATCAGCAATTGTGATGTTTGTCTCTTTATCGTCCCCTTCGTCACCCCAGCCCCATGCATCAGCACCGTCATCGACCCCATCATCATCATTCTTGGCTTCTTTTGGCTGATTTTCATTTCTCGTAGCATCGTCATGGTCATCCCATGCTGCATCCCATCCATCGCTATTGGCAGGGACGCTCTTGTTAGGATCAAGTCTTTGCCCTTCCTCTTGAGATACAGTCTGCGTTTCTATTCGTTCAATTTCTTTCGAGTCACCCAGCCCTTGCGTGAGCTTTATACGTATCGATTCTAGAGCTGTCTCCCTGCACTTAGCAAGCCATACCCGCGGCACAGTCTGTACCCATTCCTGTAGCTCTTCAAGCCTCGAAAAACCAAGAGTTTCAACGCGGTTGTAGAAAGCTTCGGTGGCATCAATAACCTCATGGAATTCACCCATTTCTTTCAGGGAGGCTGGGACCGCAGGTTCTAGCCATGAAGTAATAATACGAGGCAAGAGATCGGGCATCATACAGCTTGACAGCGAAGAGACCAGCTCTTTTGCTAATCGCTGCGAGAGATACTCTAGAACAGTTTCTAAATCTTGGAAAAGAGATAGCACCGTCCTTTCTGCTGTGCCAGTCAATCGTAAAGCGGACTACTATAGTTTAGCAAACATTCTCAAGTCAACCAGGACGAAGCTTACATTCTCCACAATGATGGTGGGCACATCTCCACGCCGGAGAACAGTCCTTGGGCCTAGCAAAACCCTGTCCAAGTCTTTCCAGAACACTAACATCCTTTTGTCAACTTCTTTGTACGCTTTGAGACCGATAACTGCGTCGGCAAGACTTAATTGCTCATCTATAGAGCAAAGGTCAGTGACATCATAGCTAAAAGCTGGGCATAGTTTATACCTTGCCGTGAGTCGAAGATAGCTACTCGACTAGTGGAAGCGTCTATTTGTACAAGCGAATTCCAAATATGATCGAGAACTTCATGGACTGAAGACTTGAGCTCAAATGCTCGGATATCTAGGAGTTTCATGACCCGACATGATTTACTGATAGAAATTCCGTCAAGAGCAACCCACGATTCTAAAAAATGATTAGCAAGAGGCGTACAACTTGTATAGCAGTCATCTGAATCTCACGCTCGAGTAGATGGAGCGCTTGTAGAATGCGCCTTTCATCCCGTGCCGACTCGACTTGGTCTAGCAGTTGGCTAACACGTTTGATACGGGTCAAAGTATTGTAGAGCTGGTTATTGTACGCAGACTCCTGTCCAAGAAAATCGACTTTGTTGACAGCTTCCTGTATTGCCTTTCCGGACACATCAGGTGCCTCGGACCGTCGCACGATCTCGTTCGCCCAATTGCGCGTTCGGTTGATGTCGTCTTCTAGGGACTTCGCATTCGCAACCCACTGGTCCACGTCCGAGGCAGTTTCCTCGTTGATCATGTGAATCTCAGTCTACGAAACGCACAATTAGCCTCGGGGGGAAGTTTAACTTGCAAGGTTGACACACCTCAAGGTTCGATTTGGCGGCAGCTAGAGATTGTAATGCGAAAGCGAGATCGTTGACTTGTATGTGCCTTGAGGAAATACCCTCTTCAGGAAATATTCCATTCAAGGAGAATGCCACCAAGGCCGGGCCGACCTGGCTATCTTGAAATTCCGCCATATCTTCCGAGACCTGAATAATGCAGCGATCGCGTTCCTGATCGGCGGTATTGGTGAAGCTGCCTGTACATGGACAGGGAGGCGCGAGGTGCAGTGCGAAGAGGCAGCGTTCTTCGGTATTATTCTTGGCTTTAGCCACTTGGTCAGCTCATAGTATAAAAGAAAAACTCATTTCGTGTAGCGCAGAGCCATAGCTGGTCAAACGTAGCAAACGTACAAAAAGATCATCCCAACTCTAGCTCTTTGGGTCGTGATAGCTTCAAAGGAACAACCTCTCGTCCGCATGTCATCACCTGCATACGCTACAGAGGAGCTCGGGCCAGATATGCCCTAACCAATTTACCATGTAGGCATGTACCTACTCTAAGTGGCTAGGTAACCTATCTCAAGTACCTACCTATTGTACCTACTAGTGCAGGTAGGTAGGTAAATACATGTAGATATACATATGTAGATTATCGATTACCTTATCTGTATGTGTACAGTACGGGTTCAGGAATTATAGCCAATCACTATTAGTTTTGGCGAAGGCAATGTAGGTATCTGTACCTGTACCTGTCAGCAGAGCTGTACATACTATAGTACTTTAGGTAAGGTACGTCCCCATATCCTACATGTACCTTCTAATCCATGAAGGGATACCTATAGCGGGGTACCTAGTTGCCTAACGGCGCGTCCATCGCCCAGGTCTAGCCAGGGCAGCTTGCAGCGGCAATAGTATGCAGGTAATGATGAAATTCCTAGGGTAGGTACACCGCGGGGTTCACAGCCGTTGGTCAGATCTCATGCCCACCTACCTGGTCAACTACAGCTGGAGATTTCACAGGAGCCCAAAAGAAGAAGACTGCAGAGATACCTTGATCTACTTGGTAGATTGCAACTTGGATTTCGACGTCTCTACTATCGCCATCTTATTATTATCGCCTTGTTCCTCTCCAGGCCAGGTCAATTAGTCGAGAAGAGCTTCAATCTGCCAATTAAGCCCTTGTCCTTTTTCTCCCATCTGGTCTCACCGTTAGGTACGGATACATACACCTTGTCCATCGCTTTCGTACTTCGACCATCAAAGCCTCTTTAAGCTGCACTAGGTATCTATCTGCCAACATAGTACCCACGTAGTAAACCGCCTCGCCGCCAACTCCACGATCCTCCGCGAGCATATTGTTACTGGAGTCCTGCAACACTCGCACCGACCTCTCATCTCCAACCTCAACCTGAAGAATTTTAGGTGGGCTGTGGCCCCTGGCCTCCGGTATTCAGTATCGCGGCCTCATTGGCCCTTGGTCGTGCCACTGCTCTACTTTAGGTATGTCAGCATTTGGTTTGAAAACCCTGGATTTGAAGTCCTGCGTATCAGTTCCCGGGTCTACCACTGGCGGAAACCCGTTCAAGCTTGTCCTTTTGCCAAGTTGATCAGTTGGTCAGTCGACGACTCCGCATCGCCCTAGTGTCGAAACTGAGCTAGCCTCCTATCTCTAGAGGGTGAATATCGTCAATATCTACGCATCTCCCTCTGCCACTATGTCTGGTTTGTTGTCAACCCAAGTCCGTGCTCTGGCTGCCTTCATTGCCATCATTGCGGTCTCCTATCCGTTTCTCAGCAGCCACCTGGGGTATGCTCATCCTCGCTTCTAGAACTGAGGCACCGACCTTTTCAGAGGCTCGTGTCACTGCTCATCACGGGCTTGTATTGTATATACAACTCACACCATCGAGCAAGTGCCGTCTGACATAGTTGGGTTTGAATGGATTCCTAGTAGCTACCCTGAACCCTGCTATGAATAATATACCATTGCTGCATACAGAAAAAGTCGCCTGTTGTGTCGTTCAGTATAATATGAACGACATGGGCTACTCGACCCCGATTACCTCTTTCTTTGTGCATTACATCGTCTTTCGGTCGGTAAACTAATTGACGGTTAGAACTAGTCCAATCTTACACTTTTCTTCTCACACCATGGGTTCCCAGGGTTCTGCTGCGCGCTTCCGAAAACTGCAAAGTTTCGAGACGGATTATGCTCCTACTACCATCACCCAATATGAATCGGAGCGCAGCGGTATGCAAGTTATTGTGGCTGACCGAAAGGGTCCCAAGGTAAATGGATACTTTACCTTGGCCACCGAGATATTTGACAACTCGGGCGCACCGCATACTCTTGAGCATCTGGTTTTCATGGGCTCAAAAAGCTACCGATATAAGGGGTTACTAGACAAGCTGGCGTCACGAGCTTACGGAGGCACGAATGCCTGGACTGCTACCGATCATACTGCGTATACACTAGAAACGGCCGGCTGGGAAGGGTTTGCACAAACGCTACCTGTGTATCTCGAACATCTAATTGTTCCTACTATCACTGACGCCGCATGCCTAACCGAGGTGCATCATGTGGATGGCGAGGGTAACGATGCCGGTGTCGTTTATTCCGAAATGCAAGCAGTGCAATACACAAGTACTGAGCTTATGGACATCAAAGCGCGACTACTCCTGTACCCAGAAAATGTTGGATTTCGGTATGAGACTGGAGGTATGATGGAGGCTCTTCGCGTCCTGACACCCGAAAAGATCAGAGATTTCCACAGGACTATGTATCAGCCACGGAACATGTGTATCATCATTGTTGGTGAAGTGGACCACAAGAATCTTCTCCAGATACTTGATACATTCGAAGAAAGTGTCATAAATGATATTCCACCCGTTGACGCACCCTTTCGTCGACCGTGGATAGAGTCCACACAACCACCTCCACTCAATGATACCGTTATTGAGACGGTCGAATTCCCCGAAGAAGATGAGTCTGTTGGAGATGTAGTAGTAGCGTTCTTTGGGCCTCACTGCACCAATGTAACAGCAACGACCGCACTCAATGTACTCTTGACTTACTTGTGTGGTTCTTCAGTGGCCATCTTAGAAAATGTGATGGTGGAGAAAGAGGAATTAGCGAGCTCGATTTCATATTGGTGGGATGCACGTCCAAACTCTGTCATCTGGTTTCAGCCTACGGGAGTTGCTACTGAGAAGCTTCAATTCGTTGAAAAGCGACTCATTTCACTACTTAAAGAAGTAGCATCGAAGCCTCTAGATATGACCTACATCAACGAGTGTATCCAACGCGAACGACGGCAAGTGAAGGCTCAGGCAGAAGAGTCTGAATCATTCTATTCTAACAACATCATCACCGATTATCTCTTCGGTGCTAGAGATGGCTCGACATTGAAGGATTTGGCAAGCTTGACGGAATATGATGTCCTGGAGAAGTGGACGGATGAGCAATGGCGGGCGTTCTTGCGTAAATGGATATCCGATGCTCATCATATCTCTATACTGGGGAAACCGTCACTACAATTAGCCAACAAACAAAAAGCAGACGAAATTGCTCGTATTGAAAAGAGAAAAGAAGAGCTAGGACCCGAGGGACTAGAGAAGCTAAAGAAGAAACTGGAAGATGCGAAGAAGCAAAATGATGTCGAGATTCCTGCTACACTACTGGAGAAATGGCCAGTTCCTTCAACCGAATCGATCCATTTCATCGAGTCTCAAACCGCTCGTTCTGGACTGGCACGCAACTTAGGCGTGCGCGAAAATTCCGCTCAGAAACAGATTGACCATGCATCCGTAGGGGCGCCGCTTTTCATACAGTTCGAAGATGTCCCAACAAATTTCGTTCACATCACCGTACATATCGGGACAAACAAGGTTCCTATGAAGTTCAAACCGCTTCTAAGCCTTTTCAACGACAACTTCTTCAACACGCCTATTATGCGAAATGGCCAGCGTATTGAGTTCGAGCAAGTCGTGATGGAGCTTGAAAAGGAGACGGTCAGCTATAGCTTAGAATCTGGCACCAAAGTCGGGGACTCTGAAAGCCTCTTAATTCGCATGCAAGTTGAGCCAGCGAAGTATGCTACGGCCGTCGAGTGGATTCGCACTATGATGTTTGATAGTATCTTTGATGTGACTCGTCTAAAGGCCGGGGTTTCTAAACAACTTGCCGATATTCCCGAGGCGAAACGAGACGGTAGAGTGATGGCCAACGAGGTCGAGATCGCTCTCCACAACGAAGCATCCTCTTTGCTCGCAGCAAAAAGGACTCTTGTCAAGGCTACTTACATGAAACGACTCAAGAAAATACTACAGAATGACCCAGATACTGCTATCGCGTGGTTTGAAGAGGTTCGACGATCCTTGTTCACTTCTGACAACATTCGTGTGCTTATCACTGCCGATATTACACATTCCAAAGTCCCTGAGCCCGTAAAGACATGGGATATTCTTTGCAAGTCGCTTGAAGAAGCTCCTAAGGAGGTACAACCCATTGTCAAATCCCACACTCTTCTCAATACTGAAGGTCGAAATCCTGGCTCTATCGGCGCAACTATTATTCCAATGACCACTATCGACAGCTCTTATTCCGTGAGCTCTGGTAAAGGTCTATCGTCCTTTACCGACCCAGCCGTACCGGCCTTACTTGTAGCAGTACAATATCTGGAAACTGTAGAGGGCACACTTTGGAATGCCGTTCGCGGGAATGGGCTCGCCTATGGAGTTTATTTCGCCAAAGAATTGGATGGTGGTTACTTGCACTTTAAGGTGTATCGTTCTCCATCTGCCTCCAAGGCCATAGTTGCAGCAAGAGATGCCATCGCGGCTCTAGTTAATGGCACTATGGCATTTGAACAGCCTATGATCGAAGGCGCCATTAGCCAACTGGTCATGGGGCTCGCCGACGAACAGGCCACTATGTCCACCGCAGCTGTGCAGAATTATATCACTGGTGTTGTTAGAGGTCTCGAGCCCGACTATAACACGCAAATGCTTGCCAAAGTTCGCGCTGTAACAGTTGACGACATCAAACGCGCGATGAAAACGTGGTTACTTCCAATATTCGAACCAGGCAAGAGCAACGTAGTGGTATGCTGTGCACATGTCATGATTGAAGTAAGACACCTCATACCCTTTCCGAATTGTAGATGGGTCAAGTTACATGCGATGCTAACACAACATCTCAGAAAATGGAGAAAGAGCTTCAGGAAATGGGGTATAAAACCCAGATCAAGCAGTTGTCTGATTACTATGACGACTATGGCCTAGAATCTCCTGGTGGGGAAGATGATGAACACGACGACGAGGATGAAGACATGTCTAACAATGACGATGAATCTGGTGACTCTGATGAGTCGGAAGATTAGAATTGGTTATTCTTCGTACGTTTAAAGCTACGAAATTTCCCTGTCCGAATAATGCATTTCCACATTGCGGGTTGGGTTTAAGGTAGGTTAGAGCTATAGTGACAACAATATAGGTCTGTGTCAAATACACGGTACTAGAGCTTATAGATGGCCATCAAATACATTCGTATATTTGCTATAAGCTGTAGCAAATGACACTATCATTATGATTTAGGCTAGCAATTCCATCGTGAAATAGGAACCCAAGAGCACTGTCCGCACCGAAGTATTGACTCTTTCTATACCTTAACCTCAAAGGCCTTCAACATAGGCTTTGAGATTAGCTGCTTGAGTGCTGAACTGTTCCTGAAGACTACTGCCTAACAGGGCGATGGCCGGTGTGAGTAAGCCAAAATAGTATGTTTCATAACTTAAGACCTTCGATGAATTACATCCCTGGTCGATGATCACATAAGGGTGCTCAGCCCTCGAGCCAAGACCAGCAAGCTTGTCGTCATACCGCCAGGCCACTAGTGAGTACGAGTTTCCCTGAGTACCAACGCCTACACTATCCACGATAGTGAGGATCTCATCGCTAGACGTGTTCAGTCCTTTAATCAGTCCTGCTGTGGTAAAAACCACTGTAATCAAGTCTCAGAGTTAGTCAAAGAATCATGGGGGCCATGTGTAAGATATCAAGACCCATCGACGGCTCATAGAATATGACTTTCGCTAATTATTATTGTCTCCTCAAGAAGCTTTCAAGCATGATGCAGACGAAGAGGATAAGACTATACCGAGAACGACTCACTAGGCATGCCCACATAGAGATCCTGCGGCGTCTCAGCTACGTTCGGCGGCACTGAAACAGAGACTACAAACGAGTTCCATAGATGGTAAGATTTAAAGTCGAGAACCACATCGCGAATGACAGTCACAGGCGCTTCGATATCTATCGACGAGCAGACCGTAAAGATGGCGCCTTTGTCTCCATACGTTGGTGTAGTGAGGGTAGATAGGATGGATGAGGGACATGAGAGACTCGAGTAATCGAATTCGGAGTAGGTCGCGGCGACATCTCCTGCTGAGACTACAGCTGCGGCACTGCTCTTAGCTAAGGTAGCGATGAGAAGGTGAAACAGCATTAAAACCCCCATTGGAAAACCAGCGCGTTCTTGAAGTACAACTAAGTAGTTCCTCGTCTTTCCTCATCTCTGGAAATGGGGGTTATTTATTGAGTCTCTTGTCATTGCGTGGTATACACTATTTCAGCTTGTCATGTGGTACCGACAAGCAGGTTTATGATGAGGCGCTTTATGCAGCAAAGTGGGCTAGCTGAGATCACCACCTACGTGGCGCCTATTTATGATGGTCTGTGCAAGATCGCTGCCACGTTTTCTGCACTGGAAGTCTAGATGGGACCTGAATTATGAGTTGTCGATATCACGAATGATGTGGCGGAAGGCACATCAGAAAATCCACAACGACTTGGATCACGGCAGTGGGGCATTATCACTAGTTATTTAACGATAAAAGTTGCGGCCGCGTGATGCGAAAGAGATGGGCTATACGTAATTATTCCTATTGAGATGATGACTACTTATCTTTTCGAAAAATTAAGTGATGTGGCATATTAACGCCCTCTAGCAGAGAACCGCAAAAAGCATGATAGCCCCAGATAATCCCGTCGGGCTCTCCTAAGAACAGTGCTGGGTTCCATCGGCATGCGTGTGGCACTCCTATTCATCCGGTCAGCGTATGGTCTCACGGCTACCTTTCGAGAGGAAGAGCTTACAGTTGCTGCAGTTGTAGTAGCCGACGGGGTCACCTCGGTGGTCGTGCTAGGATCCTCAGACTCGGAATCTAAAGGACGTCCGGTGCATCCCTCCCCAGGAAGCGCAATATCAAAAGCATAAACATCTAGCGCAAAGTATTGTAAAGTATGTGAGTTGCGAGCAGCCAAGGCTGGGTCGCTCTGCGCCAACTCGAGGCATTCGCTGTATGTGTCGGCATAATGTTCGACAATGCCCTCTCCAATGTTCGGGAGATGGTAAAGACGGTGAATCAGATCAGAGCCGAAGTAGAAGTTCAGCACGCCGCTTGAGACAGAGTAACCATATCCGCAGAGTCCCTCGAGCGGCATGCGCGAGGTAAACGAGAGAGGGCAGATCACCGTCTCCTGAGTGGCGTTCTCTCCACGCCAGTGGCCGGCCCAACCTGTATGATAGGGTTATTCCAGTTCTTCCGGTTCGCATAGTCTTGTGGCTCTTACCATCCTGGGCACAGTTTCCATCGATGTCGTCGCATCTGAACCAGATGCCGCCGCGGTCAGCGTTCACAATCTTATCATACCATCCGATGACCTCAGCTGTAGGCGAGATTCCGAAATACTTTGTATAGAACTCAGAGCTGTTTCCGAAACGGAGGACGTGGTCCTTGGCATGAGTAGCGAGGAGTATCGCTTCACCCAAGCCCCTGGAGAGAAGAGCTCGCTCTGTAGAATTGCAAGAGTCGTGTATAGGGTACGCCGTAGTTGCACCGGCTGCCCAGTTATAGGGAGATGGCGTAGCAGATATGATTGTTTGAGTGACAGTCACAACATCTTGCCTAACCCGAAGTCTGCTTGCTTGACCTAAAGTGGCACTCAGGCCTACCCAGACAACGAAATTTCGCACGCGGGTTGGAAGCATAGTGAAGGGATAGAATGAAGAGTTGAGGATTATCTAGCAAGGCAGTGAGTGCTATGGAGTCGAGTTGCTGATGTGAGGCCAGTAACAAGAACCCTCTCTCAATGTGTCCATATTCGCTCTTTTATATAGAGTTACCAAACCTCTGGGTCACTCAGAAATCGATCGTTTCCGAGATCGGGCTCACACATGTTCTCGTTCAGCAGAGAGGTGAATCTTTGATCAAGGCATGATGCCTTCCAAGCCTAGCCAAGGCCAGCAGTTCGTCAGTCCAGTCCGTTCATAGTGATGGCCAAGAGAAGCGAACAGGCAACACTATTTTGATAATTGCCATCAAGGTTCCCTTTGACTTTGGGTACAGGATCTAGATGTCCAGGACGTGAAGTTTACACTAGGAAATATAGTACCAGTGACTGTTTTTTAGGTCTAGCTCCCACTAGACTTGAAAGGAATTGCTTGGCAGAGACCCTTGATGGCCAACATTGTAATCCTTCTGATTTGATCGAATAATCGGGGAATCGGCTCCTTATACTTTACTTTGTAATTGTAAGAGCCTTGTATGAATGGCTTATAATATCAGTAGTCAAGAAATCTCCCTTCCGGATTATCGTGACATGCAGAGCTTGTCATCTACGAAAGCGCAAATCAACATGATAACTATTCTGCGTTGTCAAGTATGCCTGGCTCAGTTCAAAAATGACTAGTATTAGCTGCGTTTTCTGGGCTCCAAGCCTATGGTTTGTCTTGACAGATAGCAGCGTTGACCGCGGACAGTGGATCGCCAGTACAGTGACTCTGAGTAACAATATGCCTTGACTTCATGGCTTCATGGAATGCAGCATTAATATCAGCGGCCTCAATGACATTTTCTTAGGCTTTGATGGCGTCGGATCCGTAGAGAATCAGGCCAACAATCTGGTTGTTGCCTTCTAATAGTGTATATCACAGCCTACCCTCGGTGCTGAAATTAAATTCAGCACCCGCGCTACAGTTGTGAAACTGTCTTTCAAAACATAGAGTCAATAACTACTAGCCAGCTATGATAGAAAGTGAAATGAGTTTTGTGAGTTGATAGAGGGGACAGGGGACTCTAGAGTATCTAGCTTGGCAGCAGCCTATTGAACCTGGATGGTCTCATTAGTGCTGATAGCCTCAAAGACCTCATCTTGAGAATCGCGTGTTCGCATAGAAACGCTATTATTCTAGAAACCAACCTTAGTGTCCACGGCCATGTTAGGCCAATTTTTCAGGATTTATGTGTCAAAGAGCTCGCTCGCTTTCTTGAGTAATCTTGACTTCCTCGATAGGCGCCCAATCGAGAATATCCCGGATCCTAGTAGCCTCATAGCTATATCGGTAGAGCTCGTGATAGTAGCCTTAAATTAAACATTACCAGCTTTTGGTGATTATTCTCTTCTGATATTGGCTACGGCCGCAATGGCCCGAGCCACACATAACGAGGCAACTGTAACAGTTTTCATTTTCTGAACTGAAAGAATGAGGTCGCTTTGAGAATACAATCTAGATGATCGCTACCTTATGAAGAACCAATGTAATCAGAACTCTATTAAATGATAAGAATAAGTGATTTATCAGGATTTATTTGCCAATTCATGTTAACCTGAGAATGGGCAGGTATGGAAAGAGATTTAAATTCCTGACAAGGGTTAAATCTTCATGTGACATCTTATGTGATATTGGTTGAAAGGAAAATGTATAAGGACTCGATGAAATGCACCGAAACATATTGGAAGTGTAACACGGAAATCGTGGTACAGACAATAAAATGGGAGCAATCTCGCCAATGTTCGGGTCAGCTTTATTAGAACAATCAAAGCGGAGGCACACCAGCATTGCGTATCCCATACGAGGCTGACTAAGTATTATGAGGTAGTTCTGATACATCATTGATCAATCGCATCTACCCCTGCAATGATGTGGAATTAGTAAGAATATTTGGAACCTGTGTTTGAATCATATTCGATTGTGCGAAATCACGACGGCACTGATTCGAATTCGCCTATGGAAACTTTGCTTTAAATTAGATTTCAATCAAGAATGATCTAAGCTTTTTTTTTTTGATTAATGCTATACAAGCTTCAGACCAGGCCAGTGTCTGAGCCACGGAGCCACGAAAGTGTTTAACTATACACAAGAAAAGGAAAGCTTCCTAAACAAGGAGCTAGAGTGCGCGCAGAAGATAATACTAGAGAATACAACTTAGAACAGCTCACGATGGTTCAACAGCCGGAGGACCCTATGAGAATGCCCCATCGTGTGTAAGGCTAAGGCCCTCCCTATCGGCCCACAGCTTTTGATTGTCACCGTTTTCGGCGTAGATTGTTTGTCAGTGATTTGTGATAGTATCCGATAGGTTGGGAGATGACATACTACTGGCTCCTATTCTCATAGTGAGAGCAAAGTAGAAGACAAGGCTCATCATGTTAAACGGGACACAACCCAAAGCGAAGGCGATCACCAGATGCAGAGGAGCAGGTAGTGTATACAACTGACGTAGGTGTACGACAAGACGCTGAATTTGAAAAGGTTTTGATATGGTAGCGATTTTGAGAACAAGTATCGGCCGAGTTGGACGGAAGATGATTGACACAAGGTGAACTCTAGCCGGCACATATACGCCACGAGTCAATGTATGTAGGGGTTATGCTTGTTGTACTTGTCGATTATGTCCAAATCCACCTCGCCGACTGGACCTCTGTTATACTCCTGCTATCACGTTGTTCTACGTGTACGATTGTGGTATCGTGACAATCGCTTCCGGCCGCACAAACTGAACAGTAGTCTCGGGGCTATTACTTGTGTAAGGCCAACTCTGAGAGCAGGGACAAATAAAAGAACCCGCGGCCGAGGAAATCCTGCATATAAAAGGCCACATGCAAGATTCCAAATGAGTGGATGTCTTGAGATTACTTTCATCTTCACCAAAACCACACAGCCTGTCTACAACCAGTTTTCATTCATCAAATTTTACACAGAAGAGGAAAGCCCAGGTACGTTCATTTTCCCATGTATCCGTATTGCGACTGGGATTTCAGTCCACTACCTCTCCAGAGGCTTACCAAGAATCCAAACGCAAGTAACATTATACTTGGATAGAAGTACTTATGCTAACGAGATCGACTAGCAAGCCCGAAGCCTTACAAGATGTGTGTACCTCACGTGACTGTCTATTCTTGCGGTATGAGGAAAATAAATTATACTCGTTGCGGTCGCTATCACCCCGAGATTGAAGGGAATGTCGAGGGCAGTCCATATTGTCGTTGGTTCGATCCATCTAGGAGGACTGTAAGACAGGCACACTATAATTGCGGCCAGGTTAGTTCCTTGGAGTCATTTATTTCCCTTTTAGGCAGCTTTCGGGCCTTATTTCTCCTGCGTATTCTCGAAAAACGTGCTGAGCACCCTCCCCATCTGGCAATTACTGACTCCAGCGCGTGTGGTAGGTGGGCGAGTGCCGCGGGTGTACCCTACTGGCTGAGGCAGAGGAAAGGAGTCGGCGCAACCGCGATTGGGGCGACTCCAGACGCTGAGCCTACGAACATAAGTTTCATTGCTCTCAAATGACGGCGCTAGGACTAGCTCCTGACAGTATCTCACTATAATAGAGACCACACTTGTTGGGGGCATTAAACACTCGTTATCTGATGGGCGTAGAGCTAAAGGAGGAACTCTAGGACAAATCTAACACTCCTTACATCCGAGTTTCGGACCACCGACAGCCCATTTGTTGCACTAGAGCCCCAAAAGATCAAATAGATTAGATCACATGTACTATTTTATCGTGTCTCACGGGTTACCATCACGTTGGACAGCACGCTGGTATACGCTAATTGGTTGGTGATCAATGTGTATCTATAATTGTGTTTCCTCCCTTGACACGCCATGCGGGAGGCATTGGGGTCGTACGTGTTAGTCATCATCAACGTGGGAACTAATACATCCCTTGATGAACTCGAAACAAGGGATCGCGGGTCAGCTGATCCAAGGCGAACGTTCTCATACTGCTCCTAGCTCCTAGCTGCAAGGCTATCACTCTGTTATAGAATCCCTTTTTGTCGTCTTGCTAGGATGTCCTTCTACATAATCAGGAGCACTGCCTTCTCGTTGAGCCATCTGCTACTATCACCTAAATATATACTCAAGGCTATTTGACCCGGACTTTCGCAATATGTATAAACCACAAGCGCACCCCTGTATTTTTGCGAGGTCTGGTTTGAAGCTGCGGCTGTGTTCGGCTTCAAGCCTTTAGAAATGGCGTCGTTTGCTTCAAATAGCTAATCATGCAAAGCTAATGGTATTTTCACCGTTCAGCCTTGTCTTTCCAGCAGCAGCAAAATATTCTAGGTCAGGTTGAATATGGACGAGGGAATATGAACGGAGCCAGATAATTTGGAAGACGTTCTCAAACAGTTATCGGCACAAAAGAGCCACGACGTCAGAATAATCACGTGCGTCCGACGCAGAGGCCAGCTCCTACCTCTCCGTTATCAAAAGTGCCCTAAAAGAGATAGATTAGGTTTTGGGGGCCACGGCACACGGCCGTCATAATTCTCGGTTTTCTAGGTCGTAATTAGACGTTGCAGTACCTAAGTACTGATCACCATGTACCTCTCTCAAGACCGCGAGGTACATTTTGTAAAATTCACATGTATCATCATGTTGAGAGTAAGGTCCACACTTTTCTCCCCTTGTCCCTGCTCGGTTGCCTTACTGGACATGCGCATCGATGGTTCGCCCAGGCAGAAAGAAAGCCATACTAACATTTCCTAAGCCTCAATCAAAATCACCGGAGCTCTTTTTCTTCACGAATTGGTTCACCAACTAATTATAATGAGGAAAATAGGAAGAACCATTTTCTTGACACACCAAGTTCAAATATGAGAGATCTTAGTTTTAGTATTTATTATTATCGTTTCTCTAATCGTAGGTGATTGTCTCCTTGGGCCGTAAAGTAGTAGCATCGCTATAATTAGGAAGCGGGAGGGTTCATTACAGTAACTTGAAGTGTCAATACACTTGCCTCATCGCGTTGTATCAGCTCCCCATCACAGTACACCTTGAACTTTTTCTGCCCGTATTACCTTGGATTATCCAAACTACGCGCCGTTGAGAAAATCAAGTTGGCGCTTCCTAATAAGGATTTATTTCCACTATTCTCATCCTTAGTA